GAAGTAATTAAAGATGACGAGTTCTTGAGTCCTTGAGTCCAAGCTGCAAGAAAAAAAAAACCACAGTTGCCTCGTTCCCAACATGTGGCTTTGTATCTTAGTTGCAGTAGCGCCCAAATATTGGTTGGGAGGCCTGGTTTCGAATCCTGCTGAGGCCTGAATCTTTTTTAAGCTTCTATCTGCAACTTCGTTAATTTTACAGCTAACCCGGTGGGGATCATTTGTTTACTTTTATGCTCGCTTTATCTACAGTTTTCATCTTTCATCAGTTTTAAGTGTCAAATTCCGGATCTTGCCAATGATCAATAATTTATTATATGAGATGTATTATTTGCAGTTTTCTGGTGCAGAAAAAGATTTTTCTTGAAGAATTTTAATTAAATGGATAAATTTTTAATCAGAAAATACGGATAATTGAACGCCATTCCGAGAATTTTCATCAAGTCTTAATTAGAGGAAGCCAGAAAAAACAGTAATACTGAGGAAGAGCTTTTCGCGGGTTCTGTCAACATACATCGTGGGTTTATCACTTAAAAAGCCCTACTAAATATTTCATTTAAACTGGATAAAGTGAAGCTCTCCTGAGATGTTTCACGATTCTATGCCGTAAGAATATAATCTTATTTAAGTTTTATTTCCACCTGGAGTAGTTTTCCTTAATTTACTGTTGTGGTTGTAGTCTGTTATTGCCGTTCGTTTAACACGCACTAGTTCAAACGTGTAACAAATTTGGGTGGACGTAAAAAAATTGATTTAATGCCAAGCTTAAGTGTAAATATATTACAGGGGACGTAGTCCTACATACAAACGTACTGATTGCAAAAACTCTAGATATCTGTCAGCTGTTTGACCATTTTGAGGATAGGCCCTCAGATTTTTGTGATGCTTGAAAGAAATGAAGTCATTTTCACCGGAAAGCAGATTGATAGTCATTTAAATTGTCAAGAGAGTCTTGTCAAGCTCGCGACAAGACGAAAAACATATTTCTCTATTTCTTTAGCGAGCTTAAAACTTACCATCTTTCTAATTTTATTTACAAAGTTATTAGTTATTTCCCGTGAAAAACAATTTTGTTTAGATTCCGTTTCTTATTTGCAAATTTTCTCATGCCACTATAGCTAAGAAATGCACAGTCATAAAGATATCACGTGTTAGGTAAGTCGCAAGAAAATTCATTGAATAGTACATTTTTAGCCAAACATTATCCCTCTAAATAGAAATATACATCGCCGACCGATGCCAATAGGGACTGCTCAAATACGGCATACTGTATGTGAGCAGCGTTGAGTTTTGCATGGAAACTTAATTAATTCTCCGTCGTAGTTCTCGTTGGCAGACTACGAAAAGTTTTGATTTCACGTTGTTGTTCTGCAGAGGACGGCTAAGAAATGTACAAAGTTTTAGAATGCACGTGCTCAGCTGTTTTTCCACCATTGTATCTTTAGTTTTGCCACGTCCTCGCCTCTGTTGACGTCGTGGTTTGCTTATATCCGTAATATTTCGCCAAGAGCAAACGAGGGATCGTAAGAGAGGAAACTATTTCAGTTTACATATGTATTTCAGATGTTCTTTTATCCGGTTGAAGTAGTTTATGGCAATGCAAATGAGAGTGGGTGTGCTCCTGCTATGATATGCTGGCAAGACAGGAGCAGTCTATCAGCCAGTGTGCACTTAGGCTTCTATAAATCATTTAACGGACTCTTTCTGGCATAAAGACTTCAATTGTCTAGCTACGCAAATACTACAGCTACACAGAGACTTACAAGAACATTTTGTTTCTTGTTTTTTGTTTTTTTTCCCACGGTTAAAAAACTCACTCCTGCGTTTAATCAGACCACGGACCATCTTTTTACTTTTACTCTACAGCAGCGTAACTAGGGGTTTTTCAATGGGGGGTAGCGGGAGCGAGGAGGGATCACAGTTACGCATTTTCACTCGCCAGGCACGAAGTGGCTTCACCAGCTTTTTCCTGTGTGTCGGCCGAGTAGAGTTCACACGTTGACTGATGCTAGGCAAATGAAGCAGAAATTTAGCGCAGGAAAAAATTATACCGATTATATTCTACGGAATCGCGCGTGTTCTCAAAGTATGTTTTCTCTGAAGCAAAATATTTAGATCCCATTCACTAAGAGAAAAATTTCTCACAAAGGAAAGGGGGAAACCAGAAAAGGAAGTGGGGGAGAGGGGTACGCCTAGCTACGCTCATGCTGCATCACACTTGTAGTTATTTGGAGCAAATTAAGCCTTAGAAACAACCACTGAATTTACAATTTTTTTTATTTCATAACAAAATTTAAAGATTGTGCGCGTTTTTTGATCAGTTTAAGGAAAAAGTCGACAGCTGTTTACCATGCCAAGCAACAACTACTAGTAAGGCAGAACGACTCGAACCTCTAAAGATGACACCGCTACCAAACGCCCCCTGGAAAGAACTTGCGATGGACTTTCTTGGACCACTCCCTTCAGGAGAGTACCTCATGGTCGTCATAGACGAGTACAGCCGTTTCCCAGAAGTTGAAATCGTCACATCCACTTCTGCTAGATCCACCATCCCGAAGCTTGACTCAATCTTCGCTCGACAAGGAATTCCTGATGTCCTAAAGAGTGACAACGGACCCCCCTTCAATGGCGCGGAGTTCAAGAACTTTGCTGAGCATCTGGGTTTTCACCACCGCAAAATCACGCCTCTCTGGCCAAGAGCTAATGGCGAAGCGGAACGTTTCATGAAGACACCAGGGAAGTGCGTGAGAGCCGCTACCGTTGAGCACAAGAGCTGGAAACAAGAACTCTACAAGTTTCTACGACAGTATCGGGTGACACCTCATTCGACCACTGAAATTTCGCCGTGCGAAGCACTTAACCACAGGAAGCTCAAGACTACGCTACCAGAAGTGACACCACCAGTTCTTGAGAAACAGAAGAGCATGACAGATAGGGATGCAGAACAGAAGTGGAAGATGAAAGCATATGCAGACCATAAGTTAGGAGTGAGAGAGAGCAAGATCAAGCTAGGAGACACAGTCCTTATTAAGCAACCAAAGCGCAACAAGCTAAGCTCCCCGTTCAGTCCAATACCTCTCGTGGTTGAAGAAAAGAAAGGATCTATGGTTACAGCAAGCAATGGAAATAAAACTATCACGCGGAACTCATCCATGTTCAAAGTTGTCCCGAACCACATAAGGCATGCTGAAAAGATAACACAAGGGCAGGCAGACGAAGATCTAACAGCAGAGCCTTGGCCACCAGAAGTTTCAGAACAAGACAAGTCATTAAGTTCTCCAAGCCCAATTACACCCTTGCGGCGATCTCAGAGGCAAACAAGGCTCCCTGCAAAACTGAAAGACTTTGTCCTACTTGTGCAATAGAACCAGACACTCGAAGCTTGCAGTTGAACTTTGTGACAAGCTAAACACGTTCCAGTTTATCGTTCTTAATCATTAGAGTTCAGTTGTTTAAGTCGATCTTTTCCAGACATACATGTATTCAAGTTTACAACCAAGAAGGGAAGAGATGTAGTGTTTCTGACAGCTGCCAATCATAATGTTCGGAATGCACACGCAGTCCTTATGAAGAGAAGTTATTCTGTAGTCGGGTTTCGTCTTACAGGTTGATTAAAATATCGTTGTGTTTCTACCGAACGTCTCAGTGGTTATTCAGCCGTAAACACCACAGAATCCACTTTGGAAGTGCTTTTAAAGAGAAGCTCGACTTGGCGACAGGTATAGGAAACATGGACAATGGACAATGCGCTCGAGTCACAAACAAATACTGGAGGATTTGGCGGTAGACCCTCACTGAAAAATGATGGCGAGCGTACATTTCAAAAGGGATCGTGCTCTCTGCAAATATTTCAGGTTCTTACGGTTCTTAAGGTTCTTACTAGATCTCACACGAGCTCAATCCAGCAACAATAAAGTGATAAAACACCTACACTGCTTCCTTTTTGAAATCAATGAGAACGAATCAGCGTTGATAATGGTCTCAAAACTGAACCCTTTGTTATGTACAGTGGTTGATACAAATTGGTCTCTTAAGGAGCGATGCACAACTGATGATATGTCCACAGTTTCTGCAAGAGTTCCCGTGATCTTGCTTTTACTTATTGAATACGTTGGAAAGTATGAAAACAAGTTGTACATATATAAATACAACTGAAAAGACCAAATCAGTTATTTTCTAGCAATTTTGGCCAATGTCGAGCCATTACTCGATGACAATTTCACAATAGACCTTACGCAAAGAGAGAAGTTTTTCGGTATTTTTCAGAACATAGTTCGTGGTAATTCCAACGAAAATTTACACTTCCCTCGTATCAACATTATCTTCATCCATTTATAATGGTAACTGAACTTAGTGGAGTGCAATTTGGGATGAAATCATACGCGTGATTTTTAAAATCGAACGAGCGCGCAGCGTGAGTTCGATTTGAAATCACAAGTATGATTTCAGACCAAAATTGCATGACACGATGTTCAATTACCACTTTATTACCTCCATTTTAAAATTTCCCAAATACAGGACTTGGTCAGTTCAAATATTTTATTGATGCAGTACTGAGCCGGTCTGAAATTAAATTCATCCATTTTTGGGGGGGGAAAAAGTAAGAGTTTGGAAACAAAAGTTGCAAAATTTGCCACATGATACTCTTTGTCTTTCAATTTCCTCCAGTTTGATCGGTTACATTAAACGAGCCTTAAAATCTGATTGGTTGTTTTGTTTTTAGTGTAGCCTCCTCATTGGCTGGGAAAAAGATGCGATTTAAAGCAAAGAATGGTGCGATTCGGGAATAAATCGCATCAATTGGAACCAATCAGATTACAGGGACCACCAGTGATTTCATAATGGGTGTAATAAATGATAGAATTGTGGCGAAAAAGCCCTAATCTCTCGCCAGACTCCCTTTTTTTTGGACGTCCAAACAACTTCTCGCCACACGTTCCTTTCAAGCGAGTTACAATGTTTGCCTCGTGGCAATCACACAAATCTGTGCGCAAACGCAAGGATCCGATTACTGGCAACTTATTTCCCCGAGAAAGTTCCCTATGTATTACATCATCGACCTCCTGTTTTTGTGAGAATGTCATGCGATGATACGCCAGCAAAATTTAATCTCTTTTTTGACTTCCTGTTTTTTTAAAGAATCACTCAACTGCATGAGGCCATAAGTGTGAGTCTCATTTCTTTGAATCAAAACCGTCTTTTGTTTCTCGGAAATCTTTCAATTTCATAACCAATTATTCTCATGACATAATTCCATCAAATTATTTCCATCATATGGAAAGTATTACAGAGTTGGCATTTTCAGCTCATTTTCATGAAACGAGCTCGAACCACCAACTCTTATACTACTTCAATATCCGTTCACAAGAAAACGTCTGTTCTTGAAATAATTTTGTTTTCGTGAGTTCGCCGTCTTGTTGTTAATTTTTGCAAACGGTTTAGAGCTAATTTAGAAAAAAGAAAAGAAAAACAATTGGGGGTTATCCATTGACCTCAGTTGCCGATCTCTGACAATGTTTTCTTCATTCTCATAAAATAATCATACCTCATGAAATAGTCATATGGGGGAGCCTAAGCAGTTAGGACGGTAAAGATAAGGAAGACTTCGATTACAAAATGAATTGAATTTATTCTTTTAGTTAGAATTTCGTCTCTTACGGCGCCACACCAACTTCAGCAAAACGTGAGTAAGCAGCATTGAGTACTAAATAGAAACTTAAAAAATTGAGTCACTCACAAGAGTTTGAAACTTAGATAGTAACAAATTACTGCATTTCATCTTTGCCTTGTTTTCTTTGCGTCTAACTTCCTATTTGCACAAGACTGGTAGCTGTAGTAGGTTAGTATAGAATGAAATGTTACATCCCTTTCCGAAGGTGTACTTCTTCTCGAGAGAAGAAAATATATCTCCTCTTATCCCTTTAACTCCCAAGATCTGATTGTCAATTCTCCCCTCTAGCTACTACACATTTCCTTGTAAATTGATTACGAGAGTTAGGTGTTCAATCAAGCCAATAAATCGTACCTGAGGTTTGAATGTTTTCTTCAACTGTTTGCTGTATAATGTATGGATACTTTAGGGAGAAGTTACATGGTAATCGCTTCAAGGAGTGAAAGGGCTAAAAGGTGAGAAACGTTTTTTTTCATTATTTGCATAAGTCATAAGAGGAAATCGAACTCCCAGCGGAAGACTGAAGAAATTTGCTTCGGCCAAGTTTCAAGTTTACAGAAAGCCTGTTCTGAATTTGATACCCACCCGTTGTTATTTTTCATTCGCAATTACAATAAAAATAATAAAAGGCTAAGTGTCGTTATTTAAAGTTTGCCATCAAGCAGCTGCTCAAATTTTCAAGCCTAAGTATGAGCACATTTTTTGCTAGGGAGATTTTTTCCTCCCAAAAGTGTTTGTCTAACTCGTTCATCAATTAACCAAAGCTGATGTGCGTCCACCGATATTTCTTTATAAAAACAGGTTTTCAGGTGTTCGGCATCATAGAACGCCCCAAAGATTTGAAATTGAATTTCTGCCTGAAAGGTAGGAATAGTTCTTGTTAACAGTTTTATTGAGCGTGAATTGAAATGGAGATGTTCATTCCATAGCGTATTTAGGCAAAAAACAATCGAACAAGCGAAAGTATCATATGAAATGTAACAACTATGACCGAATTATTATGAGAAAAAGTAGAGGTATATTTCTTTCAGACCGATGACACACAAATGTTATTGAGACAACTGAACTAAAATTAGGCAAAGTTGCAGTTGACTAAAAAGAAGGACGATGTTGAAAGTAGCTTGATATATTTCCTCCCTCACAAGTTTAATTTTTTGAAACAGCACTCTACTGCTTGTTAAAAATAGGTCTCACGTTTCCTAGATTCGCTTCAATTGCCTAAATATTTCTTAACTTTTTAAACAGGAAAATTGCTGGAGAAAATGAAATGTTACCTACTCTTGGCTCTTTTTACATGTCTGGATTGTTTTTCTGCAAATAACCAGTGCGGATTAAGTAGCATGGGAGGTATGGCTCGTAAGAATTCACGTTTTCAGGATATGATGTAGTCAGCCCTCCATATCTGTTATCTACTGTGCGAAAAAAAAGAGTTAACTTCCACGAAAACAGAATTATGAAAAACAGAAGATAGTAACCACTGTTAGCTCTTTTGAGTACCACACACCATCCAAGATCATTATATTTCGGCTGCAATTACACCTGAAGTCTTTCTAGGAGTGATTTTCCCCTGGAATAAATTATTTAATCTCTTCACAATATAATTGTTTGACATCAACCCTCACGTTTTGTGAGTAAAAGAGTATTAGTTTTGACCATCTCTCCTAAAAAAAAAAGGTCGAAAGAAATCACCTTTTGGAGATGTAAATGCCGTACAAAAGGCTTTCGCGATGAAGACAATTTGACTGAATTACTACCCATAATATGGAAAGGTTTGCCACCTGTTCATGCTTTTTGACATAGCTGATTATATTTCTCATTGGTTTCCTTATTCCTTCTTCCCCCCCCTCAGATAATTGTCGAGTGATTGAATTCAAAGAAGGAACAAAAAATAAGATCTTAACAAATCACGTCATTAGGGGAGATCATCTGCCAGACAAAGACATTTGTGAATTGAGATGCTATCTTGAACCAAACTGCGTGTCCTACAACTATGGTCCACTGTCAGATGGAACATTCACATGTGAACTGAATGACAGGACCCACTTACAAGTCCCCGACTCCCTTGAAGACAAAAGTGGATTTGTATACACAGAAATTTTTGTAAGTACGGCCTGGTAACATGCAGTTTTAATTTACAAAGGTGATCAATTTACGAACAAAAAAAACTCGGATATAGTGTTGTTCCCTTTGATTTTATTTATTTATCTATTCATCATTTTAAAATTGATTTATTGTAGAAATTGATCTATTTTCTTCTTATCTTTTCAGAATCCTTGTGAGAGCATTCCATGTGCCAATCACGCCACATGTCAAGCGGGGTTTGGTAACCATGGATACCGCTTTATTTGTCCTGCTGGATATCGAGGAGTTCAGTGTGAAACAGGTGAGGAAAAAAACATCTAACGATAAAAAGATGAGTTCAGACAGTTCAATATTTAATTGAGTTTACAATAAAGTTAACCAGCTATAATTGCCAAAAAATTATGCGTGCAATATTAAGATGGAGAAAAGACAGGAGAACAGGCGTAAGAATCCTGACTAAAAAGATGTGAAAAGGACAGCCAGGAAGAGGAACAGAAAGAAAAGTACAGAGATACACAAGGCCACTTTCACAGAGTTGGAAGAAATGTCTTATAATGGAGAGTTTTTAGCTTTGGTTTTTTTTTCTTAAATTCTGTGAAGATGTTGATGAATGCCTATTAGGAAAACACGATTTTCCTGCTGAGCGCGAATGTGTCAATAATTTGGGTTCATATCAGTGCTCACATTGTCGACCTGGATAAATTGACTATGGAGAGACTAGAGCAAATTGACGATGGAGAGACAAGAGTTACCGCTGTATTTGTTCTGATGGATATGAAGGAGAGCTTTGCCAAATAGGTGAGAAAGGAAACTCCTTGCGATAGCAGGTCTTCATCTCCCAGGTGCACAGTTAATGTTACCCAATAAAGCTGCAAATAAAGTAGCCTCTCAGCAAGGAGAGTTTATATCCTCATCTGTCTAATCAATACAGCCTTGATAACTGCATTAAAGGATCTCTCCGTCATAGAGCAAGGGGCAAGTTAGATTTGTTCAGTATGTGCTCTCTCAATTGAATGCTAGAAGTTGTCAGAAGGATTGAAACTCCAAGGTTGTGACAACTGGAGAAGTCGTGATAAGATGTTCTTCTGCCGCATTAACCGAGGGGCGATACAAAGTATTACTGTCGTGATGTGATAAATCCTAGATAATGGAGCCTACAGAAAAACGAGAAAGTAAGAGAATATCGGAATAAGAATGGGTGATATGAAGGGAAAAGTGCCTCATGTTGTCAATTGTAGATATTTGATGCAAGGGCAAGAACAGAAATGAAACGAATAAAAGTATAAGTTTCGTGCTGAAAGCAAATATTTGAAATTTTGCAAAAACTGACAGAAATAATTGATTAATACGATGGAGGTGCACTTTAGATGAATAAGATCTATGTCAAAATAAGGAACATTATGGTTTTTTTCATCTTCCTTTAATCTTGAATAGATATTGACGAATGCGTCTTAGGCAAGGAGAAGTGTTCCTCTGATGGCAGTTGTGTTAACGTTATGAGCTCATACGTCTTAGTTTTCCGTCTCGTGTAACTCGTGTGTAGATATTGATGCGTGTACATCAAGCAAACACGATTGTTCCTCTGAAGGCGACTGTGTTAATGTCGTGGGTTCATATCAGTGTTCTTGCAAGCCTGGATTTACTGGCAATGGTAAAATTTGCCAAGGGAAGATTTATTTTATATAAAAGTGCAAAGCTATTGATTACTCTCTTCACTAGTCTTGCAAGTCAGAAATAACTGATGCGTTTCGCAAGGTCAATTGTCCTTAAAATCACTGCTAAAAAAGGGTCAGTCTTTACATTTTTATGTAACAGAGAAGGCTGCCTTCACATCATAATCAGCAAAGTTGCTTTTTTAAGGATATTTAAAATATACAGAACGATGCCGAACTTCTGGCAAACCTGTGACTTCACGACCTCAGCACGTTACACTTTTTAGTAGACTCTGGGAAACGCAAAAAAACAACCCCACCTATTCTGATAATTTCCCTACACCTTGATTAGTCTTATATTCAATTACTACTTAGATATCGATGAGTGTAACGATGGAAGCCATGACTGTCACTTTGCGGCCGATTGTAAAAACACCGCTGGATCATTCGACTGCAGCTGTCAGTCTGGACACCTTGGAGATGGACGGCACTTTTGCTCAGGTATATCTTGATCTTTAACCCAAAACAAACAAATGTGAGTGAGTAGAGTGGTTTGAACATAACCAAAGTTATTCTTTTATTACTTTCCTAAAACAAATCACTGAATTTATTTTGCGTTACCATTTCTAAGACACGAAAACCTAAGGCTTTCTTTGAAACCTGACAAACTATTTAACAGATTACTGGAAAAAGGTCAACATCGATCCTGTCTGTTTTGGGACAAAAGATGACGACCACGGAACTTTTTATATCCAAGAAGCCGGTCAAATCTACACATTTAAACTTGTCCATACAAGTGGCTCCGTGACATGCCACACTTCGAAAACATCAACAAAGTGGGGATGCTCATTGCCAATTTACGGAAATCACAATATAATGACGGTGATAACTTACAGCAACAAAACAGTTCTTCCGCTTGCTGAGTTCTTGAAAGGCAGCGACAGAACATACTATACTTACCAACTTGACGGTGCCGATTTCAACTCCGCAACACTAGTGTTTAAGCTTCTACCCACCCCACTGGTTGTATTGGTTGGTCAGCAGTTTCAGTTATGGTATGCGCATGACTTGGTCAATTATACTGAGAATAATAACGATGGTAAGACATGCGCGGACGTTTATGCTCTGTACCATTGACACGGTTAAACGGTTGCGGCAACTACAGATGACTTCGGTCGTACGTCGGCACTTTGCTGAATCCCACCGGTAAACAATCGGAGAGCAGGTGGTATTTAGTTCATAAAGAAGGCACGGTAGATGTGATATGGCTTCAATCACCAGGTCCTTCATGAATGGTCCGTTCAGTTGGCACGATAAGTAAGCTGATTGGTTACCTGGTCCCTATAGTGACAAATTAAGCAAGCTTCGACATCGATATGGAAACGTAGTAGATAATTTCATGGAATAATGCAAGTATGTAATGACCAAAAAAAAAAAAACAGAAAAAAAGCAATATTAAGAGTCGAGATTTGCCGTAATATTACCTAGTGCAGCAATGAAGTGCCTCCTTAGCTATTCACTAACTCACATTCAACGCGCGCCTACGGCATTATTGTTAAATATTTCACAACAATTATTTTCCTTGCGGCTAATGCTTATGAATTTGCTTTCTTTCAACGAAAATGAATTGAAAATAAACTTTAGCTCCCCGGAACTCTTAAAAACTTCAATAAATGACAATCTCTTATGTCAGCTTTTCTTTAAGATGGCTCAAATTTAAAACTGTCGAGTTTCATTTTATGTCGTGTTTCTGTTTTTCATCACCTTTAGAGTGGATTTGAGTCCAGAAATCGCACTTTGAATAGCTTGTATTTAATTTTATCTTTAGTAAACAAACAACTGAACTTACGGAAATTTTGATTGGCAGTAAGAGCTGATTGGGGTGCCCCGTTGGTTTAAACAGTTAAGAAAAGTGTCCTGCGGTAGTTGTAATATGCGTTGGACGCGTCTTAAAGATACGTGACGGGATGGCGATTATTAAACCATTTAACCATCCTGCAAAAATTAGCCCTTTCGGTGACCAAAGACACTGCTTTTTTTGTGGGCGGCTGGCACATAAAATTTAAGCTTTAAAACAATGTCGACGGGGTATCCTTGTAAGATATTGTCGATACAATTGTTTCCTTTGGCATCGTGGTATTTCAATTTTTTTTTCCTTTTTTTCGAGGCAGGACATCAGTCTCCTTCATGACACCAAGGTGATATAGTTGAGTTAAGATGAGAAAAAATGGTCACCCTTGAGGTTAACAAACGTCGGGTGTAAAGGGTTTAAGTTAGGGTTTGGTGGTATTTAGTGGTTTTTTGGAATTTTTTTTTTCGCTTTTTACGAGGCAAGAAATCAGCCTTTTTCATGACGCCAGGGCGATATAGTTGAGTTAAGACGAGAAAAAATTTTACTCTTGAGGTAAACAAACGTCAGGTGCAAACTTGAGCCTTGTAAGTGTATCATCAACCTAATCTACATTGAGAATTTTCTATGTGATTGATATCAAGTGGATTCACTTTAATTATATTCAATTTTACCCTCCTTCTTATTTGAATTTGGTTATTTAGAGACACAGGTGTTCAAGTTTGGGTTTATCACTTAAAATATTTTAGCTCAAAAAAAGTGTCGATAGTCTTTTCAATTTTCATTTCAACAAAAATAAATCTATCATTATTAAGCTTGTTCTCTGTTCCTAGTATTTCCTTAAGCTTTCATCTTGTTGTAAAATAATTTTTTTTAATGGGAATAAATGTGCATGCCTTCTCGCACGTCTTTGTCATGGAGTTTTTTGAAGCGGTTCAACCTTTTTTCATTTTGATCGTTTAATAAATTAATCTGCAATTGAACACACTCGACAGATTTTCAATTTCATTTAATGCAAACATCAAATTGGTAACACTGAAAAACGTCTTGCGTAAGGCAATCTTCGGCAAACGGTTAATTAGTTATTTCCAAAGGCTAACATCACGCATTCAAGTTATTTTTTTTCTCCTACAGTTTGTTTCTAATTCTTAAGACGCAATGTTTTGTTTTCAAATTAAGTTAAGCCATGGGAATATTCAAATCATGTATTCGTAAATGGTAAAAAATAAAATTCTATAACTTCGAAGGGTGCTGGTCTCACAACTGCCTCTTACATTAATAATTACTTTCCTCTTTTATGATTCTGCAATTCGCTCTATTATTTTGAGTGTTGAAATAATAAGTCTGGTTGCATTTACAAGAGAGACCAGAGTTTCATTAAGCTCGCTATAGCTAGCTGAAGGGTGTTCTCACTAAGGACAATATGGTACTGCTCTCACCTGTCGTTAGTGATCGCTCAGTGAGTAAGGTCCAAGCTTTTCTATGGATTTTACGTTTTGGTGTGCTGGTGCATGAAGGTAAGTGACTCATGCCAAAAGCCGACATCGCCGACATTTCCATCTATTATCACTGTTGTATTCCTGATCAGATTCATATCCTTGTGTTAATGGTACAAAAGGAAGAAGAAATTAAGTGTGTGAAAATAGAAAACTCAGTAAGTTAACTTTAAATCTATTCCGAGTGATAATGTGAAATTTCGAATTCTCAAAGTAAATATGGCAGAAATGGGATATTGCACGATAGCACGTTATTGCAAAACTACCCTGTTTACAATACCGTGATCTTAGTTGGGCTTGAAGGAAACGTGAACGTGGAAAGAATATCTGTTAGTAAAATTATTGCGGATTCACGGCGACATTTGTCCCCTCATGATATGTCCACAATTTTTGAGTTGCTGATGTTCAATAATAAATAGAATAGAAAAAAGACACTGATGAAGACCTTGAAAGCTAAAGGAGTAATAGCATAGATTTACTATCGTAATAAATTTCTAAAGTTGACGTTCCAGAGCGAAGCGCTAAAGGTTATTGAGTTCTACCCCCACCGATGCAGCGTTACAGTTTCCTTAGAAACCTACCCCCTTATTTGAAAACCAAATCCTATTTAAAATCTCAATCAGTGAACATCAATCTTGTTCTTCAGTGTAATGGTAAATAAAAAAATGATTGTCCGAAAAAGCAACTTCTCTGGTGGAATGAATATGATTACTGGATAACTCAAGTTTGCAGGCTATTTAGCTAAGTCACTCACCTAAAGAAAAGAGAGGAAAGGCTTATCACCCGCCTTTCTTTCGAGAATGAAAGAGCATAGCAAATATTCGTTTTTTCTTTTTAGTCGAGCGGCAAATCAAGAGTTAATTATGTAGTTTCCCTGGCATTTATGGAACAACTTTAAACCAATATTGCCTCCTTTAATTTTACCCTTTAAGGTGGCTAATTTACGTTTTCAACTCAGTTATTAACACTTAATTACTTCCTTTAAGTTTGTGTGCTGTTTGATTTCATTTTCTCATTAGCTTCTTCATTGGCTTCTCCACTTCCTGCCAAACCCTTAGATGATTGCCGAGTGATTCAGTTCAAAGCAGGAACGAAAAACAAGATCTTAACAAAACACGTCATAAGAAGTGAACAAGCAAAGGACAAGGATATCTGCGAGTTGAAATGCTACTTTGAACCAAACTGTGTGTCTTATAACTATGGTCCGCTGGGAGATGGAACATTCACATGCGAGCTAAGTAACAGAACTCATTTGCAAGTCTCTCCCAGTTACTTCGAATATAGGAACGGCTTTTTATACAGAGCTATCATTGTAAGTAAATAACAATATCAGTTTTACCAGGATGATCGTTCCGCGAACGAGAAACCTCTGTTTCAAGTTGATCCTCCTCGTTTATTTATTTACCCACTTTATTATTTATCTATCTAAATACTCAGTCTATTTATTTACTTATCTAAGCTTTATCTATCTAATTACTTGATTCATCTTTTGCATTTCAGAGTTTCTGTGAGAGCAATCCGTGCGTTAGTAACTCTACATGTCAAGCGGGGTTTGGTAGTCATGGTTACCGCTGTATTTGTTCTGATGGATATGAAGGAGAGCTTTGCCAAATAGGTGAGAAAGGAAACTCCTCGCGATAGCAGGTCCTCATCTCCCAGGTCCACAGTTAAAGTTACATAATAAAGCTGTTAATAAAGTAGCCTCTCATCAAGGAGAGTTTTAAATCCTCATCTGCTTAAACATGACTGTCACTTTGCGGCTGATTGTACAAACACCGCTGGATCATTCGACTGCAGCTGTCAGTCTGGACACCTTGGAGATGGACGGCATTTTTGCTCAGGTATATCTTGATTTCTGACTAAACACGAAATCTTATTTAGGTAACCTACGCTACGCTTTTTCCACCTCTTTACACCATATCAACAAAAGAAAGCTGAAAGATTTGATTTATCAATCGCCAAAGTTTTGTTAACCATTCAAGTGTGGCTTGCAATTGTGCAATGCGAGCTAACGCAGCTAACGCTCATATCTGTCACAGATATTCAATGAGGCGTCCTTCTGGTCAAGAAAATTGCAATTTTCGACACCATTTACGCGCGGCGATACTTATCAAAATACTAATCTGACTAATCTTATCTGGGCAATTGCAAAGTGAGAATTTTATTCTAACTTCTATCGACAAGCTCTTTATTTCGATCAAACTTTTCCTTGACTTGACTTGCTAATATCATTTTTAAAACCTACTAATGTTCTTAACAGATAACTGGAAAAAGATCAACACCGATCCTGTCTGCTTTGGGACAAAAAATGACGACTACGGATCCTTTGAAATCCAAGAAGCCGGTAAAATCTACACCATCAAACTTGTCCATACATATGGCGCCGTAACATGTAATACTTACTACAAATCAACAAGGAGGGGAAGTTCACACCCACGTTTCGGACGTCATAGACTACTGACGGTGAAAGCTTACCGCAACAAGACTGTTCTTCCACTTGCTGAGTTCGCGAAAGGCAGTGATGACTATAGGCACCAACTTAACGATGCTTATGTCAACTCCCCGACGCTTGTGTTTAACCTGCTCCCCACCCCTCTGGTTGTGTCGATTGGACAGCAGTTCCTAATATGGTATGGGCAAGACTTGGCTAATTATACCGAGTACAATAATGCTGGTGAGACATGCGCAGATGTTTACGCTTTGTACCCTTAACCTGAACTTTAGCATCGAACTTAACCTAAATCTATGTACATATGTAAATATCTCTGTAAATCTATGTATCTATGTATGAGACCAATATAGTAGCCAGCTCCCAATTAGCTTGTTAGTTCAGTTGGTGGAGCACTGCACCGGTATCGCAGAGGTTATGGATTTAAATCCCGTACAGGCATGAGTTTTTTTTCAGGCCCTATTTTCATTACTGCTCAATAAGTGTTCATTACTGTGAAGATCACTTTCATATTCATAGCTTTAAACCGTAGTTCACATATATGATATCCATATATTTACAGGTAGTGTAAACACTGTCACGCGGGAATCGTTACGCGGTGTAAGGTGGCAAAACAGGGCGCACTTTTATGCCTTTCTTTGATGGTGGAATCCACGTTGGAAGTGCTTTTAAAGAGAAGCTCGACTTGGCGACAGGCATGGGAAACATGGACAATGGACAATGGACAATGCGCTCGAGTCACAAACAAATACTGGAGGATTTGGCGGTAGACCCTCACTGAAAAATGATGGCGAGCGTACATTTCGAAAGGGATCGTTCCGCGAACTCTGCAAATATTTCAAAAAAAGTTCTTACTAGATCTCACAGGAGCTCAATCCAGCAACAATAAAGTTATAAAACACCTACACTGCTTCTTTTTTGAAATCAATGAGAACGAATCAGCGTTGATAATGGTCTCAAAACTGAGCCCTTTGTTTTGTACGATGGGTGATACAAATTGGTCTCTTAAGGAGCGATGCACAACTGATGATATGTCCACAGTTTCTGCAAGAGTTCCCGCGATCTTGCTTCTACTTATTGAATACGTTGGAAAGTAGTAGTTGTACATATATAAATACAACCAAAAAGACCAAATCAGTTATTTTCTAGCAATTTTGGCCAATGTCGAGACCATTACTCGATGACAATTTCACAATAGACCTTACGCAAAGAGAGAAGTTTTTCGGTATTTTTCAGAACATAGTTCGTGGTAATTCCAACGAAAACTAACACTTCCCTCGTATCAACATTATCTTCATCCATTTATAATGGTAACTGAACTTAGTGGAGTGCAATTTGGGATGAAATCATACGCGTGATTTTTAAAATCGAACGAGCGCGCAGCGTGAGTTCGATTTGAAATCACAAGTATGATTTCAGACCAAAATTGCATGACACGATGTTCAATTACCACTTTATTACCTCCATTTTTAAATTGCCCAAATACAGGACTTGGTCAGTTCAAATATTTTATTGATGCAGTACTGAGCCGGTCTGAAATTAAATTCATCCATTTTTGGGGGGGAAAAAGTAAGAGTTTGGAAACAAAAGTTGCAAAATTTGCCACATGATACTCTTTGTCTTTCAATTTCCTCCAGTTTGATCGGTTACTTTAAACGAGCCTTGAAATCTGATTGGTTGTTTTGTTTTTAGTGTAGCCTCCTCATTGGCTGGGAAAAAGATGCGATTTAAAGCAAAGAATGGTGCGATTCGGGAATAAATCGCATCAATTGGAACCAATCAGATTACAGGGACCACCAGTGATTTCAAAATTGGTGTAATATATGATAGAATTGTGGCGGAAAAGCCCTAATCTCTCGCCAGACTCCCTATTTTTTGGACGTCCAAACAACTTCTCGCCACACGTTCCTTTCCAGCGAGTTACAATGTTTGCCTCGTGGCAACCACACTAATCTGTGCTCAAACGCAAGGATCCGATTACTGGCAACTTATTTCCCCGGGAAAGTTCCCTATGTATTACATCATCGACCTCCTGTTTTTGTGGAAATGTCATGCGATGATAAGCGAGCAAAACTTAATCTCTTTTTTGACTTCCTGTTTTTTTAAAGAATCACTCAACCGCATGAGGCCATAAGTGTGAGTCTCATTTCTTTGAAATAAAACCGTCTTTTGTTTCTCGGAAATCTGTCAATTTCATAACCAGTCATTCTCATGACATAATTCCATCAAATTATTTCCATCATATGGAAAGTATTACAGAGTTGCATTTTCAGCTCATTTTCATGAAACAAGCTCGAACCGCCAGCTCTTATACCACTTCAGTATCCGTTCATAAGAAAACGTCTGTTCTTGAATTAATTTTGTTTTCGTGAGTTCGTCGTCTTGTTGTTAATTTCGGCAAACGATTTAGAGCTAATTTAGAGAAAAGAAAATATAAACAATTGGGGGTTATCAATTGACCTCCGTTGCCGATCTCTGACAATGTTTTCATCATTCTCATAAAATAATCATATCTCATAAAATAGTCATATGAGGGACCTTAAGCAGTTAGGACGGTAAAGATAAGGAAGACTTCGATTACAAAATGAATTGAATTTATTCTTTAAGTTAGAATTTTGTCTCCTACGGCGCTGCACCTCAACTTCAGCAAAACGTGAGTAAGCAGCATTGAGTACCAAATAGAAACTTAAATAATAGAGTCACCCTCAAGAGTTTGAGTCTTAGATAGTACCAAATTACTGCATTTCATCTTTGCCTTGTTTTCTTTGTGTCTAACTTCCTATTTGCATAACACTGGTAGCTGTAGTAGGTTAGTATAGAATGAAATGGTACATCCCTTTCCGAAGGTGTACTTCTTCTCGAGAGACGAAAATATATCTCCTCTTATCCCTTTAACTCCTAAGATCTGATTGTCAATTCTCCCCTCTAGCTACTACACATTTCCTTGTAAATTGGTTACGAGAGTTAGGTGTTCAATCAAGCTAATAAATCGTACCTAATGTTTGAATGTTTTCTTCAACTGTTTACTGTATAATGTATGGATACTTTAGGGAGAAATTACATGATAATCGCTTCTGGGAGTAAAGGGTTCAAAGGTAAGAAAGTTTTTTTCCATTATTTGCATTCGACATAAGGGGAAATCGAACTCCCGGTGGAAGACCAAAGTAATTTGCGTTGGCTAAGTTCCAAGTTTACAGAAAGCCTGTCCTGAATTTGATACGAGCTCGAACCGCCAACTCTTATACTACTTCAATATCCGTTCACAAGAAAACGTCTGTTCTTGAAATAATTTTGTTTTCGTGAGTTCGCCGTCTTGTTGTTAATTTTTGCAAACGGTTTAGAGCTTATTTAGAGAAAAGAAAATAAAAACGATCGGGGGTTATCCATTGATCTCCGTTGCCGATCTCTGACAATGTTTTCATCATTCTCATAAAATAATCATATCTCATAAAATAGTCATACGGGGGACCTTAAGCAGTTAGGACGGTAAAGATAAAGAAGACTTCGATTATAAAATGAATTGAATTTATTCTTTTAGTTAGAATTTCGTCTCTCACGGCGCTGCACCTCAACTTCAGCAAAACGTGAGTAAGCAGCATTGAGTACTAAATAGAAACTTAAAAAATTGAGTCACTCACAAGAGTTTGAGTCTTAGATAGTACCAAATTACTGCATTTCATCTTTGCCTTGTTTTCTTTGTGTCTAACTTCCTATTTGCACAAGACTGGTAGCTGTAGTAGGTTAGTATAGAATGAAATGGTACATCCCTTTCAGAAGGTGTACTTCTTCTAAAGGGAAGAAAATATATCTCCTCTTATCCCTTTAACTCCCAAGATCTGATGTCAATTCTCCCCTCTAGCTACTACACATTCCTTGTAAATTGGTCACGAGAGTTAGGTGTTCAATCAAGCTAATAAATCGTACCTGATGAGTTTGAGTGTTTTCTTCAACTGTTTACTGTTTATACTATAGGGAGAAGTTACATGGTAATCGCTTCAAGGAGTGAAAGGGCTAAAAGGTAAGAAAGTTTTTTTCCATTATTTGCATAAGTCATAAGAGGAAATCGAACTCCCAGCGGAAGACTGAAGAAATTTGCTTCAGCCAAGTTTCAAGTTTACAGAAAGCCTGCTCTGAATTTGATACCCACCCATTGTTATTTTTCATTCGCAATTACAATAAAAGTAATAAAAGGCTAAGTGTCGTTATTTAAAGTTTGCCATCAAGCAGCTGCTCAAATTTTCAAGCCTAAGTATGAGCACATTTTTTGCTAGGGAGATTTTTTCCTCCCAAAAGTGTTTGTCTAACTTGTTTATCAATTAACCAAAGCTGATGTGCGTCCACCGATATTTCTTTATAAAAACAGGTCTTCAGGTGTTCGGCATCATAGAACGCCCCAAAGATTTGAAATTGAATTTCTGCTTGAAAGGTAGGAATAGTTCTTGTTAACAGTTTTATTGAGCATGAATTGAAATGGACATGTTCAGTCCATAGCGTATTTAGGCAAAAAAACAATCGAACAAGCGAAAGTATCATATGGAATGTAACAACTATGACCGAATTATTATGAGAAAAAAGTAGAGGTATATTTCTTTCTGACCGATGACACACAAATATTATTGAGACAACTGAACTAAAATTAGGCAAAGTTGCAGTTGATTAAAAAGAAGGACGATGTTGAAAGTAGCTTGATATATTTCCTCACAAGTTTAATTTTTTGAAACAGCACACTACTGCCTGTTAAAAATACGTCTCACGTTTCCTAGATTCGCTTAAATTGCCTAAATATTTCTTAACTTTTTAAACAGGAAAAATGCTGGAGAAAATAAAATGTTACCTACTCTTGGCTCTTTTTGCATGTCTGGACTTTTTTTCCTGCAAATAACCAGTGCGGATTGAGTAGCATGGGAGGTATGGCTCGTAAGAATTCACGTTTTCAGGATATGATGTAGTCAGCCCTCCATATCTGTTATCTACTGTGCGAAAAAAAAAAGAGTTAACTTCCACGAAAACAAAGTTATAAAAAACAGAAGATAGTAACCACTGTTAGCTCTTTTGAGTACCACACACCATCCAAGATCATTATATTTCGGCTGCAATTACACCTGAAGCCTTTCTAAGAGTGATTTTCCCCTGGAATAAATTATTTACTCTCTTCACAATATAATTGTTTGATATCAACCCTCACGTATTGTGAGTAAAAGAGTATTAGTTTTGACCATCTCTCCTAAAAGAAAAAAGGTCGAAAGAAATTACCTTTTTGAGATGTAAATGCCGCACAAAAGGCTTTCGCGTTGAAGGCAATTTGACTGAATTACTGCCCATAATATGGAAAGGTTTGCCACCTGTTCATGCTTTTTTGATATAGCTGATTATATTTCTCATTGGTTTCCCTATTCCTTCTTCCTCCCTCAGATGATTGTCGAGTGATTGAATTCAAAGAAGGAACAAAAAATAAGATCTTAACAAATCACGTCATTAGGGGAGATCATCTGCCAGACAAGGATGTTTGTGAATTGAGATGCTATCTTGAACCAAACTGCGTGTCCTACAACTATGGTCCACTGTCAGATGGAACATTCACATGTGAACTGAATGACAGGACCCACTTACAAGTCCCCGACTCCCTTGAAGACAAAAGCGGATTTGTATACACAGAAATTTTTGTAAGTACGGCCTGGTAACATGCAGTTTTAATTTACAAAGGTGATCAATTTACGAACAAAAAAAACTCGGATATAGTGTTGTTCCCTTCGATGTTATTTATTTATCTATTCATCATTTTAAAATTTATTTATTGTAGAAATTGATCTATTTTCTTCTTATCTTTTCAGAATCCTTGTGAGAGCATTCCATGTGCCAATCACGCCACATGTCAAGCGGGGTTTGGTAACCATGGATACCGCTGTATTTGTCCTGCTGGATATCGAGGAGTTCAGTGTAAAACAGGTGAGGAAAAAAACATCTAACGATAAAAAGATGAGTTCAGACAGTTCAATATTTAATTGAGTTTACAATAAAGTTAACCAACTATAATTGCCAAAAAATTATGCGTGCAATGTTAAGATGGAGAAAAGACAGGAGAACAGGCGTAAGAATCCTGACTAAAAAGATGTGAAAAGGACAGGCAGGAAGAGAGACAGAAAGAAAAGTACACAGATACACAGGGCCACTTTCATAGAGTTGGAAGAAATGTCTTATAGTGGAGAGTTTTTAGCTTTGGTTTTTTTTCTTAAATTCTGTGAAGATGTTGATGAATGCCTATTAGGAAAACACGATTTTCCAGCTGAGCGCGAATGTGTCAATAATTTGGGTTCATATCAGTGCTCACATTGTCGACCTGGATAAATTGACGATGGAGAGACAAGAGCAATCCGTGTGTTAGTAACTTCACACACACAAGAACAGAAATGAAACGAATAAAAGTATAAGTTTCGTGCTGAAAGCAAATATTTGAAATTTTGCAAAAACTGACAGAAATAATTGATTAATACGATGGAGGTGCACTTTAGATGAATAAGATCTATGTCAAAATAAGGAATATTATGGTTTTTTTCATCTTCCTTTAATCTCGAATAGATATTGACGAATGTGTCTAAGGCAAGGTGAAGTGTTCCTCTGATGGCAGTTGTGTTAATGTTATGGGCTTATACATCTTACTTCTCCGTCTCGTGTAACTCGTGTGTAGAAATTGATGAGTGTACATCAAGCAAACACGATTGTTCCTCTGACGGCGACTGTGTTAATGTCGTGGGTTCATATCAGTGTTCTTGCAAGCCTGGATTTACTGGCAATGGTAAAATTTGCCAAGGGAAGATTTATTTTATATAAAAGGGCAAAGCTATTGATTACCCTCTTCACTAGTCTTGCAAGACAGAAATAACTGATGTGATTCGCAGGGTCAATTGTCTTTAAAATTACTGCTAAAAAAGGGTTTTACATGTTAATGTAACAGAGAAGGCTGCCTCCACTTCATAATTAGCAAAATTGCTTTTTTAAGCATATTTAAAATATACATAACGATGCCGAACTTCTGGCAAACCCGTGAATTCACCACCTCAGCACGTTACACTTTTCAGTAGATTCTGGGAAACGCCAAAAAAACAACCCCACCTCTTCTGATAATTTCCCTACACCTTGATTAGTCTTATATTCAATTTCAACCTAGATATCGATGAGTGTAACGATGGAAGCCATGACTGTCACTTTGCGGCCGATTGTAAAAAACACCGCTGGATCATTCGACTGCAGCTGTCAGTCTGGACACCTTGGAGATGGACGGCACTTTTGCTCAGGTATATCTTGATCTTTAACCCAAAACAAACAAATGTGAGTGAGTAGAGTGGTTTGAACATAACCACAGTTATTCTTTAATTACTTTCCTTAAACAAATCAATTTATTTTGCGTTACCGTTTCTAAGACACGAAAACCTAAGGCTTTCTTTGAAACCTGACAAACTTTTTAACAGATAACTGGAAAAAGTTCAACATCGATCCTGTCTGTTTTGGGACAAAAAATGACGACCACGGAACTTTTCATATCCAAGAAGCCGGTCAAATCTACACATTTAAACTTGTCCATACAAGTGGCTCCGTGACATGCCTCACTTCAAAAACATCAACAAAGTGGGGATGCTCATTGCCAATTTACGGAAGTCACAACCTAATGACGGTGATAACTTACAGCAACAAAACAGTTCTCCCGCTTGCTGAGTTCTTGAAAGGCAACGACAGAACATACTATACTTACCAACTTGACGGTGCTGATTTTTGTGGTATCGAGAGTATCAGTCTCGAATAGAGCTAAAGTAAAATGAACCACAACGCCCTGCTTGTAGTAAAAACCTTGCTTTTTTTTTAATAATAATCTCTCTCTCTCTAGTCACGTGATCCAACATGATTGACGTACGACATTACAATTTTAACTCCGCAACACTAGTGTTCAAGCTCCTCCCCACCCCACTGGTTGTATCGGTTCGTCAGCAGTTCCAATTATGGTATGCGCATGACTTGGTTAATTATACAGAGGATAATAACGATGGTAAGACATGCGCAGACGTTTATGCTCTGTACCATTGACACGGTTAAACGGTTGCGGCAACTACAGATGACTTCGGTCGTACGTCTGCACTTTGCTGAATCCCACCGGCAAACAATCGGAGAGCAGGTGGTATTTAGTTCATAAAAAAGGCACGGTAGATGTGATATGGCTTCAATCACCAGGTCCTTAATGAATGGTCCGTTCAGTTGGTACGATAAGTAAGCTGATTGGTCACCGGGACCCTATATTAACAAATTCAGCAAGCTTCGACATCGATATGGAAACGTAGTAGATTATTTCATGTAGTAATGCAAGTATGTAATGACGAAAAGAAAAAACAGAAAAAAAAGCAATACTAAGAGTCGAGATTTGCCATTATATTACCTAGTGCAGTAATGAAGTGCCTCCTTAGCTATTCACCAGCTTACATTCAACGCACGCCTACTGCATCATTGTTAAATATTTCACAACAGTTATTTTCCCTGCGGCTGATGCATATGAATTTGCTTTCTTTCAATGAAAATGAATTGAAAATAAACTTTAGCGCCCCAGAGCTCATAAAAACTTCAATAAATGACAATCTCTTTTATCAGCTCTTCTTTAAGATAGCTTAAATTTAAAACTGTCGAGTTTCATTTTATGCCGTGTTTCTGTTTTTCATCATCTTTACAGTGGATTTGGGTCCAGAAATAGCTTGTATTTAATTTTATCTTCAGTAAATAAACAACTGAACTTACGGAAATTTTGATTGGCAGTAAGAGCTAATTGGGGTCCCCCGTTGGTTTAAACAGTTAAGACAAGTGTCCTACGGTAGCTGCAATATGCGTTTGTTGCGTCTTAAAGATACGTGACGGAATGGCGGTACGTTTGTGACAGAAAAGATTATTAAACCGTTTAACCATCCTACAAAAATTAGCCCTGAATAATTTCGGTAACCAAAGACACTGCTTTTGTTTTGTGGGCGGCTGGCACATTTAATTTCAGCTTTAAAACAGTGTCGACGGGGTGTCCTTGTAATATATTGCCAATACAATTGTTTCCTTTTCTTTTGTGGTATTTTTTTTTTCGCTTTTTACGAGGCAGGAAATCAGCCTCTTTCATGACACCAAGGAGATATATTTGAGTTAAGATGAGAAAAAAATGAGTACTCTTGAGGTAAACAAAACGTCAGGTGCAAACTTGAGCCTTGTAAGTGTATCACCAACCTAATCTAAATTGAGAATTTTCTATGTGATTGATATCAAGTGGATTCACTTTAATTATATTCAATTTTACCCTCCTTCTTATTTGAATTTGGTTATTTAGAGGCAAAGGTGTTCAAGTTTGGGTTTATCACTTGAAATATTTCAGCTTAAAAAAGCGTTGATGGTCTTTTCAATTTTCATTTCCACAAAATTAAATCTATCGCTGTTCAGTATGTTCTCTGTTTCAAGTATTTCCTTAAGCTTTCATCTTATCGTTGAAGAATTCTTTTTTAATTAATTATCACTTGAAATATTTTAGCTTAAAAAAGTGTTGATGGTCTTTTCAATTTTCATTTCCACAAAATTAAATCTATCGCTGTTCAGCATGTTCTCTGTTTCAAGTATTTCCTTAAGCTTTCATCTTATCGTTGAAGAATTCTTTTTTAATTAATTATCACTTGAAATATTTTAGCTTATAAAAGTGTTGATGGTCTTTTCAATTTTCATTTCCACAAAAATAAATCTATCACTGTTCAGCATGTTCTCTGTTTGAAGTATTTCCTTAAAATTAAAATAAATGTGCATGCTTTCTCGCACGTCTTTGTCGTGGAGCTTTTTGAAGCGGTCCAACCTTTTTTTATTTTGATCCTTCAATAAATTAATCTGCAGTTGAACGCGCTCGACAGATTTTCAACTTCATTTAACGCATACATCAAAGTGGTAACACTGAAAAACGTCTTGCGTTAGACAATCTTCGGCAAGCTGTTAATTAGTTATTTACAAAGGCAAACATCACGCATTTAAGTTTTTTTTTCTCCTACAGTTTTTCTGTAATTCTTAAGACTCGATGTTTTGTTTTCAATTTAAGTTAAGCCATGTGATTATTCAAGTGACGTATTCGCAAATGTTAAAAAATAAAATCCTATAACTGCGAAGCGTGCTGGTCTCACATCTGCCGCTTACATTAATAATCATTTTCCTCTTTTATGATTCTGCAATTCGCTGTATTGTTTTGAGTGTTGAAATATTAGGTCTCGTTGCATTTACAAGAGAGAGCAGCGTTTCTTTTAGCTTGCTATAGCTAGCTGAAAGGTGTTCTCACTAACGACAATATGATATTGTTCTCACCAGCCGTTGGTGATCCTTCAATGAGTAAGGTCCTAACTTTAATATGGATTTTTCGTTTTGGTGTACTGGTGTATGGAGGTAAGTGACTCCTGCCAAAAGCTGGCATCGCTTACACTTTAATCTATTATAACTGTTTTATTCGTGATCAGATTCATATCCTTGTGTTATGGTACAAAAAAAAGAAGAAAGTAAGTTTGTGAAAATAGAAAACTCATTAAGTTAACTTTAAATCTATTCCGAGTGATAATGTGAAATTTCGAATTCTGAAAGTAAAAATGGCAGAAATGGGATATTGCACGATAGCACGTTATTGCAAAACTACCCTGTTTACAATGCCGTGATCTTAGTTGGGCGTAAAGGAAACGTGGACGTGGAGAGAAGATCTTTTGGTAAAATTATTGCGGATTCAAGTCGACATTTGTCCAAACATGATCTGTTAACAATTTTTGGGTTGCTGATGTCCGATTATTATGAAATGAAAACTGAAACGGAAAAACACATTGATGAGGACCTTGAAAGCTAAAGGAGTAATAGTATAGATTTGCTATCGTGAAGAATTTCTAAAGCTGACGTTTCAGAGCGAAGCGCTAAAGGTTATTGAGTTCTACCCCCATCGAGGCAGCGTCACAGTTTCCTTAGAAACCTACCCCTTCATTTGAAAACCAGAACCTATTTAGAATCATAATGGTGAACATCAATCCTATTCTTCAATGTAATTGGTAAATAAAAAAATGATGGTCCGAAAAAGCAACTTTTCTGGTAAGATGAATATGATGCCTTGAATTCAAGTTTGCAGGCTATTTAGCTAAGTCACTCGCCTAACGAAAAGAGAGGAAAGGTTTATCACCTGCCTTTCTTTCGAGGATGAAAGAGCGTACCAAATATTCGTGGCTTTTTTTTTTTTTTTTTTGGTCGAGCGGCAAATCAAAAGTTAATTATGTAGTTTCCCTGGCATTTATGGAACAACTTTCAACAAATATTGCGATAAAACTTAGGTTGTCGGCTTCCTTTAAGTTTGTGTGCTGTTTGATTTCATTTCTAATTGGCTTCTTCATTGGCTTATTTATTTCTTGCCAAACCCTTAGATGATTGCCGAGTGATTGAGTTCAAAGCAGGAACGAAAAACAAGATCTTAACAAAACACGTCATTAGAAGTGAACAAGCAAAGGACAAGGATATCTGCGAGTTGAAATGCTACTTTGAACCAAACTGTGTGTCCTATAACTATGGTCCGCTGGGAGATGGAACATTCACATGCGAGCTAAGTAACAGAACTCATTTGCAAGTCTCTCCCAGTTACTTCGAATATAGGAACGACTTTTTATACAGAGCAATCATTGTAAGTAAATATCAATATCAGTTTTACCAGGATGATCGTTCCGCGAACGAGAAACCTCTGTTTCAAGTTGATCCTCCTCGTTTATTTATTTACCACTTTATTATTTATCTCTCTAAATACTCAGTCTATTTATTTACTTATCTAAGCTTTATCTATCCAATTACTTGATTCATCTATTGCATTTCAGAATTCCTGTGAGAGCAATCCGTGTGTTAGTCACTCTACTTGTCAAGCGGGGTTTGGTAGTCATGATTACCGCTGTATTTGTTCTGACGGATATGAAGGAGAGCTTTGCCAAATAGGTGAGAAAGGAAACTCCTCGTCACGGCAGGTCTTCATCTCCCAGGTTCATAGTTAAAGTTACACAATTAAGCTGCAAATAAAGTAGCCTCTCAGCAAGGAGAGTTTTGAATCCTCATCTGTTTAATCAATACAGCCTTAATATCTGCATTAAAGGATATCTCCGTCACAGGGTAAGGGGCAAGTTAGATTTGTTCTGTATGTGCTCCCTTAAATGCTAGAGGTTGTTAGAAGGATTGAAATCCCAAGGTTGAGACAACTGGAGACGTCGTTACAAGATGTTCTTCTGCAGCATTAACCGAGAGGTGATATTAAAGTATTGCTGTCGTGATGTGATAAATCCTAGATAATGGAGATTACAGAAAAACGAGAAAGAAAGAGAATATCAGAATAAGAAAGGGTGATACGAAGGGAAAACTGCCTTCATGTTGTCAACTATGGATATTTGATGCAAGGGCAAGAACAGAAATGAAACGAATAAAAGTATAAGTTTCGTGCTGAAAGCAAATAGTTCAGTGGAATTTTGGAATAACTGACAGAAATAATTGATTAATACGATGGAGATGAACTTTAGATGAAAAAGATCTATTTCAAAATAAGGAATATGTTTTTTTTCATCTTCCTTTAATCTTGAATAGATATTGACGAATGTGTCTAAGGCAAGGTGAAGTGTTCCTCTGATGGCAGTTGTGTTAATGTTATGGGCTCATACATCTAACTTCTCCGTCTCTTGTAACTCGTGTGTAGATACTGATGAGTGTACATCAAGCAAACACGATTGTTCCTCTGACGGCGACTGTGTTAATGTCGTGGGTTCATATCAGTGCTTTTGCGAATCTGGATTTACTGGCGATGGTAAAATTTGCCAAGGTAACATTTATTTTATATAAAAGTGCAAAGCTATCGATTACTCTCTTCATCAGTCTTGTAAGACAGAAATAACTGATGCAATTCGCAGGGTCAATTGTTCTTAAAATTACTGCTAAAAAATGGTAAGTCTTTACATGTTTATGTATCTGAGAAGACTGCCTCCACATCATAGTCCGCAAAATTGCACACAGAATGATGCCGAACTTCTGGCAAACCTGTGAATCCGCGACCTCAACACATTACACTTTTCAGTAGATTCTGGGAAACGCCAAAAAACAACCCCACCTCTTCTGATAATTTCCCTACACCTTGATTAGTCTCATATTCCATTTCTACTTAGATATCGATGAGTGTAACGATGGAAGCCATGACTGTCACTTTGCGGCCGATTGTACAAACACCGCTGGATCATTCGACTGCAGCTGTCAGTCTGGACACCTTGGAGATGGACGGCACTTTTGCTCAGGTATATCTTGATCTTTAACCCAAAACACAAACAAATGTGAGTGAATAGTGTGGTTTGAACATAACCACAGTTATTCTTTAATTACTTTCCTCAAATAAATCAATTTATTTGCGTTACCATTTCCAAGACACGAAAACCTGAGGCTTTATTTGAAACCTGGCAAACTTTCTAACAGATAACTGGGAAAAGGTCAACATCGATCCTGTCTGTTTTGGGACAAAAAATGACGACCACGGAACTTTTGATATCCGAGAAGCCGGTCAAGTCTACACTTTCAAACTCGTACATACAACTGGCTCCGTTACATGCGACACTAATCGCTCACCGACCAAATGGGGATGCTTACGGCCAGAATACGGAAATTATAACCTGATGACAGTGATAACATACAGCAACAAAACTGTTCTTCCACTTGCTGAGTTCGTGAAAAGTAACACCGAAAACAAACTGTATACTTACCAACTTGATGGTGCTGATGTCAACTCTCCCACGCTTGTGTTTAATTTTCTCCCCATGCCCTTGGTTGTATCTGTTGGCCATCAGTTCCAAATTTGGTATGCGCATGACCTGGTTGGTTCTACCGAGTATAATAACGATGGTGAGACATGTGCGGACGTTTATGCTTTGTACCCTTTAAACTGAAATTCAGCATTGAACTAAATCTGAGATTTGGAAAGTCGAAAGTTTATTTATGGAGATCAAAGTTTTAATTTGATTTAAAAAGATCAAGTTAGAGTCAAATTGAGAGAAGAAAAAAAAGTACGCCTGAAAGATTATTAAAATGTCATGGGGAGAGGGTGAAAATAGGCGTGTGTTGCTGTTTTGAAGGCTAGAGCGTAATCTTCGAAGATCATTTGGCCAGCATGCCTACTCATGCCTACCGAAAGTGAATGTAAAGCGCGTACTATTAAGTTAGAAGTCAGCCCACCAGATTAACTCAAAGTAAATTAGAGTCGATCAGAGAGAGAATCAGAGTTTATCAGTCAGTCTGAGTTATAACGAGTTAACTCAAGAGGAATGAATTTTCTGTAAGTATAATTGTATAAGAGAACATATATCAAAGAAGATTGAAAAGGACGGATGGAGGATCCTTGGTGCTTTTCGCCGAGCGAAGTTCCATCTGCAGTATTTCAGAAACCTTTTCTACAGCGGTTGCTATAATTATTATTTAGAAAGTTGAGACCTGAACAATACCAGATATAACGTTCTCATACCAAAGTAGTTAGATTTTAGCATTAGCTTGGAAGAGAAGTGTCAAATACATTTAATCAGTGTGGTTTCAAGTAAAAGAAGGGGCCGAGAAAAATTCACTTAACATTTTAAAAATTAACAGACCTTCTTAAATTTATCATCATGTGATAAATTTATCATATCATGTGATATGTAACCAAGTTCCAATTAATTTCAGTCACGGCTGTTATTTGGGAATGATAACAGAAGACGGATTGAATAAATTCCACATGTTTGTCGGTCTCTTTCGAGCTCGCATTTTGTTCAGTTCTAGTAATTCTGAGTAATTTTCATTTTGAATGGTATACGCGCTATTTGAATGGTAGAATTGCCAAAAGTGAATTTAAAAAAATCGAATATTTGGAAGTACTTTACCATTTTTTAATCCATAGATTCGAGATGGCCAATTAAAAAAAAATAGTTGTGTATTGGAGACGAGCTTTTCACATGGCTATGGCTTGCCTTTTAGCCCCTTATGATTCTTATTCAATTAGACAAACAGTAACGATAGAGGGAGACACAGACAGAGACGTTCAGCCTGGTTTTTTTAAAGGGATGATAACACTATCTACTGGATAAATTGCTATCCGACGTGTAGCGCAGTAGGTTTCGTTATTACTTATCGTCTGGATAACGATTTATCCGTTGTATAGCAATGCCCTTTATCTGTCCTTTAAAAAACTGGTCCTGATGGACATGTAGCGAGATTGACGAACACTGAAACAGGCCTGAGAGAGAGAGAAAGAGAGAGAGAGAGAGAGAGAGAGAGAGAGAGAGCTAGACGAAACGGCACTTTTGTTACGTTGATGTGGCACTTTCGCAACGTTAAGTGGCACTTTTGCACCCCTCAAGTGACACTTTTGTAACTAGTGGCACAATTCTAACGTACCTTATGGCACTTTTCTAACTTCACGTGGCACTTTGTTAACCTTGCATGGCACTTTTGTACCATTGTGGCACTTTGGCACCTTTATGGCACTTTGGCAACTTTCATGTGCCACTTTGGGAAAGTCAGGGTTACATGTTATTATTTTTGTTATTATTTTCAGAACCTAACCTTCATAGTGTTGTCAAATCTGCAACCTCTTTTCATGGTTTACACACTTTATAATACATAGTAGGAATATCACAAAATGCTCAAATATAGAGTAAAACACAAGGTGCAGGAGAGAGGTTTGAATACCAAGAATTGGCATCATTTGTATGGCAATTTCACAACTCATTATCGTTTTTATAACGCGCGCGCCAGTGTCATTTATCGGCGCTCTATTAACTTTGATAGTTGACTTGGGCCTTCTTCCCTTGTCAACTATCAGCAAATAAAAACCACGGGTTTGCCGTCTTATTGTTAAATAGTCATGAATGACATGGAAAGAAATAATACAAATACAATAATCAGGCTTTTAGATAGAAGAAATTCGGATCAATGGTCGTTTCTGGGAAACTGCCCACCTACCCCTCCCCTAACCTAACATTAAAACTTACTTCTTTCTTTGGGCAAAATGTTAGGTTTGGGGAGGGGTAGGTGGGCAGTTTCCCAGAAACGACCATTAATCCAGAAATTCTCTGTCTCTTTTTGTTATTGGGAGACGTTGTCACGATTGCATTTGCTTGCGCCCTTACGGATAGAAAATGCCCAGCAAATTTCCTAGTTCCAATTACCTCAGGCCCTCACGATTCACGTTGGGGAACGTTTTAGTTTGATTGTCATCAGTCGTCAATTTAACTCACGCTATTTCGTTCAGTCGTTATTGAAAACACTGCCTTCGGCAGACAGGCTCAGTCTCAATTCAACATGCAGCTCATTCAGTCGTTCGTATATTTTATTTGCTTTCATTTTAGTCATTCTTTATTTCCCGCGCCTGTTTGATTGACGTCTTTAATTTTGCAACGCAGCATATTACATGTCAACGGGAGCATTAGTTTTTAGTCGCGGATTGTATGTCATTGTTATTTTTTTTTTAATTTCTCCCTCTTTTCTTCCCCTCAACGTCTTAGCCTTGAAATCCTACCCCCGCCACCCTGTAAATCTTCTTTGGGCATCTTTCTGATCGATTTCTCAGTTTGGCTCCTCTCGTGTTCTCGATCCGCCCTTTCGCTTGTTCATTAAGATGGCCGGATTCTCTGGCTTTTGATTCAATCTGTCGAGGTGCAAGGGAGGAATATTAGGGGAATAATTAAAGGAGCTACTTCACGGAAATTTTGTGGATAGTTGGTCTAAACTGCTCTGAAATTATTGGTAGACTACTTAACCCAGAAAAAAATCCAGAGAAAAATAATAAAAAATAAATAAATTTGCGGAAAGAAATAAGACCCCTACTATTAATTTCGATTTTTTGATGGCCCGAGGAAACAACTTGAAAAGTTTAGCCTAAATTTTTCACGTTGTAATTCATTTCCATCCAAGCCATTCGCAGCCAAAGGCGGTTGTAAGCTGTTTCAGTGCTCTGATATAGCAATTGTTAATAAAAATGGCAGTTATTTTCAGGTTTCCTACGACACCAATACATAATTTGGCTGTTTAAAAATTTGTTAAAATCCCTGACAAAGCCCCTTCAAGTTGTATAGTGTCTATCGCGTGTCCCCTTCGTGCAGAACGCTTACCCTTACAATGCAGTACTTAAAATGTTTCAAAAATTGCTCATGGTGTAAAAAAAAATTGCTTCAGTGTGTGGCTGTAGCTGCAGCATTAGTTGTCTTGGAGGCAGCCATCATTTTTATTATTATTTATGGGCTAGCATACTCAGATAATCTGGAAATGGTGTTCAACCCTGATATCAATCCATCATCCAACAGCGACTGATTCAACTTGGGAATTATTACTGTGCTCTTGCGATGTTGTGCAATACATTCCACGGTGCCTTCAATGAATTATTTGAGGTTTTAAATCCACGCAAAAAAAAATGGTTATTAGAAAATTGAACTTCTTTTTTTAAGCTCGACGTCATTACTTTGTCGGTAAAAAGAAACAAAAAACGAGCAAAAGCAACAGCCAAAATAAATAGACCTATAGGTAAGCTGAAAACATCTGACTTCTTTTAATTCGGACGACGTTGTGCAATTTTCTATGCTCGATGAAAAATTCCTTGCCGCCCTTGCCTCTCTGACACAAGTTGTATTATTTTCAGTCTTCAAAGGAATAAAAATTCAGTGAGATTACCTCAAACATTTTAACTACGGCACATTCATGCGAGTGCATTTTTCTCTTAAGTGAGGAATTTTATCGCGGAACGGAGCTTTTCTGCAGTAGAGATGCCTAGAGGTCATTAACTATTTAACATTCGCTAAAAACCGAATAACTGCCTGTTTTATTATAACAAGCAAACTTAACTGAAGTTTGAACCCCTTACTTCCCCCGCTCATCTTTCTTTATATGCATATTTGGCGCTAAAAATAAGCGGCCGATTTCCCGGAGTTTTATACCAGCTCATGGAAATTGGATGACTGGGTAATTTATTATGCTATAAAGTCAGTAGAATTCTAATATTATCAAGTACAAAATATGGTGTTTAAAACTTCCCCTTGACAACAAAATCAGTCGAAACACCAAAAGCATGTGTATGGAGGATGAGCAGGCTTTACCTCTAACTGCAGGAATGGGTTATAAGCTGCTAGCTTGGAATTACTAGCAGAACAAGATATATACAAAGAGAGTTTATGTACAAAAGGATTTGAAATCAGGCGCTGTGCAAGGTTATTTCTCCCTTTGTCGCAATTCCTAGCTCAATGTTACCAAATGTGGCACTTTTGCAACGCGGCTTCGCAACAAGACATGGTTCCAAAAAAGTGGCTGTAATTGCAAAACAACGCAAGCTGAAAAGCTGTAACTTGGTGAACATAATACTAAGTAGACAAGTTCAAATATAATAACGTTTCAGACTTTTTCCTCAAATGCCTTGACCGCAGTAAAACATTCAAGTTCAAAGAGTAAACTTTAGGCCTTTTTCGAAACGGTAAACTTGAACGTAGATGAAAGTTTATACTATAACACCCGACTTCCTGCCAATCTCTTCAATACCCTGTTTAAAATTGGCGGGGTGGTCGGGGGAATATACCAGCGTTTATTAGTCTCTCATCTATCTATTTATTCAACATAAAATTGGATTGTTCCCTTCTTTTGTTTGCGAAACCCCGATCACTGGCACTTTTGTACCTTTTTTGATGTAAAAAGCCATCTAAGATAAAAGCATTTTAAGTTGTGGACGTAAAACTCTGGACAAACATGCACAGTACTCTGCTATTGTAACTCCTAGAGTTTCATTGAAAAGGGCAAGATTTTGAAGAAGTTCTAACAAGGGAGAAAAAAGGTGACTAAAGTGCCACACTTTTCGTCTAGAGAGAGAGAGAGAGAGAGAGAACAAAAGGAGCTTCGTGAGAAAGAACTGAGTAGACGAAAAGGTGGCGGACTATCACGGATACAACAGATGCCATCTCCAATGTATTACATTTTTTATCCTTTTTATATTTTATTAACTTTTATAAATCCTGTGCTTCGTTGTATGGATAGATCTTTACGAATGTATCATAAATAATGACGATTGTTCCTTTTACGGCGACTGCACTAACGTTGTGGGGTCATATCAGCGCACATGTAGGCATGGATTTACTAAAGATGGGAAAAACTGCCAAGGTAAGCCTTTACATCAGTGAAATTCGACCCTCAGATAACATGGCAAGGAGCAAGTACAGTGAGATTTGTTCCACATCTGATCTCACGAGGAACGTTAAAAGTTGTCAAAGGAATTAAAATCCCCTAAGTTGGAGCAAATAAAGTTAAATGTAATCTTATTAAATGAATGATCTCATCCAAGATGATATGAGGAGCAAGAGAATATCAACTGTTTATATTCAATTGATACTCTCTTGATGTTCTCTTGATGAGGAATGATATCAATGGAACATTGTCGTGACGCGGCAAATCCTGAAAAATGGATCATTGAGCAAGATGAGAAAATAAATGAATAATGGATGCTTTGAGATAGTACAAATGAAATATTTTTGTGATATTGTAAATTCTGGATAACTGATATTAGGGCAAGGACAGAAACTAAACGAATAATGTTGTAAGTTTCGTGCTGAGATCAATTAGATATAATTTACTAGAAAATAAATGAATAATGGATATTTTGAGACAGTACAAATGAAATATTTTTGGGATAGTATAAATTCTGGATAACTGATATTAGGACAAGAACAGAAACTAAACGAATAATGTTGTAAGTTTCGTGCTGAGATCATTTAGATATAATTCTGGAGGACCTGACCGGGTGATTTGAATGCAGAGGGAGACGGGCTTTCGGAAGAGAAAGGATTAATTAGATTATACGGAATTTCATACTTCTTTCGTTTTCGTGGATCTTGAATAGATTTTGACGAATGCGCCTTAGCCAAAGACGATTATTCCTGTGATGGCAACTTTCTTAATGTTATGGGTTCACACGGATGCACATGTAAACCTGGATTTACAGGTGTTGGTAAAACATGCCAAGGCATGTTTTTAACGAGAAAAGCTAACAGGCATGCAATAACAAGGGTACCGACTGATTGTAAAGAATAGGGAATCAGCACAAAATGTCCTACTCAAGCGACACACCTTGCTCAAAGGTAGAAAATGGTTGAAACATGAATGATTTAGAAACCAACTAACCGCAACAGCAATTAAATTTTGTTATCTTTATTTTTTCGCATTGATCTTTTTGCAGATATTGACGAATGTGCTCTGCAAAAACACAGTTGTTCGTCTAACGGGGAATGCGCCAATATGGTGGGTTCATATCAGTGTATGTGTAAACCTAAATTTACCGGCGATGGTATAACTTGCCAAGGTGAGATTTTTATTTACTTGGAAAAACAGTTACGATAGGATAAGAAACAGACAGAGAAAGACTGAAGGACATGTTGAGTGATTGACAGAAACCGGAGTAGGCTGAAGGAAAGAGAGGAATATGATCGTAAGGAACACATGGATGAAGCAGAAACTACCTCATTTGCGTAAAATTTTTAATCTTTTCTTGTTTTCGTTTTTATGCTTTGTCTTGTTCCTTCTATTTAATTTGTTTATTTCTAACTTAATTGATTCATGAACAGAGCTTTACGAATGCATCACAAACCAAGACAATTGTCCCTGAGAGAATGGGCTGGGCATGCAGTGACTGTGGACGTGTCTTGGTCAGCTCCGGCCTTTATGGATGATTTAATACCGACACTGAAAAGGAAAAATAGAAAAGGTAGCTTTAAATCGTCTGCGGAAGACAACTCGGATAATTAACGGATAATTTAAGCAAAATTAAATATGTTCAATGGTCGTTTCCTGTAATCCAATTTGTCAGTTTTAAGTAGGTTACGTCGGTAACAGTAGTATATGATTTTACCAGGCGATATGTTGTTAATCCTCTACACTATGACGAGGTGTAAATAGGCGTCAGGAAGTAAGCCGCCATCATCACGATTTAAAAGAGCGTGGGCGGAGTTGATATGCCAGGCTTCCAAACAAAGGCGCTGGTGGTAACGTCGATTAGTGATGATAATTGTAGACTTATCCCACCCAATTGTATGGTTGTTTAGGCATGTGTGCTTCGACAAAGCTGAATTTTCTTTTTCGCAAAAGAAGACCACTTTTTGATGCTCTTTCAAACGTGTACCAAACTGACGTTTGGTCTGTCCGGAATAAAATAAATAGCGTCGGTTCGTATTTATTCTATTTATTCTATTCCACGGCAAAAAGTTCGAATTTTCATATCGGGGGAAAGTGAAAGTGAATTTCTACCTTATGTCCGTTTTTTACCAAAACATCTTTCTTAATTTATTCATTTCGGTAAATTGTATTGTTTACATGGTGTCAATACTCATTAACAAGGAAAACGTCTGTTATTGAAAAAATTTTGTTTTCATGAGTTCGCCGTTTTGTTGTAAATTTTTTGCAAACGTTTTAGAGCTTATTAAAAGAAAGGAAAAAAATTCGATTGAGGGTTAAACAGGTATCCATCGATCTCAGTTTTCTTAGTGTTTTCATCCTTCTCATAAAATAATCATAACTCATAAAATAATCTTATAAGGGACCTAAAGCAGCAAGGAAGGCAAAGATAAGGAAGACATCAATTACAAAATGAATTGAATTTATGTTTTAAGTTAGAATTTCGTCTCTAAAGGAGGGGCGTCTCGAAGTGTTTAGTACCAAACAGAAACTTCAATGATAGTGTCAATCACTTGAGTTTGAGTCTTAAATAAGACCAAATTACTGAATTTCATCTTTGTATTTTGTTTTTTTTTCCCAACTTCCTGTTTGCACCACACTGGTAGCTGTAATAGGTTAGTACAGAATGAAATTGTACATCCCTCTCCGAAGGTGTACTTTTTCCCAAGAATACATAAAATATATTTCCTCTTAAAAGGTAAGAATTTTTTTCCATTATTTTCATTATTCATAAGGAGAAATCGAACTCCCAGTGGAAGACCGAAGTAATTTGCGTTGGCTAAGTTTCAAGTTTTCAGAAGGCTTGTTCTGAACTTGTTACCCACCTTCTGGTATTATTCATGCACAATTATGATATTGATATAAAAGGCCGAGTGTCATTATTTAAAGTTTGCCATCAAGCAGCGGCTTAAGCCTAAATTTAAGTAAATTTTTTGTTGAGTAGATTTCTTCCCTCCCGAGAGTGTTCGTTTGACTCGCTTATCATCTAACTATAGCTGATGTGCGTCCACCGATATTTCATTATAAAAACAATTCTTCAAGTGTTCCGCATCAAAAACGCTCCAAAGATTTGAAATTGAATTTCTGCTTGAAAGGTAGGAATGGTTCCTTTTGACAATTTTATTGAGGGTGAATTGAAATGGAAATGTTTAGTCCATAGCGTATTTAGGAAAAAAAACAATCGAACAGGCGAAAGTATGATATGGAATGTAACAACTATGGCCGAAATATTATGAGAAAAATGTAGATAGGTATATTTCTTTTAGACTTATGACATACAAATGTTATTGGAACAACTGAACTAAAGTTAAGCAGAGTTGCAATTCATTAAAAAAAGAGATGATGTTGAAAATAGCTCGATATGTTTTCTCACAAGTTTAATTTAATGCGAAAGTACACCACTGAGTGGTACAAAATACGTCTTACGTTCCCTCGATTCACTAAAAATTGCCTAAATATTTCTTAACTTTTCAAACAGGAAAAATAATGGAGAAAATGGAATATTACCTACTCTTCACTCTTTTTACATGTCTGGACTGTTTTTCTGCAAATAACCAGTGCGGATTAAGTAGCATGGGAGGTATGGCTCTTAATTATTTACGTTTTCAGGATATGATTATGTCAGCCCTCCATATTTGCTATGTCCTGTGCGAACTAAATCACCTTTCAGAGTTAACTTCCACAAAAACGAAATTGTGAAAAACAGAAGATAGTAACCATTGTTGGTTCCCTTGAGTACCACAAGCCATCCAAGATCATTGTATTTCGGCGGCATTTACCTTTGTAGCCTTTCTAAGAGTGATTGTCCCCTGGAATATATTGTTTACTCTCTTCACAATATAATTGTTTGATATCAACCCTCACGTATTGTGAGTAAAAGAATATTAGTTTTGACCATCTCTCGTAAAAGAAAAAAGGTCGAAAGAAATTAACTTTTTGGAAATGTAAATGCCGTACAAAAGGCTTTCGCGATGAAGACAATTTGACTGAATTACTACCCGTAATATGGAAAGGTTTGCCACCTGTTTATGCTTTTTTGACATAGCTGATTATATTTCTCATTGGTTTCTTTATTCCTTCTTCCTCCCTCAGATAATTGTCGAGTGATTGAATTCAAAGAAGGAACAAAAAATAAGATCTTAACAAATCACGTCATTAGGAGAGATCAACTGCCAGACAAGGATATTTGTGAATTGAGATGCTATCTTGAACCAAACTGCGTGTCCTACAACTATGGTCCACTGTCAGATGGAACATTCACATGTGAGCTGAATGACAGGACCTACTTACAAGTCCCCGACTCCCTCGAAGACAAAAGCGGATTTGTGTACACAGAAATTTTTGTAAGTACGGCCTGGTAACATTCAGTTTTACAAAGGTGATCAGTTTACGGGTAAAAAAACTCGGGTACAGTGTTGTTCCGTTTGATGTTATTTATTTATTTATTTATTTATTCATCATGTTTTAATTGATTTATTGTAGAAATTGATCTATTTTCTTCTTATCTTTTCAGAATTCTTGTGAGAGCATTCCATGCGCCCATCACGCCACCTGTCAAGCGGGGTTTGGTAACCATGGATACCGCTGTATTTGTCCTGCTGGATATCGAGGAGTTCAGTGTGAAACAGGTGAGGAAAAAAACATCTAATGATAAAAAGATGAGTTCAGACAGTTCAATATTTAATTGAGTTTACAATAAAGTTAACCAGCTATAATTGCCAAAAAATTATGCGTCCAATGTTAAGATGGGGAAAAAACAGGAGAACAGGCGTAAGAATCCTGACTAAAAAGATGTGAAAAGGACAGGCAGGAAGAGGAACAGAAAGAAAAGTACACAGATACACAGGGCCACTTTCATAAAGTTGGAAGAAATGTCTTATAGTGGAGAGTTTTTAGCTTTGGTTTTTTTTCTTAAATTCTGTGAAGATGTTGATGAATGCCTATTAGGAAAACACGATTTTCCTGCTGAGCACGAATGTGTCAATAATTTGGGTTCATATCAGTGCTCACATTGTCGACCTGGATAAATTGACGATGGAGAGACCTGTCAAGGTAAGATTTGCATACAATGAAGAAGACAACAAAGACAAAAAGAAAAACAGTGGACACACATATAAAGACCAGCAACAATGTAATGGTGGTGACAGTAAGTCTTGCATATCGAATAAGAGAAAGTTGATAAAATTAGGTCAGCTACCATTTATATCTTATTCAGACAGACAGACAGAGATTGACGACAGAAAGTAGCAGATATATGGGGATACGAGAGGTAACTGAGTGGCATGTTCAAGCCACAGATGCGCACTTATCCCATGGTGGTGGTTACGCTTACTCTGTAGGCATATAGGCCACCAAGATAGATATCATCTACAGCTCATTAGGCCTTGTTAAGAATATCTATCTAGGCCAAAGGCAGAGGCCAAAAACAAAGACGAAAAAAGCCGAACGTGGCTACCAACTTGTTAGCTTTTTTTCTCTTCTTTTCTACTATTATCACTTCACTGCACATTCCATGCCTAACAAAGTTTGTTGATTACAAAGTCTTCAAATATGGCATAAGCAGAATTTCCACGGATGGAGTTTGCTACACTTACTGGCCTCTAGCTCTATTGGATTTCATTCCCCTATTTATGAGAAATTTCACGCGAGGTGTACTTTGCCTAAAGTTCGTTTAGTCCTTCAATTTTTACCATTTGATTTTACTGTGTTTAGATATCGATGAGTGTGACGATGGTAGCCATGACTGTCGTGATGCGGCCAACTGTAAAAACACCGCTGGATCATTCGACTGCAGCTGTCAGTCTGGACACCTTGGAGATGGACGGCACTTTTGCTCAGGTATATCTTGATTTCTAACTGAACACGAAATCTTATTTAAGTAACCTACGCTACACTTTTTCCACCTCTTTACACCATATCAACAGAAGAAAGCTGAAAGATTTGATTTATCAATCGCCAAAGTGTTGTTAATCATTTAAGTGGGGCTTGCAATTGTGCAATACAAGCTAACGCAGCTAACGCTCATATCTGTCACAGATTTGTCATATTCAATGAGGCGTCCTTCTGGTCAAGAAAATTGCAATTTTCGACACCATTTAAGCGCGGCGATACTTAGCAAAATACTAATCTGACTAATCTTGTCTGGACAATTGCAAAGTGAGAATTTTTTTCTAACTTCTATCGACAAGCTCTTTATTTCAATCAAAACCTTTCCTAGACCTGACATGCTAATATCATTTTTAAAACCTATCGATTTTCTTGATAGATAACTGGAAAAAGATCAACACCGATCCTGTTTGCTTTGGGACAAAAAATGGCGACTTCGGATCCTTTCAAATCCAAGAAGCCGGTAAAATCTACACTTTCAAACTTGTCCATACAAAAGGTACCGTAAATTGTGATACTGACTACGAATCAACAAAGTGGGGATGTTTACACCCATATTTGAGAAATCATAGACTACTGACGGTGATAACTTACCCCAACAAGACTGTTCTTCCACTTGCTGAGTTCGCGAAAGGTAGTGTTGACTATAGCTACCGACTTGACGGTGCTCATGTCAACTCCCCGACGCTTGTGTTTAACTTGCTCCCCACCCCTTTGGTTGTGTCGATTGGACAGCAATTGCTAATATGGTATGGGCAAGACCTGACTAATTTTACTGAGTACAATAATGCTGGTGAGACATGCACAGATGTTTACGCTTTGTACCCTTCACCTGAACTTCAACATTGAACTTAATTTGAATCTATGTACATAAGTAAATATCTATGTCAAAATATATTGTTATAAATACATTGTTAAAAAGTATAGTAATATAACAAAGCTGTGACAGATATGAGCGTTACTTGCGTTAGCTTGCATTGCACAAGGCACACCTAAATGATTAATTTACAATACTTTGATGGTTGATAAATCAAACCTTTCAGCTTTCTTTTGTTGATATAGTGTAAAGAGGTGGAAAAATAAATGCCGGGGAACTTAAGTGTAACTCAGGTTACCTAAATAAGATTTAGTATTAAGTTGGAGATCAAGATATACCCGAGCGACATTTAGACAGATTCTGATAACATAAGAAGTACCAAGCCTGTTGCTAGGATCATTTAGACAAAATTAACTAATGACATTATAGAAAATGAACAATGACTTCAAATTAATTCTACTTAGCTAATAAATGTCCAAGGCCGATGCAAACAGATATGACGGATAATTTACATGGGATTTCTCGTAATTGGATTAGTCAGTTTTAAGTAGGTTACCCTGGTAACAGTAGTGTAATGTACATGCATTATATATTAGGATAATAGTTAGTTATCTTGTATATAAATAGACACCCTAGCTCCTTTGGCTTCACATAAACTAATTACGAGAACGAGAACGTGAAACTTAGCAATTTTCTAGCATGTTCGATGTAATAAAGTAGTTTAATAACTTTCAGTTCAGCAGTAATGCATGTGTAAAATTTTGAGAAAGGAGATTTAGAAATATCCATGCTGTCTAAATACTGCATAACTCAGTTCCACTTACATTTGTAATCAGACTGATCTCATCTGTCATAGAAATTGAAAGAGTCAATATTGGGAAGATACTCCATTTTTTCAGAAAACCAACTTTAGTCTACAACGAAAAGACCTAAATCTCGTTCTAATTCATTTACTTTGAAGACTTAACATTCAACTTCACTTCTCAAGTGTTTTTGTTTACTTAGATCTTTTGTGATTGAAAATGGTTCTATGAGAAACTTTCTTCCCCACATAAAAATACAACAAAGAAATCATAGGCTTCATTTCTTGTTTTTTCTTTATCGCTCGACAGCCTTATAAATATTAAATAAAACAATCACGTGATTCAGGGTTCATTATATCACTGGCAGTGCCAGATGCAATGTGTTAATTGCGTCGATGATGGAGTCACAAAATGCGACAGAAGACAGTTAAAATAAAAAAAAAAAACAGAAGACAATTAAAAAAAAAAACATAAACAACTGTCGCGGGTTTAATATACCACAATATATAATATAATATAATATAATATATATATATATATATATATATATATATATATTATGAGAGGAAAAAAGGACGCAACTTCATTTCCCGACAAGCCTGTTTCGTGAATCGCTTCACTCTTCAGGGGCTTAATGATTCAATTCATTAAATAATTCAATTCAAAATAAATTAATTCATTAAACCCCTGAAGAGTAAAGCGATTCACGAAACAGGCTTGTCGGGAAATGTAGTTGCGTCCTTTTTTCCTCTCATAATATTTATTCTGCTCTGCTTCAACGTATTGAGCACTGTTCCACGCGAAAATCGACTTGCAGACTTCCTATATATATATATGTATATGTATATATATATATATATGTATATATATATATATATATATATATATATAATATAATATACCACAAGTAATTCTTGATTCTTCATAAAGCGAAATCTTCTTTGCGATATAATAAATCCTTTATTGACCAAAGTTGTTCAGTCAAGATGGCTGGACATTACCTTCGTTCCTCGTTTTGTCCGTTTTTAAGGGCCTCGACTTCGTATCGGTCCATAAAAATGCCCAAAAAGAACTCGCCCAATATCCAGAAATCTTGATAGCACGCATGGTTGATAACTCATAGATATTGGTATTACAGCACGATTATGATGATGTTTTCAAATAGCGTTGCTCTGGGAATTGTAGCAAAGATTGGAAGTAAAACGTGTCTTATTATCTGCGAGTTTTCTAAAAAAAAAAGTGGGACTAAGGGAAAAATGGAATTCCTTCCTATTTAGTGCTTCACCTAAGAAGCTGGAAATGGTTTCTCTATCCTCCGATTGGCTAACCGGCTACAATCATAGGGCTCGAAAACCATACAGTTTATCCAAATTATCGCGTCGTGATAAAAACAAACAATTACACAACACACACTTGGCAAGTGTCTTAGTATAGCGCGAGTAACTTGGTGTGATTAAGCCCCTCTCCCCAGTCTAACAAGCACTCGATTTGACAGGTAAAATGTACTACTGCTTAATGCAACAAAATATTTCTAAAATCGTTTGGAATGGATTTCTCATAGGAATAGAATTGGTTAAATCGACTTATCTTAAATCGCTCGTAAAATTCTTGTTTATCAAGAGGTAACCATGTACGGCCCTTCAGTAGTAAAATCTGGCGTCTTTCAATAAAATCAATTTCCTCGCTCCCCGAAAAACGATAAGAATTCATAAAAAAAGTGCCTGAAATTGAGCAAAATCAGCTTCGAACAAGATTTAAAATTTACTATTTCCGTAAAATCAGTCCAAAAGCTGGCACAAATTATTTCAAAACAAGCATAATTGTAAGTTCTCCTCTTGAAGTCAGGGCTTAACTGCTGTCATCTTCGAGGCCACTTCTGCTTCTGACTTGAAGGCCTGTAATAGTGCAAAGCACAACATTGCAAATCAGAATTCTTCCATCATGGGCAACTTAAATCTGCATCAGGAAGAAATCAAAGCGGAGGGCCATTGGTGGCAATGCCATAAGGTGGCTCCACGCACTCTGTTTCTAGGTCCAATTGAATTTTAGAATTTTTGGGTATGAAAAATAAAAGGAGGATATGAGGTGAGGCTGGCAGCAAATTGAACTAAATGTGACGCTAATTCCGGGAATCAACCTCAAGTTACTGCCAATGGCTATTACCACTGTGTCATACCTGTTTCCATAGAGGATCGCAGGGCACAGTCTTAATAACTTGCAACCATTTTGTGAACTTCCGACTCAATTTCGAGAAAAAAAAAGCAGCAACAGCCCTTTGTCAAAACACCTTTCATAACTAATGGGAAGTACACTGTATTAAGCTCACAAAAGGCTACATTGGAGGAGATTTTAAAAGAAAACTGAAGAAAGAAATACAAGAATATTACTATACAAAGTTCCATTCACGTGGAGGACCTTTAAAAAAATACGTGACAGCGACAAGGTCTGTTCAATTGGGGAAGTTCAATTTTACTTCAAGTTATGGCATAAGCTGTTTCTCTACTCAACAGAACAATCATAGATTACTTACTTTTTGGAAGAAAACGTTAAACTTTTGTGTCCCGATTTCATGTGCACTTTGGATCGAGGACCATTTGACTGTTGAAGAAATATGGAACAAATGAATAATCGATTAACAAGCAAACGCTACCTAAGAATTCACTAGAAGTAAAGAAGTACTTTCAGCGAATGAAAAAAAAAATACATTCTCATAACAATTTGTATCATCGCTACTTACTTTAGAGTCTTTCGAAGAGTTATAGGGATTGAAAACGACTGCCTTTTCCCTCGAATCCTTTTGAGTATCTCCTGATAACAAATCAATCATTAAATATTTGATCACCATAAACCCACTCCTTTAACAAGGATGTCCTGTGATACCATTGCAAAGCTTTTATTAACCAAATGAGCCATTAGACCAACTGAGGATTGCCACTGAATGAATGTGTATTGGCAACTCGCAGGACGCTGGGATTGATATGATAATCATGTATTTGTACTGTAGAATAAACTAACATAAATTACTTGCAAAAGGCAGGGATAAATGTAATAATTATGTATTTGAACTGTGGAATAAACTAGCATAAATTACTTGCCAGAAGCAGGGATTAATATGATACTTATGTATTTGAACTGTGGAATAAACTAACATAAATTCGTTTAAAAAGCCATTCTAGCCATATGTGTTCTTACCTAAAAATGTTGAATAGTCCACATCTGAGTAGTTGAAAGGCACAAACTCTCTGCCAGGCTGAGAAACTGAATCATGTGAAGGAGACATTTTTTCGTCTTTATTGTAATGAGACATAGATGAGCAGGAGTCTCCAGATTCCCTTTTTCTTTTCTTTTTAGCAGACTTTTCAGTTGTCTAGCGGTACACAAAAAAAATCAGATATATACGTGAAAAAAACCGAACAACCGTGCAATAACGTCTCAACTAGAAGCGTTATCGAGTAATTTAGATGTATTGTGATTAACAACGAAAAATTTAATCTGTCAATCAATAAATGCACTTACTTTGTCTCTCAGAGGTGTTAAGTCCTCGGGCGTGTCTCCGTTCTCTGTGTGAGAACGCTTCTGGCTAACAGTCGGTTCTGAACAGAAAAAAAAAACAGAAAAACAAAACATTATAAACAAATGCACATGCTTCGCTAATCTGGACCAAAATGAACTGTTAATAACGCTAATAAAACAAGGTATGTTCTTTATGTTCTTTTTGTTTCCTGTTTATAACATCATCCCCGTTCAAAAAACCGACTTTTTAATAGCACCGTTCATATATTACCTGATATTGTGGACGAAGATTGAAGTTGTGTTGCTTGTCTCCACTGCTGGTTTATCTGATAGAAGGTAGAATTAAGAAAAGTTTGGCATGCGAGGATACCAGGCCAAATCATCGAATAAAGATAGAAAGTGTAGGATGGAGAATTGAAGTAAACAAAGCTTGCTCTGTAATGACTGAGAAAAGTGCGGATAAAAGTGGCAGCAGAAATAACCCCTCTTGAGAAAAATGTATTTCAAAGGTTACTTCTAACACAGGGTACCCACCCTGCGCGTTTGTTCGTCACTCTGCAGGTCACCAACAACAGCATGGCCTTCTGTTGTCTCCGAGCGGCTTTTCACCGGAAGGAACTGCAAAAAAATTCATCAGCTGTAATAAACATCACTTAGATTGATAAATATTTCAAAAATTATAGAACGACACAGGAACTTGATAATAGTAGCGACAACGAACTTTTTGAAAAGGATTTTGAAACGAAGCTTTGATTTTTTCTGCTTTTTTCTGCCCATCAGTAGGCTGACCAACTTCCACAATCTGAAAAAGAAAGACATAAACAAAATGACACCATTCTTTCATTTAAGTTTCGGACAAGAAAGCAGTAGTTACACTAACGTTAACACCCCCTTTATCCACCCCTGATAACCACGTCACAAGGGCTGCAATGATGCAAGTCCTCTAGACCATCACAGTGTACAGAAAAGTATTTTTTACCCAGCGTAACACAACTATACTCTTGACACTCGATGGAAATCTCTCTGACTAAGTAGCAGTTATACCTTAAATAGCGATACAGTAGGATTTGCTCTGATAATGGCGGGTCCAGACACCAAAACTCGACCATATGAACTCACTGAGTGACTAACAGCTGCAGACTCTCCTGTGGAAAAGCACAGGGTAAAATCAAATAGGTTTGACTGACATGATAACACTAACGAGATAAAATTCTGTAATAACAAAAAGATTTGTCTCACCATTATCAGTTGGTAGGTTTGGTTTATTATCTGAATCGATCAGCGGTGGTTGAGATACATTGGGACTCATCTGTAAGAGAAGAAATGTTTAAACCTGACAGCTGTGGACAGTTTCAACCCATTGCAATTTTAGGGATTCAAGAACAGATTCATAAGTAAAAGGCGATTACCAGAACATTTTGCCTTGTTGTGTTTCCTGAGTCAACTTGAGATGAAGTGCCAGAAGAAGAGATGTTCTGAAAAACGGTTCAAAGAAACATAGATAACATTACGTTACCAACACCACGAGCACTACTGTAACAGTTGTAAATATGTCTTTAGTTCAGTGCAATACATAATATGTTTCATAATGATTAAGGTATATCTACAAGTAATTGTATACGCATGTAAATGAGATGTATAAACCTTGTTGGCGGTCAGAGCAAGCTGCTTTGCTTCAACAATCAACATATGTATCTCATTCACGTACTGCTTAACAAGTGTGGGGACTGGATTGCAACAGGCAAGGACGCCTTGGGCCTCCCTAAAAAGAAACAAAAAAAGCCGGTTAAAACAGTTTCACAACTGACCTTAACCCTAAGTAGTATGGTGCAATGATTTCTAAGAATCACGATGGACAGCGAATTATCGAAATCTGGTTAATTCTTGTTTCAAAGTAAAGAACTACCTCGGTAAGGTCTCCGAAATCTGGAACATCATGTGATTTGGGATGACAAAACTGAAAGAAAAGAAACGATAAAACAAGAGATGTAGTGCCTTAACATAACCAAGATTGGATTTCCCTGCTAATGATTGATCCCTTAAAGTGAGATCTTATTGCAATATAAAATTGATGAGCTTCACATTTTGGTCATAAACGTTAAAGGTGTAATTTAAAAAGGTTAAATCTACAAACAAGCCCTTTGTACCAAAGATAATTCATTTTCAAAGTTTGTTGACTGAATAAAGTATTCAACCGGACAGACGAGTACCCTTTCCACAAATTTAGCCTTACCCATAGCTTTCATCCTCTTCTCGTGCCATATTATCTCTCCACGTGAACAGAAGGCGGAAGGCATGCATCTGTAAAATAATAATTGCTCATTAAAAAGTAAATTAACAAACAATCTATGTCACAGATTCCTTTGAAATCATTAGACGAGCAAGAAAGATAAAGTTGAAGTCACAAATAAATTCAGGTAAGGCAGATTTGTATTGACTGTTTAATTTTCAAAATTAATGCTTCTAAGAAGAATCAAAGACCTGCACGGGGTTAAATGTCCGCTTATGTTTCTCCAGTACTTTTCTGTAAGATTCACTGGTAAATAAGGGCTTCTCATAACGCTATACAAATAAAAAACAATAACAAAAAAATTAATTAGGTCACCAAAATGGATATTGATGAATTCTCAAAATCCAATAAATTCTGCAAGGTAGGGGGGGGGGAGAGTTACCTACCCTGGACTAGCATCCCATGGGAGGGGGGTGGAACTGTACTCCTAGTTACTTCATGCTACAGAAACCTGGATAAGTTTTGGGTAGATGGGCCACTTGGCTTCTTACCTTTTTTCCCACAGAGGACCTTTACCCTTTGACACCCATGTGTGATCAAGACAGAAATTATCCTTACAATATCAATACCATATCAAGCAGACAAGTGATGAGAATAAACAAAAACATCAATTAAGGGATTATCAGTTGATCCAATATCATATTCACCAAACAAACATTATGACAATTGTATAGCAGACTGTATGGGGAATTACTAGTGAGATCTTGGGAGTGAAAGGGCGTGGTAACCTACATGTTCAACTACTTGGGCTAATTCAAAGTTCACACGCAAGAAATGTCAGCAGCACTGCAACAAACCTTTAAGCAAATGTCCCTGCTCCTGGAGTACACTAATTGTAATAAGTTGTTATTTGCATTTCCATGTTTAATGAGTTCATTATGTAGACGATCACAAATGTATAACAAATAATGTGTGTCTTCTCTGGCATAATGCACCATCTCTGAAGGCAGAGGTCTGTGAAATAAACAAACTTGATAATTAAAATAATCTAAATGCCTACATGGAATGATCATTGTTACTATATTGTGATTTTGGCCATCAAATTTTAACATCATGAAAAACTAATTCAAATTAAATAACATAACCATGAATGATCTGGACTCAGCTCTTTTTTTCACTTTTCATTTGTCTTGTACTTGCCTAAATTTTGAGCTGTAAAAAACAAAGGTTTCACAACAAAACCACTAATAACCTTATCCTCCAATCCGCCAGTTGATATTGTTTATTTGCTGTGACATCACAGAACTTTTTCAGCAGGAAAGCCAAGGAGTACTTCCCATAGTTTAGCACCCTAGCAGCCTGGCCTGTGTCAAACATATTGACAACATAAATACCAAAATCTCGCTGTAGCCATCCAATATCCATATCAGCTCCATGAAAAACCTGCAGGAAATAGAAATAGTCAAACCTCAAGTAACTAACAAATAGCAAATTCTAAGGCATAACACAAAACCTGCACACTGGATTCACACAGAAGATGCAGATGAAGTGGTTTTCTGCCTTACTGGCTTGCTACAATTATAGAGGGTACATTTAAATTTTTACCTTAAGTATGCCAGGATTGGTAAAATAGTCATTGAGAATTTGAAGCTCACTGCGCAGCTCCAGTGTGTCAATAAGAAAATCTTGGTGTCGTGTGGATATCTGCATCAAGCAACAAAATCCCTGGAAAGATCTGTAGGAATGAGCCTACAGAGTAAAAACATACAAGGTGATATGAACACAATGCCAACATATTTGAACCACCACAGATCAAGATAAAAAGAAACAGCAAGCTATTTACCTATTTAAAGTTAGAGATGTGCGATTTTGATAAAAAGAACTGATATTTTCTTGAATGCATTTTGTTTTGAAAAATTCACCCAAAATAATGTAAATTATACAGGGTGACATGTAAGCAATGGTAAAATTTTTTTTGTTACTTTGCCAAGAATTCAGGCTTTATTCTTCAAAGATCACATTCATTGGCAAAAAAAGATAGATGTTCAGTAGCAAGAGTATACCTGTTTTATCAGAAGCCAGTAACCATTATTCTATCACATACTGACTAAATACATGTATTATTATTCACTTCTAGGAAACATAATGAGCAACTTACCTCTAGATCCACTGCAAACTCTGTCACAGTTGCAAGATGCTGGTAAAGCTCATGAAGCTGTTCTGTTGTTTCTATCAAAGTGAATGGAGTTTTCTCAAGTTCATCATACAGCTGGCAACAGAACAAAAACAAAACATAAATAAGGTCAATTTCTTTGCTTTCACAAGTCAGAATAATCTACAAGTGTTTTAATCTACTGTGAATCATTTTAATAAAACCTAAATTGAAAACCACAAAAAGTACATCTGGAGGGATGTAGCTAAGCACTAGCTAGCTGTTGATGACTTTTGCAAGCTCAGAAATAACCAATCTTCAGCTTACTATTGGTCACTAACAGTGGATAAAGAAATATTGAACAAGTCTTTGGTTTTCATAATTCAAGTCTTTCACAACAGTTTAATTCACTATATGTATTAGTGCACTGTGATTTCAACAGAAGCATTCTAGAAAAATGTAAACTATCTAGTTACACAGATCGAAAAAAAAAGAAATTGGAAGTGAAATAAGTACCCTTAAGCTTAAAATCACTTGCCTAATCTCCAATTCTTTAATGTTTATTTTGTAAACACTATGTATCATTCTGTACATTTGAGCTAACCTCCTCTTTATGCTGCATCAGCTGATTTTCTGGAGGTTGAAACACTTCCAGTTCATATTGGTATGGATGGGCTGTACTGAAATCCACACAAAAGACAACAATAATGATTAAACATTTGCATGCTAATGTAGTTTTGTAAACAAATTTAGGGCTTATAGCAGATGGGTCCAAGAAGAAGTCACAGAGAACCAAAACAGAGTGCAACAAAGAAAAAAAGGTGGAAAACTTGGCATTGACATTCTATAATGATCACCTGTTTACAGAAGAGCTGCTTATTCCTTTTACTCTCTCCTGATGCACAAAATCAGCAATAGCTGATGGTACTTGTGCATCTCCAGATAGATGCCTACTGCTGCTTGTCTCATCTGAAAAACACCATACACAAATCAGTCTCACTCCCCAGAGTTGACATATTGAAATCAAATTTCATCTCTCCTAGTTCTTGGTTTACTAGTTTACCATATACAATTAAATTTATTCTGTATTGAATACAAGACTAGTTTTCCTTCTATTTCTGACAAGAATGGGGCCAAATCTGTAATATGCGGTTTGTATTTATTACACTAACTCTACATAAAAGGCACTGATATTTTCCTGCATGTGATGAAATGATTTTAGTATTTCATTCAACATACCAACTTCAAGGGGCCTTAAAGAATTAGGTTTTCTCTTGATGATTGGAATGAAAGGAGTGTTGCTGTTGTCAATCTTGTCTTTAAATTTCAGTTGTGGTCTCTGAATGTGTTTAGCCATGAGAAAACGGAAGTTGGTATCTTTCTTTCCAGGGATGTCTTTCTGTAAGTTGATAACACACACAAAAAAACATCTTTGATATAATAATGCAGTCAGTTAATTTTACATGAGATGTACTTATTTTTAAAACATGTATAAGGTTGTATTGATTTTAAGTATCATATACACCAGCATATAAGCTGCACATACAAATAAGCCACACCTCAAGTTTGGCACCTACTGTAATATTTTGGAAAAAAGTTTTTGAAAAGAAATCAAAAGAAATCACAATTGGAGTCTTGAGAAAGTTGCCATATTTTGGTTGCTTTATTGGTTCTAAGCTATTATTTTAGAAGCTGTAGTATGGAAATCATATATAGACTCTGACTTAGACATATGTTTGATCTCACTCTGGTTTATTTGTTCACTCAGTATTTTTTTCAATCCTGTCAGATTTTCAAAAAAGTTTTACATAAACAACAGGAAATATTCTGTTCATTCATTGGTAATTCTAGCTTAGTACCCAGCCAATTGATACGGCCTTAAAAAATAAATTTGCGATGAATAGAGTTAATTGATAAAAATTTGCCATAAGTTTTCCAGATGTTCTTGCAGATGTGTCACACCCCTATTTGTTACAACACATTCTGGAAAAATGGTGCCACTAAGTTATAATTTACCGTTATTAAATTATACATATGTCATAGACTTTAAGTGAATCTATACTTTTCCCATTGATTTGAAAGTTATTGTGTGTTTACACTGTACCTTAGCTCTGTTCCAACTTGACACAATTGGCGTTCCTTGTTGCCCAGGAGCTCCAGCAACTGTCTGGTTTGTTTTGTCTGATTTCAGGCCTGCAGCCTCATCGAGGTTTGTGTCCTTATGAGACAAATATTTTTATTAATAAAGATGAGCCTCCAACCAAGAAGCAGTGATAATAATCTTCAGAAACTCACCACTCTTTCCAGCAGAATGTCATTGGCTTCTACAAGACTGTCAATCAGTTCATCGCTATCTGGATCAATAGCATGAGTATCTGAGGGCCACTGACAATGAACCTTCCAATGATGCAACAGATTTCCAATGCTGTGAAAACAGTAAGACATTGATGCCTCTTTGGTTCTATCAAATGTCATAAGCTTAACACAATAAAAATCATTAATCATTATTGAGATACAGGGAATAAGAAAATAATGACTCTTAACAGAAGAAAACTCACTAATCATATAAATGACCTAAACAGAATAAATGAAAAGCATCCATTCCAAAAGAAGATAACTACAAGTACCTCTGCTACTGCAACTTAATGGTGGTAAATGTTACACAAATTCTATAATTCACCAGTTGCATTAAACAGTAGAAGTCACTTACTTGCTAAGCAGCCTTGCTCCTTGAGCTGATCTAAATTCCCTGAAATCTGGAAAACTGTAGTAAAAGTCATGATCTTCTCCTGCCCCAGGCAAGTTGCCAGATTCCCTTACAGCTTGGACAATAGCAGCTAAGGATTCCTAAGGAGGACAGCAAGCAGATTATTATTGGTCTATCCTTTATCCTTTTACAATCAGTCAATCCTTCAAAAAATGTAACAATCTACAAGCAAGACAAGCAAGTAACATTTCATGACTTGCTCCTTGCTAGTGGCAAAAGTACTCGGACCCTGATTTGCTTAATAACTGATCTAGGTTGCAAATTGCCCTCCCCCCTTGAACAAAGTCAAACTCCAGCGCTTGAATTCGATAAACAAACATCAACATTGTCCTAGGGGTCTCCTCTGATCCAAGTGTACACCATGTAATCATCAAGTCAGTTTGAAATTCTAGCTCTTAAAAATAGGTTGGCTGTGAGATAGCCATCTAATCCGAAGTTGCTTACTTAAGCTTGCGGAAGGGCCTGTTTGGGAGATATCACGGTCGATCTTGACCAAAGAACTGTTTATCAAGACAATTATTTAGACCTAGCCAGAATTCCTTGTCGTATTCCAAGCTTTTATAGATGCACTGAGGAATGTAACATAACCTCAGCGTTTTTTGAGGATCAAAATAGATATGTGATAGAATTATTATCGACAAGCATGTGATGATAAACTCTCGAAATTGAAGGCTGCACAAATCAGAATTTCCTTGTCGTATTCATGCAAAGCTGGCTCCCTTTCATCTAAGAAGAATTAAATTATATAAATTAAGCAGTAACATCTATAAATACCTGAGAAAACGATTTCAGATCTCCTATTCCAGGCAAAACACTCTCTGCATCGTCTTTTTCCATGTGGTCAGCCATCTTGTAATCCCAAAAACTGAGAAGGTCTGGGTAACGGAAGTGGAAATCCCATGACTCTTAGTGATCGATTCCTAGTGCCAGTACTTCCGGGTGGGTATGAAAACAAACATGGCGGTCAAATTGGATGATGTTTCTTCTCCTCAACTCGCGCTTAAATTTTCAAGTTCTTCCTTCGATCCTGATAAATGTAAGTATTGCATGAAAAATAATTAAGCGATAACCACCCTTTGTTTCTTCCAAATTATCATTTTTCGTTTTGATGTACCTGTAATTGACTATCTTATCATGATACAGAGCTCTAGGTGGACTGCACCTTCCATCCTTATTTTTTTTTGCTTCAGATGTCAGGGATCTGTCTGCGAAGTGTGACACTGATGCTGAACTTCAGGATCATCGAAAGCGTATTCAGACTTTAAGCGAAGAAACTGCGGTTAGCTTGAAGAAAAATGTTTATAAGAACTACATGCAGTTCATCGAAACATCAAAGGAAATATCATGTATCCTTTAGTTTTTAATCAGGCGAGGGTGTGTGTGCTCAGTGATGGGGGATGCCGAAAGAGTGCAATCGAGATTGTAAGATTAAAGATGCAAACAGAAAACTAACTTCGTGTGCTTGTTTATCGGTATCCTTAATATACCACTCTTTCGAAGGATTTTTCAAGACCAATGCGAACAGAACGTCCTGCAGGATGTTGTACATGTGGATTTGGATTAGTTACGAATCGTAATACATGTCAATGATGCAGATTCCATAACATAATCTTTTAGATCTAGAAGCAGAAATGTATCAGTTGGGACATTTTTTGGCGGAGCAAAAAGCGATACTCAGCAGTCAGGAAGACATGTCTTTATTTGGAACACAAGGTAATTTGTATATACCAAAGAAATTGGAAATGCTCACAACATAGGAACTATGTTGAGTAGCCAAATCTCTGTATAGCTCTCTGTCTATTTTGGCAGTAAAGCTCTTAGGCTTGGATCTAATAATTCAGTTAATATTACGAATCACAACAGGTTAAAATATCTTTTGAAATAAGAAAGTGGTGATATTCACTAATTCATGTAATTCAAGGCATGTTTGAGAACATCCAACCATAAAAAGTTTTATGTTTGATCCACATGTTGATCCACAGGCATGTTTTAATTGTTTAAGTATCTACTTCCTCATCTGAAAGAAGATGGAACTAACTGATGGGTGTATTTGCTCCCTGATACCTTATCCCATCCTTCACTCCCCTTAGCATTTTGTTAAGTCTTGTTTTAGTCAATACTCTTCAGAAAGAGTACATATTTCTGGCCAAAAAAACACTCTTAGTGATCTGTGAAATTTTGTTTTACAGTGTAAATAATTATTTATAAGTACCATTATAAGTTATTATAATATATTACTCAATTAACAATTTTAATAATTGCACAATTTTTTTTTTTGTAAAAACTATTGCTGTTCTTTAATTTAGATCCTAATTCTTCAATGAAACCCTCAAAGAAAGATGAAAAAGGCAGCAGCTCAATAGAATCAGTAGAGGGTCTGGCTGTAAGTTATATTTATATGTTTGAAGTGAATATTGTTAAAAATGAAATTAACTAGGAATGAAATAGATGGTCAATTAATTTTATGATTTAAATTTACAGAGTGTCCTAGATATCACTGATGTGAACTGTGTTTTTGAGGGAGACCTGGTTGAGGTGGATCCAGAAACATTTCTTCCAAAATATAAAATTCATGCCTTCCTGTTACATGACAGTATGGTGGTCGCAAACATCATTCAAAACAGGTACTATCAACAGCAGTTGTATTGAACCATGGTTCACTGGTGATGATGTTAAGTTTACAATTGAACTAAAGAGACATAAAGAAAAGTTATGAAAGTGATCTGATCTTTTCCTAGGTCAGTTTTCTGTGAAATCTGAGAATTCATATACAGTTTTTATCCTTAAACTGATCTCAAATGAAACTTAACCTGTCTCGACTTGTTTGTTAGTTAGTCTGAGTCTATATTTGGAATTAATCTTAATACCATGGTATTGATACAGACTTGCCCAGGGTTATTAGTAACTATTGATTGTCTCCAGTATTTTCGCTTTTCTAAGGCGTGGTCCAGTTCGTTTTAAGTTCCAAAGCCTGTTTGAACTAGAAAATGTTGCAGTGGTGAATATGACAAGTGCTGATGGTATGTATATTGTTGGGCAATCACCTTGACCTCACCCTCTTCAGTTTCTTTATTTTGTGACTCATTTTTAACCAATAACAGGCTAGAAAAGAAGGTAAATAGCTAATACATTATGAGGTTACTTGTATATAATTTTTTTAGTGAGCTCTGATCTAACTGAAGTTGATGGTATGGTCTTGAATAGCACTGTACTGTGGTGAGAACTGTGCCTGTGTTCTGCATCAATTTATATATCCTATTGAGATTGTTAGCCATAATACAGGGACTAATTACAACTAACAGCATTATGTTTAGTATTTGATTGTATAATCAGTGCAAGGTCTCAGACTATTCATCTCTAATAATAAGAGCATCTGACAATAAGCTGGACAATAAACAGATTTTTAGGTTTACATCTAATGCATGTTGGTGGTTATGTTACAAATTTATAATGAGTCATTGGTTTTGATGCACATCTCAGGTTTGAAGGATGCTTTCAAGGTTTTTCTGTTCCCAGAAACTCATGTGTATCAAGCTGAAAATAAAACAATCAAGGTGAAGAGAAGAAAAATGAACTACCATGTATACAGTAATAATATTATTATTATCTCCTGACCCACAAGGCCCTGCTTACATAATCCCATTAACAAAACATGGGAATGAAAATTGATGTGAGCAGAGTGGGATGAGTCGACCTGAGCCAGTCCAGAAAAAAACCATTCAGCCCTGCACTTGTATGTCTCTTTTAAAGAAATTAATAATGGAGTACAATGTAAAGAAAACAATTCAGTTATACTTTTGATGTAATGCATGTTTCTTGCACAAGGTTTTGGCTTACAATTGAGGTATTTCCTTTTAATGCACCTGTCTGACATAGCATCTAATTGTTACCTTTTTGTACTTATTCTCTAGAAAGAGTGGTTGGATAGGATTGAAGAATGTAAAAAGAACTTTAAACTGAAGCTGGAACAAGAGGTTAATGAAGGTGGCAGTGAAGTTGCATCCAATACAGAGATTACCAGCAGTTCAGAGAATTCCAATCCTTTTGTTGAAGATAGTGGAAAAAATCCATTCGTAGAGGATGACAACAGCAATCCTTTCTCAAATAATTATGATGATGACAAGAATCCATTTAATGAAAGCAAATCCACCAATCCTTTTGATGAAGAGGAGGATGAAGGTTGCTATAATGATCTTTATCAAAACAGTACACAGGCAGAAAATAATCTGCTTGACCTTTATGGAAGATGCTACTTGAATCAACAGTTTAGCAGGGAGGTTGCCATAGGGACCCATCAGAAACTGAAAAACTCAAAACAATTATTCATTTGTCTAACAATTGAAACTAAGGTGCAATGAATGACTAAGGCATCAGACAAAATAATGGCAAAAATCATCAATTGAAATCAACACCTTAAAAATGAGACTCTGAAAAAATTGAAATTAAAAATATTTATCTGATAAACTAGAAAACGGAAAAGTCTTGTCACCAGCCCCTTGTCTGGGGCAAGGTCAACATGGTAGGGAGGCATCACCACTGGCTAACCACTTTATAATAAACCATTTCCAGCAGATGCACCAAGATCTCCCCACAATGGTCATGAGGATCCATCTAGTATTATGTAGTTATCTGCCTCAATGTGCAAGCACTGGAGAGGGCTTGGGGTGGGAAGGAGGGAGTAGATTAATGCAACAGAAGTCCCTGCTTAACTTTCCCATTAAATACCTGGAGTGCTTTAACTTTCTCAAGGGAAGATACTTATCAATTGAAAGTGACGGTGTCTTAAAATATAGAACAGATTAAAACTTAGGGGGCATGTCTTTTATATACATGTCTGTGGTTTTGTTACAGGGCCTGTTTCTTCTTCCTCACCTAATTCTGGAAACTCCAATGTTGTAAAGGTAACAAAAAATTGAATCAGAGAGCAACCACTAGTACATGTAAGAGTTTAAATGATGTATGTGAACCAAAATGTAGGCCTGATTTCCTCTGTTGTCTTGAGTTTGGTCTTTATTCCTCTCTACACCTCCTTGTTGTTTCCCTGTTCTTAATCCAGTCAGCGGTGTGGCTTAATTAATTCTTTACATAAAATTATATTTAGCTTTTTTGTATATTTCTTTCAGGCTGGAAAAGGTTGGCTCAGAGATATGCCAGAAGATTTAGACATGTTCATAGCTCAAAGGGATTTTGAGAGGGCCATGGAGTTAATAGATAGAAGTGAGTAGTGTTTCCTCGGCAAATAGTGAACCTAGATTAAGCTAACACGGTCATCCTCCCTCCTTCCTTCCCACCTAAACGCTCTCTGTGCTGGCCCTGGTAGAATGATTTATAAGCTCAGCATATCTTATAATTATTCTTTCAGCGAATAAATATTTGAAAGAAAACAGCAGCTCTCAAGCAGCAAAAGAAATCAAGTAAGTCTTACCAAATTTATTGTCAAGTTGATAAAATGTAGTGGCCTATCAGTTGTTCAGTTTAAAGAACCCCCGGACATGTAAAAGGTGTTCAAAATTAGCCACTGAAATACGCGTACCATAAGGGTGTACAGCGCTAGCAAGGAAGAAATAGATTTCTACTAACTCTTTCAATACTTTCATTGTGTTTTTGTGGGCGACATTATTTCATTTTTATTTGGTTAGAGTTCGCCTTGATCGTCGAGTAAAGCAGTTGGTAGATGCTCTTATTGATGAGTTGGACTCTAGTCGGAGCTTTCTACTTCATGTAGGACCACGAGCAACCAGAAGAACTGTGTCACTGTTGGTTAGACTGGGGAGAGCTTCTGAGGTGTGGCATATTAATGTTCTATAATCTTGCATACTTGTCAAAAGAGGAGATTTTTGATCGGATTTTTTTACTTAAAAAATGATGCAGTGATAAGGTTATCAGTCGATCGTGCGCTACATTGTTCGGTTGAGGGTAGTGCAGAACAAGACTGTAGGTGACAGTGACCTTGCTACAACCTGAGTAGACGGTTGACAGCAATTGATAACTTATGAGCCTGATCTCGACTGTTATGATGGCTTTGCTCGGTTTGTCAAAACGTCAGTGACTGTCACGTACACGGTCATGCCACACGATTGACGTGTTATCAATAAAAGATAAGCTTACCCCGAATCCCGTTTGAATTTGTTTCTTCACTTTTATAGTGCGCTTATGTATTACTGGCGACTTTTTCAAGGTGTGCATGTGTCAGGGTGGGTGGGAATGGGGAAGGATACTTGAACAACCCTAATTGACCTCTCTTATCTTTACTTTTGACGAGGCAGGCATGTCAGCTTTTCTTGAGGAACAGAAGTGAAGCCATCAAACATGCTATAAGGTAACCTATCACAATTTGTTCCAATTACTTTGCACAACTAAAATGATTGAACCCAGCATACCAGCTGCATGCAGACCTAATTTGATACAAAGCTAGACTTAGTACAGATCTAATGAAGTGCTGCGTAGAAGCTCACTACAAGTACCGTTATGTGATATGGATGACTGCTTTATTTTTTAAGGCAACTCAAGATTGAAGGGGCTACATCTCTATACATCTCTAAGTTGTCCACCGCGTTCTTTAGTAGCATCATAGAGACTGGTAAAGAGTTTGAACAAGTTTTCTCTGCTAACAGAGGGTTTAGTTCAGGTCAGTAGAAAAATCTTCTTTCCTAACTTTCTTCCTCCATGCCGTAGCTGTAAATGCTTTCTAGTATTGAACTTCGTGTACTTGAAATGAATATTTACAGCTCTAGTAATAGCTTTAGTAGTCTTTTACTAATTCTTGTTTTTCTCTCTCCGACCAGCCTTTGTCGTGTGGGCCAAAAGTGAACTGAAGCACTTTGTGTCACGCTTTTCTAATCAAGTATTCAGAAGGGAGATGGGTCTAGCAGCTACTGGTGTTTGTGTCAGCATGGCAAGGCATCAGTGTGAAAAGGTAAACCTTACTGTGTTCTCACGTTTGACCTTGTGGCTGAAAGCCGCAAGATATATAGCCATCGTCAACGATGTCTGTCTTTCGTTCTCGTGGTATATTTTGCTACTGTTTTCTCTGCGATGTAGCGCCTCTTTCCCAGAATCCTTGTTGATATTTATCTCTTCGGACCCCTAAATGGCACCCATCGTGGGGCTGTTATACGGTTGTCCTTATTTTCTATCCTGGTTCCAACCAAAATCAAAAAGTTTATACATTTTGACTGTGTAAAACTTAGCTTGTGACATGTTGATTGTACAGCTGCAGGAGATCGGCCTAGACTTAACATTTTCCATGCAAGAGATGCTTCTTAGAGACATTGTTGAAGCACTCCTTGACACAAGAGATCAGATGGTGAAGTTTTCAAGGCACAGGGCCATGGTAAGTGACATGAAATGTAAACGTGGAAATAACATCGTCACCGTTTTTTTCGGAGCCATTTTTTGTGGCGTGCATAACAACCTTCAACTGGAAAGGAGACTCCAAATAAAAGATCGAAAAGATAGGAAAAACACAAAAGTTGCGATGACAACCATGAAGGAACAAGAATGAATAAGAATGGAGAAAATTAACATGGATTGTACATGACTAAGTTGCTTATACAATGACGTAGCTCGGCGAACTCATAGTTTACTTCTAGTAAACGTGTAGCAGGCAATAATACAAACTCTGAATCCCACTCGTGCCCTGGAGCGAATGAGGACAGACACCTCAGCGGCTTCTTGTGTTTTACTTTGAACTTCTCACAGGTGGTCATCTCTACACTGAATAATCGAATAATTTCAAATCTACAGAGAGTTTCTCTCTATTATGAATTCACGATATGTTTTTTTCCTCATGAAGGAAACAAATTGGAAACCAATGGAGTTTGAAGGACATGCAGATCAGCTTGGAAAATTATGTGAAGAAATGGAAAGCCTGGGTATTGAGAGTTTTCAACAACTTGTTGGTAAGAAGCTGTGTTCATTTATCGATTTTTTGTTTCCTTCGCAGTTTCCTTTACCCGGCATTTTTTGTTTAAGTTATCTAGAATTCGATGTTGCAATTATGGCAATTAATAGTTAGTTCTTCCCGTTTGCGCTTCAGTGATAATTTGCCTTCAGAACCAAGGTTCTCTTTATTCCATGTCGGCTTCTGCAATCAGAAATCTCGGTCTGGAGTTGAACATGCTGATCACTCGGACCGACCGACTGATCGCGTCCTCTTGCCCTTTAGCTAGCCTACGGTATTTGGTCGAAAGCTGGTCCCGACTTGTCGTTAATCTATCGGTAGCCTGTTGGCAGCCTGTTCCAGCCTGTCGGCTATCTGCCGACAGTCTATCTAGCAACTAATCACCTATAGGGTCTTGGAACAACAGTCGGTAGAGAGAAGCTTTACTTGAAATTTACTGAGATTATAGCCATGACCCTCCTTCGCTTTGTTGTTTTGTTGAACACAGATGGCAATAAAGTGAACCTGAGCAGTGCCACTGTGGCTTTTATTAAAGGAGTGTTGGGCTTCGTCGGAGACGGATTAACAGTCAATACACCACAGGCAAGATGGCTACTAATAATATGCGTGATACAAATGGTTATTTTTTTTCCTTAATCTTTGTCTTTTATTTTGCGTAGTAAAATAAAAGTATCCCTTTCAACTTTCAGCTTCAGCCATGGTTTGTCGATTGCATTGGGGATTTGTTTGAAAACCAAGTGGTTCTGTTCGAGGCCATTCTTAAGTCTGGTCGGTATGCAAGCCAAGTAAGCATCTACCTGTATTCAGCGTTCATTTCCTTTAGCGAGGACGTCCGCTTACCAGCGGGCTTTGGCGTTAGTGCTGGCGGCAGTCGATGTCCTAGGCCTCGCTGCACGCTGATCAAAAATAAGTGCGTTACCGAGGGCTTTGTTATTCCGCCTTTTACGTTTGTTTTGTTTAGTTCGGATTTGCTCCTTTCGGTTCGGTTTTGTCTAAATTATTAGTATTGTAAAAAGCCGAGAAGCAGGATCCCTGGCAAGTGGCTTATAGCTCTGATAAGTTCAACACCCACTAAAGGCTTCTGAGTTACAACCGTCTTGTCATGTTGTCTTTCATAACCTGTTGTGCGTACTTTTTTTTTCCAGCGTGAGTTCATCCTTATGAATGCTTCATTTGTCTTTGAAATTACCCTTCCTCTGATTAAAAAGCGATTGAAGGTAGGTATGCGGTTTAAATATGGTTTGCGAGTTTCGTTTTCTTTTCGATTGTTTGTCTGTGTTTTATTTGCTTACGTAGAATTTCCTTGTTCGCTTTTTTCCGCGCTTGAGTTTTCGTGGGTTCCTTTACCGTTATTCTGAAAGGCTGTTGTGATTACTTTGGTTTTGTGTGGACGGCAGTTAAGGGAAAACCGATCCACCTCCTGGAATGAGCTCTTTTTTGTTTCTTTTCTTATTTTTGCCATTTTTCTTTAGATTGGGACCAATCCTGGTCGTTTCATGGAAATACAGAGCGAGTTAAAGAGACTTCAGTCCATTACTCCTTCAAGTGATGCGACGGAAGGAAAAACTGGCAAATGAAAATGTGATAACATCTCACCACTAATGATAAATTGTTTTCAAGAAGACACTTCATTATAGTCTGTTCAAAACAGAACTGAAAACAAAATAACAGAAGTAACCAAATGAGAACTTCAATTTTCTTGTATCTTACAGAAACAAATCTTTATTTCTAGTGAATTCAGTCTGATAATGATGTACAATTATTGTTTCGATACCGAGAAAAGTTCAGTTATCATTGGATGAGAAGTAACAGTTGTCCTACGCTCCATGCGCATGGGTGAGGCTGCAGTCGAGCCTTTCGTCCGCCTATGATCGTTTTTGAGTGGTGGGGGAATCTTTTATCTGTTTCCCTTGGAGGGAAAATTCTTGTGACGTTTTCAATTTAATTTAGTGCAGAGAGAGCAGTAAAATTACCCTGACTGGTCTTAATAACGCGCTCATTGGAATGAAAGAGTTAAATTGTGATATTATCCTTGTCACCCTTGCAAAAAGGGCTCTACATTCTTTGTTTCTTTTTTATCTGCGAAAGAGGAAAATTCACCACATTCGTTTTGCATAGTAATGCAGTGACGGTTACTCTGCCAATATTCGAGTTTTGTGCAAAAAAACACTCTGAGTCCTCAAGTCGTGGCTATAAGGGTTAAATAGACTCAGAGAATGAATTTGGAAACCAAAGTACCTTTCCTTATTAGTAGATTTTTAACCACGAAAATCAATCTGGTTTTTTTTTTTATAAAATCTTCAACTGTAGTGGAGTCGACCCTCTCTTTAATTAGTACTGAACATTACAACGAAAAAATAAATGAATTACACGAGAGAGAGAAGCTTTATGGTTGTTTCGGCGTTAATTAACATTAAATGAAGACTTCGTTAGGCTGGATCACGAAAATACTTGTGTGTTTCACCGGAAGCCCCGAAAAAAAACTGCAGGCAATTGTTTCTTTGTGAGTCTAAGCAATCACGCGCCTTTGTATCCGTAAACAATAACGCTAGCATTAGCACGTTACACAAACAATGCCAAACAAATGTACGGGCGGATGTGATATTAACTCCATTCTCATACAAACAGAACACTGGAACAGACTTGTATTACTTCGAATAGTTAGTTCAGTATTTCTTGTCACGTTTATCACGAAATGTAACATGAACCTCGCTTTTTTACAGCTCTGAGCTACTTGGAATTACTTGTTTTTGGTTTCACTTTGTGGTCAGTCTTGTCTTTTAACGGTGAGATTACAGGTACTCGGTCAAAAAAGAGTGGGAATGGATCCTAAGGGATTTAAGAAGAATAAACCTTTCTTTTTCAAGGTTTAGCAAGTTGTTGTGACAATTATTCAAAAATGCTAAATAAATTATAGGGGCGCTAATTATATGAATAAGTGGACAAACATGTCAACCGGAATAAGCTCTAGAAGTCTGCAATGCTTGTGAATTTCATTTGAATTGAAAACCCATACATTTAATTAAAGAGATTTTCTTCCACTCAGCTTGAAATTAGTTTTGAACATTGTTTGTCCATGTATACAAATTGGCACCAAATGTAGTTGAATGAAAGCCTTTTTTTGCTGGAAAACCAATATCAAAGAGTTTGATTGTTTATGTCAGTAAAAGCGTCATTAATCAATTACGTAAACCATAGTGTTTTACAGTCCAATATCACAGTTTGTTCACTCGTGCCATGCTCATTTTCAATCGAGTGTGGATCCTGTGAAAGTCTCGAAACTTTGATCCGTGATATAAATTCTGATGTTCACCAAGTTTGAGCCAATGGAGAACAGTTTCTCGCCGGTGAATGTTAGCCCTGCGACTTTTTATCATCCAAGCTTCTCTGCAGCTCCAATGTTCCCGTATTCGTCCTTTTTCAGTGGGTACGTCAGCCAAGAAATGTCTTCCTCTTTCCTCGGTAAAGACGTAAGAGTTCTACCAGGTTATGTTGGTCCGTGTATTCCATGTTACCACCAAAGCTTTCAAGGCATCCCGTATCAACCCGCAGATGAAGAAAAACCAACTCAATCATACATTGGTCTTATTGGAAAAGCAATTCTAAGCTCTCCACAGCAGAAACTTGTTCTTGGTGATATCTACAACTACATTCTAACAAATTACCCTTACTTCAGGAATAAAGGACCTGGATGGCGTAACTCCATACGCCACAACTTATCACTCAATGATTGCTTTGTTAAACTGGGTCGCTCTCCAAACGGCAAAGGACACTTCTGGGCAATCAATCCACTTAACTATGAGGACTTCAGTCGGGGAGAGTACAAACGCAAAAGGGCCACGAGAAGAAACCGGGAGAGAAAAGAGAGTGGTGGAACGAAATTGAACACGACTGGACATGTTCCGAGGTGCTCATCACAAGAAATCCGTTGCACCAATAACATTTTTCCAGATGAAGCAGAAAATAGAGGTTTCCACATCGAGACGCTACTATCAGACAAATGGGAGGATGTCAAAAGCAGTGAAACGCACGAAGCGGTGTCAGCATTTTCCTTTGTGTCGCAGAGACAGATACCTGTCAAAAAAGAACTTGAAGTACGCAGATCTCATCACCGAGAGAATGACCCGGCAAAACAGACTTCTTATGAATGAGTTTCTATGTTAAAATTTGAATTTAAATACCTCAATGTACTACGACAATAAACTGCAGGAAGATATTTTCAGCCTCTAATTCTTTGGAAATTTGTAGCCATGTAGTTTGTTTGAGAGTATTAGCGAAAGATTACAAGTCTATGTCAATTTGATGCCATTAAAAAAGATATTGGGACAATGTTTTCCCAGATGAACGACTTTCAGTCAAGAGATTTATAGAAGAACACGGCAAAAGGGTACAAATGTGATTTTCTTTTCGAACCTTTTTCATAGCAAGAAAGCGCACTGATAAAGTAATGTAAAAATAAAAAAGATGGTAGGCGTGATGAAACATAAGCAAACATATATCTATTCATTGCGCTATGATAAAAAAAACTCTAAGAAAACCTTTAAACAATGCAGTTTTCACGGATTTTGTCTCCTCCCCATTCCTTTAACATGTAAATTTACGGTTCATGAAACAATAAAACAAATAAGCAACCTGTGTTTTGTGTGGCCTCTTAACTGATAAAAGACAACACCGTCTTTTGTAGGAAACCGGACATTAGTAACAAACGACGTGAAAGACGCATGGTTCTGAATGCTGAACTTTTAACAAAAGGAAACAATATTTGAAATTAGTGTTATTAAATTGGTTTGACTGACTTTCGTGTCGAGTTTAGGAATATTTTTAATTATGAAAATATTTGAAATGATTTGGATGACAGCCATTTTCTAGTCTATTAAAGTCAAATCATAACAGTTTTTTGTGGCTCGTTAGTGAGTCTGTTTTAGAATCGTTTGCAATGTGACTAATCAAGAAGAACAAATATCTCTCTCGTTGAGTTTTTCTAGTGATGCCAACAGTTTCCAAGAGCACCGTCAACTGTCCGAATTCAAGAAGAAAATAACGCTAAGACTTCTACAGAAGTGCCATGGGATGCTATCACGAAATTGGACTTCTTTCCCTTCTAGTCTAGACTTCCGACATTCATTTTTGAATAGCTTGATGAAACCAGGTTACATTACAGAAGAAAGTTTACAGGTTTGAGGATAAAAGAAGATTTTGTAAATAAAATTTAAGATTGCACTTAAGACTGTATTTGAGATTGTTGCAAGTCGCCTGTCACATACAATGAACCTATTTTAAGCGGACAGCCATAGAATCGTTCCTTGTGTCCAATTAAACGCCTAAGGGTTTCTTTATAAAAAGAAAGGAGAAAAAATTGGGATCAATCGGGCAGACGTGCATGCGCTTTAGGCTTGATAACTCATATGAACGATATATGTACATTGAGGAAGTGAATTTTGGTGACAATGGAGAAAGCTTTTGGTAACTAAGATGGCGCAAAATAGGTCGAATTTAAGAACCAAAGGCGTAATTAAGGCAATCATTGAACGCATCAAGGTAGTGTTTTGTTACATGGCAACCGTGAAGCTTTTTGAAGAATTCTGACTCTGACACTTTAAGTGTGATATATACTTTACTGGAAAAACCCGCTTGTGTCACAACTTTCTCTACAGTGTAATCAGACAAGTGATACCAATAATTCGTCGGCTGCCGAGGTTCCAAATTGTGTCTTTTTATATGTACTGGGCCCTCAAAAAAGTTATATGAAACTATATAACTTTTAAGGTAACCGCAGCAGTTCAACCTGCAGATACGTGAAAAGTCTTAACATCGTTTTGACGCAGGGAAAGGTTATTTCTGATTCTCATATCGCAGATGGCTGCAAGAATGACCATCAAATGCATTAATCATGTCAGTGTCAAACGAGGCCTACTCAAAAGGTGTCACCATTGACAGTTTACTGTTGAGAAGAAAATTTCTGAGCAATCGATTGATTTAAAGCTCTTAAAAACGAGTTTGAAAGCCATGTACTTACTCATCTCTTTAAATGAAAACAAGAGATGACAATAAATATCTTTTTTCTCAATTGTACTCACTAAATTTACTCTTAGACAAGTAGACTACGTGAAGTGTTCGTCTGAAGAAACAACGTTATAGGCAAAAAATGTGATTGTTTTGTTTTCGTGTTCCTATGACTGCTTGAAAATAGATTATTAAATCTAGTTATGAAGCTTTGATAAAAGTGTTCCTCTCATAACAGTTTTGGTTGTTCAAGTGATTTTTCTTTATCATCTATTGTAGGCTAGAGATACGAGCAATTTTCGTATTTGTTGACACTGAATTCCCAGTCTGCAATCACCTTAAAAACTGACCAAACAATCGTTTTTTGTTTTGTTAGGAGGACGAATTGTCACGCCCCTTCAGCAGACCCTTCCATTAGAGAACAATGACACTAAAATTAGTACGTTAGACAAACAATACGGTAAATAAATACTCCGACAGAAAGAAAAATAAGCAGCAGACTTGTTAACAGTTTATTTCTGTTCTTATTCATGAAAAAGCAAGCTTGTTGATGTTTTTACCGACTATCTCACAGCAGTTTCTCGTAGTGTGCTTTTTTATCGGCTAAACTTTGCTTTTAGCAGTCATTTAGAGATCGAATAGTCTCTTGGGGACTATTAACTTGAGAATGAATGGAACGTTCCTTCAAAGAAAAAGCTACTTTGAATTTGTTTTTCAAACAAGTCTGAAAGGAAAGCCAAACACAAGGCGTGGGGCGTTAATTACAAATAATAAGCTTAAAGAATGAAGAAAAAAAATTTAAAAAATTCGAGGACGAAGTAGAAGTACGTCTTCAAGATTAATATGCTGAAAGATCTCCTAAGAAATGCACAAGATTGAATTTCATGATCATATAACTTATGATATTCCTTTCCCTGAGTTGACTTTATTTGACATTGAGCAATGAGGATTAGAAGCAGTTCCATTATACAAAACAATGACATTGTTGATTAATTACGACAAGCGTTTCTTGAGCCAATATAAAAGCTTACTCATCTGAGCAAACTTGAATTTCATTTGGGCAACAGCCAAACTAAAAGTGAAGTGATTGACGTTCTCAAACTGAAAGTTAAAGCTGGGGCCAAAACGTTTGTTCCAATGGAAAGTAGTTTCTGGCGGTCTGTAAATGCGACGCCTCTAAGGTTCTACCTTCCAGCTGCCCCAAGCCACCCAGCTGTACCCGCTGCTCCAACTTTTCCCTACTCGTCTTTGTACTTCGGATACGCCAGCTCAGAGATTTCGTTTTATGTTCCAGGATATGTAAGTCCATGTTTCCATCAAGGCTTTCATGGAATTCCGACCCAACGCAAGAATGAACAAAAACCAACTCAGTCATACATTGGTCTCATTGGAAAAGCAATTCTAAGCTCTCCACAGCAGAAACTTGTTCTTGGTGATATCTACAACTACATTCTAACAAATTACCCTTACTTCGGAAATAAAGGACCTGGATGGCGTAACTCCATACGCCACAACTTATCACTAAATGATTGCTTTGTTAAACTGGGTCGCTCTCCAAACGGCAAAGGACACTTCTGGGCAATCAATCCACTTCACTATGAGGATTTCAGTCGTGGAGATTTAGGGTACAAGCGGAAAAGATCTTCCAAAAAAAGTCAGAGAAGCATTACACCGGAAAAAGGTTTACAGACATTAGAAAAAGGTCAAGGCTGGAAATCATGTAAAGATGTTGTTCCTCTGTGTGCCAAAAAGGAAGTTCGTCAGGGCGATAACAGTTTCACACACAGTCAAAGTGGATTGCGCCAAAGAAGTTTTCACATCGAAAACATTTTATCCGATTGAATGAAACTTTACGGCATTGAAAAACATATAACTGTTTCTTGGATTTTATGTGGAGTTCATATAAATGTATAATGCACCCGATTCTAAGGTGTTTGTGACGGTTCTGGGTAACACTTATAGGTTTACACTTTTTAAAGGAGTCTTCAGCTCCATGAAAATAATTTAGTAAAACAATTCATAAAACAATTTACTATAAAGATTTTCCAGGTTTCCTTTCTCGTAATCGATTGTAAGTAGTTGTTTCAGAGCGTGAAAAAGGTATAAATGTTTTTCTGATGATTGACGAGTATATAACAGTCTCAGAGATCAGAGTAGTCCCGAAAAAGGCAAGTGTTATGAGACTTATGTCAGTCGACTGAAAACAACTCGTCATTTAGTTCGGTCATGAGTCTTTCAATCAGGTTGTTAGAGTGACAGACAATGTAGGGAAAAGCTTGCTTATTCAGGGTTTTTTCTCACCCAGGCCACCAGACTACTAGATCGATTGTTACCCATAGTTTCAAAGTATTTTCTGTATATGAATACATTTTTCGGTGAATATGAACACAGACATAGCAACTGAAATTCATAGAAACAAAATTCAACAATAGTCAAAGGTTAGAGCAAAACGAAGGGAGAAAACAGTCAAAACTTGGCAATATAGTTAAGAACATAGCAACTAGAATTAGCGGAAATTTATGTGTAAACGACTTTTGAATAGCAATAAAAAAAACTTAATTTGCAATCTACCTAATTAGTCTTCTTTGTAAACATCCTACTTCAGCGCCAAACTGTAAATGTTGTTTTTCAAACAAACTGAGCTAAGAGCAACAAATTATTTATATGACTTTTATTTCTCTCATTTCTGAAAGTGGAATACTTACAAAGTCAACCTAAACACGCAGTTTTTATCATCTTTCTTTTCCTTTTTTTCCATCCCACGGAAAAATTCGATTCTCCTCATTTTTCCTTCCTGTATCTTATGAAATAATCTCATTCGATGCCGGCCTCAATTGCAACCAGGTCGGTAAACTGTGACCCTGCAATTTTATTTATTCACAACGGTCGCTCTAAGTTCACTATTCCTGGTTGTAAACGTTAGTCAAAGGTCAGTATCTTAGATAGTTTTTTTTAAAACTTGGCAGCTAACAGGATCTACTTGGAAGTTATTCCTTTACAAGGATAATCTCAATTGAAGAAAAACGTAAAATCGTATTCACGGCTCAGGCTTCGGTCAGGCAGATTAAAACGTTCTTAAACCACTCTGATTTTCTTTTCGCTTGACTAAAAAACTGAGCGTACACTGCTGCAGTTTGATTTTCTGGAAGCAAAAGAAAGCCATTTCTTTTCATTCGCAACAAAGAATTGCATTCCCAAGATTTTTCGACACTAACGTATGCTTTCAAACTTACTTAAGCCACAAATTCCGTCGTTTCTTGGTTAAAGTAATGTTGATTAGGTCTATGAATAATATACAATGCCAAGTTTGCTTATCTGTTTGCATTCTTATTAGGTGAAATGTGTATTTGCATTTAAATACATGGAATAGTGGTAAAAGTCATTAGCACCGAATTTTTATTGCTTTTTCTCAATATGTTTAATCGCTGGCTGGCTTAGAATACAACGCCGGCACCAATATAAAAAAAAAAAACTGATTATTTTTCCCACGCTTCCAGTTTAATTCTCTCAATATTTTTGTCAGCACTTGGAATTGTGAAACAAACATTACCATTCTGCACTTTCTAATGTCATCAGAGAGATTTTTATATATAGCTGTAACAAATACCGCACGGACGGAGAAATGCTTACAACGCAATGTGTATGGCTTGTTGATCAAGTTTTTGTCCATTCTTATTTCATATGTACTATGCAGGTGGTTTGAGATAAACATTCAGCTTCCTTTTCCTTTCTTTTCTTCGATGTTTACGCAGTTTTTAGTTTTTATATGAAATCAAAATTCCTAAAAAAACCAGTCCACTTATGAATTAGCTGGCGACAACAGCAAATGCTGACGTAGTATTCAGTGATCCAGCGCTACCTTTCTCTTCCCATTTATTGGATAAAAGAGTTTCGATGTGAAAACCTCTATTTTGTAAAAAACTTTTACACTTCGTTTGAGCAGCTGGATAGTTGTTCGAGATTTCATTTGTTCTTATCTCAGTTCCGTTTCTCTCCCGGTTTCTTCTCGTGGCCCTTTTGCGTTTGTACTCTCCACGACTGAAGTCCTCATAGTTAAGTGGATTGATTGCCCAGAAGTGTCCTTTGCCGTTTGGAGAGCGACCCAGTTTAACAAAGCAATCATTTAGTGATAAGTTGTGGCGTATGGAGTTACGCCATCCTGGTCCTTTATTCCCGAAGTAAGGATAATTTGTTAGAATGTAGTTGTAGATATCACCAAGAACAAGTTTCTGCTGTGGAGAGCTTAGAATTGCTTTTCCAATAAGACCAATGTATGATTGAGTTGGTTTTTCTTCATCTGCGGGTTGATACGGGATGCCTTGAAAGCTTTGGTGGTAACATGGATTCACATAACTAGACCATATACTAGAGCCATTTCTGTTAAGACAGGTTGACATCTCTGGGTTGAAGTATCCGCAATGATAAAACGAGTGAGTGAACGCTGGAATAGCTGAGACACTTAGAAGATTAAAACTCTGAGATGCCATGTTTACGGTCGAGAATGTACTTTAAATGTGACGCAAACCTCCGTGAAGGTACCAGATTGTCCAGGGTTGGTAAAAGGCCGCGTAGACTGATGTTGTGCGACTTCTTAAGCACCACACTCTAAGAAACAAATGAATATTGCACGCGTGAACAAATCGTGATATTGGCTTGAAACACGCCAGTTTTACGTAATCCATTAACTACACTGTTATATCTGGAGAACAATGAAAAGAGTCTTGTTAAACAAAGTGCTCAACACCGAATTTCGCAAGGGGTGTAAACTGAGTCGCTTTGTTAAGAGAGTCAAATTTTGCTGTATTTAATTTTTCTCCAGGATTCCAAGAAAGTTGGAAACGTAAATACAATTCACCTACTCTGATGGATCTGTCCTTGGAAAATAATTCTTTAAATTTTCGTTTCTGCCATGAGGTGATTATTCGTAATTAGCACCTACGCCTCCTTCTTCATTCTGTTTCAGTAGTTGGGAGGAGTTAATGTAATGACTCTAATATCTAAAAGAGACAGAACAAAAGCAGAACGTCTTACAGGTCCTTCATTGTTTTCTGCTCATTTCTCCAGAGACATCGCAAACACTGGCAAACAATAATCTTTAAAACTAATTATTGAAAATGCAAATCAAAATAGGTTTTCTTTGGCAAACGTTACAAGTTGCTAATAATTGTGATCCTCTCTTTTCTCCATTTTGATCATTTTTCCTGTTAAGGTAAAGTTTAAAATTCCTGATGTAGGCTGAGGATATGAGTAGAGGCCAGAGAAACCCAAAGACAACCTGTCTGAAGGTCCTTTCTCTCAAGAACAAATGACATCCTTTTTGTTTGTACACGCAATAAAACAGTTTGTGGTCTCGTCAACTAATGAAAGGTTTCATAAAGGGAAATTATTCTTTAAGCTTCATACTCAATGCCGATGATTAGTAAAACTTATTGTAAAATTAGGGGCCACAGTTTTCTTTTTTTTCACAGCTAAAAGTAAATGAATCTATTGTGAAAACACGGGCAAGTAATATATTCGCTATTACCCATAGTTTTAATTAATATAACAAACTTAGGTAAATATCTTTGCGAGAGACAACCGACATACACATGCAGTCAATATAGGTTTACAGCTCCATTTACAAAATTAATTCCATATTGTCGTGCATCTGTTCAGTAAGAGATTACAGATGACGTCAAAGTGTTGTAAGAACAATATAGGGACACATCAGGCTTAGCGGAGTGTACTATATATGTGTCACTGATATTCTTACTGCATCTTGACGTGTTCTGTGTTCTATTACTGCAACATCAAATATATTAGTTTATACAACAACAAAGCAAAACGTTGCTAAAGGTGACGTCATCTATACGACTTTCCTCCAATAGATCATAAGTGAGAACCAATTAAAATGCGTAAATGATTTAGGAGAGCGGACAGCTGCTTTACAGGGTAGAAAAGAGGGGTGGCGGGGGGCGGGTCCTTATCCGCGTTTCGCGTAAGAACTTTAAAAATATGCACGCGCTATGTGTATTACACCATTTCACGCGTCACGAATTTAAATGGCATATGTAAATTCACCCTTTTTGTGAGAGGAGTTTCATGGAAATCCTGCGGTTTCTTAGGAAATGTAAGAAATTATCCACGGGTTAAGAGTATTTCAGGAGGCAAATCACGTCTAACGCCAGTATGCTGGTTCATAAATTCACGAATCACAATCGCCTTTCTGTAAAACATCATACTCACATATTGATTTTGGCCTTAATAATTTTGTATCACGTATAAACCATCTGTAAAACATCATACTCACATATTGATTTTGGCCTTAATAATTTTGCATCACGTATAAACCATTTTCCACTACTGTCCACCCACGTTTTGCCTAGGGTAACAAGTAGATAATCGCGCGAATATCATCCCGCGGTTGCCACGGGTCATTTCGGGAAACCGCTATTTATGCACGGCGGGCTCGGATCACTGAAAGAGAGGCTAGTGGCCATATTTGTTGTCTCCACGTCACATTGGTCCGATCTCGATGTAAACCCAGTCAGTGGCATTCAAGTTGGAAATGTTTTGAACATTTTCTGCACGGATCAATGGATGCGAGAGACTATTTGAAGTCCGATCTGATTCAGGCTATTTGCTAATCGTCGACTGGCACAAGATGTGTTACAGAAGAAACAAATCGATTTTTCAGGGAGCTGTATTTTTCGCTCTACTGGGTGGCCTTGGCTACACATTCTACTTGTACAACATTGTTTCAATGGACTTAGAGATCTCGAAATCGGAAGCGAATAGGTATCTCCGGAAACAGGAGTCTTTCTCATCTCAGCTTCAAGGTATTTGACAGCAAAATGGGGATCTGTATTTTTGTAGTATTGTTTTTAAAGTGTTAGTGATATTGTTATCATCCTCGTTAAGGACATACTCAGTACCAAACAATACAAAGGCCGATCTTAGACTTATTGGTTTAAAGTGGATATCTTCGTTATTGTTTTGATTAATGCAGAATTGGGGATTTTTTTGTGTACAGCAGAAGGGGAAAACAATCTCATCTGTGTGTGTTCATTTAGATTTCCATACTTTTTGTTAAGTTTTTTGAATTTATGCTAATTTATTATGTTGTACCTGTTGGTGATATAGTAGAACACCAGTATTTAATATGATGAGTGTTAATGCAATCTGAGCGAATATTTATCGTAATATTTGTATGATAGAGAGTAGAAACAGTATCAGTCAAAAGGAAGTAAATTTATCTTAAATAAAACATCCAGCTTAGTTTATCTGCACTGTATGGGAAGCTACCCTGTATTTAATTATTGCGATTAATGAAGCAATCTCATCTGTGTGTCTTTTAATTTGTTGCAGTTGTTTATGAACATCGAGCTCGGCTGGAAAGATCCCTTCAAAAGGAGAAGGCAGATCACAAGAATACCAAACTAGGTTGGATCATAAATAAGTTGTCATAGTAGTGTTCTCTATATGAGAGACAATATTTTCTTTTTCTACGTAGTTTGATTATTTTTTGGCATATTTAAAAATTTTGTTGCAAACATTTGCATGGAAAGTTGAATAGTGCCTTTGTATTTTTCCTTTTTGCAGAGTATTCTAAAAAGCAAAAGGAGTTTATTTTGAATATAACCAGATCCAAGGTGATTTAAATGAATTCTAAGTTTATTGAATGTGCAAATTATGATTTTAGCCAATAACTTTGTGAAATAAATCACTTTGTTGATACTATTGTTTGATTTCAGCATGAAAACATGAACAGGTTCAATTCTTTAGAGACTTCACACAATATGCTAAAGGTTGGTAAATGATAACTGCGCAGTAAATAAGTTGAGCTCGCTTATTTTTTGTGAACTTCAACTACAATGTAATAATGAAGTGTTATTGATTGTCTCCAGTTGTAGTCTCTGCTTATTTTGACTGTACATTACTATTGCTATTAACTTCTGGGCAACATCTCATGGGAACACATCAACCAATTGTACCAATCAGAACTGTTGAGAACCAACCAGTGACAGCAGAGTCTTATGTTCTATAAGGAGATGAATGATTAGTCATCCTCATCTCTCCTATAAAAGACTCTGCTGCAGCTAGGAGTTGAAACATTACAATCCACATAGCTAACAACATAAAAAAAATTTTTAAAGCATTCTTTTTGCCCCAGAAGTTAGATGTTTCTCTGTATTTTAATTGTGATCAATGTATCATAGCTCTCTCTCTGATTTTCTACACTTAAAAACTTACTAAAAATCTCTTTGTAAAAATTATCATGATTATTTTCCAGGCCCAGAATAAAGAGCTTGATACAGAATATAGCCGTCTTCAGCAACAATACTTTCGTCTCAGTTCAGAGCATAACACTCTTAACAACCAACAAAAAAGGAACTATCAGTTGTTTAAAGAACAGAAGGCAAATGAGATAACATCACTTGATGGTAATGTCACTTGTTCTCTTACTGTGCCCATTCAGCTAGTAGTGCAATTTTTTTAAGTGCGTTAGTTTGATTATTTGTTTGGCTGAAGATTGATCATGGCCAGCAATATTTCTAATAACACACCAGTCACCCAGCTTTGATTGTAGATGTCCCATCTGACTGCTGGCCCAGTTAGTGTATGAGTGTGCTTGAATGACACAAAAAGATTCATTTTACACATATTTCAATTGAAAACATCGCTCTATGTTCATTTATGTTATTGTCAGTTCTTATATCATTTATGACGAAGCCTGCATCAACATGCCCTTTGTATTGAAATTAGATATGTGTAAATTGACAGGTTAGCTCAGCAAAGTAAGTGGAAAAAGAAAATTACAAATTTAATAGATGTTCATGTAGGACTAATGGGTCAATATTGTAATAATAATGTTTTGTAATATGTAGAGGAAATCAAAACACTGAAGAAACAGGTTGTGGCATTAAGAACACATCTTAAGACAAGAGAAGAGGAACTTGAGCGCTATAAGGTTTGCACATTTATCTTTGTCAGAAAGAATTGATAAAACAGTATAGACTAAGTTGGGTAATGAATACGGGTAATGTCAACTTTGTGACAGTCCTACAATCTTGTAGACTCCACAAATGAACTGATTATAAAATGATGCATATTAAATGATCATTATTTCTTAATAAATTATATGGCTTACCACTGTTTGGTCTTCAAGCTCTGAAATTGTTTGAAAAGGATATATCCCATTTGGTAATTGGAGATCAAAGAAAAAACTGTGTATCTGAATCTGATGCATCAGATTAAGCAAGGGTACAATGTATTTCTTTACATTTACCAGCTGGTTAATATCTTGTTGGCTATTTCTTGTAGTTGTCCAGCGCTCAGGAATTGAGACAAAGTGAGCAATACCAGGAAACAATTAGCACTCTAGAAGAAGAACTTGCATCTTACAAGGTAAGTTTCCTACAAGACAGCTGAACTTAAACAAGTATGATCATTATTCATCTCAACACCACTGAAACTGGTTTACCCAGCTTATCTCTCCACAAACTATGGTGATGGACCTGAACTCTTCACTGCCAATTTTTTTAGCTTTACATGAGCCTTCTCCAGGAATGTCCGTGGAACAGTTCCATCATGGGACAAAAGCTCACCAACCAAATGCAGTCAGAACCTTTCTTACCTGTGGTTGAATGCCACTTCACTCAAAAATCAAAAAGCTAGTGTATGTAACCACACCAGCTGTAGCTCAAGTTGGTTAGCTTTTATTTATTCATATAAGTGGACTGCTGGTAGCTATAGAATGGATGTTGAGGTATTACATTTTTTTGGTTGTCAGAAATCACTGGAAAGACTCGAAAAAGCTCAGCAGAGAAGTCAAAAAACTGTTGGTCAGAACAAACTTGAAAAAGATAAAACATCAGATGCTAGACAGCAAGGTAATGTGATAGATATCTCTATCACAATCATAATCAGTCAGTAATAAGCCCTCTCCTGTTTTGAAAATTTTCAAAGTCCCCCTTTCATACTGATTAATGTGCCTCCCTCTCCTCTCCAGTATTGGCACCATTCCTTTCCCCCCCAAAAAAGAAAGGCTGGCAGAAAAACTTACTTTGAAGGCTTCAGAGACAGATCATTGGAGTTTTTACTGTTACACTGACAGGAATAAGTAACATGATAAAAGAAAGCTGTCTGTAAGAAAAGCTCAACAATCTTGAGAACCATAGAATTACTATTAATGGGATTAGTAAAGAAAGGATGGTGATGCTGAAGGTTATTTTTTGATATTTTATAGGTAGTGATCTACATAACTCTTTTAAATCTGAAGTATTAACACAGGGAGACAAAGAAAAAACAGAGGTGGAAAAAGCAAAGTATGTAGTGTAATTTACTGTTGTAGAATCCCATGAATAACAATTGCTGATGATGAATCTTTAAATGTTCCAGTGGAAAATTAATTGTTGTATTTCCAACAACAATAATGTAGCAGTATATAAAGACATTTTTCACCTTCTTACACCAGTTTCCATTGTTTAAGTCAAACAGGTTCACTTGGAATGGAGAGCAGACATGCTGATGAACACAAAGTCCTGGACCGCCATCGTCGAGAGACTTCCCTACCAGCCACACATTCCAGTAATGACAGTAATAACAAAATGAATGACTCTTCTGAAAGATGGATTGTATTATTTAGAAAAAGTTTTGTTCTCTAACTCAGTTAGAGTGTGTGGATTCATAATAATCATCTTTTCTTCTTTTTGAGCTTGCCCTGTTTACTGCTTCCATTTGAGGTTACATCTGTATGCTGAATTTTATTTGTCTTTTAACAAAGGGATTAGAACTTCTTTAAATCTGAAGATGTTTTCTGGGATCTTAAAACTCTGCTTGAAAGTTTCTCATTCTTATTATCAAAATCTCATAATTGGTTTGCCTGAAGTGACAGAGGAAAACAGCCCCTTGTACTCCTACAGCTTCTGTTGAACAGAGGAATGTCAAATATGTAACTTTGCAATTAGGAAGATGGTGTCGGTTAACTGCCTAAAATATATTATTGTTAAAAAATATTAACCTTAAACCCCTAAGAGCAATTGGTGTCAATTAAATTCTTCTTACAATATCAACCCTGGATCCCACATTAAGCACGCAAAAATTAAGGATTTGACCACCAATTGAAGAACCTCTTGTTAGCACCTTACAAATTGTATAGAGAGGAGTATGGAAAATATTGATACTGATGTTTGGGTGTAAAGTTTTTTCTTCATCTTTTTCTTGTTCGTAAAGATGCTGATGAGGAGAAAGGACTCACAAGTAAGAATCAGGAACAGGACAATATTCAGTTAGGAAGAAGGGAAGACAGCAGAAGAACTGAAGACTCATTCAGTGAGAGTGAGCAGGTCCGCCATGATGTTCCTTTGAGGGACAGTGAGGAAGACACCAGGAACACAAATAGAAAACATGGAGTCCATGTTGTCTCTGCTACAGATAAATCTGTGAATGGATGGGAAAGTATCATCAAGGTAAACCAGTTTTCTACAAATATACTAATAATGCATTATGAGTGGCAACTCTGTTATGATAACGTCCTGTATTTTTGTAACATTGAATTTCCGTGTAACTTTTGAATCTTTTGACAGGCCGAGCGAGATAGTCGAAGAGCCAATCAGGAAGGAAGAGAAGGCAACGAAGAAGGCATAGAGGAAGAAGGCGAGGAGGAAAATGTAAGAGAGAGAAATAGAAGATCAGTTGATGATGCAGACACCTCCCGACTACAGAACAAGAATGAGCAGAATTATGTTCAGAAACAACCTGGCGAGGGAGAGGTGGCAAATGAACGCAGAGGCGTGGCTCAGCTGGGAGACAAAGATGGTGAGCAAAACGAACAGGGATACCAAGATGACGATACAAGGAGACGGCGTGCCCAGTATGGCGAGAAACAGAGCAACAAACGGGGTGAAGAAGAGGCACTGGAAGGAGATGGTCAGGACAATGAATTATCGCGAAAGAAAATAAATGAACAAGTGGCTGGAATGCAGGAAGACTTTCACGAGGAACAAATTCAGCAACAAAATGAGGACTGGGAAGATCAACGACAACTAAAACAACAAATTCAACCACAGTTTGAAGGACTCTCTCTTGAACGAAACAAGCATTATGAAGCAAGGGAGTTGCCAACACATATTGAGTTGACCGCCATCCCAGCCACCTCACACGACACAGCTCAGGACCATAGAGATCGGTCTGATGGTATGTACATTGTTATTTTTGCTTTCTTTTTTGGTGGTGCTTGAAGCACTACATGATAAGGAGTCCCCGCATTTTTAGTGTTTCATTAGATACAAAATGTGTCTTTGAATTTGAGTTGATGTTACTTTGGAATACAGGAAGACCCGAATGTAAGACTGACTTTTTTTCAAATTAGTCCAAAATATTCCTACATTGTGCATGATTGATATTTTATATGGAGTTGTTAAGCTATTTAGTTCAATAAACAGGTTCCTCATTTTCCGAGAAAAAATGTTTGATTTTAGAAGAGTGTTACTGCTGTCTCTTCTTTTCAGCAAATATGATTATGTCGAAATATCGACGCTCATTCCAGGAGTGGCTAGACTAATTACTAGTCCTTTGCTGACATACCCCTAGAATTTGGTCAGTTTTCCTCAACAGTTTCCTGGTTCCTATATATATATATATATATATATATATATATATATATAGATAGATAGATACTCCTGGCATGGGTGGAGAGAGGTAGTACCTATTTATACTCCTGGCATAGATGGAGAGAGGCAATGTGAAAATTGTATCTTTTGCCTAAAAAACATCACAGTGGCACAGGCAGGACTCGTGCTTGGACCTGTCGCACTGTTCATCGAGCGCTTCAATTGTGGTTTGTGGAGATGTATATTAGACGAGGAATTCTGAAGTAGCTTAAATTGCGGGTTATTTGTAAGCACAGTAAAGGAATGTTACAGTTGTTAGTCAGTCTGAAAAGTATCTTGTTTCTATAGCTGAAAATGATGACGAAGATGCCAATACTGAACAAGACACAGAGGAAGATCCTGATGATGTTGAAGAAGTTCAAGAGAACGACAACATAGAATCATTCAAGCAACAACAACAACAACAACAACACCAACAACCACTAAAACACGACACACAGCGGATTAAACCAATCCAGGGTCAGCAAGAGTTACACCACAAGGAGAGGACCTTTAACAGAGCGTTAAAACATGCTGACGATAACAATAATAATGAACAAAGCCAACAAGCGTAGTTAAATATTAATTTCTCCTACCTGTGACCACACCTCTTAATAGCAATGTGGCAAATACTTTAGTAATGAGAGAAGGAAAAGGGGATGCGGTATCTCTGTTCTCTCGTTCCCTTCTTTTTTGCTACCATCTTATGAGTCCTCGGTGTTCACTGATTGATTCTCCCAACCCTTCTCTACAGTTTCTCTATCAAATTTATTCTTGAATTTGGAATTCGAACATCAAAGTGAACACGCGCTGTTCCTCATGGAGGAACATATAGCATGTCGTTTAAGTTTGGTGTTGTATATGACCGTTCGTCAAGTCACGCTCGTGCAGTGACGTTAATTCAGAAGCTCACTGAGCTTTTGCGAATATTTTGCTGAAAGTTGCTTAAAGTGTGTACAGCAGCCCAGAAATTTGAAGAAGAGAATACTTTGCCTTATTTTATTGGTCGATTCGGTTCGCTTAGTTATGATCTGGGACAAATTAATTTATTTAGTAAATGGAGCATTAAGTTAAGATAACGAAGGGGGTGAAGGTCAAAATATCGTTATGTGCGACTCTCTTCTCCGTAGAAAAGTAAAGAAAGTGTTCTATAAGTACTACTGTATTGGTATCCGTTTAAAATTCATGCCACTGCAAAGCTTATTTATTGCTTTTTCCAATGTAATTCGGCGGTTGATTCATATGTTTACAGATTTCACTGCTTACATAAAGTTCTAAGACCGCATTTAAGGGATCTACTGAATGACATCTCTAGTGTTTTTTGCTATCAAGTTCAGTACTATTGAGGAACCACAAGATGTTTTTCCGTCATGACACCACCTCTACCTTATGTTATCAGTTGGGCTCCGTGCTTCTATTGCCATGAATTATCTCTTCAAGACGTTCTTGACATATCAGTAGTATAAAGTAAAAATAGGCCGAAAAAAGAAAAAGGATTAAAAAGAGAAGAATGGCAAAGAATGGAGAATATTAACGCAAAACTTTAGGATAAATTTTTCAAAAACGTTACGTGGCTCCTTTGTTTCTAATATGCTTTTGGATAAGAAAAAAAGCCAACATATCTTTCACGCTCTGATCTAACAAAAAACTAACGCGTATTGTATTGGTAAACTCCAAGCTGTTTTGCAAGAGCATTAAGCCGCCCATTCTATCGGTTTGCCGCCGTTTTTACAGAGAGTTTGGAAGATCGCTTAAGGGTTTGTAATTTAAGTAATGTGGGTTCATTCCCAGTATTTAAGTAGACGCGGTGAGGGTTACTGCACTGGTAAACCGATAGAACTGGGGTCTGTTGGATATCAATTCTCAAGGGGTTTCCATATTTTGTGCAGTTTGTACGTGTAAATGATTAAGAATTCACAGTACACAATCTAGACGGTTAAAGAGGTAATAGTTTTCGATTCATATCAAAATTAATCATATGCTTTGTAGGTTTAAACGTCAGGAAAATCTGCAGTACCGTGAATAATAAAGAGGGTTACCATTTTAATTGAAGGATTACCTAATTTACAATTTTTCAATACAATCGAGAAAGGTAAAGCTTCACATGATATCTTCCTGTCTTGTCGGTTGCGATGTCTTCTTTAACGTGCACATCAAATTGCAGTGTCGAAATCCGCATATTAGTTGCGTTATTATCGTTTAAGATTTATTATATGCCTGTGCGTTACAAATCATTTTAACATTAAAATCTCGTGATTTGAAATTTTGAATTTCCTCTACCTTGCTATACCAGTCTAATTGTATATTTTCACTACTTCGGCATAAGCCATCAGAAAAGTGATGGGGGAGGGGTGGGGCGAGAGCAAACACATACGAAACACATTTCCTACTACATGTCAGCTGTTAAAAGGAAAAGTATGCTCACGACTGCCGCACAGAAAAACTGCCCAGTTGATCCCTCTGGATCCTAATGCACAAATTTCTCCAATCATCAGCAGCACAATTTGAGCGGCAGTGGTATTAAAGATTCAGAACTCGTATTATACAAAATATGTTACAGAAACAAACACGAAGGACGTGCATAGTCGATTTACGGAGGGATTTTACACAACAAATTAAGACACACGGACGGTTCTAAATACTGGACTTTTCCACAGCTGGTGCATTTATTGTTATTGTTATTATTATCGTAATTATTATTATTTCCAATAACACTACTACTTTGGAAGGTACACCTCAGAGTTAGCTTTACTTTGCCTCTTATCGTTTCGTTGGTTTTCCTGTTTGGTCGAAATTATTGGCCTTATGTGACCCTTGTACTTCGAGGTTCTTATTCCAGGGCCAATCTTTTTGCCTAAAACTCGCGTGATGCGCCTGCGATTTCGTATATTTAACATTTTAGAATTTGGGCTTAAGCGTTGAACGTGTGGTAAGGTGAAGCTAAGCCAGATTAATAATCACCAGAGCACTGTTATTAATATTACTTAGTAGTTATTTAGCAGAATATGGATAGTGTCTTTCTTAATTGTTGATCATTTTCATTCCTAATCATTTGGTCATAAATCTCGAATTTGATCTTCAAGTAGTTTTCTGTACTGGTCGAATCCACCATCTTGTCTAATGATAGAGCCATTGGAGCATAACCAGACTTCTTTACATACATTTCTAACAAGTCTCTCGTCATGGGTAACCATTATTACCCCGCCCTGCAAAGAGGTGAAAATGTGTTTATAAATTTGGCAACAACAAGCGCAAAAACTTGTTAGAGTAGTACTGAGGCTTTCAAAAAGGAATGTTTATGACTTTCACTAATAAAGAAATCCCAACATGAAAGAGTTTGAAAGGTTACAAGCTTAACGACAACGATTACATGAACAGACAACTGTGAGAAAAAAAAAAAAAAGAGAAAGGTACCATATAATTGTTCAGAGCAACTCCAAGAGCCTCTATAGTCTCCACATCTAAGTGATTTGTGGGTTCGTCCAGAATGAGAAAGTGTGGTCTGTAAATCAAAAGAACAACACTAAAATGAAGACTCGGGAGAGGATCATTTAACAGGTTTCAAGAAACAGTATTATGCAGCGTAGCCTTCATTCGGTCATCGTAACACAATCCCCTGAGCTTTGCGTGGAGAACAAACAACATGAAAAGCTGTACCTTTCAATGGTGAACGATAACCTATATGTATATACTTCGGTTTCAAAAGTTATCTAAACAGTTCTTTGAAATACTACAACAACTGATAAGTTAATTTGGTATCATCACCTGAGTTGATAATGTAAATTGGAAACCGTTAAGTTCCAAAGCTAACGTTTCGAGCGTTAGCCCTTCGTTTCGCTCCTTGTTATACTCTCCCGCCGACGCAGCACCACAGTTTGTTTAGAAACTTACCCCCTTTACATAGAAAATGATATACCTCGATCCAAATATATCATATTCTACTATTTTGACCCCCAAAGGGGTTACCACAGAACTAAGGTCTTTGTCTAGATAATTCAGTAGTATTGGAATCGTTTACTCATTTCCTGATCATTTAGGAAGCACAACTGTACTCATTTGCCTATCCCTCGACATCAGTTGGGTAAACAACTAGCTTTAATCTAACCTTGTTATATTTATTTTATTTTCCTATCTCTCAACATCAGTCGGGTAAACAACTAGCTTAAATCTAGCCTTGTAATATTTGCCTATCCCTCAACATCAGTTGGGTAAGCAACTAGCTTTAATCTAACCTTGTAATATTTGCCTATACCTCGACATCAGTTGGGTAAACAACGAGCTTTAGTATACCGTTGTAATGCTCATTATGGACGTACGCACTCGCCTACTCTGTGCACAGTTTACAGAAACAAAGGTCACACATTATGCTTCACCACATATCTGCCCTGACCATATCTTAAGGACATGCGTACCTTATCATACTCATAAGAGCCATGACTACCCTGCTCTTCTGACCACCTGATAAACTCCTCACAGGTCTGATAGCCAAGTCACCAATGACTCCATATCGACCCAGCTGACGGCGGTACTCTTCCTCATGCTGACCTGTGATGTAATCCAGTACATTCGACTTATTCGTGACCTTTTCACAACGAACAAACCCAACAGAACGACCCAACAATTTAGACGGATCAACACTGACTTATCATGACCGACTTAAGCCAATAACATAACGGAAAACCCTGACAAATAAGTTTACACGAACTGGACTAAGTACACTCGACTGACCACTACTCGTCGCTCAACTCTGATGACGACTTCCACTATAGTTGAGGAAAAGTCAGTCACTACTACCGACAACAGTCCTTGTCAGGGCTTCTCTCACACGGATGATCGGACAACACGATGAAATGAAAAAATGAAAGTACAGGTTAACTCCTATTTTCTTCTGTACCTGGAAATTTAGAGGCAAGCAAAGCCAGTGGAGTAAGTTCTGAACCAAGTTGATCAACGTGATGTTGACTGAAATAACCAATCTTTAAATTCCTATGAAACAAAAATACCCAACAGTCAGGATCCGTTCCAAAACATAAATGTTTTTATGTTCCAGTGAAACTTTTAAATCACGGGGGACGAAGTTTTGAACTAAGAACTTTCCGGAGATATTTCTAGCAACTCTTTTACAAAATACCTTGACAGTCCTCCGAAATAACATGCCATTCTTACCCTTAAAAAATCTCTTTGTTCTCAAATAAAATAAGTGTTATTTTACCGAGCGGCACGCTAGTTATGACTTCAAACAACACGTTCGTTAATTTTAAAAAATTAATCTTCACTAAATATTTTAGACTGTCATTAGCAGTTCTCCATCCTCCCTCCTTTGTTTTATTCTTTTCCATTCATTGTTAATCTAACGAATTAAATCAATTATTTTGACGTTCCCCTTAAATTGAAGTTTTTTCTACCCCAGAAAACTATAAAAAGAAAAACGCGACGTTAGATCACATCTTCACCTGTGAGCAAATTTGAGTCCAGACACTGGCTCCAGGTCTCCTCGTAGTAATTTCAAAAACGTCGTTTTCCCTTGGCCATTTTCACCGACCTGCATGATAATGGAAGAAGCAGTGGAATTGAAAAAAAAGAGTCAGTCTACATAGCGCAGTTTTTATCTCAAGGAAACTAGATGATAAGTTGGTCAGAATATTGGTTCTCTTCTAGTTAACGAGAAGCAAGCGGCGTAGGATGCTCTTGGAAATTCTAGTAGAAAATAGCTTGTTAAATGCTCCAGCAAAGTGTCTATGTGATTCAGGAAGGGTCAACTTACCAAAGCTATTCTCGACTCTTGATTTGCAGAAAGGCTCACTTTATTGAGAACCACTTTTCCTTTTTCGTAATAGAAAGTCACCTGAGGGAAACGAAACAGTGAAATTTCTCATTACGCTTCAAGCTGATTACATAATGAGACGGTAACAAGAAAAAGATTAAATGATCACTGGGGCTGGAGAATGTTTTTTTTTGCCACGCTTTTTTTTTCTAATAAGACTTGATTTTATAGAGAGCGGTCAAAAAAAATATAGCGAAATCAAGGAGAAAGTCTAACTCTACAGAAGGTCTGAATTTTGATGTGGACAATTCAAGACTTTTGGCACTCTTAGGATGATTTCCAGTACAAGATGCGAGTTTCTCCCTAATAGCACTAAGGGTTCCCTCTCTCCTACAGCAACCACATCGCAACACAGCACGCAATATAAGGTATGAACAACATAAAAATACACCTTATCTGTAGTGTAGACAACATATCGAAAACAACGATTATATTGTATTGATGGAAAACAGACAGCTTAACGATACCTCATCCAGTTGCAGTAGCGGAGGGGAGAGTTTTTCACACTCGGGAAATCTGAAGCAAAAACGTAATGCATCAAAACAACTGAAAAACCTAATATCAAAAAAAGCCTATCAGTATGTTCCTTAACGTTGGTCTCAAAAAAATTGGTTTTGAAAAAATGCCGATCAAGTAGAAGCCATGAATCAGAGACCACAAGGCATTCGCTTGGAAAAAGAAAAAAATAAGCTTACTGTAAGCTAACAGTAATTTTTGGACTTACTTGAGTACCACGGGTGGGTCGACTACAACTGGTTGCAGATCAGGTCTAAAAGGACATAAATAAATAGCAACAGTTACTATAATATGACCTCTTAAACAAAAGTACCAGTCGAATTAGACACTCGACGTGTTTTCGAGCATCATCTAACCTGTGCCTTACTGGAAGCTCGTTGTACCTAATAGAAACGTAATCAGACTTTGCAGTCACAACTCAAAAAAAACTTATAAAAGAGCTTGATCACTGGACTTACAGCTTCTCCAGAGCCTTCAGTCTGCTCTGTGCGAGAGATGCTCTTTTAGCGTTATATCTCCATCTGTCAACAAAGGCCTGGAAAAAAAAATCCAGAAAAGATCAAGCATCAGTTGCTGGCGGAGACGACAAAGGGTCCTAACTTACTGCCCGCCCTACTTTGCACCTCATCTCTACTGACTGGACGCCTAAAACAGCCCTATAATGGCCTGATCCTTGAGGTAAAGTGAACAGTGTTCCAATCGTATTAGCTTTAGAAGGTCTCCAAACACGTTTTACCAGCCACATAAGGTCCTTTTTCAAAGATTCTATGTGCCCTCCTGGTATATCAAGCCAAAACGACGTAAAAGCTGTTCTTTAACTAACCTGAAGATGTTGTCTGTGCATTTGCTGTGCTTCGTATTCTCGCTGCTGATTGGTTAGTTTTTCAGTCATGGTTTTGACAAAATTCTGAGAAATTTAACAAAGAAAAAATGATGAGCTCGCATGTACGACAAATATAATTTATTTTTTCTTATATAATTTTTTTTTCTTATCGAAGCACTGAGTGAGTGCTGCTGAGTGATAATGGTGGAGAAAGTATAACCATTAAATTTAATATTGCACCGTCTACATAGTTTGCACCGTGGCAAACAAACAAACAAACGAAAACAAGGCATAAACTCGCAGATAGAGAAAAATGTTGTATACCTCATAGTTTCCTCTGTACGACTCCAGTCTCTGGGAATGCATGTGAATTATGTCGGTAACGACAGCGTCAAGGAAAGTACGGTCATGGGATACCACAAGGAGAGTGCATGGCCAGTTCTACCGACAAAATACAGTCACGTGTTATATTGGTCTTGGGATTCGTGTATTTGTAAGAGTATCATACCGCAGACCATCCACTGCAAGGGAACTTGTTAGACTTCGAAAAGAGTACCCTGATGTCTCAGAAATAGAGAAGCACCCTGAGTGAAACTTTGGAACCAGATATAAGTATAAAGCAATTTAAAGATAAGAGTTCCACTTCTAATCATTCGGGGCCAAAGTCTATGTCCCTTGAATGCAGCTTCTAATTAATTACACTGTCTTACACCCTGTAAAGTTACAAATGAAGGGTTTTCTTCTTACCAGAAGGTATTTTTCCAGCCATAAAACGGCCTTTAAATCCAACATATTCGTAGGTTCTACACAAAGTTAAAAAAAATAGAAAAGTAGCCATAGCAGATAATATAAATAGTTATTAACTACTTCTTCTCAACAAGGCAGTTGTTCATCCATAACAAGTAGCAACACTGAAAAACAAAACCACATCTGTCAAAGCAGCCCTAAAAAGAGCTATTTTTGGCGATATCAGCGACCGTTTAGAAAAGGTTAAGAGAAGTCCTCATCAGACTGGAGTCGAGTGAGAAGTTGCTTGTTCGTTTTTATGGACCATACTTAACGTATAGGTCAAATAATAGAACACTTATGCAAACACCAAACAAAAGCAGTATTTTTCATTAAACACGTGCTGAAAAATGCATACCGTCACACGCATTTACGCACATTTTTGGTTTTGGTTTTTGTAACTCTCCTGACTTAGCCTTTCCCAAGGTGTTTCGCAAAACAAATAACAATCTACAAATTTAAACTAAAACGCTCCTTAAAGGACGTTGAAGGGAATTATGAGGATTGCAACATTGCATTTTGTGAGGGCAAAACATGGATTCTTTGACATAAGCAAAAATTAAACTCTTTACCCATGTAACAATGAAATTCTTACCGTCAAGGAGTAACAGATCTGGCCTGCAAACAAATGGCACATATATCAAATGAAGCCATGACAACAAACATAAACATATGCTTACTGCCCAGGGACTCATGACTGTTTTCATCTGAGAAAAACACATCATATTGGACTGAACTCGTTTACAATTCTAAAATATGATTTTCTGGTAAGTTAAGTCAAGAGTTGGTTTGACTGAAGAGCTGCATAGTTGAATGAAACTAACCTAAGTTAAACCTTTTAGAAATCTTTGGCTTTATGACAAATTTTAATTCTAAACAGTTTCTCCTTATTTTATTTTAACGAGTTTTTGATGAAAAAGTTTCATTCTTGAGCTGTCACTAATATCTTGAGCACAGAACTATAATACATTGAGCTATAGAGTCATTGTCATAAAATTAAGTTGGAGAGAGAGTTTAAAATAAAAATTGAGTAATTTTCTTACCTACTAAATAGTGTTCTGGCAAGAGCAAGCCTCATTCTCCAACCACCTGACAGTTCTCTAAAACAAATGAAAACTTTTCATTATGTAAACACAATTGAGCGAGCATTCACTCTCCATCAGCTGTGCTGTTCAGTTGATTATTATTCAAAAATCTCTGATTTCTCTGTTGGCTACTTGTAGTCCTAAAATACTGTACACAGAACTAATTCTGAGCATTAATTACTCAGCCATGAATTCAGCCTAATGCTAAAGCAAATGCATAATCATTTTATTAAAAGTAGAGTAGAATGATGTTGTGTATACTGTACTTCGTTTGCTGATTCTGCATTTTTGTTGAAAAACCCAGTCCGGCCAGTATTGATGAAGCTCTGTAAGTGCAATCAATTAGTATTAAAGTTGAGTTACCAAGATGTGCATAGTATCACAGACCAAAGGGTCACCAACAAAGTGGAAATGTTTAGAACCAAGGAGCTAAGAGAAAATTTTCTTTGGTCACAACAAGAAAGGGAAAGGTGAAGACTTTTCCTCAAGCTTTACACTGCATATTAAAAACATTTAAATACTGACCTTGCAGGAGCCTTGTCTGCCTCTATTTCCTGCATCCTTGCATAAACCTACAGAAAAAAAAATAAAGTGATATACTGGTATTATAAATAGATATATGATATGCTCTTCATGATATGAAACTTTGTGTAATCAAACTCAATGAGGGAATTTATTGCACTTGATAATTACTTTCAACCTCTTGGTTCTCTATTGGTCCATGGTAAATTTGAATGCAACAACTTGGCAACAATTCTCCCAATTTCCACTCAACTTCAGGGTAGAAAATCAAATAAACTTTTAATTTGTAACTTTGTAACTGATCATTAGCTACACACCAGAAAAAAGAAAATTATACAAGATACCTGCTGTATATTATACAACATACACATATCAAAATGTGAGTACCTGTGCTAATCGGCTACTAGTGCTGTCAGATGTGTCAGACTTCGGACTGCAAAGAAATGCAACAATAAATGTGTTGGTCAAAAGCATTTTGAAATCAATCAAAACAATTTGTGCCTTCCATACCCTGACAGTGCAAGAAGTTTCCTCTCTTCCTGTAACAGGTTTTCTCTTTCTGTATCACACTCCAAAACACTCTGTAGAACTTGTGTTTCATCACCTTTTACCTGTAGTTTAATAGTTACAAACTTCAAATCCTTTAGAAAAAAACTAATTTTCATAATGCAGTTGGTTCATTTGAATAACTGAACTCATTCAAAAGTCTTACTAACCTCTTGTTGTACACACAAAATAGAAATGTGAGAGGGAACAAACAACTCACGCCTGTGCGCAAAAAGACATCAACAATGTTAGCTGTAATCATTTAGTTTTGATACCAACATACAGTCTCTGCAGAAACCCAAAAAACTATTGCTAGTGTCCATTTAAAATCATGAAATAAAGGTTCAGTTTCTAAAGAGCACAATAGTTTACTTTTAACTTCCAAATCAAAAAGAACATGTGACTAATCAAAAACCATACAAATCTGTTATAATTGCAAATTGATTGGAAAGAAACTTAATCACAGAATGAGAATTTCTAGGCAATTAAAGTTAATAATGGAAATTAATGTAATCTAAAAAGTTAAGCAATGAAGAAGTAAACTTCTAATTTCTTATTAACTAATTAAAAAATGGGTTTCCTATGGCAAAGGCCTTGATTGAGGTGTAGGCTTAATACAGGTTAATTGAGAGGAAAACTGTGACATGACCCTGTGATCACTTAGTGCAAGGTATCTTCTTAATATGGGTTGTGCTATCTATAAGTTTAAGTGCATCTCTAAACAATCATAGTCTCCCTAATGTAAGAAAAACCATTCCTAATGGATCATATCAACAAACTTCTCATAAGCATATAAATAATTATAAAATGTACCTAGAGAGCATTGTAATCAGTGTTGTTTTTCCAATTCCATTCCTACCCACCAAACCATATCTCCTGCCAAAAATTAGGGACAAATCTGCCTCTTTCAGTAACACCCTAAGGATTTTCAAAGAATGAGCTAAGAATGAGCTATATATCTAGTAGGTATTAAATAAACCAACCTTGCAAATGAGAAAGGTTTTGCTAATAGTTAAAGGGGGTCTTTATTACAGCAATAGCATCCCAACAATGACAATTTTCATTTCAGGCTTTCTTTTTACAGCTGCACACTCTAGTTTTTTTTATATAACATAAATGCAATGATCTCTCTCATTGAGATTTTTTTGATTGGCAGTTCAAATATCCGAAAATATCTAGAACACATTATTTAATAACACAAATAAACAAACACTGTGAGAATAGTTACAAAAATTAGTTCTGAAGCTACCAGTAACATGATTGTCAATGTCAGCAGCAACTATTACACATAACTAAGCAACAATTTAAGATCTAGCAAGTGGTGTTCCCTACCCTGTGCCCTCACTCCTACCAACCAAACCCTTGCCCCAACATGAAAGGATATTAGTACAGACAAAAAAGAGTAACTGTGTACTAAAATAAATTGCTTAGTAATTAGCAATTATTTACCACTTACCTTTCAGCATAGGAAAGATCAAAGTTCTCTATTCTGATATCACGACTTTTATTATTACCACTGGCTTCTAATTTGTTTTCCCTTTTGTTTGAACTCTGGCTAGCTGATGCATTGTCTATTTGTCTACAGACAAAAAAAACGTATTTAACTTCAACTGATCTTTCTCTTTCTATTAGCATTTAAATTCTTGTAACCGTGCTGTAAATCAAAATTAGTTTCCATATCTCATCCTGTTGATTATTTTGCTTTCATTAAATACATGTACAACATGGACTAAATACAGATTACCGGTACATCAAAACTTGTATGCATGAGTTAGGAATCTGATGTGATTTCAGGATAAATTCAAACTTTCTCCTATAACCATAACAAAATATGCATGGCACAAACTTCCTTTGAGCAGGGTTTTTCCAAGTTCTAATGCACAGTGTAGATGTTGTACAATTTTTCTACATGTAAGGGAGGAAAATCTTACCTTCCTCTAATTTCATTGATAGGTTCATCTTCTTGTGCACGTTTCTCCTGTTTTGCTTTTAACTTTGCTTCAGCCTTTTGCAGTTTCTTCTGATCCACAACCTAAGTTAACAACAAAAACAGCTTTCTCATAGAGTAAAACAGCTGGGGTCCTGGTAAGGCAGCTTGTCAGTCTTCCTACTTTTAAGGGCTGTGTGGGGCCATGAATGCAGTGTAGGGCTACCAGTATATGTTTCTTTGTGTAGCAGTGTATGTTCACTGTACTTACTGTGTTGTTTTCCCTTTTAACAATCCAAATACTTGATGCATCATCATCTCTCTGTGTTTCTAAATATTAATTTGAAAAGAACAAAGAGAAATGCATTTCACAATAAAACCATATTCCTATCAGTTAAAAAGTTTGTTGATCACATGAATTATTCATAACATCAACCAGTGATTGTATACATGGTATGCAATTCATGGTCATAGGAGTCTCGCAGTTATGTGTATATTTTTGATAGTTTATGCCAGTTCTTGTTTACCACACCAGAACACTAACCCAATTTTTTTGCCATTTCTTGCAGATTAACAGGAGCATGGAGTAACTTATGGGCATTTTGATCTGTGTCAGTACCACTGCAACCATCACTACAAAAAGTGAAGAAAAATTAATACGAATGTAAATATATAAGGTACTGAGACTTTCTGCTATTTAGTGGAGGTGATGCTGATAAAATTTAATACTATTTCAGTAAAATTAATTTGACAACTAATGGTTACAGCATTGGTCTGAAATAATAATTCAAAATAACTAAAAGAAAGAAACATATTAAAGTACATACCCTTTCAATGTGCTTAACAGCTGATTACACAAGTCAATTATTTCATCTTCTCCTTCATCGCCAGCCACCTCAGCCAATATACTTCCAACGGCATCATAAATATCCTCGCCACTCTCAAAATCATCCACTCCACTTTCGAGAATATCTATTTAACAATCGGTGAAAGTTAACTTATTTTGATCCATGAATGGCCAAATTTCCCTCTGACAAAGTGTCCGGTGTGTAAATAACTCTCAGGATCATTTGTAGGTACGAGTTTGACCGCTTGACATTAGAAAAGCTAAGTAACTTGAAAGCCTTCATGTAATAACCACTTACAAATAATTTTTCAGGTAATAAAGTTATCCTCGATCTAAAACCAGTTACGCATATATAAACATACCAGAACGATTAAATGAGAAATCCTTCGATCACACGTTCTATTTCACTAAATTAAAACAAAGTGAACACGCAATTGTTGCCCTCTATCCCAACAGTCAGTACTTCTACCAAATGATGACTCGGCAGAAAAGATCAGTAAAGTAAATACCTGTCACATATTTAAAAAGTTCGTCGTCGATTGCCGGAAATTTGTCTGTAAGAATTCGCCGGCAGGTAGCAAGTCCGTTCGCCATGTTGTTTCACCATCAGCTGAGCCCGCAAAAAGAAAGCGACAGAAAAGAAGCTGTGCAAGGAAATATGTCATGAGATACATCGCGAAAATTCCTCTCTAGTTCAGAAGGGGACTGTTCTGAGGCAATACTTATCAAAGATCTCCATGTTAAAGCCGGGTACGGGTAATAGTTACATTCGTTCCTTAAAATTTTTCAGCAAGATATCGTAATTAATGCATCTCCGCCTCGTTCTATAGTGGATAACTCAGGGTGGTGTACGCTGGTAATCCGAGTGGTGACCCCATCGGCACGGAAAGAAAACTGGCACTTTATAGAGCAACGGGTCGAGACACTGACATTCATCTGATAAATTTATGTTTTAGCCTGCTTCTCTGCCTACACGTCAAAGAGAATACTTTTGAGATTACAGCCGAGGCATTGAAAGACTATAGCTGATGCAGAAGACAGATGCTGAAGGGGCCGGCAAATCAATACATCGGTAAATGTAAACGAAACATAACAAGGTAGAAGATCCGATCAGGCCGAAAGTAAACCAGTCAAGAAAGCAATCCAAGACCCTCGATCGAAAGGACAGCTCTACTGGAAAAAAAGAGGTGCCATGTCCCGCAAATTGAGAAATGGAAAAATTGCATCTGAATTTACTTTTATCGCTTTTGAACTCTGATTTGTGAATATGCCTAACAGAAATGAAGTTCCTTCGGTCCGTTCTCCTGTTTCGATCTGAAGTTCAGCACGATGTCTCCCACGTTTAAATTAAGCATGTTTATTATCTTTTGAGTATAAGTATGTAGTGACAACATGTTACAGAAAACATTAGATTATAATTGAGTTGAGGCAATTCACGCTGGTAAACTTCAGAGAGAGAGAGAGGACAGTGTATTATGTTAAACTAAATATCAAACGATATGTAACTGAACCCCTATGATTTATTCTATAACATTTTATTGTGGTTGGCCTAACAAATGAACACGGACCACAAAGAGTTAATGGGTTTCAAAGAAGCCTACGATGTCGTCTACCCTCAGAACTCAGCTTATTCCGTTTTAGAGTCGACAGTGTCTTAAACACTACTCTCCATCACACCCTGTGACTTCAGGCAGTACCGAGTACAGAGATCTTCTGTGTCTGACTCCTCTTCCATCAGCGTCTTCAACGCCATTCCAAGAGCACAATATGTGGCACCACTTCCCTGAGCCCCTACCCAAGTACACAGTGTAGCAAAGCACTTGTCAAACAGGCTTGTTTTATCGCGCTCAATATGCTCCCGATGTTTTTCGTTTAGCAGGATGCGGCACAATTGCTCCCACTTGTTACCGACATCATGCGCCAGGCGCAGTTGATCATCATGAGACACCACACCAGGTTTAAACTGCAACTGGGCTGTAGGGATAGTAAAAATTGGTTTACCAACACAGTTAGGGTAATTCAATCGTTTTACTCAAAAAGATGAGTAAATAGGCCATCTAATCAACACGGGACATGGAAATAATATTGACATTCAGTTGAATGGAAAAATTAACTGTCAATTGCAACATTCTGGAATTACTTTGGCTAGCTTTGAGCGCCACCGGCTCAAATTCAAAGGCAAAGTGCATTTTTTCAAATGTGTCATTAATCAGGGCTTTGTGAAAGTCTCATCCATGCAAAGCAAGAGAGTTGTAATAATTAATCCCCAAATAACAAATTATTTACCTGGATTCTGATTTGTGCAGCGTAAATGCTATTGAACAAAAATAAATAAATTCATTAAACCCAGATCTGGATAAAGAAAATGACCAAGCTTTCACGTGATACATTTCAATCAAATCAACAAAATCCACCGTCTTGTAACTCAAAATCGTTCAGCAGAAAAAAAGTCTATCTAACGGTAACCAGGCAACTGATTACACAAACTAGGATGATTTATGATCACCTCCAAGACCAGGATTATACAATCAATCAAAACTAAGGCTATACAATCAAACAACAAATCAAAATCACTGAGTCATTCACTAAATACATATATCAATTCTGATATTTCTAATGAAAAAAACTACAAACGGCATCTAAGTTTCTTTTGTATCATACAGTGACTTTGGAAAACTGTTGTGTCTTGATGGATGGTGTTTTTCAAAAATGTCAAACTTGATGTTCTTAATGAACAAATCATGTGGTCCACTCTTATAATGCCACCTTGTCCAAGTCTCCCAGATTTTTTCGCTTTTTCCCTTCACCACTAATCCCCCCCCAACACCTATTTAGTAACTGAACACATACTAGAGGCCAGTCCAAAATCCCTCTCTTTTCCATGTAATTTTGTGCAGAGAAATTCGGTTGATTTTGGTCACATTACCTAATCCTGATTATTGGTCAACTGAATCGTTAATAGTTCCCATACCTTAACCCAAGGCTTAAGTTTTTCCTCGCTGAGCAAACAACTTGATGATCTGTAGGTTCTGTCACACATCAAAGGCTTTGATACTAAAGGAATGAAGTGTGAACAGTCAGGATGAGGACATGAGCGTGCACGATGCCATGAACAGCCCTCGGGATCTTCGTCTTCACCCATACAGAGGTCACATCGGGCACACAGCTCCCACTCCATGGAGTATAACCACGGATGCTGCGCACAAAGAGACTTCAGGGTACGTTCTACAGTACTGAAAAACAAAGCAACTTTAACAAAGTAAATCTGCACCACTTTGTCACCGACGAATTTTTAGACGAGATGTTTTGGCTTACACTATTTCTGTTTAACGCTCACTATAGGATACGAATTGTATGCTGAGCCTGTGTTTAAACACTCAATATATCTCCTATACTAAGTTGCTAACTCAGAATAAAATACTCACGCTACTCACTCTTTGAACCACACCAGTTCTTTTTCAACGAAAAAGCTCCTTGATATCAGTTCAAACAGAATGCGAGGAACAACCTTCTTTGTACTTGTGTATCATATCATTTAGTGTGATTTACGAATTGAAATATTGTTACTTCAAATGTTTTATCAGTATAAAAACTGGAAAGGGGGACTCAACTAAACTTCCCGTTTCCATTGCTATTTTTAATTTCTTATGTAATGCTTTAAAAATTACGAAGAGTTGATCATACAGTCTGATCTTCCAGTTGAGGGTTCGGACGTTGTGCTCTAACAGGACTGATTCGCATTCGATGATGAACTTTTTGCTCATGTGAAGTACAAGATTCCGAATTAAATTTATTTTTGCACATCACCAACCTGCAAATATGTCGGCAGATGGAAGCCGTTTCTCGTCCATCCTCAGATTTCCCTTCAAAAACCAGATGAACCGTTATGACACTCTTGAAGCAGGCTAACGTCAAGTTGTAGTTGCTTTGCTGGCCGACGACAAATCGAGCTGCGTTTGCGAAAAGCTTCGGTGGAGTGGCAGGACACTCGGGAGAACTTTGTTGACCAAATAATACCAGGAATCTGCAGAACACGCCATAAGGAACATATCCAGAGGAAAATTTAATGTAAATTGGAGCAAGCTTCCCTTGACCAATCAGTCCAGATATATCTTTGTCTGGTTTAGCAGTCAGCATCGAGGGCACAAGATAGACCACTTTGCCATTTTGCTCATTCCAGTGGCAGATGAGGTTGCTTTTTTCCATAATTAAAATTAGCATTTCTTGGGAGAGTTCAAGTTTAAGTTTCTTACATGTATATTCAATAAGTTCATTAGACAAGATCCCATCTTTAGCAAGAATCCGGCGATGTTCCCGAATTTTCATTGTCTCTCTCTTGCCGGGGACACTTCTAAGAATTTCACAGAATACATTGATCAGCCATTGCGGGTCGAGTATCACCAGACTGTTGAACAGGTTCGACTCGTCTTTAAAGTAGAGAACTGCGCCACAATCGCACAAGAAATGCAACAATTCCTCGCTATCTTCTTCCACTTCGAATTGGCAAATTTTGTTAGAAACTTCCCTGAATTCCATTCTGGTGATGTGCTTGTATCCTTTGCTGGCTAAGTGATGAAGTAACTTCTCAACGTGGAGCCACTGCAACGGTATGAGTTGCTTGGTGTGAGGCAATGTTGACGCCACCGAGATAATTTTCTCTCTGAGTCTGTGGACATTTTGATCCTCATGTCTAAAAGGCTGTCCAGCACGAGTGTTGTCGACAACAAATTTGTCGTCGACGATATGGGATGAAAAGGCCTTGCCTTCAAAACTCTCGAGGATCTTATTCATGGCATCCCATGGATCTCCAGTCACCTTATCGGCATGAGTGCCGACCAAGATGACCGGAGGTTGGGCAAAACCCTGAGGATCTACGGCATTATGGGTAGGATTCCGAAAAGAATGAACCAAATCCATCCACTTCATGAGATGATCAAGACTAGACTCGCCCTTAGTCGCTGTCCTGACCCCCGGCTGTTTGGTTTGCTTTGCACTGTTATCTGCCCTTTGTAACAAGTCTTTGCTCAAGTCAGACACAAGTAGATACACAGCTTCACGCGACATAAAGATGGGATGTAAGGCGTGATATAGTGATTGGCCTGCGAAGTCCCAGATCACTGGCCATATCTGATCTGCACCAACTGAGTGAGTGCCTTGTTGAAGCATACGTTCGACCAAGATCATGATCTCCTGCGACAGATGACGGAAAGGTTCGGGGTCATTGGCGAACACTTCATCTTGGAGGACTGGTGAAGTGGGTTCGCCAGGGGTATTTTTCTCCCCCGCTGATAAAAAAAAAAACATTTGAAAAACAATTTGAGTCAAACAACTCCGTCCACATCAACATGATGGTACACTAACTTAAATCGCACACGATAACCAAGTAAAGACGTCTAGCCCAAAATTACGAACACTGTATACGGATAAGCTTAATAATACAAGTTTAACTTGGTACCGGACCGTCATATTTGACTCGCTAACCTCAATCAAGGGGTTAAATTGCTATTCAAAAGATAAAATTTGGGGTCACAAAACCAATCCACAATGTTCGCCGAATAGAGATCTTTCGGGACCGAAGTTGCTCGAAGACGTTTAACATTACTCTAGATCTGACACTTACTGAAAGGGACTAGAGACCTGCATGCATACAGCTGACCTAGGATTAATGCTAACCGGCTTGAGGACACCTAGGAGTACACCAATGTTACCTCTCACATGACGAGATCTACACATCAATACATAGCCTGATCTACAAAGTTAAGCTCTTTAACACTTACATCCAATATATGGGAACGTGGGCGAGCCTCGAGAGCTCCTGTCGCCACTTGATGAACTTTCGTAACCACTGGATGGAATACTGGTCCGTGAAAGATTTTGTTTAAAATCAAACTCTTCTTCGCTGTGCACCCCATTAGACAGACTTTGTTTAGTTTCAGGTTTTTCATCATGCACATCTGAAGCAGCAGATTTACTGAGTGTCTTTTCTAGTTCGTCATGGCCTCCTGACAACTGCCTGGCTACCAACTGAGCAGTATTGTGATCAAACATAGTGGTAGGTAACTCATTAGAAACGGATTCTGGTTTCCATGGCTTTTTTCCGACTCTTAACAAAGGTGGGTCCATCTGCACACCTGCTGTGCTGACCTCATCTCTGTTGAACTTGTCACCCATGAGTGATCTCTTAACACTTGTCTTGCCTGCATGGTCTTGTCCAATCAGCATGACTCTCACACGAATGTCGCATGTTTTACCATACTCTAAAGCTCTGCTGTAAGCCTCTTTGGCTTTAATACCTCTTGCTAGAATGGCAGGTGGAATGAGGCCTGCAGGAGAGAAAAATACCCTCTCTAGCTCTGTCTCTAACTCATTAACTTTAACTTTACAAGGCAATGACTGCTAATGTAACCTGTAAATGTAACTGGAGCACTGTGCTGACAGGAAATTGGTTCAGTCAGGGCACTAAGCTTGCGTAGGAAATTTCACAGGCTAAAAGTTTAGGCAGCAACCCTAGGTCAACACAGAGCTGCTTTTCATGTATGCTGAGGAAGATTTAGGCCTGTCTGAGAAACTAGAGATCTGGTTTATAACTTCATTAAAACTGAAAAGTCACTAAGAAACTGAAAGCAACATTAAGTGATAGGGAATTGACATCCCATATAATTTTCTGTGCAAATATCAACTTCAAGAGGATAATCAACTCATAACCAAGCACAATTTCAGAAGTTTTGGACTACTACCCAAACATTCAAAGCACAATTTAAATCAATGACTCAGAGCTGGTGTATTATAAATTATGGCTTCTCCTGGCATGCTCCTAAGTGAGGAGTAGAAGAGTACTGTTCAACAAACTGAAGAAAGGTTCTAAAAGTGATTAGGAAAACAGGGCTGACATCTTCAAGTGCAACCATTCAGGGGAAATTTCTAAAACACCAAGCCTTACCTTTTTGCTCTTTATTAAATTTCACTGGCTTGGTGAGAATTGTAGCTAGAAAACCACTTGGGCGTTTATAGTGCTGAAAGATAAATATCATCGTTTATTACTAACAATTTAGAATTACCATCAATTATACACATCACTCTGTTCCCTTAGCTATTACCTTATGCTGCATTTTCATCTTTCTTCTGAAATAATGAAATAATGTTTTTCTTTATTTATTAATTCCTTTTCCTTTACTAACTTTCAACTACACTACTCATATCTTTAATTCAGTACTATACTGTACACGTACATGTTGGTCAAACTGTCCAAAGTATGTTCAACATAAGAAACCAGAAGTAGCCTGATGCACATTGACTATCTGGAGTATGACTAAACTATATGACTTACAAATATTTAGACTTCCAAATATTGTACATCATTGTGCTTCTCTGATTAACTTTTGGTACGTCATTGGCACTCACCTCTACCAATTGAGACAGGCTGCCAAAGTGTGACTTCTTATCAATGTTGTATAACTGTTTCTTGTACGACACTCGATAGGACTGATGCTTGCCTTGAAGCCTACAAGCAAAAACACAAACAGCTTGCAATGACATACAGCATGCAAGTGTATGGGATCAAATTGGACACCAATGGCTCACAAAAATATAGCCTTATAAAAAGGATGGTTGTACTAGCTCCATTACTAAAAGCTTGTTGTTTCTGACCATCAATCTTCAGCAATCAGTATAAAAATTGGAGCATAAAAGATGATTAAGTTGTAATTAATGTATAAATGTACAATTTGCATGCACTAATGCTGAAGTTACAATACACAATTGTCTGGTTTAGAATACCATCTAAAACACATTAGCCAGTCCTTTTCAAGTTGAAACACTCCTCAAGTCATACAACTTGATGGGTCAATCACTACCATCAAAAATAAGTTTCAATCAGTGAGACTGAAGGACCTGAGTATGCAGAACAGAATCAAGGCACATTACAGGGATAAACTACAGCTGCTGTACTTTCTTGAATACAGATATTCACTGTTCAGAACAAACCAACAACACCTAACACCACCTACTTCTGATCAAATTATTATGATAGTAAACTTTATGGACTGTGATTCCCTGAAAATTCCAGGAATATATGAGAGAGCTGTTCAACAGAAGAGAACTGAGGAAAACGTTCCAATAGAATTATAATAACTATTAGAAACCAACCTATCACAGCCAAACATAAATGTAACACATTACAAGATGACACTTAGCTTGTCAAATTAATCAAAAAAAGAAGACTAGCACTAAGCAGTTAAAAAGAGTGATCCACACTTCAGGTTTATACATTGTGAAACACTAATTACTTTTGATTTCTTATAGTTGTCATCATGGGTTAATAACTCACCAGACCAAGAGTGCATAATCTCCTGGAGAATTAGCACTATCTCTTATAAGGAACATTCCATCAGTCACATGGCCTAGCTCCTTCACAACAGATTCTATTTCTTTCTCTGACATTTTGCCAACATACCAACTGAGTAAAAAAGAAAGGACAGAGACAAGATTTTATCACATTGAATAACTGGTGATAATGTATGTTTGTATCAAAAAACCATAGTTATCCTAAAATCATAGTTATATTTACCCTTAATTTGGAACCTGAGGTAATTATTTAAAATTTCAATGCAGGTTGAGATGAGAAATGATCATAACCAGAACAGATCAGTTTTTAAATCTTGGCATAACATATAACATAGACTTTGTAATGACATGAGAAGTTGATCAGGAAAATTATTTTGGCTTTAAATAGTGGCACAATGGACCCCAACCCAACCCTAACTACTCCCATCCCTCAAATTTGCATCACACCCTCGTAAAGTGAACAGGCGTTGCCATTAATGTACTTTAATACCAGACCCTTAAAGTTTCTTAGGACCTTTTCAAATTCTCCTTTGATTCAGTGTTGACAGTACACTAACTAGTCCACAGACTATATTAAATACATGAACATACTCTTCATTCCATGGGTGAACTTGAACATGAATAGTTGAGTTGTTCAAAATACGATGGTCTCTCAGAGAAAAATTGTGCATCACCAATGCCTTGTCATTTAGTCTTATTAATTGAGAGTCAACAGGCACTCCACTCAATTCTTCAACTTGTTTCTTCAAATAATCCACTTGATAGAAAGGACTTGTCAGAAGTGAGAACGTCTTTTGTCCAACTACCACAGCAAGATTAATTTTTAGGTCTGGATTTGTGCAAAGACGACCTCTTTGTAAGTTATTGTCTGAGGATAATTAAAATGTAAAAGAAATGACAATTTCATACATCAAATCTTGTACAAAGTTCCCAGGAAACACATTTTATGGAGAAATTTCACATAACTGGGATACCATTAATTTTAAGAACTTCTGTCACCTCGAACTGTGAATTTCTTTCACAAACGCATTATAAACTGATTGAAAACTTAAAAGCTTGAAGTTCCTGAATCTTAAAAAAGACAAACTCTTCACAATATAATAAGTCTCTTGAGCAAGGAAATCAGGCAGGGACATTTTCTATTTTAAGAGAACAAGGAGTTTAAACAAACTCACATTTGCAAATTACTAAAGGTGAAAATAAATAGTCTAGAAATTAACACTGTGCAACCAACTTGCAGAAAAAACAAATATCCTAATTTTATCAATGCATTATTGTATACACAAGTTAACAGCAAACGCAAAAGAATAAACTGAATCTGTGAATAAAGTGGAGCTGCAACAGAGTAGTTACATTGTGTATGTGACAATACTTTACTTCATTTCATTGCAATGATTGTGTGATCATGATTACCTTCCTGTGTAATCAATGAGGAATCATTTGCACTTCCTTTAGTAACCTCTTGTCTGCTTACAGGCTTGGTCAGTTTGATTGGCAGCCAAAATCCTGTGTTGTTTTGGTAGAACTGCAAGAGAAAGATAAATAATGATACATCTGGTGTATCAACCCTTCATAAACACATTTAATAGGAACTGCATGCTTTGCATGTTTCTTCCACCTACTTTAATTGAGAAATTGTCTCAGTTTGGATAATTTTAATAACATAAAAGGAAACATTAAGTCACAGAATCTTTAAAGCCCTCAATTAGCTTAATTTTGTTAATACCAAAGAAACATAAAGTGATTTCAGATGTTATTTTCTTTGCATTTAGTGCAAAAAGTCCTTCTCCATGGTGCAGGATATGCGTTCAAGAAAGATTTTAATTGTATGGTTCATAATTTCACTGAGGGGTTGCAAGTTCATTAAGATGTAAATTTCAACTTACCAACCAACTGCCCTGTTTCTTAGCATACATGAAAAAACTCTATTTTTCCCAAATTATTTTGGTCAAAGATGTACCCTCTCCCTCCCCCCCTACCCTTCCCCTATTGGGAGTTGTGCCTTAGTTGCTAAAGATGCAGGTTGTATTCTCAATTCACCTTGCCATCTCCTTTCTACAGTACTGAGTTTAGCTTATAGAGTCTTAATTAGAAGATGTAAGTATATACTGTAAGGTAAAGATGTGCTGAGTTTAGTGTATAGAATGCTGATTAGAAGATGTAAGTATGTACTACAATGTGGAGACAAATTAAAATTATTTTCATTTAACTTTAATGAGGTTGTCTGAAAGTGAAAGAAGAATTTTATATAAACGTCACCTATCTGACCCTAAGGCAATTTATATGTTATTAGTAGCTCGTTTGTTGTGAGTTGGGTTAGTATGTGGGTGAAAGTAGTTTTTAACTTAACTAGGAATTAACTAAACTGACAGCCCTGCAAATTTAAGTCTTCAACTCTCAATTTGCTATAGCTTTGACTGAAACTGGGTAATCTACAGTGTTTGATACTAACTGTCACCATGTCAGTGATGCTGTCAAAATACTCTTGTTCATCAACAGTAAATTGCATCATCCTGCTCCAGGACACCTTCCAGTACTTGGTTTTGCCATCAATACTATGACATCAAAGAGCAAAACAACCCTTCTTTCAAAGTTGAAATATTATTTCAGAATCTATGAAGAGTGATGAGGTTCAAAAGTAATAAATTGATGGAGGGAGGGGTAACTAAGTATGTATTATCATGAATAAATGTTCATTGATATTAATCAGTAACTGGGGGTAGATTGCAGTACAGCCAAACTTACCACACAAAAATGACATAATTTCCAGGATAATGTAAACTCTCTTTAACAAGGAATTGTCCACTACTTGCAGAGGACATGATCTGTTCTGCTTGGTCGCAGGATATTTTCCCATGGAACCAGCTGTATTGAAAGCAGCAAAGAAAACAAATTTATAATAAATTAATACAGAAGGCATGTGCATGTACTGTACCTTACATAAAACTGCTTTACCCTTTTTGCTTTTCATAATCCAACCTCTACACTAGTAATTGCTATAGGTTTTTAGTTGAGGTCTATGTTACAACTACAAAAAATTCTACTTTCTTTTGGTCTCATCTTTAATTTAGCCCAACATTTTTTCTTTTTCTTTATTTCATCAACTTGAATTGGATGAATGATATAAATTGGATGAAAATTCATTTGCCTGTAGCATATGAAAGACAAATGTATAAAACGTTTAAAACATTGTGCAAACAATTGAATGATACTCAGTAAAGTAAACAACTGTCACCAATGTGAAAAAAGATGGATGGACAGTTAAATGAATTAGTGAGCACATGAGCAAGGCAATGAAAACATCTAGCACTATAAATAAATGGAATCAGAGATGAAAGATCGATTGAATGTCGATGAATGAACGAAGTACTTAATGAATGAAAAAAATTTAACATGCAAGCTCATGTCTGTTTATTTTAGCGCGGAATACCCGGCTACTTTGGTCCGCCTCACTAACATGTGTCGGGAGGCTCTGAAGATCGAGGCATAACACTATATGACATGTAAATGAGTGGCCGGGTATTCTGCAGTTTCCCCCAAGTAATCATTATACCCATAGTTGGTCATGTCAATGATCAAATAATACATTACTACCTTTCTTATAAATTGGAAAATGCACCAAATACGACCGCATCTTGATTTCTCGGAAATTTACATATGAAAGAAGATCACGTACTTGTTCTGTTCGCACAATCATATAACATCAATTTTTCAAACTTACTTTTTCTCCCACGGATGGATTTGCACGTACACAACCGAACCATGATTGACACCAGATTCGTCCAAACTGTTGAAGGACTCCCCTAAGCATTTGTTCTTGTAAGGCGAGTCTATTTGGCGCAGAAACAGACTGTACTCTGGAACACCAAGCATTGCCCGACTCGATAACTTTCTCCTCAGATCGTTGATGGTGGAAGATTGTCCTTTTTCAAGAGTTACCTTCAGAACTCTTCCTGTTTCGGTCACAGCATTGATAAAAAATGAATTTACTGAGTTCAGCTGTTTGTAGGCCACATAAATGAGAGAGTCTGGTTTAATCAAATCCCCCACACAAATGCTACGACGTTCGATCTCTTCGCCATCTCTTTTCTGTGAAAGACGCTGAGAGGAAGGAGAAAGTCCAGTAGCTTGAGATATTATTTCTTTTAGCACGTCAACAGTGTCTGAAGATTGCACCTTCACAGCAATTGTCTTTGCGTTCAATAAATTGACAAGAACACGCATTATGAAACCTGCTAAAATTCGACAAAACCTGAAACAAAATCCCAGATGAATCCGTCAAATCACTTGAAAATTATATCTGAGCTTTTCAATTGTCCCTTTAGCTTATTGTAAAGCACCTGTTTGATTTTAAGCGATGATCAAGGAAAAAAATTAAAGAGAATCGTCGACAACCACGTCAACCTTCCGCAAATCGGTATACCACATGAAGAAGCGGAACTCAAAGTGACGTCACATTTCCGTTTCTGGGAAAAGAACGAATTCTTCCGGTGGTAATACAGGTGATTCACGTGCTTTTTTCTTTTCCTTGCCTTTTTTCTCTCTGATCTCTCTTCAACAATCAGTAATAAAATCAACGGGAAAAGTTAGGTTTCCAATTAAACAGCGCATTCGTTCGGTGGGAGGGAAGGGAGGGTAGGTGGGTGGGTGCCACAAATAATACTGCATTCTTGTCTGGTAAACCAAGAATCTGTTCCAAATCCAGTCTCTCTTTATCAGTAAAGTATGTCTTTGTTTATGAATTAATGCCCGACTAATGATTTGACAATAATTATGCTCTAACTCTTTCGTTTAGGAGGACCGAGCCTTCACCACATAAACTTGGAAGATTGATAATGAGAGAATCTCGAACTTCTTGAGCCCGCGATTTTCACGACCGGACGGCTGAAAACATATCATACTACGTCCCAGGAGTAAATGTGAGGAAGGAGAAAAAGTGGTAAAATATGGATTTGGATAGCAAAATTTCTGCCCTAAAAGATTTTACTTCCTTTGGATCTTCATCGAAAAATGACTCATCTTCCTCACGGATCAATCAAAGTTCGAATTCTTCTTCCTCGAATGGATGGGGAAATTGGATTGCTAAAGGAGAGAAGGACCCATTTTTACCCTCTTTGGTTGGTTTTGACTGTAAATTTTTTTTCTCCTTTTGGTTTTTGAACATCTTTTATATCAGTCAGTAGTTCGATGATATAAATCATATCACCTTGAACTTAGCTTCAATGGCAGAGCAATCAAAGCTACATAGATACAAAATGATAATCCTGCAAAATATGACACGTCATTATTAGCTCTAGGCCTTCCAAGGGTTTTGAACGACTAGCGACGTGACCCTGGAAACTTTATCATCAGCGAAAGAATACAAAATTACCGCGCTAACGCTCAGCGATGCACGCGATGAGCATTATAAATCAAAAGGACAGGCCGGAACACTTCACCTGCAGCAATGTCCATGTGGACATCTGGCTTTAAGACTATTAATGTAAGATTTGTGAGAAAATTCATTTTATTTTATTTTTTATTTTATTTTTATTGAGTTGGAAATCTCGTTAGTTTCAGAGTACAAGAGACCCTTATAATTATTGAAAGAAAATCCCATGACAGGATTATCTGTATCTATGGGCTTTAAGTGACTTACTTACTTTCACTATTGTTTACAGTCTAAAACACAACGAATCACAGGTTTCTTTCTGTTGCTGCTGTTAGGAATCTTCTGCTTTGTAATGGTAAGTTATAAGGATTAAGCTGAAAATGGTTTAAATTGACTTTTCTATATTTAAAAAAAACATATAAACATCACATACATGCACTTTGCATGCAGTGGCCTAAATTTAAAATAGCATCTCTATAGTTCTCATCAAGAAATACTTCGAATAGCCAGTAAGTTTGTATAATCATTTGCAAACCCTCTCTCTCCTAAGTTTGACTTGCTAAATATACCTTCCCCCTTCAGTGATAAGGTATGATTTAATTTTAATTCATTGGAAATTGAACAAAGCTGGTTAAAAATAAAGAGGTATATCAGATCAAGATTATGTACACCTCTCCACAGGTTGTTCTCTAGTAAATAACTGTAATTTATTTTTTCCACTTATTGCTGTCAAGTTAATAATTGTATTCAGCAATACTCCTTACCCTCTACACCCTAACATCAGTATTCATATTTACCAAGCATTTCTTTTCACATTAACCGTCATAGTAATGACAAGGAGAATTTGTGTGACAGTCAGGAGCTTCTTAAATTGGTGATCATGCCCTTTATGCTCATGACCTTTACATTTGATTTGAGGATGATATTGTAAGGAGAAATAAAAAGCCAGTTGCTCTTAGGGGTTAAAGGGTTACAAGTATCTTACTAGAAAATTAAACATGGAGCAGTCACCCTTCACTTTTTTCTGCAAATTTTTGTTTCTGTGTCATAACTTTTCTGGTTTCTTAACTCATTAAAGGCTGGTCTTATTGCACCTGTTATGCTGTTAAAGGCAAGAAAATTTGTCCTTCTCTACACAATGGGAAGTTTGTTTACCATAGGAAGGTAATGTTTTAAATGTATCTCAAGCCCTTTGCTCCTTGTTAATCAGTTAGGTACACCCTTAAAATTGATTTTTTTACTATGAAAGGTTTAATTAAGAGGTTCACTTGAGTCAGTGATCAGGTTAACTGTGACTTACTTCTGATTGCAAGGGAATATATGATATTCACATGGCCAGAATTTTATGTTCAATTATTGTCATAGTATTGCTCAGAAGTCCATTAAAGCAAAAGAGTGAGATATATCAGCAACTTGAGAATATAAATTTAAAACCCCACATTGCTATTGGAAATGTAATTTTCTGTTTGTCACATATATGGTAATTTGATGTTTAGATAAAAACAATTTCAAAATGTATTTTATGGGAACCAAATTCAAAGTCCTGCTGCTTATTAACTCAGTGTGCAGAAATGGTACTTCAACTGTAAATTTAAAATAAATTAAAATAATTCTTTCTCCAGAAAACATTTAGTGTCTTTAAACAAAATTGAATTCTATGGCTTTGTGATATTTTGAAATTAAGAAGCCCTATGTATAAGGTAAAGCTTAAACTTTGATAAACTCAATGATGTTGACAAAATTGTTGTCTTCAAATGTGAAAATATAAATTGTTATTTAACTGAGCAAGAGGAAGGTATCATGTTCTTTAAACAGGTGAAATTTTGGTATTTCATTTAATATTTATGTAATGAACATGTTTTGTACAGATATGTATAATTGTCAAAAAGCAGCTAAAGATTCATGTGTGTCTGGTCTTATGTTTGTAGTCAGTCATGTGACTATTAAAGGCCTCCTTATCTTTTCTACTGACATTTTAATCAGTGTCAAAATTCATTTCAACCAAGATTTCTTTAGTGAAGTTTACATCACATCCTTTTCTTTGGTTTCAGTTTTTCTTTACTCTGGGGTCCAGTCAATCATGTCAAACATCTGTGTTCACTTGAAAGGCTTCCTTTTACTGCTGCTTACTTTGGATCAATGTTTGCAACACTTTACATGGCCATGATTGTAAGTTGTGATGCCTGTTCAATAAAAGAATTATTTCCCTGTTGAATATAGATAAATCAATTATTAACAGATTATCTAAAAGTATAATTCTTATGTGTCTTCGTTGATCATCTAACATAGATGAGATTAGGTTACTCTCACATTCAAGCAAATTTGTATTCAAATACTGACAGACTGATATACCAATTCTTTTGTCAGGTGAAGAGTACATTGTTGACAGCAGTTTGTGCTTTGGTCCAAATTCTTGCCCTAGTATGGTAAGTTTGGTTCAGATATTATTCTAAGCCACTGGATTGTAATGTTCCCTAATGAAGCACATTGTGCAGAAGGCTAAACAAAGTTAAAACAAATGACGGTGTTTATTCAGAAACTTATGGGAAGTAAAGCTAAATAAAATGATGTCATGTTTAAATGTAACTGACTTGTTTATTCACAGTGTAGTATTTAGTTATCATTAACCAGGCAATTTTTGCTTCTCTGTTTTTTTCTATAGGTACTTTGTCAGCTATATTCCTGGTGGGACAACAGGCATGAAATTTTTTACCAAGCTTTTCTCATCTGCCGTAACAAAAACAGTTTCTAGCACCCTTCCTGTCTAGAAATGGATATTTTTTAGTCAGCTTGACACCCTGCCCCAGTGGTAGTAAATGGACTGCAGATTAGGAATTTAATTTGTCCGATGATATGTAATTTCACCAACGGAGCATGGTAGCTCTGTATCCATTTGCGGAATGGTTTAATTGGTCAGGGGGTTGCTGTGACAAATTTGATACGTGAGATGTCGGTATTATGGATGGAAAGATGGCTGCTGACCGACAAGAAGGCATGTTTACCTAGCCTAACTTTCAAGGTGAGGGCTGTTGGTCGCTAAGGACAATAACTTCCCTGAGCGTGGAAATCAAACGAATACCCTCGTGAAAACTGCGTCAAGATGACAAAGACTCAAGAAAAGTGTAATTTGAACGAGGCCTGGGATTGAATTTCAGCAGATGATGTCTATCACGCATAAAGATCATTCACAATACACGTGTCACGTCCGCCATTTAGCTCATCGCTAAGTTGCAAAGTATTTAGCAATACCGGTGACTTCGTACAAACTCATTCATAAAGTAAAAAATGATGACTTTAATTATAAAGAAAACGCCGATTATTATCTTTTATGAGCCAAAGGTTTTTAAATCAGTTGAGGTACAGGGAGGGGCAAGGAAGATTTAGGTTTTCCTATCTATAGGAGTACATCGTTGGATTGAAGAAGTAATCCAACATAATTAAGAGGTAAGTTCCTAAAGAAAATGTGGTGCTGCGTCGGTGGGAGGGTATAGCAGGTAATTTAGTGTTAACAACTGAGTTGAAAACGTAAATTGGCCACCTAAAGGGTAAAAAAGCTGACGTTTCGAGCGTTAGCCCTTCGTCAGAGCGATTGTGCGTAAAGTGAGGAAGATTTGCTGAGGTGTTAGTTAAAGTGCTCCAGCTATCTCTATTGTGAATTGAAGAAGTCTTTCAGCAGTGTAGTTTAAAAGTGTTGGTTAGGAAAGAGACTTCATTTCTGTGAAAGGTCTTGGAAAGGCCTACCCATGGGATCAAACGTGAGGGGGTAAAAGATATGTTTAATGCCCTTCTTCTACCCTCAGGGTAGCTCCTTTATAGACTCTTCGCTGCTATGATTTTACTTATCAGCGAGGTTTTCATTAAAGATTTCTCAATTTATTGACAGCATGCATAGTTTGTGATTAAGCTCTGAGTCTTGCCCTCAGCATTCTTTTGACATTTTTCCAATAATGGGACTGTGGTTTACTCCAGGACAAGGTAAACATGGCGTCAAAATCAAACGGCTCGAAAAATTCCAGACGATGGCTGAAAAAGCAAAGAATAAAAATTACTTAACGAGAGTAGTGCCCATGTTCCAGTCTCAGATTCTTTACATATCCGCCTCAAACCAAATGAGGATGATGAGAAATAGGCCCAAAACTGAGAAGGCCTGGGAACGTTTGGGGAGAAAGAGTATTAAAAGGGAGAGGTTAAGATTGAAGTCTAGCCTTGTTTGAAGTCGTGTTTCCCACCACACTAAATCATAGGGAGCAAATGAGAACTAACTGTGAACGTGTATGCGGCTAAAGCGAGGAAGAACTCGGGCGACGAAATCATGTTTAATTTTAGTTTTGAGTTAGATTGGTTGAGAGGGTGTCACGAGTTTCTGCACTAATCATAGAGTATGGAAAAGCAACATAAATACCCTCCTTCACCCCACAGAGTTGAAAGGTATTGCAACTAGCTGATCGAAATTATAAGACAGACAACTTACAAGTCAGGATTGGTGACATCAGCTGGTGCAGGATACAGTGACTCGTATTTCCTTTGATTCCCTGAGCCATGAATAGCGTATGCATTGATTTTTCTCACTTCAGGAGGAAAGTAGTCGATTGGGATTTTAGCAGTTCCGTTCCATGTATTTTTTGCTCGGTCGATTGTGGCTGCGTACTCAATGGGAAGTTTGTCCTGTCAACGAAAAACGAGAGGAAAATTAAGGTTACCTTTAGGCTTCCGGCTGTGTTTATTGGAATGTTCGTGTTATTCTGAACAGTGTGCACAAGATACGAGCCAGCAATTGTTTAAAAAAAGAGAGAAAGAAACAAAGGAAACAAAAAAAAATTTACTATACGATGTACTGTAAAAATTTTCAGTTACCGGTACATGGAACTGCAGAGAAAAGAATGGAATAATTGATCTCTTCCTAGCAAACAAATTTTCTGCAAAGTTAAGTTATACTTACTAAGAATTTCTTTCGCACTCCATTTAAAAGGAGGAGCAAGTGCTGTCCGTGCCTAAAAACATAATCAAACCGGATATTTTAATTTTCAAAACAAAAACAAGGGGAAAGATGACATAGAACATCACCAACTCCTAAGCAAGGGACCCCATGGGGGGGGGGAGCAGGATTGCATGAGACTCCTTTTGTAGAGTTAAAGTGATAAGTTCAAACAGTGCACATGCCCCCCCCCCCCCAAATGATGCTAATGAGACACTATCGTGGCAACTCCTCCCATCCAAGATACTCCTAGAAGAAAGCAAACGGAATTCTTCAATTCTTGAGGAGGTTGGATGCCGGGGGCAAATTCCTCAAATTCATTTTCAATTTCTTTTTTCAAATTGTAAAAGTAAAGAATTTCGAAGGGTGAAAGGCAACACTCACGGACTAAGCTCAATTTCTAGGTATTTCTCTCGTTTTCCAAGGAAAAAGACTTCAGCGACTGAAATAAGAAAGACAAGGAATAAGGAATAATATAATCAATCAGACTGTTAACGGACAAGTGTATGTCATTTTCTCAATAAGGATGATAATAAATTCGTAGTTTTTTAAGCTCCTTAAATTGTATAAAAATAGTCGACTACTTTTATCTGTTTTTTTCATACATCTACTATATATTCACTTGTTTCTTTATCTAAATAGCTGTTTTAAAAGAAAAATAGGTTTTTTATAGGACTGTTAAATTAAAATTTTCAAATTGGTAAAAATTTGCAAACACTAATCGAGTGGGTTCTCAATCACGCGTCAGCGAACCATGGAATACCTGATCATGCCCTCTTCTTTTTAGGCTTTAACTAGATAAAGTACGCGATCTTGCTAAAAACTATAACAAGCCAGTTACTATTTGACTGAATTATAGGAATTGATTATACAAGTCTTGGCTAAAATGAAAAATAAATAAACAATTAATTGCCTTGATTTCAAATCATAATTGAAAGGCCACCCGCCTAAATTCCTGAAATATTGCAGTTTACAAAACTCATGAATTTAGAGTCATACCTTCATAATCCCACAATCCATCACAGGCACTTCCTGCTTTGCACGGTGGAGGGTCTGGGTCATTAAAGAACGGTCCACTAACAGAAATACGTACGGTTCGGGAGTCCTGGGCACTAATTTGGAAAGTGACAGGGGCGTGGTTGATTTTGGATCCATTCCACTCTGTATTGATGGCAAAATTGTATTCCTGATAAAGGAAAAAAAAAACCTTGAGTGATGCATAGTAAACAGGATGCTCACGATAGGGTTAAACTATGATTAGATATATCACGTTCTTTCACCTACTAAAGCTAGACGTACTTCATTAGAAATAGAAGAAAAGGCCTAACACCAAAAGATTATAACAATCTCTTGTTAACACGTTAAAATAGATTTGCAAAGGGTAACGTTGCATTTAATCCAATCACAACAAATTGCAACACCCGACTGATTAGATGAAGGTCCTTAATTTACGTTTTTCCTTGAAATCTTTAAAAGGCTCGAGGCAAAGCGCTTTTGTGGACTGAGGCGACTGTCTCTGATCACTAATAATCAGGTACCGGCCATGGTCTGCAATGCAAGTAGTGATGAAATAACCTGCTGGTACCTGTAACTTTTGTAGGATAAGTAAATTTCTGAATCAATTGAAACGCCGAAAAATCGCTTACTTAATGATAAAAATTTCGTACCTTTGGACAAGACTGGCAAAAATTCACGTAGAAAACGAACACGAGCAAAACGTAACTATAAATTTTGAGGAACATTTCTTGGGCAGGCCAGAGTCTTTCTTTGAGTAACTCTCACGAATCAATCTGCAGCATCTATGAGAGGCGAAGCAATTTCAACAAAGCTAAATTGAAATGATTCTTGTCCAGATGAAATTATTTTGACAACTTAAGAAAACATATCTCTGTCTATCGATAGACGTGTTATGGCATGTTGTAGTTACAGCTTTGTTGACTGTTGGCTGAGGATGACGTCATGTTTGGACGATACAATTTTCCTGTAACAGTTTGTCGTTTCAAATCTGTCAGGCACTGCTCTTAGTTTAAACAGCTAGGTTTAATTTTCTGAGATTTTTTCTTAGCGTTGTTTCCTTTTTCAACTGAAATATTGCGAAATGAAATTAATACGAACGAAACAGTGAAAAAAGTCAGAGTTCTTTCGGTTGTAAAATTCAAGAGTCTTTTGATAACCGTTCCACTTCCAACTTCTCACCTGAGTGGGTGGGTGGGAAAGGGTTAAACGGGTAAATAATTTTATAGCGTGATGTGAAAACAAATTTTTAAATCAACGAACTAGATCACTACCCCCCACCCCCATTTTCTTTTGAACCGCTGAACGTTCCTTAGGCTCAATTTCGTTAAAATTGCAATTTCCTCAAAAGTATCTTTGAAATACTCATTGACGAATATTTCTGTCAGGATACTTGGCCATTATGTGCGTTTTTTTAAAATGCAGAAATTTCCCCGCCGTTCTCAAATTTGTCCCTTCTTACCTTCTGGCAAAACTGACATGATTTTGGACAATTTTCCCTCATAAATACAGCTTGATAAGAACAGTAGTTCTTGACTCTAGCAAACGTGGCGCATTGTTTCCTTTTATCAACACAATCTATGAATCAACCGACAGAGAAAGTTAGCGAGAAAAAAGTTTAACAACTGAGTAGAATCACTAATAACTACATAACTAGTAGAAAAAATGATAGGACTGGAGTTACAGTTATGTTAAATATTATATTGCCCTCCAAGATGAATTGTGATTAAGGACACCAGCTAACAATAATGAAACTTGTAAAACGACGATTCTTCAATCTTTGTTTCTTACCATCTGGGCTTGGCGACCTGACATTACCATTATTGTCTGGAAAAGGAGAAAGTTAGAGTCAGTTTTGTTACACTTGTCATTTGGCCTTATTACATTAGGATTAACTTTTGGCAACCTGTGACAAAATTTGCGAAGCATTATATAATAATTGTGTATTAACACCCTTGGGAAAGTAAAAATGATGCAACAAAAAATTTATTAATGTCGGACAAATTCAAATCCTAGAAGGTTTAGAAATGTGTAGAGAAACATAATGAAAATTTTAGCTGTGGCCCTCAGGTGAGATGGCATTAAGCTGAAGCAACAACTTTGTAGATGACGAAATAGGGCTTGCAAGGGGACCTCCCATTTATACCCTGCAACCTGCTTCGGAACGCCATAATGGTACAAAGTAATTCCTCAATTTAAAGACAAGTATAACTTTAAAAAAATTCTATAAGATTGAATATAAAAATCATCAACGAATACTCGTTCTGGAAAACCCTAAGAATACCCAACTGTCAAACAGTTAGGTTTGCTTTGGACATATCAGGATAAATGTATCTTACCTTTACACAAGTTACAGGATTTAGGGCAGTTTGTTTTCATGAAAACAGGATTAGCTTCGCAATAACCTTCGTTGTTTGCAACAATAGGGGCGCATATCGGTAAAAAATCGCGACAATCTACCAAACCAAATAGATGCAGTTTAGTAGCTTTCACTCTTTGTCAAGTATGGTAATGAGAGACTGACCATATATTAGAGCGACTTTGTACTTTGCTACTTTAAATCCGGCATTTCCCTCTAGTTTCTTCTAATATTCAAATAAATTCATATCCGCTATGCATTATACTTTTATCTAGAGCTAACTAACTGATAATTGCCAAAAATATAACTATCGAATATTTGAACGACTCAAGATCAGAGCGAGCTTGTACTTTGCTTCTTTAAATCCGGCATTTCTCTCTAGTTTCTTCTTATATTCAAAGAGATTCATATCCGCTATGAATTATTCTTTTATCTAGAGCTAACTAACTGATAATTGCCAAAAATAGTAACAATCGAATATTTGAACGATTCAAGATCGCCATGTGAATTCGGTGTCGATGAAACGCTTTAAGACTAAGTGCTTTCAAATGCTTTTGCATGCGCTGGTTTGTTTGCTTTATGTCTCGAAGTCTATGCATACCACACAATCCACAAGTCTTTGCACAGTTTTTCTCCATGTACTCTGGTTCGAATTTGCAATACGCTTTGTCTGTATCAAAGAGAAAGGAACATTCCTCTGGTTTTTCATCTTCGCAATAGGATTTGTCATCTGAAATGAATGTGCAAAATCTAAGTTAAAAACTGCACTTCATCCTTTAAACGATGGTTACTCGCCTCATACGCCTGAACGAATAATATGGTTTGTTTCTTTAGTCTTCTTAGGGGGCTCATTACTAATTGGGCTCCTGTCGTTCTATTGTAGACAATGCAGATGTCTGAAACACAAGTCTTATTTTTACGTTAAGTGTAAGCTGCTCAACATGCAGTCGCAGTTCAGTCAATCAGGGTACTGGAGAAAAAAATCTAGCTATAACTACTGATAAGTGACTTACTGTAGCTTTACTATAATTTGCTTTGATGGCGAGAGAGACAGAAAACTAAAGCATTAAATAATGTTTTATTGTAATAATAATTATGTAGTGACTGAACCTGGTCATGTCGTACGTCCATTTGTAAGCATCTAATAACTGTTGCATCAACTATGACCGCTGACCAATGTGTTAGCAGCATTCCGTTGGCGGAAAAAATACTGAAATGGATCTGTTTAATGATTTTAAGAACTGACCCTTCACAAAAGATATAAATGGCTCGCATTTAAGGCGTTCACAAGGAAGACAGGGGACTACTCAGCACTAATCCGTTTCCTAGTAATCCTGATAATAAACACCTTCAGGCCGTATGTTGAATTATTACACCTCAAACTAAAGATTACTCTTACTAACAACTTCCAATCGTACCATTGTCCACTATTTCTCTAAGTTATCTTACCACAGAAACCGCATGACTGCGGGCAATTTTCCTTCATATAATCTTCACGCTTTTTACACAACTCTCTGTCGTTTTCAACAATTGACGCACATTCTGGGGAATCTACACACACTAGGAAATTAAACAAAAATGATAAAGTAACTAACACAGTGGTGCTCTCATTGTGACTTTAGGTTCCCAAGAACAATTTGTATGAGACATTTGCAAAGGAATTCGTAAAACTTGACTGAATTAATTGACAAATGTATGACTTAATTGACTCTGTCAAAACTTAATAGACTAGAAACAAACTTTTCCGGGACAATTCTGGTTTCTAACGTATTTCTGAAAGTCGGCAAGACGTGATAAGAAATTTAAAAAAACAGTTGAAGGTCAAGAAGTGCTAAAAGCATTTCATTCTGTTTCGTCTTCCTAGTTTTATAAATGATGCATCTAATTTGGCTCGAAACAAAATCAACCAATTATGCTTTTACCGCCTGAATAAACGAGATTAGTAAACTCTCCTAAAATATTCACGAAGAGGAAGTAAATGAGGGATATAACCAACCAACACTTGGTTATCATTTGATACTCAGGATATATCCATTACCTATTGGACCTGGTGGTATGGTTACTATATTTGTTTCTGTTGTGACAACAGGTGAGAGAGTTGGTTTGTTCGCAGACTCAGTTGATGTGGATTCTTTCGAAGGTGTTGTTGTCAGCAGGGCCATAACAGTTGATAGCAGAGGTTGCTTTGTTGTAGGAGTTGAGGAATTCCAACTCTCTGTGGGAAAAGAAAAAATCACAGACAATATCTCACAAATGCTCTAACCTAACAAATAGTTACTGATATAAATCACTGGCAGTCTTCTGCTCCTTTAACTAACTGATGTTTGCTGAATGACGTGAAGATTCTGATTTATTCTTTACCAAAGCAGCTGGCAGCTAGCCAAACGTTTGTATTGCTTTTATCTTCGGTTTGTACGATTAAAACAGCGTGGAAAAAAAAATAAAGAAAGCATGCTTCAGGCAAAAATTTAGACATCACAGAGAAATAAAACGTTTTTGTGCAGAAAATGACTTTTTGACGGATTAGTAAGAATTTTTTAAGCTATCCAGGTTGCGGTTAATAGACCTTTATCAATGTACATGAAAGTGTGGTCAGGTCACAATGTATATGTTTTAGCGTAAAGTATGAAAAAAGAATACAAGAAACTTTTTTTAATGGAAGATAATAAACTTACAAACGTACCACATATTTCGCAAGTCCTTCTACAATACTTGGAGAAAAATGGAGACGATTTACATTGATCTGGATCAGTAACGTAGGAGGAGCAATCATCAAGAATATCATTACATCCTGACAAGATAGGAACACGTATAGAAAAGTTCAATTGATTACGTTAAATATATCTTAAAATTAGTTTTTGATGAGAAGACAACCATCAAAGCAGAATTGGTAAAGGCAAAAGCGCTGATCGAAGAACTTAGGGGACATTGCATATATATTTGAGTATATACTGGGCTCTGGACGAGTGATTCTGTCGTGCTTTAGGCAAACACTTCAATGTCACAGAGCCTCACTCAGGAGTCTAGATTAATATGGGATAACTTTCACGAAAACTCGATAAATCGTGGGGGTTGACACTGCGTTGGACCAACGCTCTATCTGAGTGGGGGGTAATCCTCCACGTTTCAAGTCAATGAAACTAGTAGCTAAACAGAAAAAAGAAACTCTAACTTACAAACATGAAAGAAAACAATTGAATACAGGAATTTTTACCGCAGTAGCTACAAGTTCTTGGACAGTACTTTATGAAGAATTCTCTCGCTCCGTGACACTGGGATGGATTCTTTATGTACTCTGCACAGTCTGGTAACATATCTCTACATGCTGATCACAAAACAGTGGCGAGGAGACAGATGATAATTATAAGTTGAAATCAGGTTAGCAAAGATATAGATTATGGAGCTGAAGAGGAAAGCTGTGAATGAGAAATGGGCAAGCCTATCTGGCTTACAAATGGATTTGGGGTTTGACAACTTCAGCCTTGTTGATTTATTTTTGCTGGTGCTCTTACTTTTTCACTGTAGACAGCGTCGGCAGCTTTTCGCTTGAATCTCCTCTGTGATTGTTCCTCATTTTTAGGGCTGAACTCTCTTAACAAGCGTTATAAAAAAACGTAATTTATTTGAAGTGGGGATTCAGAAATAGATTTATTTAATTTTTCCATATATTTACTCACCTAGCAAAACTGTGGGACTGGGTGTAGGACCTGGAAATTTGTCAGGAAAGAGATAAAAAGGAAGGCTAAACAAAATTTTCAATAAAATATGATGATTTTACTTATGAGTTAAGATTAAGCCCAGTAATTAGATCCCTTGACAAAACTTTCTCATCATAGATGATACGAGAAAAGGGAAAAGCTTTTAGCTTCTAGTTAGTTACGGTCACAATAGGCGATTTACATTTGGGAAATCTAATGCTCTCGAAAGGAAAAGCTTCTTATGCGTGTAAACGATTCACGCTGGAATTGTCGTTGAAGATTTCCAGGGAGAAGCAGCAAAAGTAATGTAATATCAGCTGCGACTTTGTCTATGGCATTCTCATTAGTCACTTGCCTCAACCATTCCCACAACAGTGATAATATTGCCATATCATGCAGTTGCCAATTCATTATCATCGTTTGACAAAGAACAAGAAATCTCTCATAACACATTGTAACCCCTAAGTAGTTGACTTTGAATATCATCTGGAAAATGAGAGCTATATATATATATATGCATATATATATAAAATATAAAGAAACTGTAAACTTCTGTGTCGAATGAAGGTACTAAAACCAATGAAAAACGAAATTCTTCTTTAAAATCTTACTTTGCTTTTGCGCTACGCGTTTCACTGCAGTTGCGGCTCTTCAGACATAGCAGAAGAAGAAGAGCCGCTACAGCGGTGAAACACGTAGCGCAAAAGCAAAGTAAAAGTTAAAAAAAGACTTTCGCTTTTCATTAGTTTTGGTATATATATACATATATATATATACATATATATACATATATATATATATATATATATATATATATATATATATATATATATATATATATATATACACACACACATATATATATATATATATATATATATATATATACACACACACACACATATATATATATACATACATATATATATATATATATATATATATATATATATATAAGGTATTTAGAAGCTTTCTTTCAACTCACAGAGGTCACATGTCTCGGAACAATATTTTCTTGTAAGGTCGCTGTATCTTTTGCATTCGTCCACGTTGAAGAAGTAATCACAATCCGTCAACAAATCTTTGCATGGCTCTTCTGTTAAAAAAATGAGCTCATTAAGGATTCGCCATCATTTATCACCTGGGTGGTTGGAAAATTCTTGTTGTGTCATCAATAAAAAATTTACCTGATTTCTCCCCCCAAGTGGACTCTGCAATGTTCTTACCATCCTTCACTCATTGGCAGTCAATTTTCAGCGACAATTTATTCCCCCGTTCACCTGAAAACCATTTAATCTCCTTGTTACTAATACTTCCCCCCACTTACTCCCTTGATAATTTGAACTTATTTATCCTGAACCCAGAGAGAAAATAACGACTTATAGACGTGACACAAAGCACTGGTGTTAAAGGTGTATCTTTACCATAACCCACAAGGCCAGCTAAACGTTATTCTGACGAAAGTTTCATGCCTTAATATGATTGTAATCAAAGTTGTTTGTCAATTTTGTCATATTTGTCCCGATTCGGTTGTTGCGTGACTGAAATTTGTGGGAGCTGTCACGCATGAGGAACGCCGTGTTAAAACCCTTGCACTTGATATTTCCTTGTGTGATTAATCTTTAACCGTTAATGATGAGCGACAGACAGTATGTAAATCAAAAAATACAATAGCTATGATTTATGAAGAGGCACTGACCGCGATTGAATGATGTAAAGATATGCTAAACGTAGAAATGTTGTCGAAGCATAATTTCGCAACCTTGATTTGCATAACTGTAATGGTACACAACTGAAATGCGTTCTTCGAGTTGAAAATTAAATGGTGCACGAAAATGATAAAACCTAACGGAAAAAAAGTGTAATTGCTCTTTGCTTAAAGCAAAATTTTAAAGGTAAAACCAGAAGAGCCATTGGCAGTTAAATATTTCGAGGGTCTATGCTCCAAGGTCAAATTGTTTGAAAGTTTGTTTTAAACAATTAAGTTTAACTGTCCTTAAGACTGTAAGGGCGTCTTTCACCAAAAAGATCTGTTCTCGGTTTTAAAATAAAGATCTTATTGTAAAAACTCCACTCGCTATCTACGTCGGTCAAAGTGTTCGTACGAAAGTGGGCTCCATACAAGTTAAATACCAGAAGGGGCATGTTAACATGCGGCCAGTATCTTCAAGCAACATTAAATAACTATTGTTTGCCATAACCCACCTTGAGCGACGACTGTTTCTGTATTGAAGCATTGTGAAGCCAAGACAAGAAACAAAACCTGACCAAAAAACGCTCGAAGACCCTTCATATCGCGTCAAAAATCACCTGACTAACGCGTTGCACCTCCAAAGCCATAAGAGAGACTGAATAGACGATATGCACCATTGGCCACAAGCCCGCCAAAATGTCTCTTAAGAGATGTCAATATGATGTTCCTATAATAGGTAGTGCCGGAACCTGACCCGAAAGTGAGGGAAGAATAAAATATTTGAGGTTACAAATCATCGCCGAACAATGTTATAGGAAATTTCAATGACAAATGACCTTCATTGTAAATATCTTTGCGTGAAACAGGCCACTTAATCTCAACAATAATGTTTGCTTTGGTATTGGGATGCCTACAAAATCTGACAAAACAAACCCACGACAGGAAAAGTTTGCGTAACATCACAATATTTCCAATTCGGTTAAAAAGACGTATTGTTGCCTTTTTCGCGATTATATCAAAATAGCACTTCGTTATTTTGTTGATGCTTAAAGGACCAAACTTTAATAATAATAATAATAATAATAATAATAATTTATTACAATCATATGGCGCTATATATATTACTCTATAGCGCTTCACAATGAATGAATTAGAAAAAAGGAAGTGCTGCGACGAAGATCTAAAACTTTTAAGTTATGGATGTCCTTTCCTTGTGGGCGTACTATCATATGGCTCAAAGCAATATCCTGAAGTACATTTATACGTCATAACTCAAATATTGTTGCTCTTAAACCAGTTTATGAAAAAAGTACGATTGCAAACCAACACATTGACTCTATCAGGCACCTTTAGCATTAATTTAAAGATCTTGTGTATAATTGTGAAAATTATACAATACAATTATGCTTTGCAAACTTCTTACCGGTTGAACGACAAACCCATGCGCTTCAGTTTCCTAGGCGAGGTGTATTTCCGACTGAGGGTGCATGATTACAGCAGCATATCTGCGGTTTAACAGTCGGTGGAGTTAAATAGAAACACACCCTTCTGAAGAACCTAAATTCCAATCAAGTTCAGAACTCAGGATCTTTTGATCTTCCGCAAGAATTTGTTCATTGATCTATCAGTGAAAAGCTATACTTTTCATAACTGTAACGGTGTAGCTCATAGCATAGAACATTATAGGAAATACCATTCCTTTAATTTTCGACACTGAAGGTGGAGCCAGCTCTCCCCAGTGTTTGATTTGGCATTTTGAATACCAGGTTTCCCCCCCTCTTCCTGAGTTTGGCAGTTTAAATATCCATGTGCCAAGATGATGACTGGAAATTTTACAAGAAATCTAATCGACGCTCTGACGCATCACTGATACATCTGATGGAATACCCCTGCTGGGGTACATGTAGTCTCTGGATCACTTTCATAAGTCTAAGCGGATATAGTCATGGTCTCGTGATGTATGTTGATAATAACTGTTCAATCTTGAGAGCTGCTATGCTTTGAGGAAGAGGAGTTGTTTCGTATAGAGAGTGAGAATGAGATGTCATTGTAATATTGTGAATGAGGTCGTATGAAAGTGAAAGAACAATGCGATGTGAAACGTACGAAAAGTTTCGTACGTTATTCAGACCCGGAAAAAAGGGTAGGATTGTAAAGAAACTGTGATTTGGCGCAGGCGGAGAGTATTACAAGATAATCATAACGGCCACCTAAATATCAAAATGACGGTTGAAGCTGTCCAACTTTCTCCCTTGTAGAGACCTTTTTCGGTAGTACTTTCATGTAAGGTTTTCTGGGAAAAAATTGTCTAAAAATAACGACAATCCGTAAATAAACATGTCAGAGTAGTGTTATGTTGGTCTTCGTATAACCCAGCCGTGGAAAGTTTCAGTAAAGTATATGACTGACTGCGATTTTCAGCACTGTAAATTCAGTTTGTGAGCTATCGAAATCTTTGGCACAAAGGCAAAAATTTTAATCCTTAGGTCTCAATTTGTATCTTTGGAAATACAGTGTAAATTATGACGGTACTAAGCTACTGTGGCATCATCTGCGTGTCCATGATTTCTAACGCGCCTGAGAGAAATGAGTTTTCATATAGTAGACATGATTTGGAAGCGGAAGGAACATTAACTACCAAGATCGTCCAGGTGAAGGTTATCCTGAAAATTACTGATATTAATGACAGTGATTGACTTTTCAACAACTTGTCTTTTACTCTGACTTCGCCTCAAGTTGTCAGAGCGCCAACCACTATACAGTTACCAGTCCTTTACAGTCTTTATAGCTTTTGAACCTTAATTCGTCTGAACATCATTTTGTGTAGACAAACGACATTTGAAGGGCAAATTCCCGCACAATTATTTGTACAGTCATTACGCTGGGTGAGTCACGTTACGGTTTCGTGCTGCTAGGTAACTCATGAAAAAATCCAAAAATTCGCATATGGTTAGCAGGCTGCATCCCAGGAATAAGCCCATATTTCCACCGATCTCACCTATGATGGAGAAGGAGGAATCACCATTGAGAATATTGTACAAGCTTACGAATACAGCTGACCGTGACAAATATAACTTTATGTCTCAATATTAAGTTCTCACCAAATAATGAGTTGCTGTCATATGCCGGCTGCTGTTTCTGCATCTCATATCCCAAGGACTTGAATCCAACTTGTAAAAGCACAAGATTATCTCTGAAAAGTGGGGACATCAAAATGTTAACAAAAGTTATGAATACTGACTCGCAAGAAAACGTAGCCATTATCTGTCCGCATTTCGAATCAGAATCTTTGGCATCTTCGCTAAAACCAATTTTTTAAACCTTGGGTTGCTTAAATGTGAATTATTATATTATTCAGACCAGGATTTTTCAGTCTGTTTGAGCTCAAGTTCTTTCTCTAATGTATCCCCTTTGACGATGTCTCCACTTTTACTCAAAACGAGACAAAAGACCAAAACCGTTACAGGGGCAGAAAAGAAATATATGCTCTGGATTTAATAGGCTAATAGTAATAGGTTTTCTTTATCTATGCCATGCTGGCAAATATCACTGAAAATACCTCATGTGCTGTAAACTCTCATAGCCCTCATTCAATAGGTCTTCAGCAGTGCCTATATCCGGGAACTTTGAATAAGAAACCTCAGCTTGATATCGAGTTTGAAAGCAAGGAACTTGGCAGTCACACATGTCTTCGTCTATAGACGCTTTATGAAGAAACGATAATGAAAGTAGAAATTAAAAAATTAATGAAAATAAAAATAAAAAATTGGAATCCTCTACAGCAAATGCATACAAGCCTTCACTTCGTAAATGACCTATTTTACTTCTGATTTAAGAGTTGTACAGACAATCAGCCTGGAACAGAAACTAAAAATATAGTAGATTGATTAAGCTTTGGGCCAAATACAACTTAATAACGTATTAAGACACTGACACGGATCATTTTTGAGGTCCAAACCTTACACATGATCAGTGTCAGTAATTATAAGCGGCTTATGTGCTTGTTTAAAATTTAATTTTTATGTCGAAACGAGAGGCATAGTAACACTGTTTGAGTTTGCTGAATCAAAAAACGGAGACCATCCGGCACCACAATAAATCGAGTTGGCAAGTAAAATGCAACTAGGTAACATGGGTATTTCGTGGAATGTCTACAGGACCATTCACACCGCAATTCTAACTTGTCAATTTGAGATCAAAAGGTTCTAACAACATTCCCACCATCAACGCTGTCACTGCATTTAACCTCGTTGGGGGATAGGCACGGAGGAGTGTCACGGGAACCTAACAAGGAATAAACAAAATAATTTTATAAACAGAAAATATGCATAGTAATGGCAGTCATGAAATGACGTTCAAATTCATCGAAAGGATTCGCAAAGTTTTTTTTAGTCTATGAAAAACAGCACTAAGTCGTGAGGACGGTGGAATTAGTCAAATCAGTCCTGTGAACTGGAAGCAGGAAGAAGCATCACCTTCAACTACTTTTGCGTGGTGAAGAATTTGGTGATTATTAAAAAAAATTGACTTAGAAAATAAGTCGTGTACTCTTTAGAAGGGGGGAAGTACTTGAAGGTAGTTGACACGTTCAAGTATTACGTTTCGAAGGCATAACGTGCAAAAGAATCTGACTGGAACGCTCAGCCCTCAACTTTCTGTTGAGGTGTGAGTGATTTTTTACACAGTTTACTTCTTTTTTTTTTAATAACTTTAATAATTAATATTTTACTTATAAATTATTGGTCAAAATAAATTAAGAACATAAATTTACCAATGTAGCCGATGGGTCGACAGCTACAAATTTTAATAGTGCTTTGAACCTTGCACTCATAAAGGCATCCTTCTGATGAGTACTTAGAAAATGTGTTTAATGGTTTATTTGTGCAGTTGGTGGCATATGGCTTCTCCAAATTCTCATACTAAAAGTAAAAAAAGTATAGCCAACTTTCAAAACAAACATAACATACTAATGAGAATAAGCTGACAACTTAACCACATAATGTAACTAATATGTATCTGAAGTAAAACGTTACATATGCATGACCAGTTCTATTTGAATCAGCCAACGTATCACCCATTCAGGTCTTTTCTTTTGTATGCACCAGGCAGAAAAGAAAGACGCTTGAAGAGCGTGCACTGAAATTGCGATCCTTAATCTCATAATCGCACTTTTCTAGGATGTTACCACCCTTAATAAAAGAAAAAAGGCACTTGAACCTATAAGCTATCAAACAGACAACTAAATTGAATAAAGATTACACTCAAACAAACAAACAAATAAACCAACCCGTTTCTGAGAAAGAGCGATTGAAGCATGTTGCCCAGGTCCCACGCTGATTCCATCAAATTCATCATAGTATTCACCTTGCCCGTGGATCAACACTTTGAATCCCTCGGAAAATTTTCCACGAGTATACTCAGCTGTGTTTGCATCGAGAAGCAGCGTAAGTCCAGAAGAAACTCCAGCAGTGTCTACAATTTTAATTTCGCTTTCTCTTCCTGAGTTAAAAGTGTAACACATTCCCCACTCGGTCACTGTGGGATCGAAGTCTGTTATTGAACACTGAGTTTGCCTCCAACTGAACTGACAAGTAGGTCCAAGAAGATTACTGATATTTAGGCTGTATTTTTGATAAAAACTCTCAACTTCTATACGATGGTTAGACACTTGTATATCTTTCAACAGTTCTTGTTTGTATTCAAATGTACAGTTTGGGAGAGCAAGCGACTCGTTCTCATTATCAAAAGGAGTACAACAGCATAGCAAAGACAATCCACAGGGTCGATTGGCTCGGGCTCTTGATGTGACAGCGCATGACGAGATATTTAAACCGCTGGATGCAAAGGATGGATCATCATCAGCTAAAGAGACTTTGCTTCTTGAAAACAAATTGTTTGAGCAAATCGTTATAGCTGGGAAATCCATTTTTCTTAGATGTTTTCTGCTTACTACAGTGTTAATAGGACGACTGTAGTATTTTTCAAAAGCTCTATAAACTGTAAAAATGTAGTAACCACCAGACGACAATAGCAAAATCAACCATATAAGGCGAGTGACAGCATGGCGCTTTATAAAGACATAACGAATGCCATGCAACGTTGTGTTATCAACAAACTCCTGCCACATTTTTACTCCTGTTTGACGTCCGTTGCTGTTTGACAGAGGAGGCTTCTGGGAAATTGTCCCTTCCTGAAGGTTTGTCATTTGAACGCTGTTTATCTTCTCTGCCATTGACGTGGGTGAATTCAAGATTCCAAGCGAATACTGGCTACTTCTGTTTCTAGTAATAAACCAAATCACTCTTTAGAACCCAAGCGAAATAAATATTATATTCAAATGTGTAAACTTTTTTGGTTTTTTTAATCTAATCTGTTCTTCTACAGTTATTTATCGACCTTTCTCTAGCTTATTATTGCAGCTTTAGTGTTAACCAAGGCCCTGGCCACGTAGTAATTCAACGAGGATTTTATTGATGAAGCCTGTGTACCATCTTTAATAATTGACACACTCTAATTTTGAGGTAATTTGAGAGGGATGCCTTATTGATAAATGTCCACCTCGCAATTCAACGTCTTGTAGATACAAAATTGTTGATTTGCATTCAGCATTAGATATAGAAAAAAATTTCAGTTTTTAACGTAAGTGTAAATTACTGAGATCCAGCGCTTTCAGATCTGAAGTAATTCAGAAATTGATAGTCAAACACTTCCTCACTGTGGTTAGTGGTAAATTTGAACGACTTGAATAAAAAGCGTCCACTTTTTTTTGAAGTGAAATTACAAAAATCAAATGTATTAAAAAACTGACTTGCTGATCTCATACTGCGAAATAAAATCTAAATCAAAGTAATTTAAAAACTATGCCTGACCTCACTTTTTCATCAAACTAACCGTACTATTAATAAAATCTTCCAGTTAGGTTCCGAGCCTCTACAGTTCAGTTATGTTTCGGATCCTCTGTGTCCTTAATCCTTCTGAGTTAGAATGTTGCATGTTAAACCCTTGAATATTGGTTCTACGTAAGTGCATTTTAAATTTATGGCAGGTGAGTATTGAGAATTTAGGTTAAACGTTTGTTTTCAATCTCTTTGAATGATTATCTCTTTGAATGATTGGATTTCGCTGGTTCAGTCACTTTACAGAAACATGACAAAATTATCCTCGCATTCGTTTAGAATTTGGGGATCCAAGAGAAATACATTTTTTGCTTTTACTTAGGTATATTGTTTTTCACCCAAGTCAATATTCATCCGAAAATTCTAATTATCTCGATGAGAATGAGACAGTTATAACCATAAATGTTTCTGGAATTAAGGGAATCAATATGATGCGTATCGCCCAAAACCAGTGAAACAATTTTGAAACCCCCGCATCCATAACTTATTCCAGAGGCTAAGAAAAAAAAAAAAAAATTAAATGAAAATTCATTTTCCAATTAACGCCGTAGACAAATATCTTTGTTAGGTTTATCTTGAACATGTCAATAACTAAGTTATTCGTCTTTTCGGCTTAAGGTAGGACTAATAACATCACCGATTTACTTCACCATCGGATCAGCTTATATTTCAGCTGGAGATGGCAGCCGATAAGTTATCAGTCCAGCTTACTGATAATGCAAAGCAAGCGTTTTTCATTTTTTACGAGAGAATTAACAATTATTCAATGGAGTCAGTACATGCTGTAACCATCACAAACAAACAATTAGATTGTCACGCAATAATGAATACACCACCCCCGAGCAGTTCACATCGCAAACAACATGGCCTAGTTCCTCTGAATAAGCGAGGAATTTTGGTGAATTCCTCTTCGGATACCTATAACCTTTTAAAGGTTTTTTTTAAACCGACGTAACCAACAGCCACATGCGCGTTAGAGTGAAAGAAACCATAACATGACATGTACATGTCCATCTCACCTTGGTTATGTCGCAAATAGCGAGATTCAAATTATGCAGACTCCTCGAACTATTGAACAGTCCAATATAAACAAATTCAAGAAGTTAAATCATGAATTCTGACTTGAGGTGAAAGAATCAGCCGTATATTCGGCGGTTAACGGTGAGCTGTTCTGATCGTGCGCGCACATGAATCACAATGATGTAATTACCAGCAGTAGCATTTACACTCAAACACAAAAGGATAATTTGGTTGTGTTGACGTCAGTTTGTAAATACTTCCCTTTGAATTAAATAATATGCGTATTCCTATATAATCGAAAAAAGAGACTGGTACTTGCTATGGATCCTCATCAGCTCTACTAAAGCTGGGTAACAGTTCCCCATAGAGAATTTTTGCTAAGTGGAGTGCAATCTCTATCAGTCTGTGATGTCTAGTAGTAGTTATGGTGCTGACGTCATCGGTGCGTCTTAATGTTTTTCTAAAAGTCGAAACCTTCCGTGATGATATTTTTTTACCTTTTCCAATTGTTTTCTTATGTAAGTGTGCGAAAAGAAAGAAAATACAGTGCTAACATTTGAATTTACTCTTGTTACTATGGTGGCGCATACGGCAGTGAGAATAATTTTCCTAAACGCCAATTTGTAAGCAGGCGACGCTCTCTTGTTTTGATTCATTTGCAGATGTGGTGCTAAGATATCAATTGCAAATTATCCTCGAAATGAATTCAAAAAGAGCCACGCTTGGAAAAGCCATAAGTGAAGATAGTTTAAACTGTGTTTTCATCAATTATTATGAGGCTTTTAGAGACTTTTTAAGGATTCAGTGACTGTTGATTAAAACCATCTAATAAAAAAATCAATCAATCAAAGAAAAACCATTCATGTGAGCAGTCATGATTACAATTTTTCAATCAACTGTTGTAATTATGAGAAACTCAACGAGGTAGTATTTCGTTTGTAAACAATTTTAATCATGTTTTTGCTGTCTGATGGTCAGATGATGGTTGATTCTTTTTCTCTGCAATTATTTCTTCTGACTTCGAGATGGATCGTGTGCTGAAGGTCACCGAGAACTGCCGGCTGTGACTACGGTAACCATTTCCCCAAAGGTCGGTGGATCTATTGCAGAAAGTTTGTTGTGCAGTTAAAAGATAAGTGCGTGGTGAGACTCGGTCTTATTTGCGCTTTTGCCTCTTTGGGCAAAATAATAATTTGAAATTTCTCTCGTATTCTTACAAATGAATTATCTCATATGCCATCTAAATTTTCAAATTAAAAAGAATGGCCAATCAAAAGCAAGAAACAAGGCGAACAAATCCCATTTATAGGTTCTGTAAATTTCGGAAATTTTCTGAAATGTAATTATGGAAACATTTTTTCTCAAAAGGTTGGTTTCCATGAGAACCTTTCGATAATCATAAATCTGAATAAAGGATCTGAGAAAAATACAAGCCTCTGTATGAAAACGTTTTTCACTTGAAAGAGAAACAGGTGTTGGGGCATAATTAGCTACGATAAACAATGTATGTTAAATTTTTCTCATCGACACCCATAGGAATAAGAAGGGGAATCACTACATTTGAGGAAAACAAGATTAAACTCATTCAGATAAGAGTGTACATCAAACCAGCACCATGAAACGAGAGACCATTTATACCTTCTGGGCGGAGTGAGTTACAGGTGTAGGGTTTCGTCAAGGCGAATCAGAAAAAGGGGATGATTACCCGACGTCAACAGAAATATGGGAGGAATTTGTGAAGAACACCACGCTACAGGGCACACGCTACGCCTTCATGAAATGTCGAGCCATGTGGTCTGTCTCTGCTTTGCCTTGTCTTACCAAATCAATTTTTAAATACAACCAGCATTCTATCTGCACGAGTCAATACAGACAAGATTTGTCAAACGCCTTGAAGCTTGAGTCTCATCGTTTGGATACAAAAGAATTCCATCAGCTATACAGTCCAGATATCAGCGATTCCATTCAATTAAGGTATTAGTAGTAGGGTGAAAAGAGTAGACACTGCTGGTGTTTCATCTGGGTTATCAGTCATTCTTGATGCTCAAACACATGAGTATACTCAAGGAAAATTTTCCGAAGGATTCAAAGTGTTGATTCACGGGCAGGATGAGTACATCGATGAATGAGAAGGAATCAGTGTAGGACCAGGACAACATGCCGTTATTGCTCTTTCACAGACGAGGGTGATTATTGTTACTTTGAATAATTTCAATCCTTAGTAATTGCATCAACGTTACCTGAATTGTGCTTTTTGAGCCGATGAGTGTCATTGTGTGAGTTTGATGGGTGTTAGATATAGCTCTGTTAATCTTTCCTTCCGTAAATTATTGAAATTCAATATGGCGGGACTTTCTCCCTATTTGTAGGATTACAGCTGTGGGCAGGATTGAAATTTCAGCCAAACTAGTCTTAGTTCATTTACACCTTGAGCCCACACTATTAAGCCTTTTATAAAGTGTTTTAAGTTACGCAATGTCTCTTGCGCTATTTTATTTCTTATTTAAGTTTTAAATTGCGCATAAATTACCCATGCAGATCATTTAAATATTTCTACCCTTTCTTTTTTTGTAATTGCAACGACTCATTTAGGTTTAACTTCGGTAAGTTATTAAATTCCTGTTTGGTCCACATACATGTTGACCGTCATTGTAAACTTTGACTGATTTCCTAGTTCGAGAACCTAGAGGAGCCATACGCGACAAACTGCAACAAGAAGACGTTGAGGTCATTTTCAACCTACACATTGAAGGGATGCATTTATGAATACGAATCCGAAAAAATGGTGAAATTGTGTGGTTGTCGACCTGAAGGCTACAGAAGCAAGTGATAAAAGGGATGAATAGCATCAGAAGCAAATTTCTTTACATCTGCAAGAGCAGCCCATCAAAATTTGCTTCGTAACAGTGGAATTATAGACCTTGAACTAGAGATGAACCTCGAGAATTAACTATTTTGGGGCTTCAGTGCTCGAAGTTTATTTTAATTTACAATGATATTTTTGTAATAACACATATCTTGATACTTCTCTGAACACTCTCTTCTCTTTCAGGAAACTGCAAAATTTTAATTAATATCCTGAATCCGTATTTTAGTCAAATAATGTCTTATTTTGATTTTTTTTTTCAATTATAAGCACAGGATAAAGAAGGTAAGCCAGGCAAAGTAACAATGTAAAAGTTATCTTTAATTTTTGCCATTAAGTGCCATGTTGTGATTTGGCTCTAGCGCATTGGAACGTAAACTACAAATTTTATCGATTGATTAAAGCTAAGCCTAACGGTATCAGTGTTTGGTTGATGTAGATAAAAACTTATACAGTAAATTATATCGACGAAGAATTCTGTGACTGCCAAGTTCCCTGCTCTCATACTAAGTACACAACTGAGGTGTCGTATTCCAAATTTCCGGATCAAGGCACCGCTGAAATGATGATTGTGGAAGGCTATTATGATTATGTGCCGTACCAGAGGTAGATATTGTTAAAAACAAAACAAAACAAAAAATGGATCTAAGATGGAACAAAGAACTTTGAAATGATAGTGACCAGCAAGTCAGTGTGTTATTGGTTATAGTTCTACAAAATTCAAAATCAAACTGTATCAATGATTTGATATCGTGATACACATATACTTCTGTATGAATTGTGCTTGGACATGCGACGCGTCAGGAAACCATTTTGAATTTTCCCCTCATCGATTTATTTAGTTCTATAACGTGTTTGAATTTTTAACAAAGATAAACTTTTTTAGGTGAAATTAGTATCAATATGGGATTTTTTCAGGCCTTAGTTTCCTGACCGTATGCGAGGTCTCCTCGTCAGTTTGGTTATTAAAAAATATTGTTTTATTTTGAAATTTTCTAAGATCGATTGATTTGAAAGATCGGAATAATTTGTTGATATGATATTTTTGACTCTTTTAACAGAGACAACCTCGTGTTTTTACAAGTTGGATTCAAATCACTGAGTTATGAAAAGCATGAACAAAAACCAGCTTATGATTGGATCCCCATGTTCGGTAAAAACGTATTCTCCCTGTTGACGAAGTAAACACTAGTAAACACTAATTATCACGTATTCTTTAGTAAATGCCCAAGTCATATGTAAAAAAATATATATATCTCCGCAAATGGCCCCCTCTTTTTTGGCCACTTGTCTCTGTACTCAAGATAACTGTTGTAAAGAGGTTTGTCCGCACAATTAAATGCTTTATTATTATTTTTTTTTTTAGGTGAAATCGGTGGTAATATGGGATTATTTCTGGGTTGTAGTTTGCTGACCATATGCCATCTTCTCCTTAGTTTGGTTTTACGGAGAAAGAGACGCGCTCCACATCCAGCGTAGTTAAGACTAAAATGTGCATCGAAAAGGATCACTATTCAGCAACGAATGTGTTCTCGAAAGAGCAGGCGTAGAAGGTATCGAAATAACGCGAGTTATTGAAGTTTCTTTTGCTGTTTTGACCATGTTACCAAGATTGATGACAGCAAACAAAGGAAGCAGTGACCTGACGCGATATCATGAAAAGTGCTCTTAAATGTGGGGAAGATAATCATCACTCAAGAAAAGTTGAAGAAAACCAGCTTTTTACAGAATTCTTTCTTTTTAAACACGCTCTTTTAACAACCAATTGGGCTCCGAGCTTTGTAAGCCACATTCCATGAGCTGTGGTCCTACGATGTGCATGCTTTGCGAGCTCCGCTACTTCGAACTTCTAAATAATCCATTTTCTCACTTTAAACTGAAGCCAATAAAAAAGCTCTTATGTAAAAAAGATTTTTTTCATTTGTTTGGGAAGATAAAATCATTTACAGACAAAAGGCTTTACACTTAGCCTCGCTTAAAATTAGAGGCTTTGAGCTTATGGAAAATTTCCTAATTGAAAAAAAACATAAAACATTAGGTAAAACAGGGCGAATGTTTATGTCCTATATTATATTTATGAAAGCTTAGCAACAGCTCAGAATAACGAATAAAAGACCTTCAGAATATTATTAATGGTCTCCCTTCTCTGATATGTCGGTAAGAGCCTATTTAAGTGTTTAGGGTAATTCATATTTAAGCGAAACAACCAAATTATATTTTTGTCGTAGTTTAACGTTCCCCTAGATTTCGAATCTATTATGCAACTTTGATTGTTCTGTTGTTCGGTACTTGTTTCAACTGGGTATTGATGCGATTTGTGTGTACAGCTGCCAAATATGAAAAAAAAATTTCGAAAAAACTTACTTTCTGAAAGCGAAAAAAAAAGGGTAAGCCATCGAGATTTAGATACAGATTGAGCTATAGTTTAAGAATACAACCAGTCCATTGCTGTTTTTACTTCTCTGAATGTACAATCAAGTGAAGATTTCTCGTCAAGGAGAATTTTAATTACTGTGTACGCCCAAATTCTAACTGCACAAGGCCCCAAAGAGTGATAGCAAGGTACCTGTCTGTTATTATGCTTTTGGCATCCATTTAATTTGAGATACAAGTAGGTAATTAATCAAATTGATGTCTTCTTATCACTGGGTATTACAAATTCTTGAGCCCGCGATAATAAATGTTTTTGCTAAATTTCATTTGGAAAAAATTTCTTGGAAAAATCGACGGAAAAACTGCTTGAAATGATAATGCATGTATTTGGCTATGATCTATGAATTCTAATCTGGTTATTGGTAAAAAGCCTTTAGTGCGCAGTCAAAATAAACAAAACTATTATTCGTTACCAACGTTATATGAGTCTTTCGGGAAAACTGCATCCTTAATTTGTGAAAAGATCAACAAGACAAGTCCTTATTAGCTTCTAAATCAAAGACATCTGTTCTCTCACGACGCGTTACGTCCAACGCAGCCATGGATTCGAAGGTTAGTTTTCTTCATATTAATCTGCAATCGGTTAAGTTTGACAAGAGTAATATTTTTAATCTTCATCGTATTTTTATTTCACATATAATTACCGCCTGGAAAAAGCACTCCACACTCAATAATAGCTCCTTTGATTGATTTATGCTTCTGTATAATCCCTCTTTAATCTTCTTGACAAGCTCCAAAGTATCTATGGTCACGAATTTTACTGAAACGTTCAACTTAGTCGGGCAATTATGAGCCCTGAGTCACCGCTCCAGCGAGGAATTCCCAGCCTAACTATCATTTGTCCGCTTTAATTGTACTGGAATAAAAATAAAGACAGAGGGTAATGTTCTCTTGCGTAAGAAAATGCATTGAAAGTTAAATACAGGCCACCTTAAGTCACAATAGATGATCTTTCCTCTGTTTATAAAGCAAAAAGCAGATTTCAATCATCCACCTCCAGGACTAATTATGACTTTTTTTCATTCTCTAAAGCACAGAGAAAAGTTGTAGGCCCTTTTGCTTTAATTAGAATTCAAATACGATCAGCTATCGACAACGTAGCTCACTAATTTGAATTGTTTAGCAAGGAAAAGTTGCTTCAAATTTTTTTCCTTGTTCATACCAATCAAATCGTACATTCAAATAAAGTTGTTTGAATGAGGATTCGCCTTGAGTCCGTAATTTGATTTTCAGCAACTTGCAAGAAACACGCAAAACCGCATGCAATAAATACGAAAAAGCAGCTGAAGGTTGATACAAGAATAACAAGGAATACAACTACCCTCAAATTAGTAAGAAGTCACATATTATTCAAAAAGAAGTCAAATTCATTTAAAACATGAAAATTATTTTTAAAGAGGTGTTTGCTCAGCTGCCTGTGTCATGTGATGCCTTTGTTTCCCTCTGTGCTATCTTATTATTGGATGCAACTCCCTAACTGCAATACATGCAACCATTGGTTTTGCTTCACATTTCGGGATGTGACATGTCCATATTAATTTGGGCTGGCATCTATCTTGTGTCTTGTGTAACTCCAACCCACAATGGATAAATGATAATTCCTATAAGTATTAAAATGATATGATATAAGATAATGATAAAAAAATATATTATTCTTGCTTTGCCTTGCATTCTTTAAACAAAAATTTTAATTCCTTCCGTGAAGTCGATGGACAAAACAATCTAGTTATAGAATTTTCGTTAATTATAAATTTCATTGCACTCTGTCTAAACCCTTTCATTGATGATACCGGGTGTTATGATGAAAGTTTTCGTTTACAGTTTTTTTACGACAGAGCTCCCGCCGGCAAGTAACGCACAACATACATAAAAAAATGTAAACAAGAAATATCACTGCGGCGCAAACGAAATGAACCGGCCCCTCTTTACAACAGTCGAGCAGATTCGAATTTTTCAGATTTTTGTTTTGTTGTCATTGTGATCGTCACTATGATGTAGATCCCCCAGAATAGTAGATACGGTCCAGGGGAGTTGATATTATCATGAAACTTTGCTTCTTACATACTTACTCGATAAAAGATCGAAACTGAAGTCACTGCTGCTGCTGGGGGCTCTAGATGGCACCTATCAGGTGGAGTTTGCTTGTTGTGATCCTGCAGATTGTGTCCTTCTCTTAATGCCGGGCGGAGGCCCTGGCTCTCTGTTGTAAGACTTTTAAAAGCTCTTAAGAGGTGGCCTAATTTATATGCATCGAGGCTGTTCTGAGCCTGTTTTCTGTCTGAATGGCGAGTTTACTTCGCTAATATGGGCTTATCTTATGCTCTTTTCCTCTCTACCACAGCATCACCAGTGTCTTCACTCGACCCTTATTTACATGATATATGTTTGGCTCCAAATTTGTACACAAGGACGTTATATTAAGCCCTGACAGTCCATTGATTTTGTTTGCCTTCAGTCCTACACATTCCTCTAGGAGCGTCAAGGGTTCAATTAAGGACCTGTTGTTACCTTGCATGGCTGTTCCAGCCTCCAGCTTGGTTAAGTACCATTATATTGAGCGTTTTTCTTTCAGAAATGAACGGATGAGCGGCTGTTAAATCAGGGTTACGATATCTTTTCACAGCTCAGCATTGTGTTCTTATGCTTTTCAAGAATAAATTGGGGTAATCTTCATGTAAAATGTTGAACTTCTTATTATTTTATGTGGAGGAAACTCATTTAAAGATCTATATGACCCGCGATAGGTGAGTTTTTGTCGAATAAAATTCACTTTATCGGATAGGGGATTTATGTAATGAAGTTAGCTTTTCATTTTTCACGTCATTCTTCTTTCACTTTTACCTTCCTTAGCAGGATGAAATAAAAGCAACAATATCAGACATAAATGTGAAATCTACTTCTATGACTGGTCACTCTACGGGGATTTCAGCGACAAAAATGCAAGAAAAGAAGCTTTCCCAGGAATTAACTAAAGTTGGTGATAATAATGCCCAGACATCGACAGTGATTTGGAGGGAATTTGTGGACAGTACAACACTTCACGGTATTCGATATGTCTTCATGAAGCGTCAGATCTTTATTCGCCTTATCTGGATGATATTGCTGATGAGCTCTGGGGGTTATTATATCTTCACCGTTTACTGCGGTTTCACTAAATACTACGGTAGACCAGTTACCACTTTATTAAGCAGAAAACGCCTCAGAGAGATGGATTTTCCAGCTGTAACGATCTGCCCGCTCAACTTATTCACCAAAAGCAAGATATTTATGACAGATGATGATCCACTGTTTGCGTCCAGCGGCCTAAACATCAGTACATGTGCTGTGACTGCCGAAGTTCGAGCCAATTGGCCTTGCGGATTGTCTATACTTTGTTGTTGCTCCCCGGCAGATTTGGAAAATGATTTCCCACTTTGCGATAGTCATTATAGACAAGTTCTCTTAGAGGTGATGCGGCAACATTCTAATCGCCTAAATGTTGAAGAATTTTTTCGGCTCTACGGCCAAAATTCAAGCGCTATGATTGGACCATTGTGCACATTCGGCTGGGACGAGGCTGATTGCTCTGCCGCAGATTTTGTCCCCTCAGTAACCCCTTGGGGTATGTGCTTCACCTTCAACTCAGGTACAGACAATGAAATGAAAATATCAAAAATTGCAGGAGTTTCATCTGGGTTGTCAGTCATTCTTGATGCACAAACATCAGAGTATACTCAAGGAAAATTTTCCGAAGGATTCAAAGTGTTGATACATGGGCAAGGTGAATACATCGATGAATGGGAAGGTATCAATGTAGGACCAGGACAGCACGTTGTTATTTCTCTTTCTAAGAAACAGGTATGTTTTCTTGATCACTTAGACCCTTGGAATCGTTTTTATGTTGAGGTAGAAATATAACTTAGGGTTATTAGAAGCCAATTCAATACATTCTCAACGTAGACGAAGAAAGAACGAAGTAGAAGGCACGCAAAAAACCACAACAAAAATAGTTTAGATATCAGAAACAGAACAGTAATACAAAAATATAAAGTCAACATTTAGATGTAAAACAAATAAGGAAAAGCTTTTATGGTAACATTTTAAAATTGACATGAACAATGTTTCCAGTATCAGAACCTTGAGAAGCCATACGCAGCCAATTGCACCAAGAAGGAGTTAAATACGTATTTTACGTACACGACAGAAGGATGTCTTTTTGAATGTATGGCTGACAACGTTATCAATTACTGTGGCTGTCGACCTGCTGGTTATAAAGGTTAGTATATTTTTTTCTACTCGCTTTATCGAACTTAAATTTAAAGAACAAATACGCGATTCAACTTAATTCAACCCAGTTCAACTAAGCCTTCACTTGAAATCTGAACAAGTGAGTATTATCATCTTCTTACTCCTACCTAATCGAGTTATTTTTGGCTGCCTTGAGAAATCTTTCTAATAACTACGTGAAGAACAATTAGTATATAAATTACGGTGTTTTAAAAGGATTTCCAGCCTTGAGAAAAGCCGCAACAACGCACGTGAAAAATATCGTATTTTTTCAAGTGTTTGATATCGCCAATCAGCTGCTGACACGTCACTCGCCTTTCGCGCCACTCGATTTGATTGATGAATGAACGGCAAAGCCTTCACCATTCTTAATCCAAGGTCGTTTGTCGGAATTTTTCGGATTATGGCTGCTAAAACACTGAAAAATCCGTATCGATTACAGATAGTGACGTTCAAACTTTCCTAAAAGAAGAAGAAAACCAAAATACGAAAAGGAAACCCGAAAATTACATATTCGGTAACTTTGGTAATGGCGTCTCTCGCGGCTGAGAACGAAAATCGACCACTGGAAGATTTTCCACTTTTTAAACTTTGGAAAAGGAAAATAGTGACTTGTGTGTGTGCTTTTTCTATAAGTTACCTCTGGAACACCCGCGTGTACATCATCCGAAGAGGCTCTTTGCGTTAAGCAGATAGCAGGTATGAGAAAACTTTAAAATTAAGGTATCCGAATATACGCCCTGCAACAAGCGTCAAGGAAAAAGGACCTTAGCTAGCAATTTGGAAAAACTCATTACATTTCAGGTACATTGAGTCTTGCTTATATACTTCTCAGTTACTTTTATGCATAGTCACAGTACACAATATTTACACGAAAGATCTCTCTGTCATATTAAATAGACTTGTCTGACATTACACTCCCCAGTATTTAAAGAAAAAAACGTCTTATGTTGACTAAGTATTCTAAGATCAGCAAACGTTGTAAACAGCCTCGTTTATCTTTTTTTAACTATCGTGCATTTCCATAAAGCAATGGTAGATGAAGAGTACTGTGACTGCCAAGTTCCCTGCTCTCAGACTAAGTACCACCCTGAGGTGTCCTACTCGAAGTTTCCTGATGCGAGTACTGCTGACTCATTCATAAAGTCTGGTTACTATGCCGATATACAGTACCAGAGGTAAAGGATCTGAGTTTAAAAAAATTGATAATTGCCCTGCCCTTTGGTTTTTTAGTTTTAACCGTATTTTCTGAAATTTCTTCTAAACCATGTACTCTTACGGAGGGAAAATCTAAACCACAAAATTTACGATGTATTAGAATAGAAGTCATCGTTTTGTTCACAATAAAATGGCTAAACTTGTATTTGTCCTTCCACTGAGCACATAAGTTAAGAGCCAATTGTCACAGTGTATCGCAGTTATTTCTAAGTTTCTGTATTTCGCAAATTCAATAAAATAAAATAAAAAAAGTTAGCTGTAATGTTGTGCCAAAAATCTTATTACAAAAAAAAAAAAACTATTACAAGCCCCGTGAAAGTGGTCTAAAAAAATCCGTTAGTGGTAGCATATTAATTATTTGAACTTTTTCCCCCCTCGTCAGAGATAATCTTGTGTTTTTACAAGTTGGATTCAAGTCTTTGAGTCATGAGATGCAGGAACAGAAGCCAGCTTACGACAGCAATTCCTTGTTTGGTAAGAAATGCATTGGTTATGCGATGGCAGCCATATTGATAATTGCAGAAACGTTGCAGCTTATATTCTTATAATTTATGGTAAGGCCCCGGTAACTGTACACTTTGAGTAGGCGACCATTTAAGGATCTTAACCCTGTTTTCAGGAAAAGAAAAAGCACCGAATCTATCAAAACTTTTGCTGAACCAATTTTAGGAATAGACATGATTTTTTCTCGTAAATTAAATTCCGCTAGCTTGCAGGGTGTTATCAGAATTTTCCAATTTTCCACCTACAGATGACCAACCTATTGTGTGTACATTCACACTGTGTTTTATCAACATTCGGGGTAGATTTTTTGCATTCACGCTTTGTAGTTACTCAAATTATCAGGCTTGAATAAAAATACTCCTAAAAGGAGCTCCTCTACAAGCGAGCAAATGGTACCTGAGGCTTAGTGTGGAAACGTAAAATTCTGACAAAAATCTGTTTCAAAGTCAAAGGAATATTCGCATTCCCATTAATTTTTCGTTCCTCAGGTGAGATTGGTGGCAACATGGGGCTCTTCTTGGGATGCAGTCTCTTGACCATCTGCGAGTTTTTTGACTTCCTCATTAGTTTTTTAAATGCAAGAAACCGTCGCGTTACTCATCCATAACAAATGCTTTGACTGAACAAATCTTTTAAAGATATGTTGCGTGACATAGTAACAGCTGCACTAAATTCTGATCATAAACTAAGATGAAACAAGGCAAGAATCATTTAATTGTGAATTTCTGGTACCCTGTCAAAGTTATAACCTTTTTTACAATCATTTGAGTTTCAAACCTTTACTATTGTTTGAGCATTACAACTTACTTTGTTTGTGTGAAGCTAATCGTGTTTACTGTAGTTGAACTCGTTGTAATGAAGTTTTGTCCATATCGAGCAAGTAAAACTGAAAATAGATACAGTCCAATCCTAAGATCTCCATGAACATTAAGAATCCTAAATAACACCGTTAAGCAACCTTAAACTGTGCAAATTTTAATTGAGTTTGTTACATCTTTGTTTTCTTGATGAAAAATAGGTTAAGCAATCTATGCTAATTAGAAATGATAAACACAATTGGTTGCTCTGAATCTTTTGGTCTCCGCTAATTTGGTAATCCACCCCAACAAAAGTTATTTTATTCTTGGTTGCCATATTTTGCTTATCCATCGGTGTAATTTGGTCAGAGGTAAACACAACCTCATCCAAAGAAAAGGAGAAATTAATTTACAAGGTCATAAAGTAGTTTGTTATCAAGGAGGGATAAGGAAATTGATGAAATATCTTACGGAATGGATGATGGAAGCTGGAATCCTTCACATCAGGCTTTCATCTCAGCGACCGTAATACTAGGTAGGCATTCATTTATCACCTTTGTTTGAAGTAGGCAAAACTGATCAAAGCCATCACTTAAAATCTACACTTTTGTAAAGTCAGTAAATCAAACTCTAGCTTTAACGCCGAAGCAAACTATTATTAGTTATTAAGCCGTTTTTATGAAAGAACGTGGTGCGAACAACTGGAACTGATTCGCTTACTTATGGTGTCGTTTTCGGTGACTTGTCAATTGGCAGGATAGGAAAGGATAACTTTGAGTGATATATCTAAACATTTATGGTGAAAAAAATTTAAACCACTGGATTTAAAACATAACCACACACAGAAAAGGGGAACGGGTTAGAAAATGGAACTCTAACAGTATAGCTAAGTTTATCCAAGGGAATTACAGGGCATTACTTCTCTTGGTTATCAAGTTTTAACTGATGAGACAAAGTTTGACACAGCTGCTTTAAGGTACCACAATGAGACACCTGAATACTCAGGTATGCAGAATTTATGTTTATTATTTTCCCTTGTTTTGATTCATAAAGGGAATGGCATACTTTCGCATGGGGACTTTGATAAGGTTGAATGAATGCGAACATCTGGAACTTAACATTGTGATTAAGGATATTTAAACCCTTGTGCAACAAGCCCCTTCAGGGACCCATTGTTTGTGACAGCTTTCTTTAGACCAGTCCCACTGGTCGAAATTTCGAAGAAAGCAGTCTATTAAAAGATTCAGTCGTAAAGTAAGATGTAAAAAGTATTCATGCGATTCAACGTTTTGGGATAAGGGATCAACGTAGTTCTTCAAAAGCTGAAATTTACCGCCATTAAAGGGATGCAGAACAAATCTTGAGGACGCAATTTATTTGCTTTATATTTCTTAGGACTGGTTGCAATAATTGGTTCCATCGGCAATGGATTGGTGGTGACCGTTGTTACAATTCTCCGCCGAAGAGGACATAAGTCTAATGTTCAGTTGTTTCTTTTGCACTTGGCCATCTCTGATCTGATGGTGTGCTTGATGTGTATTCCTCTGACTCTTTTCAGCAATTTCCACTACCCAACTAAATACAGCTCCATCGAAAACGGAGCTTGCAAGTTTTCACGATTTGTACAGGTGCTTTAGCTTAATCAACTTACATGAAACTAAAACGAGGGTAGATCGGAGCTAATTCTTTCATTGTGCCTAACAATCGCCGTGTAACATGAGAGTAACGTAATTGTTGTTCTTGCCTCACACCTTTGCAGTAAACTTAATAATCATAGAAATAATTGCTAGTTTTGTCAATGATTTATTTTTCATTTTTTTCTGCAGTACCTGACTCCAACCGTTTCCATCTCTCTCCTAGCAACTATAAGCATTGACCGCTACATGTCCCTGGCAAGACCTATGGCCTCCATTGCCTTGCGACCAAAACTTCTTACACCATCTTGGATGATTGTGCTCGCGTGGCTCTACTCAATAATGCAATTTACACCAACATTTTACTTCACTGATGTAAAACCCATCACAGTTGAAGAAAACAAGACAGTGTATTACTGCACCACAGTGCCAAACAATAGTTTATCTGGATTGGCTTATTTGATGTTTCTTGCAGTGGCATCTTTTGTGTTACCTTTGGTAACCATGAGCATCATGTATTACAAAGTCTCACGAGTTGTGTGGAGGAGACAAAGGAACCTTTCTACTTCATCTACAATAAGTGCAAACACCGCTCATCTTAGTGTGTTAATACAATCGAGGAGAAGAGTCATTCGCGTTTTGCTTACGGTAGTGTTGGTGTTTCTGATATGCTGGTCACCATTTGTGATCTACTGTGGTTTTCTTGAGAAAACACTTAGGGGATTCCCTAATCCTATGGATGGAACTAGACTGGCACTCTATGGCCTGGGTCTTCTGAATTCAATGTGTAACTCTTTTATTTATTTTTTCAATGTTGGAGGAAAAAGAACTGATGCTTTGAAAGATTTGTATCTTCAGATTTATAGTGAAAATAAATCTCGGCGCTCGTCAACAAACAGTCAAGGAGGAGAGAGGAAGAGCCCTCGCAAATTGCAACAGTTTCGACTAAAAACGATGGACAGGGAACATTCGGTAAAGAATAAACTTAAAAAGAACAGTGAAAAAAATAGAAATAAAATAACTGATTTTCAAATTCGAGAAAGCATGGAAGAACTATGGCAACCATTCAGCGTATGGCCACCAATTGGAGATCTTCGAGAGTCTGTTGTAGCATTTTCCTAAAACTGAAGTCAGCAACCGTGATTTACTGAGTGAGACTTCCAAATCTGTGCTTTTTATCTTTAAGGGTTTATTTTTAGAATAGAGGAAATAAAAAGTGCGTTCTGTGCATCGATAAAAATGATGTACAAAACTTCCTTAGACCCTTGAGAATGATAAATGGATTGGTATAGCCAATGTTAGTCTAGATTATAGACTGGTCAGCCTTACATAATTGACTCTTAAGTTATTAATACTGCCTTTTACACGTTGTACTGCATAATACTTATTAGAGGAAAGGAAGTAGTAAAAAAAATTTTCTAATTTTGTCCTCACAAATAGTCTCTTTATCTTTGGACTAAAGAAACGGCAACAGACGCTTACCATCAAGCCGGATGAGTTTCTCGAATTTTTCTTCTCCTCGTCAGAAAAGTCGGTAGAAAGTCGAAAAAGAGGAGTGGCCTCTAGATTTAATATTGTAGAATTTCTATGTCTAGTTTTCTGTGTAACTCAGTTCCTCGTCAGTGATACGTTGTTTTGAATATTTCGTTTGAATTGATGTGAAACAAGCATTCCAATGATGTCAAGGTATTTTAATCAGGGAGCACACATTAATCAATTTATGAATGAGGCTTCAAAGCATCTATGATATGACAACCTGTAGCTAAGATCGCTACTGTTAGAGTACTTACTGTTACTTACGGATCTCGTTATTTAGGTAGTCTTTCTTTCTTCAGGCGAAGCGCACAAAGGAGCTAAAGGAACACCTTGAATTATAAAGTCAGAAAGTGAGTAGGATTAAAAAACAACAACAACACCAATTAACAACCAACCAACCAAACAAACAAACACACAAAAGAAACAACAAATACCGACAGATATAGAACAAAGAATCAAACGGGGAAATCCTTGAGCCGCTTTCGAATGCATTTAGTTTAGGGTCACGGTTTTGAGTTTCACGCGCGTTTGAACATGAAGTGTAATGCACTATCATCAACTATCATGTAGTTTGGACGTTTTCAACTTCAACATGATAGCTGATGAAAGTTTTTGCCGTTTGTACGAGCGAATGATAGTTTTTCGGTCAGCAGGTTTTGCCAAAAAACAGGCTCAAACCGAAAAAGCAACCATAAAAATTTCTTAGAATGTCTCGTATTCATCCTATTCATCTCCTGGTAGGCCTCAGTATCTTCAACTCGCAACTTCTTGACTAAAATTTCAAATACCACCGAAATGACTGACTTTAGCGCGCGCTATACTTGTTTAGAATTACTCGATCTCATTACGTGTTTTAGTCAACTATCATCAACTATCATGGACCGCTTGTACGCAAACATGACAGTCAATAATAGTAAATGAAAGTTGAAGCTATCATCGACTACCTTAAATTATCATGACCGTTTGAACGGGGCCTTAGTTTCTGTTTTTGGATACTTAATACCTTTATTCTTACAAATATTTTTTAACTATAGAAAGAAAGGACGCCAAGGTCGAGCGATGAAACTAGATGAAATGATCTTATTTTGTAGTTTAATTTGAACTGTTTTTTCCATATGAACAGGGTTAACATTGATTTGCTAGTCTATCTTTCTAAAGGTGGAGACACACTTGATCACGATCCTACCTTTGTGGCCTGGACGTCGACAGCCACACACCTCAGCAATCTGTTGGTCCTCACATTCTTCAATGCATCCCGCCATTGAATATGTGGAGTATGTTCTCAGTGTTTTCCTGGTGTACATTGCATATAGCGCTTCTAAGTTCCTAAATAGAGAGAAAGTCGATCAGCTTTATTTAAAAAGATGATTAGAATTATCTATTTCACGTCCCATTGATAAAGAATAATTAAAATTTATTTGAATCTTTTTTTATTTATTTTCACAATACAGATACCACAGTCCTAACATCAAGTCTAACACTGATTAAATTGCTTAAATACCTTGCAATACGCTTAGAGGGTAGACTAAATTATCATCTTAAGTTCAACTAAGTTAGCAAAAGACACATCCCGTTAATTTGGGTGTCTGGTTTCTTGTAAGATATTCCCTTTATTCAAAGACCTATTATAACTAAGATATTGAACTTACTCTTTTCTGTACAAGGCCGATAAGCACACGTTATCCTGGGCCCACATAAACTCCTTCAAATTCATCAAAGTACACCCCATATCCACGGACCAATACTTGAATCCTTCTGAGCTCTTCCCATAGGTATACTCGTGTATTTGCATACGAGTATGTCTATAGTATATACATATATATGTTATTTGCCGGCTAGGAGGTCCGTATGGTGAAAAACTGTGACCGAGTTCTTTAAAATACAGCATTTTCAAGACCGAGGTCACAGTTTTTCACCATACGGACCGACCCTTAGCCGGTAAATAACATACTTATTTTTTTGAAACTTGACGAAATTCTTTCCGAAAGAACCCGAATGATTTAGGGCTGTAAATACGGCAAGATCTCCCATAAACTGAACAGTTTTTTTAGCGAGTAAATGGTAGTTAAAATAGAGGTGATGCAAATTCAAGAGAGATGCCTCAGCGAAACATTTTCATTTCCGTAACGATAATTTAAAAGGCTTCCAAAAAAAACTTTGAAACATTATTTTTACAAGTATCTGTCACAATCTGACACCTGTCAATTAGAGAGCGCTTAAGTAAAAAAAAAGTGTAAGAACATTTGAAAAACAACGGAACTAGTTTGGCAGGGACTGTCACGACAATGTTTTCTTCAAAAACAGTCAATGATCTAACGGAAAGTGTTATTCACTCTCATCGACGATTCATTCATGTACGAAGATTTACCTCTGTTCATTAAGTAAACGTCGAGGAAAGTAATTGTGAGTAAATTCAATTTTTTTTTATTTTGAAGTTGTGAGAGTTTGCTCGTTTGTTTGCTGCAATGGCGCGCGTAAATCTGGTCTTTCCTTCACAAAAACTAAATTCGAATGGCACACTCCAACGAGACACAAGGGGATTTAATGCGACCTTTTCTCAAAAAATTCTTTCAGTTTCTGTTGTGTAATTTACGGTACAAATGTTCAAATTGAATGGACTTGGAAAGACTCGCCGAGATCGTTCATTTGTTGTAGAACTTAAATTAAAACTTCGCTCGCTCTTTCACTGAGTACAAATTGCTTGAGATAATTCAGGTATTAAATGAATGAAAGTTCCATCGTTAAGTTTAACTGTAAACAAATACCTCACGTTTTAACTTTCTAGGTACTTTTTGTGAACGATTAAAATTAATTGCAGAAGGGTTTTAGGCCGCTTGCCAAGCAACGTAATGACACTATTGTTTATACAAATTCATTCTGAAACCAATATTCTTCTGTCAACCGAAGTGATTTGAGTGAGAGAAAAGAGAGGATTCATAAATTATTCATCGGCTTGAGGTAGTGACCGACGTCCTTGCTTAAAAATACTGCCCAGCCGGAAAAACGAGATATATTTATGAAAAATGGCAACGAGAGTTGGGATGTACTTGGCGACTCAAGAAAGCGTTACCGTGGCCCAGGGGCAGAGATAGGAAAATACTGACCGGGCAAGGAACCAATCAGATTGCAAGATTCGTTACCGTACCCTCAAAAAAAAATTCGATATCCATTCAATGATTTGACTTCCTCACGGCATTTCTCAGATCATGTTTATATTGACATGTAGAATTGGTACGAGACTGATTGAACCTTTCTTGGTGAGCAAACACAAGGGTGACATTCCACACGGACGACTTTTCTTTAATATCTAAGCCTCTGGTGCAAACACTGAATATGTATCCTCCATGTATATTTTGCTTTTGGCAAATAAGTTGAGAGGGCAGATTGTAACCGCCGGAAAGTCAATTTCTTCGGGATGTTTTGTGCTCAATACAGTCTTTCTTGGACGAATACGGTATTCGCTAACAGCTCTGTTAACCGAAGAAATGTTATAACTACCAGAAGATAGCATCAACAACAACTACCACATCTTTTATAATTGCCTCAGTAAAATGAACTTGAAATAAAGAGAAAGGTCTTTTGACTTGGTTGAACTTTACGCAATGATTCAGTGTGGTTGGTTCTTGTCCGCTAACTCAACGATTATCTTAATCAACAACAAGCAAATTTACACAGAGTCCTAATAATGCTTTCTCTTCTCTCTTGGCAAAGCCATATGGTGAACTTGTGGCCCCGATTTTTCGTAATCAGTGTTTTTCCTGACAGAGCCACGCGCTTGGTATGCACTTTGTACATGCTCGAAGAACTGAAGGTATGCAGTCGAATTGTGAGTCAGTTGAATCTCTCATTTATGATTCTCGCCAGCACGAACTAGAATAAGGCGGTTGGATTTCCATCTCACATTTTTATAACTTAAACCACCGTAACCTCGAACTTTTGTTTGTTCGCTCACACCTCCCCCTGAGTTAAACAGTTTGCCAGTTCTCGACGGTCAAAACTAAGGATTCTGAGGTCCCAAACATTGAAAAATTACGTAAAGCGACTCTCCATCCGGCCCTTTATTGATTATGCATTGGTAGTTGGGGAGCAGCCTCTCAGTGTAATTTTAAACGGGTCTTTTGATTGCGGAAAGACGCAGTCAGAGTGAGTCTATGGTTAGAGTTAGGGTTAAGAAAACTCAAGATGTTTCGTCCTCTGAACTCTTTGGCAGACCGGAGTAGATCACTTTAAACTGATTTCTTTATAGATGTACAAAAAAATGGGCAAATCTTGCCCTGATTGTCTTTGTAGGTGAACCCAACGACAAAGATCAAAAAGAAGGAAGACCCTTGTGGAAGAGCAGGAATTTAAAGCTAATTGTCGGTTAGTACACTTTGTGTCAAAGCTCGATGCAAACTTTTAACGATTGCAAAAGGAAGTGAGACAAAAGGTTAAGAAAATTAACCCAAAATAAACAAAAGAAAGCAATAGTTCTAAAACCAGAAAGGAAAGAAAAGAAAAAGGAAGCAAATTGAACCCCCAAAAAAATGGTTTTTAGTTTCCTTTTATTCATATGACTGAGTGCGTTTGCAATTTCATAATTAATACATTAAAAATAGTTGAGTTTAAGCTTTGATACGCTGGGTGAGAGTATCATTGATTGCCGAAGGTCATCATCAGATCCAAGAGTCGTTTTATCGTGCCACTGTACATTTAAGACATTTGAAATAAATTTCTTTTGATTTATGATATTTAATTGTTTTATTTTGCCATATTCAATAAGGTCAAGTGAGCTCCGCAAGAGCACATGCAGGAGAACTTCAGTTGTAAATCAAAACATAGGCATAGCTAATATAAATTTTGGAATGTCAGCAATACATTGCTTCATGGCAATTCTTCGGGCTAAGCTCTAACAGATTCCACATGAAAAGGCACATTCCGATCCATACGTTTCACAAGATTGCTCTTCAAAGGCCGCAAACATGCAGAAGTATATATCGGGGTTTGTGTCTTGACAATCAGAACGTTCAACAAGCTCCGCTCCTGAAGGATAAATAATAAGGGAGAACCATTTGAATCAAGAAAACAATTCTTAGAATCAAAAAAACAACAGAAAAGAAATAAAGAACAGAGTTAGTTCAATAATCACATGACTCATCGGGTCAAAAAAAGAAAAAAACTGGAACTAGAAACTGTGTTTATTTTATTGAGTTGGACAATGAAAGTTTGTTTTTATGGACCAATTGAAGTGTTTGGTTATAAAATCGGGAAGTTAAACAACCCTGTAGAATCTAACTTATCGAGTTCCTAGCTGCTCGTGCTTACAGTGACAGACTACTCAACAATTAAACGCCATTTTGTTCATCGTCTTGGTTACGTTCTAAACAGGTAAAAGTAAAGTGAGCAGAAATGACTATGAGTAGATGCACTAACGCCTTACGTTTATCTAGTGCTCGGAGAAATCTTTCTGCAGCAGAATTCCCCTTCAGATCCCGCCTTATGAGAGACATTCCCATGCCACTGGAAACTAAGCACAGCAAGAGAAGAATTGTCACGGTCATTTTGAAATCCGCCATCTTTTAGCAATTCTGTTAAATGAATAGAGAAAGTATTAAGACAAAGAGTCTTCGGAAAATCATCGTGAGAAATAATAATTGCAGCCTATGGAACAAGATGATAAGTTAGACTCAAGTCAATAGCTCTATCACATTCACGTATATATTCAAGTACAATGTGGAATAGATAACCACAAGTAGTTTTTTTCAAAGGGCAAAACTCCTACGTTCCCGGCGAGTGCAATTTTAGTCTAAAATTTACGAGCGCTTATCTATTTTAAATTAAAAAAGAGGAAGTCATCTTGTTTTTTGTTCATAATAAACATGAAAAGTTTTAAGAGAGCCTTTCATAATTAATTATAAGTAGAAGCCAGGCGTGCTATCACATATAAAACTGAATTTTCGAACCCTGCAAAAGTCCTTCTCCGTTCGATCAAAATAACTACTCTTCCTCTTTTCTTTTCTTTTTTTTTTTCGCCTCTTCATTTCTTTAATAAGATTGTAAGCCCGTAAGGTCAAAGCCCGGCCGAGTGGTTAATATCCTTTTATTTTGCAATGAATCACCACTTCTCTGCACTATCAGTCCAAGAATTGCATTTCTCCTGGCCAATCAGAATGAAAAATTTATTTTTATAGTGATCATTAGATAAGTAATAGTTATTTGTCAGCTATTATTTAATTCTCGCTGTCTTCGTTGTGGTTTTCTTCCGAACAAATCATTTCATCCTCTCATTCATTATTTTATTCTATTACCTTGAATATGCGATCTATCCTTGCAAAACTACTCAGCCAATCGTGGAAAGATCGCTTTCACATCTGATTAATAATTTGGTTTGGTCCAGTTGTTATTAACTTTCCTTAAGAAATCATATCAAAGGTACACGCAGATATCAGTTTTGACCAAAAGAAAATGCTATGTTGATATGTCGGAGTTGCGTCATTGGAAAGAAGAATACCATTTTAAAAATTGATTTTCTGGGCAAATATACGCTTTCGGCAGTTATAAAAATTTCCATTGGTCGGGCGCAAACAGCTCCTTCCAAATAGGATTATGTTTCTTGATCTTTTTAGCCAGAAAAGAATTACAAGGCTTTTTGGCAATTTAAAAGTTTTACCACCGTGCAAAAAATAGAACAGAGCATTTTGGAGCTGAATTAAAGACACTGTTACACCTTACAAGTAAATATTCATGTTTACGCATATCCCTAAAGGATGGTTGTACTGACGTATCCATGGGTAAGCTACCATTCTTCTATTAAAAAGAAATCGGAGTTTAATCGTAGACATCGCACAAGAATGATACAAAAATTGTCACTTTCGTCAAAATCCCAAACCTTTCCCGAACTTAAAGCGATGTAAATAGTATCAAGGACAAACTAAATTTCAGTGCAATTAATGTAAGTGAAATAATTTTTTGGCGAAAAATTTACTATGTGAGAACTTGGCATCTGTTTTTCCGAAATATATAATATTTGTGTCAAACGTAGAAGGAAGAAAAAAAAATCACCATAAAACACAGAATGCATGCAGTTGAAACTCCACCTTTCAGAAAAGAAAGAAACTGAAACAAGCCAGTGAGCTATGAAATCCCAAAATCATGCGAGTACTCCACTTCTTAAGAGCAAAGAAACAATCAAGGGGCCAGGAATTTTTTACTATTGATAAAATTATGAACTTACCTACGAGTTGATAATAAAATTATTAACTTACCTGGGAGTTGTCTCTCGGAGAAAACTTGTCTTCCTCTAGCTGAAAGTCAAATGCTTATGTGAAAAATTAGAATGGCGACTTATCCTAAATATACATTTTGAATTATTAGCTCAATGTCGTGATTGGATGTGACCTCAACATATTAAAATGAATTAGCAATCATTTTTCAGTAGAACTAACAATAAATTTCTTTTTTCCTGTTCTTGTTTAATTAACACGTGATTGTTGGAGAAATCAAAAATCATTATAATTCCTCAAATAGGATGACAATATGGATTTATTGCGTTTAATAATTGATGAATTAATAAGCTTATCTCTGAGGCTTTGAAAATGATTTATAGTAGATTTGTTGAGATGGACTCGCACGGCACCGCAGCAATATTCCATTTCGCCAATTGCGATGATGTAGAGCTTTTTTAATTTATCTGGCGTGTATCTCTAACTCTACGATACTTGAGTAGTGTCTGTTCATTTTCGTGTTCTATTGTCATGTTAGAAGAACGATTTATGGCTTTAATGACGCTTTTGTTGAACCTTCACCCTTTAAACTGAGATGCTTTTTAAAGTTAAAAAATCTGAATATGAATTAAACACGTACTTAGCAATGCACAATTAATTTTCTGAAAGGACTTCCACGATGTGTAAACACATTTGCCGCGGTCCATTCAACTAAAAGTTGGCGTCAGACGAAGTCTCAATAAAAGGAAACTAATTTTCCTTATTGTAGAACTTATTTCAGTAATTCGGCTAGCTATTTAGTGCAAAGTTACATTTTTATTATTTAGACTGTGCATGTTAATCAATTCACTTTATAGTTGCTCGACCTATGGCACTTAACTTTTCTACAGTTGAGTAGCTCTAAAAGTAAAATAGCTAAGAGCATTATGAGAATGGCCTAGTTGCTTCCCCGCAACGCTTTTGAACTAACATATTAGCTTGATACTAACTTTTAAGCAAAATACATCTTCTAATTACTCGAAAGAAATTGTCCTAATCACTCAACCACCGCAAGAATCAACCCACCTCCAATTGCTGCTTACTTGAATAGTGATAAGGGGAAAAGTAATATATCACGTGAAAAACTCATGAGGGCCGGTGTATTTTGATGAATTTAAAGGGAAATTACGGTCGGAAAATAGACTTAAAATAAGTTTGGAAATGGGATGAAGAATGGAGCTTTTGGGTCAATTTGGCTGAAATCCTGCAGATCACTGAGTTAAACAGGATCTTCTTTTAAATTTAGATGTTCAAGCCCTGAATATTAAAGGCACAGCTGCAAATAAATGCCAAATACTACGTGGGCAAGAGCCAATTGGACAAAATGTTTTTTCTTACGCTCAATACTTCGAACACAGTTGGACATCGATTCACTTATATCATCCACCTTGTTTTGTAACGACAGGTAGTCGTTGCGACCACGCTAATGGTAGACCTAAGTTAATGAATTCTGTTCATGTGTGATAATAAAAGCAATTCCACTGTCGTAATTGAGGTTTACGATACTACGATGACGTGGTATGCGGTTTAACACTCTCAGCCTTAACGCTCTCTATGCACGGAAGTTATTCACGGAGACAACCTCACTCAATTGATTGAAAACCAGCTCCGGAGCCACTGGTAATCGAGCCTGCAGGGAACAAAAGATATCAAGAACGGCATATTGAGCCAAAGTCGCCTAAAAGGCGGGTAATGGTGAATAAATGGTCGACAGAGTTCGTTTGGTTAAAAGTGGAAGGGCGCGTAACGGTGAAAGCTGGAAAACATAAATATTTTTAGTCTGAGGGTCAAAACCATAACGCACAGTTCCGCATCAGCTGATGCTCAAGTTAATTTTAAAATAACAAGTTAAGTTATAAATAAATTGAAAGAAAGGAGGATAAACTTCATTTCTGTGGCCGATAATGCCGCTTGGAATTTTGTTTCAAAACATATCGTCAAGAGATGTGGAAAAGGAGGCGTGACAAGCAAGTCGTCAGTTTGTGGGGCAAGATTCAAAATGGCAGCGTTTGTAACCTAATTTTGCTAAAATGTCAAAACGCATTCATTCTTTTTATTTTTTAAAGGAATTTTTCAGTGGTCGGATAAATATTACTGTTCCTTTAAAACGTATTTGTAAAAAAAATTGATCTTAATAGATGCTAATTAAGTTTCAGCCGCAGTATTATGAGATTAGACTTAAGAAAGTACGTGTTATTTTGTGAATTTTCAACTTAGTAATAGCTTATATTTGCAGCCGGAGACAAAGAAGTCATTGTAGGCGTCTTAAATTGAGGCAAATATCTGACTTGCAAGTTCTTGCCTCGAATCACTCTTAGTAAGCGTCACGGATTTCTTTGCCTTATGGCCTAATCAATGATCTGTTGTGATTTGTTTCCAATAATTTGCAAGAAATGTCAATATAATAATTATCGTCTGTGTCCGAAGAAATCATTGGCGATGTGGATTGTGGCGTTTCAACTACACACCGTTACATAAGAGGTCGACTGATCATGTTTGATCTTATGAGGCACTAGCCTTCGTTGTAATTTATTTTATTACCAACAACTTTATTCACGCTTTTATCGGTATGTTTTCTATAATCGATGATATATTCCCTGTCACACGAGATGTATTGAAAAATTGAGATTAATTGAATTCAAAAGGAAAGTGTGAATAAAAAAAATTCCCTGCACACTCTTCCAAACTCCAATGATGTTAATCCATGTTACCTCATTATCCAGAATTTCACTCTAATTTCTCCCATTTTCGCTTGAAAAGGCCACTTCATCCTCAAGTAAACTCAGCTATCAATACAAACAGATTTCCATGAAATATGGATTTTTAGCTGAATTGAACATTGTTTACACAAGTTTCTGTCATCGATTAAGAGTTAGAAAACGTTGAACCCGCGCAAACGATTTCGAGCATAGGGCGGGTACCAAGCGCTTGACATAGATTTTATTAAAATCACATTTGGCAGTCGTGAGACTGAATTACATGTTTTAAAACAATAATGGATAATCTATCTGCATACGATAAATATAATAATGAAATTTGAACTATCAAGTGGCCTTGGCTGCATGGTGCATAATAATGAGTGAGTTCTTTAATCTGTTAGTAATGATTAATGGCAACGAGTAAACTCTTTTATGCCTCCGTTCACGATTACATGGTCCACTTTTAACCGGTAATAGGTTTTCCAAAGTTTGTGTCTCTCGTTGACATATGTAGTCTCGATCTGTCTAAATAGCATTTAACACTGAGTTTCTCTTCTCTCAAACAGAGTTCCAAGTTTTGCTTTAGCAGTTGCTTCTTTGTAATTGAGATCTGGAAAAATTATCTTTAGCGCTAGACATAGACCGCTTTTCCCTCTACAGCTACCATAACAGATTCGAATGACAGAAATTTAAGGACTATTTTGGAGCTGCTCAAATCTTCCGATAAGTCTTTCGCTTCGAAAAATTTTAATTTTGGTGTTAAGAATTTTCCCACGAAAATTTAACGTAAGTCATCGCGGTTACAACATCATTTTTCTTTTTCCCAGGGAATCTTTCATGCATTTAGTCCACCGCTGTAATGTAGCAAAGCTTAACAGACTGCATCAGATATTTTGGAATATAATCATCAAAGTTACTGGCAATAAAAATTTCCTAGATAAATTTTTGTGATAAGAATTCTCATTCTTACAGCAGAGATCCTGCCTCTCATCTTATGAATTCTGAAATTGCGATTCTTTTCGTAAGATTTGCAATTAAACATTCTCTCTAGAAGAACTTTCTACTTCATTGCCTTCTAGAAAGAATTTTCGTTCTTGAGAAAAGAATTCCCGATTCTTGTGGCAAGAGTTTCTGAAAAAGAGATTCTTCTCAAGATATTTAGGTAATGGATTCTTACTAGAAGAATTCTCTTCTATTCAGTCTTGTCTCAAGAACCTCGATTCTCCTTGCAACAATCACAATAAAATTATTCTTGTGATGAGAATTTTGGTTCTTAATCGGAGAAAATGCAATTTGGATAATTAACAGTGTGATGCATCCATTTTGAAATCACAGATGATCTTTCAATCTAATTGGCTTTCATCAGTGCGACTCATTCACGAATCGCACCATTTTTGCCCTAAACGCATCTCTCTCTCAGCGAATGAGAGGCCAACACCTAAAATAAAACAACCAGTCAATCCTGAAGGCTTGTTTAAAGTAATCAATCAAATAGCAGGAAAATGAAAGACAAACCAGGTTAGTACTGAAGCAATGAAATGTTTGTGCAGACTAAAAGATCCTTTATTTGAGCGATTGCATTTTCCGATTTTAAAAGGGATACTATAAATTTGAAATTAAACTTCGTGTCGTGCAATTTTGGTCTAATATTTCAATTCACGCACATGATTTCAGACCAAATTGCACTCCAATTACTGCAATCACCCATATTAATTGAATCTGTTCCTTTTAATCGATGATATGTTCTCCTCTACTCCTTTGAAGAACCCAAGATAAGGCAAGTGTTTTAAACCTTTTCCCACGGCCTCTCAATCGGGTTCGATAACGACAGGCCGCAGTTCTAGCGGATTAATTTTCCTGTGACAGTCCATTGGTACTCTGTTACATCGCGGTTCTACTTGCGGTTACTAACCGTGACATTCTAAGGAAAAATTGATGGTTGCACCTCGCTGGTGTAACAAACCATTCAGCGAAGTAAGAATTAGGAATGAGTTTTACCTCCAATGCAGTCTGGAGCTACATTTTCTTTTAAATAAGAAAAAAATTGAAATAAAGTAAAATGTAAATTCATAAAGTAAGGCACTGGACATTTGAGAGTCAGGATGTGAATGTAATTATCAAATATACAGACATTTGTGGTTATTGAGATTACAATTTTTTTCTTCATTTACGATCTTATCTCATCCTTGCTGATTACATGATTTCGCTGGTGGATTAAACTAGCCTACAGCCACCTTCATTGCAAAAAAAAAGTTGAGTTAAAATGAAATGCGAAACAAACAAATTACATATCAATTCAACCTTTTCGGGAAATTTCGATAAAACAGCCACAATCGTCATAGCAAGAAACTTCTTATCAATTTAATATGAGTACAATGCGCCCAACAGTTTATTTATTTATTTATTTTTTTATACAGATGGTAATCATGCTACGATACCTGAGTAGAATTGCCAAACATCGCAACTATGAGAAAACGAAACATAAACATTTCTCAGCTGATTACCAGGATTGTTTTTTGGAAACCTAATTGTTCCTATGTCGCTGTTCGGAGAGGGAATTGTTTTTCAAGATATCAAGAGGCAAGCCCTCATCTTTCCAAGACCTAGCGATACATGAAATGGTTGGAAGATTGCTTTGCCCTTTCTGAAAATAAAGCAGTGATCAAAAGATGAGTAATTTCATGAGTAACTTGAATTTTTTTGTCATCAATAAGCTTCAAGGGTTGTTATATAATTGATACTGAGGATTGCGAAACAAACAAATTAGTCACATAGCTTAGCCATGTTTCATGGTTAACCAAACAAACTCAACTGAAGTGTCTACAAAAAAGATTAAGTTCCACTCAGAATTTCGTTTCTTTTCTTTTTTTTCCATATTTCGAGGGGTTATTTGGGGCTACTAGAGAAGTTCCCGAACGTTTATTTCCTTGCAAATTTCACCTACCGGCTCGGCTAATGTGGCCATGAAACTGATTCGAAATCATAGATGAAGCCATCTAAAGTCTGAAATCAAAAGAAAACATTTTAATGTCAGGTATAGAAAGCTTCATTGAAAAATGATGAAGTGAAAAGTGTAAAGCCTTCTTATCTCACTTGATTTTATCATTAATCATTAATTATTTGAAATCGCTTTAATTTCATTACCGAGCAAACGCAAACTACGTTTACATTTAGCAGTTGTCCGCCTTCGAGAAGTAATTCTAGATCAATTGTCAAACATCAATTTTCTGGTCTTGTCATTTCATTGTAAGTTGAGTAACAGTTATCATTAATTTGGAAGTGATAGCAAATTTAAGGCAAGCAGCTACTGTAGCAACAAAAACTTTGATTTCAAAGGAGATTTTTAAAGTTTACATTATTATCACATTTCTTTGCAGAATTATTTGCAATGAAGACAATCAACACGCTCCAGATCATATTCGTCCTGACCTGTTTAATCTCTCTGTCAAATCCTATGGCAATAGGAAAAGGTCATCAAAAAGAACTATCTTCCAATACTTTTCTACGACAATTTTCCTTTGGTAAGAGAAGCAATAATGGACTCATTATTTTTAAGTATTCCATAGTGGGATTGGTGTTCCTTGTATAATTAAATTTTGCCTATCATTGCATAAAAATAACTTCATCTTCCGAATTTTACCCAGCTTCTTCTTACGAGTTTTGACACATAGAGCGCTGTAGTCTAAGTTTCTTTGACTTTTCGTTGTGAAGCCTCAAGTTTATACTTTGCTGGCTCAGTTTCTCTCGCTTTGTAACATACTTCAGTAAAAAAGGTGGACAATTTTGTCATTTCTCTGCTTTTCAGATGATACCGAACAAAAACGATTACTGCCATGTGAAGACGTCGGAGACCCATATCACTGCTTTTATTTAGCTGTGGTTGAAGATAATTGCGATCGGCATGGTGGTAACCTGTGTAGTTATTCTTGCGGGCTGTGTTAAAAACAGGGTCAATAAAAGTTTTCCCAAAATAAGAGTGTTTTCAGCGGAAAACTGTTGGCAGTCTAAACGCTTTGATGTTACTGGAGAAAGGGAAATAAAATAGAATTGTGAAAAAACCAATTTACATTGAGCTCACGAAGAATACGCTTTTACCGAAATCGGCGGTGGATTAAATCTCTTTTCGCAAAACGGTTTTCACCAGCCAATATGATGTTTATAGTCTGCGAAAAATGACAGAAGAACAACTTTTAAAAATGTATTAGGGTAGTCATAATCTTATCAATTTGATAACCCCGTCAGGTTCTTTCATTGAAGACTTTGAAAATATACGCGTTGATTATTTTCCCTTTTCCTGTCGGCCATCTTACCAAAAAGGTAAAAGCTTTAATAGCTGTATTATAGCTGATAGCTAACTGGGCTGAAAGGTTGGAAAGAGAAAGTATATGTATTGCAGATCAAACAGATCAAAATGATTGCATTGACTTCCTATATTAAATTCTCATTGTTCATCATCAGGCGCCCATAATGAAGGGTTTTTTTTTGTTTTTTTTTTAGCTTTGGAGTATTGACCACAGATAAAGGCGCCAAGCTGCGCGTTTGAGGATGCTCTTTTAAGCTTGTAGACGATTATTTTATTCGATTAAACCTACAGGAAAAATAATTGATATTCCTCGATCATTCTTGAAATAGCCGTACCTCCAAGTTTTCAAGCATTTATGAAGTTTGGTTGGAATTTTATCGTCAAGTGACATAAAGATTTTGACGATTTGTGCTTGTCAGCAATGTGGTTCTTTAGGGAACATTTTTCGAGAATTGCTTCTATTTTAATGAGCAGACGATATGCTATGATAATTATTTTCTAACACAGTCTTTTCAGCTTTTCTTTAAACTTGTTATCCATGGAGCAATAAAAGGGGGTGGAAATTAGTAAAAAGAGTTAATTTTTCAGCGTTTAAGTTGGCAATTTATTCACGTTCAGTATCTACGAGAATATGATGAGTAGTGTGCTAAAAAATTTTAAGTTGTCGTGAGATAGACATACGAATCTCGGAAGTGTTCATGGCAATAATGCATTTTTCATACAAAGAGAAAATGGACAAATGGTTCACCAGTAGCTATGACGCATGATTCAGTTTTGTTATTGCGGAAGTATTGAGCAGATCATAGCACTCCTAAAAGGAAAGTAAAAAGCACTTTCTCACTTTTGTTCATTTTATTTAACGGAGTCTGAAACTTACATTTTGTCGCTGTTCAGTACTAATGAACAAAAAGAAGAGCATTTGAATTTCGGATAATTTAGCTCAATTATTAAAACGAGTTTTGGAAACGCATTCTGAGTTCCACTTTCGTATGGTTCCACTGCTACAAAGGCTTCAATATACATGAAATAGACAACTCTTTACAGACAGCATCGGGCCTGCAATGTAAAAAGATAAAAAATAAACTTAGAATTAAGAAAGATCTCATTAACCATTATTAAAGAGCACGTTTGCTTTCGAAAAAAAAGAAGGAACGAGAACGTAGCATTGGTATCTTTCCTTGGTTGTATGAAATTGATGTGCATGTTGAGATGCAAACCTGGTTTTGCATTCAAAATTATCGACCTCGCCTACTGAAGGGTGCTCTTTAGAAATTGGTCAGATAACCAGCGCATCTAAATGTTAACACTGAAAATTACACTAAGTAAATGGCCCAAAATTCATATCTGCTCGAACAGTCATATAAAATAATAGTTACACATAGTCATACATATTAAAGAGTACACGTGTCAAACCATCAGAAAGCGTTTAAAATTTTATACCTAGCAAAATCCGCACATTCTTCTGCAATTCTGTTTCATGATTCCTGGTTGATAAAAGCAGGAATCCTCGTAATATACTTCTAGCTGGCAATAAATTTCGCCTGCAGCATTTCTACATGAAGGAGCTCTCTTCTCTTCATGAGGAACAGCTGAAATAAAACATAAAAAAGTGATCTCAAAGTGATCTCACATCCTTAAATATCAAAATCTGGATGGAGCTGAATTTTGTTTTGATGGTTTTTACTAGGAAATGCACATCAATTTTACTGAAACAAGCGCACTTGTACACCAGAATAAAAAATATACTTAAAGACTCTCGTTGCTTATGGAATTTTAAGACTCCTCCGCACAAAGTGGGCATAGTTTGAAGGTTCGAAATTATTCCTACGCCGGCAGAGAAATATCTCCACATTAATCATCGATGTATTTTTGGCGGTATTAGACCCCTTTAAAACCTGACCGTAAAGATATATACTGGAGTTTCTGCTGTTTTTGACTGTCGCGATTTTAAATTTTTCTTAAGCAGTGTGGAAGGAAAATATCTATAATCTGTTTTCTGTTGTAAACACAAAACTTGTTTGCGTTTTGAAAGTAAAAAACGCTGCATTTTAATCTACTTGGCGTAAATTTTTAAGAGGCCTAGGTATGGCTCATTATGATTCTGCCTACAGAATTACCCGCTCCATTTAATTTCATCATAACGATTTCATAATCAAACCACAAGAAAATAAAATGAAAGCAAAGCAAATAGGAGGGGGCGTATACAAAGCGCAAAAACGACTACAACGAGAACGTGGTGAAACAAAAGACTAAAACAACGTGTCTAGCGTTATACACATCATAGCCACTAACTGCAAAACAATGTTGTGAAATAATTTTTAAATTTCGTGTGTCGTGAAAGAGAAGCTGGAGGTCCGAAGGTAAATTTTATTCTCGATTCATACAGTCGTTAAATATTACAATAAAGAAAACATCTTGGCATCATGGGGAGTATTGACGATTTCAAACCTTCGAAAATTTGAAAATTCCTAAGGCAAATGGAAGTTATATCGTTATTGACGTTTTCTTAAGCGTCACCATAATGAGTGTTTTTACTCCAGCCAATCATTGTTGCTTTTAAAAGAAGAAAAAAGCCAGAAGTGTTTTGAAAACGGTAAGGTTATCTATATCTTCGTGAGTAAGTTGCACGATTTTACTCATAAGTTTGTTTGTTCCCGAGTTTTTTACTTTTTTCATCGCAATTAAACATTTATTACCTCCTTGCATTTCGAGTTGGTTTATTTACTTTAGATGTGTGGGTTCATCTTATATGAGGCAATCATTTTATGAGAATGTTTACTTAATTTAGTGTAGAAATAACTGTGAGGTGTAACTCACTATCTTTATATACAAACACAAGAGCCTTTAGGTACGAACCTAAAGAATACACTTCACCATGTGCATATTGCTTATTTGTGGTCTTTTGCTTTAGTCGAGTTCGTGAGCCAAATGGAATTTCCTATGAACTCATTAGTGTTATCAATTGCGGGGATTTTGAAAGGCATTGAAGGAATGAGATTGTAAGAGATAGACATGACGAAGAAAAGTCTCCACAAATTTCTTTCATTATTTCGGCAGTTTGAATTTTACCATCTGGCGTATTGACATAAAAAAGGGTTTTGAAATATGAATAATTAAAACCCCAAAACGAATATTACACGTCAAAAGAAGGATCGTTAATCAATAGAAATCGATTGTTATTAGAAGAAATTCTTCACATTTAGGCACAAAGGCTCGACATTTCTTAGGATTCGAGAATTTTATTTGCAGATCTGTCCGCTTCAAGCTGTGCTCTTGTAGAATGATGTTTGTAATACTGGAATCTTCTTGCCCACCCACGAGCGAATGATGGTAACGGCATCGACGGGGATAAAAAGCGCTGGTGAACAAAGCCACAATCTTGTTCATAAACGAGGGCGATTGTTAATCGCAATTGACGTTGGAGGTATAAAATGATGCCTACAACCATTGTTCAGGGTCGAGAAAAAATTGCTTCCTCGCTCAAGAGTAAGCTATATCCATAATTAATTACAAACAGGACCCATTAGACAGATGCTTCAGTTAATAGCATCAAGTTAACAAATATCTTTGAACTTTATGCTAATTTTGAGCCAACTCAAGGAGAACAATTTAAATTCTAACTTTCTCATATCTTATTCACAAACAGTCTATCATATTATTTGTAAAATAGGATCTATGCATTTCATGTCGTCAGGTGTTTTGCAGGACGTTCTAAGTACGAGCGAAAATAAGATAGATCATCGACTCTTTGTACGCGAGGTTCATGGGTGGTATGTAGCCGAATCTAGAATGGTAGAAAGTTATCGATAATATATGCATATTCTTTCAAATTCTGTAATTAACACAAGGTAGGGAAAATATGTAAGCATTTTTACAGAAAAAAAAGAGTAGTGAAACCTGGCAAAATAAACTACTAGGTTAAACAATGTCCATTTTCTTTATAGCTGAATTCAATAATTCTATTTATTATCTTTAAGAAGTGACTTTTGAAATGTGTTACTTGGGCCAAGGGACGATGCAAACCAAACTTTATTTCTGTAGGTTGCTTCAAGATTGGTTCAACTCTTGTACATGGCTGCATTTATTATGACATTCTCTCAATCAGCTAGTAGATAATAAATATTGTCCTACCTTTGTCGTAATGACCGGATTTTCCAAGCTCTCTGGTAAAGTCTTCTCTTGGAAATGGCACAGCCACAATCAAAGAAACCAGTGTTGTTAACGTAAGGCACGCAAGGAACTTCATTATGAACTAGATATCGCTGTAAATAATTTAAATATCGTGACGTTATTTTTTACTTGGGTATGAACACAGCTTGTGTTAAAAAAGTCATCATTTAGGGTAGCGAAGCAGGCTCTTTCTAGGTACTTAAGCGATAAAACAATGTGACAATATTTATTACGCTGGCCGTACTCCGATTCAATCGGCGTAACATATGGCAGTCCTTTTCATTGTCCAACACGCGATCTGAAATTGAACTCCCTATCTGGGAAGCCATTAGGAGCCTAGATATTTAAAAATAAACCGTTCAAAATGTGACTTTGAAAAGAAAAATTTCTCGAAACCGGATTTTCAGTTAAAGACAAATCGCTTTTGAAATGTCCTGCCATCTAGGAAAATCAACAAACAAATGTGGAATCTTATTAGTGCGAGAAGATGCCGCTTGTTTTAGCATTCTCTATCGAGTTCCTTACTTTGGTAGTAGGTAATACTGATATCAAAGATAATTTTTGGTTCTTTAGGATGGGATTCTTGAGAAGATAGCCACAAGAGACTCACCTTCCACGTCAATCAACTTAAGTATCCGGATATGAACTAAGACTGGTTTTGGTGAAAATTATAGCGCTTGATTTCAACTTTGTGAATTATTGATAAAGATTCCATCTTTTATTGGCGACTACATGCCGATGTTTTTAATGAGCGACCAATCGATTTCTCTCGGCGGAAAGGTCTATGGCTTACTTCTAAAGTTATTTTAATCAAATTGTAATGCAAGGCTTAGTCGAACTGCTTCAAGTGATATCATCTACCCTGCTCTTTCTAAACTTTTAGCCAGCATGGTAAACAAAGGACGTGATGATAACTACAGTTGGTTGGTAGATCGATATCATTCAAAGTGAAAGACACTAAATGAAAATCTCTATCAATCTTGGCTCGGTAAAAACGTTCCTGTGTTAACTTTTTTTTCCTTTCCTCTCTTTTTTGTACATGCCCTAGCTTACGAGTTCTAGAGAGGGATAGAATAATCAAATATCTGACAAAAACACCTGGTGATAATAATAAACCTTTTTTGAGAGAATATATTTTACAGGCCTGTCGAGTTGGACCATCACGAATGCTTTAAGTGATGTGAATTACGATTCAGGTCAGTTTTCACAATTATTACCAATTTAAAGCAAAAATGTTGTCGGGATCTGTGCTATTGATACGCTAAAATTGCGATAACAACATCTCCACAATGATGTTCTTGAATAAATTATTCAAATCGCGAGTTGTTACTACGCTTAGGCTTTATACGATTTCAGGTAAAAGTTGTTCTAAGGGGTTTTCGAATTTTATAATATGTACGATATTGCATATTTCAAGCAGGAAAAGGTGGAAGTCATAAAAAGTATAGTCAACAACATAATCTGCAGTCACGGCAACTTATTTACAAAACATTAGACATTCACAATTTCTCTATTCCTTAACAATTCTGGTCATGAGGCAAAAAATAAGGAGAGAAATAATAAACATAAAATGCAACTAAATATTAAAGAATATTTTCTTTATTTTGTATTTTCTCGTATTTTGCCATGTAGGCACATTCAACTAAACCTTTGAATTTCGGCACGTGTCGAGAAAAAAATTACAGCGGAATAAGGGGACAAATAAAGGTTTTTCTGTTTAAAAATTGAGGCAAAGGCTAGGAGAAAAAATAAGCTCAAAATTACATTATCTTCCAGTTTAATCTTCACATCGAGAAGAAGGAAAGTAGACATCAATTTTGTTCATAGTTATTGCAGATGCAAGAAACGTTGGTGAAAAACGCCTGAAATGAGACGGCTGGAAGTTCTGATTACGCCGTTTGCCGTTTTTTGATAGGATCATCCTAAAGTTTTCGAGTAACAAAGCAGGGAATATGAATACGTATTATATGTTACCTTAAACATAACAGATGATAGGATCAGATCATGATTTTTAAGTTAGATACTACTAGAAACTTTGAACTTCAACCACGTTTGAATACACGCTTCATTTTCGCCATTAATTAATAAAAAGAAGTTAATGATCAAAAACCGCATTGTCATTATTTATCTACTAATGTGAATGTTATTAGAGCAATGAAATTTAAAATTCTTTTTATGTTAATACGCTATTTTCGGTTGTCGGCTCACAGCTTCATATCAAAATTATTTAAGCGGAAGAATAAAGTGTTTTCTAAATAATAAGTCTTTCGTGCATTACAGTCCAAGCTATTAGTCAGAGATGAGATTACAAACACTTGTTATTTGGTGCCCACCACAAGCCCTTATGGAATAAAAATAAAAATTTTAAAATATTTGAAAAACCTGTTTACAAAGATATTTCGAATTGTTAATAATTCAAAATGAATCTTTTTATAATCGTAATATCGCGGGCTTACCCGATATTAGTACCAATGACAGGTGTGGAACAAATGGGAATTATAAACAATTACAATTGGTAAATGGAAAGGTGAATTCCAAGTGCATAACAATAAACTGCCTTCAATTCTTTTTGCAAGTAGTAAGTTTGGTTTAAGAAAATGGTTGTGTTGTTCAGGATTTTTTTCTGTCGCACTTTGTAATGATCGTCTTACTTTGTAATATCTGTCCCACTTTATAAATATTGTTGTCTCAATTTGTAATAAAGTCGTCGCACTTTGCAAGAGATTGCATTCTATTTTTAGTCGTTCTGATGAAGTACTAACGCTCGATTGTTAGCTTTGAAACTCTCTACGGTGGCCAACCTAAGTTATCAACTCAGCTGATAATACTAAACTACCCTGTTATACTCTCCCACCGACACAGCAACACTGTTTCTTTTGAAACTTGCCCCTTTTATTCATTTGAACTTTGTTATAACAGACTATCGCACTCGGTAAAAAAAATTGCCTTAATTTGTAATTAAAAAAAAGCTTTGGCTGTTTGTAATAAATGACCATTGTACTTTAAAGTAATATAAGCTTTCACACTTTGTAAGAACACTTGCCGCACATTGTAATAAACTTGGTATAGTTAGTCGGAGGGCGAGTCTAGATCGCAAATTATTGCTTAATTTGGGTCCTTCTCTAAAAAAGTGGTTCTGTTGTTGCCAAAGTGCTGGGTTACATTTAGCATATGAAAAGCATACGACTGAGTGGGGTCTCTAAGAAGGTACCATGCAGTGCTCACAACCACGTACCTCTTTCTTAGGCCTGTTTTTTTATTTTCAGGATAATTAATGCTGTTTTATACGAGTAGACTTGTTTACCCATAGACATGCACACAAAGTTTATAAAAATGAAGAAGAGCTGATGATCTGAAACTGAGGAAAAATGCTTTCTGCCTACATTGTAAGCCTGTGCTTGCATTGATGGAACATAGTACTGGCCAGAGATTTAATTGCTTGCAAATGGTGATATTTTCAATTTTGCCATGTTCTGAAATATGATGTTTAATTTCCTTCGGTATCCTAGATGAATGAACAAGAAATTAATTTTTAAACATATATTTAAGCACGGAACGGGTAAATTTTTTTAGTAAGCCTATAAAGAAAATTCCCAAAATGAAAAGAGGCCACTTATAAACATTGAATAAACAGTAGCGTATTTCCGAATTGTTTATAGCACAAGGTTAGGAGATTCAGAGAAACATAAGGAATTTTAAGAAGCAAGTGTCTCTTTTAATAAAATGAAAGGTATGCGTATGCGCCATTGAAGAAATTCCTACCCAAGTACTCTAATTTCCCTGTATGCTGAAGTATGCATCTTTGGAAATCGCAGTGCATTGCGTGCGATTTGAAAATGCAAATCTAGCGCCAAAAAATAGAGACTACACCTCTGACGATGGCCACTCGTCCCTTTCGCCGCCAATTGGTAAGGATTTTAAATATTGGAGAGTACACCTGGATGTTAATAGACTACGATTACCTTGGTTCTCCCTTGTTTGAGCTCATGCTCTGCTTTTTTTTTTTCCTTGTGCAAGATATATTTAAGGATTTTTCTATCGTTCTTTAGCTTGGCCGTCTTAGAGTATTCTATTCCTTCTGTTTTTGTTTTGTTTTGTTTTTTTTAATGGAGGGGGAAAAAGCGACACACCGAGGGCGGCTATCTTAATGTAAGATCTCCACTAAGGTTACTTATGGTGTTTAGCAAAAGTACTTAACAAACTAAAATAATATTTCAGAATAGAATGCAGATTATTACTTAGGATGGCTGGGCGCAGTTTTTCAAGCTCTGGCCGACAATATTCTGGGCGTGTAAAAGCAAACCTTCCCCCCCCCGCCCCCGATCGGTTTTCAAGCATCTGTTGACTGAAGGATTGAAATTTACAACGAAGGATGTGGCATGGCAATCGTCATTAATATACAAATGTTATGGGGAATTTCCTTCAACATTATTTGGGGACGGTCTCGGAAGGTCCTCGATATATTTTTTTTTAATTTCAGAATGTTCTCTTGAGGGATAAGATAAAGTAAAGAGAGGAAAGTACACCATTATTTAGGCACGATAATAAATTAAGCGTGAAGCATGTGGAGTGGTGTAAATAAGGACGCGTACTGAAAAAAACAACAAATAAAAAAGGATAAAATATGTGTACAGAATTAAGTAAACCTTAGTGAACTTTATCACATAAACTGTGGTGTTATACAAGGATTTCCGACCCTGAGAAAAGCCGTAACAACACACATGAAATAACTATCGTATTTTTTTACGTGTGTTGATATAGCCAATTAGCTGCTTAACGTCACTCGCCTTTGGCGCCACTCGGTTGATGAGTAAACGGCAAAGCCTTCATGATTCTCAGTACAAGTTGTTTGTCGCAGCTTTCTCGAAATATGGCGGCTAAAACACTAAAAGATCCGTATCGCTGACAGACGATGAGGTTCAAACTTTCTTAGAAGGGAAAGAAAACCAATATACTAAACAAAAAACCGAAAGTTTCGTATTCAGTGGCTTTGGTGTTAGCATTTCTCTCGGCTGAGAATGAAAATCGACAAGTGGAAGATTTGCCACTGGCCGATTTTGGCCGTTTACCTGAAAGACTTCATCTGTCGGTAAGGACAAAGTCAATAAATGAGAATTTTTTCAATTGAAAATTACGACCGTTGTTGTTTTTGTAATCATGATTCAACGCATTTTTCCATCTTAAGAGTCAGCGCTAACGCACTCTGCGATTGTTATTCGAGGATTGTCGATTCCTTTATTTTCATTCGTTGATGAAGTCGGATTTTCTTTCCAGTAAAGGGCTATTGTGTTTATATGATAAACAAAATAATACATGGTTGCTTGTAGATATGGAATTCCTCTTCTCGTGTTCAACTCGACGTCTCACTCGTTCGCCGCGCTCACGTTTTCGTATCAATCATGAAATGTACATCGCTGTTTAGTCAGTTCCAACCAATTAAGTCTTGCCGTTCCAAATTACGATGCCGCAAAGTTTATTTTAGATTTATGAAACATGATACTGTTTAGGTAATGAGCTCTGAATTAAATTCTAAAGAATCAATTATATTTCGCAAGACCAATTTTTCTATATGATCTGGGTTCTGGTGCTAAATTAAAAATGAGTTTCTCTTATCGATGGGGAAGTTCTAAAATAAGACGTTTCATTTCCTGCGGTAACCAAGATGAATAAACAACAACTGAGTTTTAAACACATGTTTAAGCACGGAATGGGTAATTTCTTTTAGCTAGCCTACCGAGAAGTTTCTCAATGCCGACGATAATTTCTCACTTTGTTAGCTTTAGTTTCTCGATCTACGCAGAAGAGTAGCGTTTTAATTTTAGGTGTGCTAAAAACTAAGGAGAAAGAATAACGCTTTAAAATCTTACGTAGAAAGACGATAAATGTATTTTAAAAAGTCAAGCTCAATAGAGATGAATTAAAAAAAAAAGAAACGGTCTGAACAATTTGGAACTGTTGAATCAGTCATTTTTGATCTGTACGAGCCCTGCCAAAACCAAGTGGTTTCAATGATTTGTATATGTAACTGTTCGTTCAGTTAATTACATTTCCTATCACCAAGTTCATGAAAATGTTTAAAAATGTATGCGTAATCGTTAAGGTATTATAATTCTCCAGATTTTCTCGATTTCGCTTTGAGAAAATTTACCACAAATTACATAGTAAGAATCTTATTATCCAGCTGCACTAAATAAAGCACATGGAATGCACGAATAGAGTTTAAACATTTTGTTTGTCTTTTCAGTCCTCCTGTGTGCTCGTCAAAATACGTCGAACCTCGTAAAAACACTACTTTATTCTGATATAAAACACCTAAACTGCGGAGTCATGAATTATTCCGGCCTCCTTATGTCGCATGTTGGTGCACGAACTTCCCTATTTTTTAATGTTACCGTCATACACTTTCTCCTTCTCTAGAACGTTTACGGATCCCTGTATAATATCAGATACAGATAAGGACTGATGTGAAAAATGAATGGCTGAGATATAATACTACGTTTTATCCTATCTAATAGTATATGATTGGTTATCTTGCTCGTTAGCTAAAACAAATTCATCATTCAATGGAAAGTTCCCTATTTAACGACACCGATTCGATGTAATGGAGACCATAATGTAAACATTTGCTGTCTCAAATAAATTCAGAATTTCAAACTCTTTTTGAACCACCATGAAATGTTACGAAAAGGTTATAATTAGAATTATTCTACAAAATAACCTTCTGTGTCTGGCCCCGCAGCCTAAGATAAAAAGAAAGAACTTAATAACATTTGATGCAATAAAAACTGAGAATTTCTTTAACTCGATCATCTTTGAAAATTTTTTTGTGAGCATCTTTCACAACCCAGACCTCTCATATAAAGAAAAAAAAGGTTGAAAAAAAGTTAAAGAAGAATTAAGCTATTATTCTCTGAGAATAGAAAGTAAAATTAAGGAAAGGTACAAAACACAATATATTCACTTTTTTAGTGTTCCCTCTCCATGTTAGACACTTCACCACTAAGACTTTCCATAGGCGAAAATGTGGAAACCTTACTACTTGCCCATTTCATATTGGTCTCATACTTTGCACCTTTTCATTATTCCCAGGGTCTATAGCAATTGGAAGTAAGACTCCAAAAATAAAAAAATTTTTGAAGCGCACCTCTATATCAAACTCTCTACCTTTAGATGAAGAAAATTGATTTGGATGAGCTATTCCCAAAGCATCGTTGGGAATTATTTTATCAAAATACAGAGTTTAAGTATGCGCAATAAATATATTAAAACCCGTGGTTAAAATACAGAAAATAGTTTGCAGTACCTTCTGATGTGATCACTTTCAAAGTAGTCGGCAGGCTAACCTCTGTAAGGAAAAGCAGTTTTACCTAATTACATATCCTCGATTTACAATGCAACAGCATAAGTACTGAACAGAAGGCAGATGCGAACCTTCAACATTATCTCTCCTAAATAATTTAGGTTTCATTTGGCAAAATTGTTAATTTGAAGAATTGTTTGTCGATTTAGTTTATGTAATCGGAAGATTATAGAGATGTACGGCTCCGATTGGTTGCAGATTACTTTATAGTTTCTTTTATGGAATCACCCGTTCGGTGCAGTCGTGGTACTAAAGAACTAATTATCCAGGTTCTACGTAGGAGGCCCGGCTGAGCCTAAACTTCACAGTCGGTTCAGTCACCAATCCCCGTCAAGGCTCCAAAGCAAGGGCGTGAGTACAATGTAGTCCTTAAAAGATAATTGAAAAGCTTGTGTGAAATGTTTAACATTTCAACATGCTTTAAAAATTGTTATCAGTTACTTTTTACATGAATTGAAACACTTACATGGGAGATAATGGTGAAAATCACTTAGTGTATGGGGCCTGTGCCAATACTTTATCAATACAAACTTCTAAAGACACACAGGTATGCGTCTAGTTTTCAAAATAATCAACGAGCTTCTTCATCATGTTTCTGAGGATAAGTAGGAAACAAAAATGCAGTTTCCCTGATAATTGACACAGTCTCTAATCTAAAACACTTGTCTTTAAAAATCCTGTTTTGTGGACTCTTTGAATGATCATCGGTACTGTTTTCTTAATAATTTCCTCTCTTAAACAAAAAAAAACCACTTTAGTGGAATGTTTACGTTGCAAAAAAAAATTATATTGAGATAGTCGATCTCCTTAATCTTCTCCTAAGATGTACCATCTTCTAGTTAGCACATCGTAACAATATACAAGAGTTATGGATAGGTTATAATTTATCACCTAGGGCGAGGGGTCGGCAGATTTTGGTTGTGTCGCAATGGAATCTACCTGATCCCCTATACGTCGTCAGAGGATTCGCAGTATTCCCCAACATTGGCAGTTGTATTTTTCATGATCCCCCATGGTGGTTATGTACAAATATCAGTCTTACAGTCTGTTAAAGTAATTTCCCCCAAGATATACAACGAAATGTGAAGTATAGAAGGTTGACGTTAAGCCGAACAGCAAGTAAACTTCATAACTGTGCGTCTTCTTGGCTTCTGTAATCAAATTTTAGCTTATACAATGTTTTTCTACATTCTAACATTGCACTATAAATAATTGACCCTGTTAAAAAACCGTAGCTCGCATTCTTTAAAATTAGATTGATTCAAGGACACCTTTTGGTAGCAAACCTTACGAGATTTTCACTTGTGTTCCCATTTTCTTTTCTTACTTTTCTTACTTGTGTTCCCATATCCTTTTCTAACTTTTTTAAATTTGTGTTCCCAGTGCTTGTGCTCCCCTTTTTTTTTCGTATTCACAGTCTGGAGTGAGATTCGTCTCCTCGGCCCAATATTCCCAAGGGGCTCTGCATGAAAAGACTGCTGAGAGCATCCATTGTATGTTTCGCTGTGCGTCAATTCTTGCGGCAACTGGTGCTTTTATACCTCTCTGTCAGGCGAGTGGAACTTCTCTTAGTTCCACTACCTAAAACCACCCCTTCATTAAAATTCATGCCAGTACTAAGTTGCCGTATATGTTCAACTAAAGATTACTTTTAATTCATTTCTTGACAAGGTGTAAATGATTTAAGAGGTGCACAAACGTTGGTGCAGTACTTTGATTATTACGTTCCTTTACGAAACGTCCTTACTTTAACGGATACCTCAAATTATAAACCCGCAGTTAACTGATTAATTCTTACCTCCTTACTTATTTATCTGTTTATCAGCAATTCAGTTCACTTTTATTTCACAATAGCGACCACGAAAGTTAGGTCGAAATGAAATGTCGTTTCGTTTAACAAAACTGGGGGATAAAGTAGGAAATGCGCTACTTCTTTGAAGTACTGCCAACAGGCGTTTGGTATTTGGTTTCTTAGCATTAGGAAATCCTTGGACGGGTCCGTCATCTTTACCTCCAGTGGTATCACCACAAAAATAGTTAATGAATGCAAAAAATTAAGGATCAGTTTTTGTTTCTGGGCAACCTACCTCGGTTCTAAAAAACCGACCTCGGGCAAAAGTGGACGTTACGTGGACATCAACCGAGGACAGTTTACCGACAGTACATACACTACCCGAGGACGGATTTTTTCCCGAGGTCGGATTTTCAGAACCGAGGTCGGTTGCCCAGAAACAAAAACTGATCCAAAATTAACATAGATCACAGGTGACAAACTTGTAAATTGAAGTCTGAACGTTTTAGTGTAGACAAACCGCTAAGTAGTTCAGAGACATACTCTAAACAAAGGAGAGAAAGAACTACACCCACCAAGCCCTCACGCGCTAATCATTAACACCATAAGTGTGACTTCTCACTCTGTTCAGGTAAACAAGCTCTGACTTAACATTTCGATAGGACGTCATATTGAGAGTAGTTAGTCAGCGTTTGTATAACTTACTATACTATGGAACGTCACTTTTGCCGTGGAACCTCGGGAACGAGAAACATGATTTATCAAATCTTGCAGAATACATTTCAGATAGCATTTTAAAGGCATATAGATTCGTTGTCAGCTAATAAATTTATTGAAATTCTTCCATGTTAAAGCTGCACTGCGCTAAAAGTCCAGCAATGTGTGGATTTACTGTTTTGTGAGGATCTAGATGATGTCGAGACTTCGTACGGTGCTTTTTCTTTATCAGGTCTCAGAGGAATAAAGAAGACGAAAAAAACCAACAAAACAAGGAATCGCACAAACAACAACTACAAAATAAGAAACAAAAAACAAACGAGTGCGTTCAGTGATCGTGGCCTTTCTCCATACCTGAAGAAAACGCCCCCTGAAATCTTGTTTAGTAAAGTCGAATATTCGATAAGAATGACTATGGCAAAAAAGTCAAACATTTTCCAAAACTAAAGAGTAAGAAAGAAAATTTAGCTCGTGGATGGGAATGAAAGGAGGAATATTTAAACCATAATAGTAGAAAAGATCAATTATGACGACAGATAAAAATTATTCACTTCAGTCTCGATATATTCACATACTTTATTTCCTACCCCAAATAAGCACCAACCCCTTGGGCCATTATGTCATACAAGCGCCCCACTTGAAAAAGCATTCCCACAATCTCCACAACTCTTGTGTGAATACTTCTATGTTCACTTGCTCACTTTCGCTTTCGCTGTCGTCAAGAATCTTGACACGCCTATGCGAACTTCTTCTACGGACGTCTATTTCATCTTCATTGTCTTCAAGGGCCTCAACACTCACAGAAGATTCACCCTTGTCTTTCCCAAGGTTGCTCCGCCTTTCATGATAACGTCGCCGGGGTGAATCACTGACTAGTCGTCGCACCCTTGACAATGCGGCCTTGAATTCAACAGAATCGAGAAGTAGTTTGTGAACTTTCTTAAGATGACGAGGCATTCGTTTTACAAGTGCTGTACAACCATCCATTGGACAATAATGATAACGGTGGTAATCTTTGCTTTTCCCCTCTGCTTTCTTGTCAACCTTTACTTTGTTGTTTTCTTTTTCTTTTTGGGCACTTTGCTTGGGCTTGAGTAACTGTTGGTCTTTCGTAGACCAAAGCGTACAAGGGCACTGCGAGCATACTCCTTAGACCACCCGCAGACCTCTACAAGGTGGCGAGGAATACGGACCACTTTGGCATTACATAGCGGTATAGGAAAAAGTCTCCTTTTCTGCTTGACTTTGGAGTCAATTTCAGACGCCTCCTCTTCTTCTTTTTCCTGTGCTCCATTTTCACAATCCTAGTTATGTGAAAAAGGTACATGCTCTTAGACACGTTACAGTGTGGTATCGAGGAGTATTTTTCTAGTCACTCGACAAACCTTTTTTACAAGCTATGCCCCCCTGCCCCGACAAACTCTATAATTGGTTTACTTTGCTTAAAAATCTTGGGATTCCGTAAAATAAACATCCTGAATAATAAATAAATTATCAAAATACATTAAACTCTCATTTCACAACATCTGTCACATCGATTTTACATCGCGCATTTACAAGCTTATCCACACATTAAGCATAATAATTACTATGTCATTTATAAATTCTAGTTTTCATATGGAAGCTCTTCAATTGCTTTACCTTGCTCTTAACTGCGTTAAATCAACAATGTGTTCAGTGCTGCCATCTTGAATAATTCATAAAATATCACAGTTTTACAAATTTCTCGTCTAACAGCATACCTTCCACAGTCATTTTTATTTTGAGAAACTCTGTTAGTTAATTTCAAAATAATAGGTACATGCCACAATGTATTTAATTTTCAGCCACACCCTGGAGGCATTCTTCTATTGTAATAATATAGACCTAAAAATTTTAGATTTCGTATAAAATATATTTCTTCTCAGTATTTTATAAGTGGGAGGTTGAGTGGCTGGGGTTTAGGGGCGTAAAGAAAAAGTACAGTGGTGTAAGACTGATAAAAAAAAAATCTCAATATGTATCACAACTGACATCAGTTAGACTTACCGGTGAGTTAGTCTCAGGGGTGCGAAGCTGATTAACAAATTCAGCGGCCTGAAAGAGAAAAAAAATAATTACTTAAGGTAGAAATTAGTCATGGTTGGAGGGGATAAAAAATACATACATTGTGAGGAAAAAAGGCCAATCGTTTTGTGCGAAGAGGGTTTCACTTTTAAATAAAATAAAATCTCGCACAAGTAAATTCTCCAGAGACGAAAACGGCTGTACAAAGTTCTCAATTAATCAGACTTCTGAGTTTTGATACCAGTTTGCGTAACTTTAAATAGGCCATAATCAAAACTTACCCTTAGTGGTTCCATGTTTTTATTGCACTAAGAAATAGACATGAAAACAAATAAATTTTAATTCTCCTGGAAAAAAAGGCATATTATGAAACGAAAATAAATTTTCAAGAACAGGAAAGCTTTGAGTAGCCTCTTGAAACAGTACTGGCATAAGTAAGACAAGAAAACGTTTCACACGCCTAAACTGCCGCATTTAGGGGCAGAAAATTTCTCTTTGACATCTTGAAGGTTTGCATGAACAACGGAAAAACGTGCATCATTGTATATCACCAAACCTAAACACCACCACCCTGAAAACCAACACGAGCTACGAAATTCGTGTCCCTTTTATCACATACGACAAGCGTCATTTGCAGCTTGGTTTAATCATTTTGGATACTCTTAACAGAACGGAACACTAATCCAATAATATGTTAACGAGTTTCGAGCGAATTCGATTGATAACTGAACGTAATTAACGCGAGACAAATCGTCTTTAATGACAAAGCGATTTAACTAAAACGGGCAATATCAACGAGCCAGAACTTCGAAGCAGCGACAAAATAGGCACATTTCCTACCTGAGTAGAGTAAATCGGTGAAAGACGTTGTATTGCAAACCATAATCAAAGGATTTCACCATGTAGCAACAAAGACGATTCCAGGAAGATTGCATTTAATAAGCCTGCTCGATTTAAGCACTGTTTATATATGAGCGCTGGCTTATTCTTAGCTTTGGAAACATTGATCCTTACAACATAAACGTCTTTTACATATTTAAATTATTATGCATTGAAAAAAAAAAAAAAACCTCTCGTTATAAACCTTGAAATCGATCCAGATTTGCAACCACGTGGCACTCAGAAAATTCTGTGTGTTACACGTCACGCAGAAGTCACGCTGAAGTCACGCCGAAAACGCTGTTAACCAGAAGTCACAGAGGCTATTATTAGAGAGAGGGGAGTTTAAATTTGAGGGGGGCTTACTTTAAATCTTAAACACGCCGTTTTCGTCTTAAGGTAGTTTTTGTACAAAACTCAAACAACTGCAGTCAAACGTTTTTATTTAATTAAGGGTAACCAACAGTTTTATGTGTTTGAGTGGATAATTATTTAAAAACAAACCAACCGGGCCGCATGAAAAAAATGGGAGGGGCCTTATTAGAGATGGGTGAGGTTGTTACCAAAAGCAATTTGCAAACGGCGGGCTTATTAGAGAAGGGAGTTAATAGACAGGTATTACGGTTTTGTAATTTCTCAGGAGAGAAACCACATAAGCCGTTTAAATGATATAATTTTTTTCTTTTTACCGCGACGGATTGATCCATACAGTTTCAAGGCCCGATTACTAATTTCCCTTGTCTGAGTTATAGTAATCTGAACCAGAACATTCTATCAAAAATTCGCAATGATGCATAGTAAGACATATATTGGAAACGTAAGATTAAGGCTATCGCGATAACAAAGTTGGTCGTTAAGGCCAGCGCTTGTTTAGATAATTATTTGAAACATTTATGATGAAGAGTGCGAAGATCTTTATTAGTTTGGGCAGTACATTACAATTAGTTATCTTGGTCATAATTCCTCAGTCTGAGATTTAAGCAAGCACCTATATATTTCCTCTTGTCTGAAGGTGGAAATGTGGGACCTAGATCAATTGATTCTTGTTTTACCAAGCGACATTTCTACATCGGGCGTGTGTCCGTTTCAAAATTAAGGAGCGTACTAGCTTTTAAAGTTGAGATTTCTAGTAGTCATGATCTTAATTATATTATAATAAAGTTCGGATATAACGCGCGCTGTCATTGGTTGAAAGAGCGTGCTCTATGAGAGTATAGAGCATAGAGCTGAGCCAAAGCTGTCACGCCATCTGCCAAATTGTACTATGTTCGACCTTTTCCGGGACTTCTTTTAAGCTTTTTTCTGATAATTGAAAGTGAAATTTCGGAACAAGCGAGCCGGCAAGTAGCAACAGAAGAACCAAACAAAGGTTTGTAAACATATCAGGCGTCGTAATTTACATTATTAAAACGTGAGCAGATACGAAAATCCTCAAAGGAAAAACAAAATAGACATTCCGAGTTTTAAAGATTTTCACGCTCAGTTAGATTGCAAGCTTACGAACGGTAATAAAAATCAAACACAGCTAACACTCGTATAGTATATAAAGTTCAGAGTTCAAAAACAAAACAGAACAAAACAGAAATTAAAATCTGCGATAAAATATTATAAAGATAAAATATTTTAAACGTTTCAGAACGTCATTATCAAGAATTAGAATAATTCGACGTTTTATATATAATGAAATGTTTAAAAAGTTAAAAAGTTAAACAAAGAGTTTGGCCCTAATGGAATCGCTCTGGGTGTTTAAATTGGGCCTTATTGTTCTTATGTACAACATTTCATAAACAAGACAATCCCATTTCGTGCCACATTTTTTCCTTGTGCACAAGTCCCTTTAAATGAAGCAAATGGGATTGCTTGGAGCGTAGTTCTTCTTCGTAGTTCTTCTTCTTTAAATGTGAAGGATCTATTTCCTAATTATGTATTTTAATTTATTCACCTCAAGTCGAACGAAGAAAAGCTCATTTATAACTATATTCTCGATTTTATTTATTATTCACCGCTTCATTTATATATATTCTCGATTTTATTATTCTAGTTCACTTGATAATGACGTTCTGGAAACGTCGAAACGTCGTGTTATGCTTTATAATATTTTATCGCAGATTTTTATTGTCAAATGTTTTACCAAATCTTTACTTATTCGAAAACAGAAATTATGAAAAATATAATCAAACTGACATATCTTTTAAATTCATACTAATCATGACTACGTCTCGTGTTTCTCCCTACACTTCTTTCGTGCTCTAGACGCCTCCTGCGTGATTTATAACAGAACAGAGCACAGTCAAGGCTTCTCTATTTGTTAACTAGTACTTTCCTTAAAGGAGGATTTCTTTAATCATCAGGCAATACAATGAGTTCCGCAGTAGAAGTTTTCAATCACCTGTCCATATACCCCTAAACCCAAAGCACAAGGTCGTTATTCACCATATTTTCGGCACTGATCCATTTTGATTGCACTGAACAAATCTGCAACTTGAATAGCCCGTTGCTTTTGCACTATTTTACAATTTGATAGTACTGGTCACTCCTGCCTTTCCGAAAAATACACTGAAATAATCATTTGTAACATTTAGCAAATGGGGAACTTTCGTGACATTTGCCGTTTCCGACATTGGTTACTTCGAATCATCATAAACAAATAACGGATGGTCATTCTGAACTCAAGTTTGCTTTGTTTTATTGCCAAAAGATTATTCTATCTACAGTATAATTTTGAGAGAAATTTATTACAGTTCAGTCGCGAATTTTATTGTCCAAACTTACAAAACGCAAACAGGGCCTTTTTCACATTCTGAAACCTTTCATCGACTTGAAAAGTCAGACACATACACGGCAGTTTTTCTAAAGTCTCTCAGATCTAAAAGGTTGTGGCGGCCGAGGGAATTGAGTGGCGTATAAATGGTAAGTCAATAGCTTCAGTTTGGCGAAAAAAAATAGATTTATAGCTTTTAAATTAGCCGATACCACGATATAGGCCCCTTCGTGCCCTCACAAGCACAAATAACGAGCTGTTTCAGTGAGGATTACATGGTGTTTGATAGTTTCAGGTTGGGTCATCAAGCTTTGTGATAGGGGTTGTCAAAAGCTACCACACAAGGACAGTTCATCTATCATCAAAAGAGGGAAAAGTCACGAAAGTGCCCTACTTTTCTTCTAGCGAGAGAGGGAGAGAGAGAGAGAGAGAGAGAGGGGGGAGGGGGGGAGAGGGAAGGGGAGAGGGGGAGCGAGAGAGAGGGGGGAATGAGAAGGTTATGTACAGTATTATTCTTTTAAAAAAGGATCTGGACAACCGTTGGATAACCGCGGTCGAGACAAGGTGAATCGAGGATGGCAACGGCATCAAGAACGTAGCGAAAAAATAGCTTTAACGAGAGGTTTAATAGCTACGCACGTGTTTGTCAAAACTTTGTGGCTGTCATCTACTATGAAGTAACGTTAAATCGCTCGGGTTTGAAAATTCTGAGAACAGAAACACCGACGGCAAATTATTGCGTTCAACGCAGGGAGAACGCCATTCCTGAGTTCTCGCGGTTCGGTGATCTGTTGCCGAAATTACGGCGCGAAAAAATAGCCAAATGGGAAGTCTCTCTCATCGGTATAAAGAATAAGTGATGTGGTGGTGAAAATGGGCGAAAATAAATTGAAACTTAACGTGGGAGGATGAAAAATTGTTTGTAGGGCATTCAGTTGGGTGAAGGTGGAAAAGAAAGAAAAAAGCGGAACTGTTCGATTTATGCACGAAAACTGCAGCAATGAAGCAGATCAAACTTACCTCTTGTGTCTCTTCTGCCAAAGACCGCAGAAAACTTTTGGAGGAGAAATTACAAACAAGCGAGCACATTTTCAGTACCTAAAATTTTGAATGCTTAGACGTAAAACTTCTCTAATATTTCACAGCTCTCGTTCGGTGTCCGCATACTGCCGTGCTTCAGCTGCTCTGATGTCATCATCTAACCGTTGTTTTATTTCTTGCTAATTCGTAGGGAGGGCTTACTGTAATTTGCGAGACGAAACGAAATTAAAATCTGTAATTTGCGAAACAGAAGTGTTTCATTCGCAAAACTGAAATGTTTATTGTTTGAAAGAGCTAGGGCTTACTTCAGCTCCTTTCTAAAGTATAATTTGAACAAACAAACTCTTCCTCTTGTTATGGTTTGTTCATAAAAATTTGAAAATTCTGAAAAGAAAGCTTTTATGCCCAGTTTTAATCAAGCTTTGGGATATTACTTCTCTGGCAAAAGGGAAAACACACAACAATTAAATGATATGAAAAAATTTTTATTCGTGGTTATAGTTTCTGTAGTAAAAGTACTCCCTTCTATTTGCAATGTAGCAAAAGAGGAAACTTGACCTCCTCAGTACAGAATTCTTTGGTTCCTTTAGTGAAAATCTTCCACGGTTGAGCTTCCAAATACTATAAACGTAAAGCATTGAAATTCACTAAATCGCTAGATCCCTAAATCGCTACACGAATTTTCTCTGGGTCATTTCGTAAAAATCTGAGGATGAAATCTACGCGAAGGAGCTCCGATCTCATTAATACAATACAGTACAATACAATACTATATTTTTCATTTAACGAAGGTGACGTAATTACCCCAATGAGTTATCTAACTTACGGCCTTGCGCTAGTAGTATAATAATCTGTATTTACGCTTCCACTAACCTGTATGATAGAGTTCTTTAAGCAACAAAACGAACTGAAACATGCAAGTTTAGCCTGTAGACAATTTGTATTGGAGGCGGAGGAACAAGCCAGGGCAAGATGTGATTACTTGATGTGTACCTAACATTGTGTTTATACGAGCAATGATTAATACTTACGTAAAACGGCATATGTACCCCTGCATTTATTGCAATGAGTTATACATTAGTGAAACAGGAAGACGAGTAGGTGACCGATTCCAAGAACACCTTCGCCACGTAGAAAGAAATGACACTTAAATCACCCCAATCATTCCAAACAACGTATGGCAGTTTGCAGCCTTTCCTTAAATCTAGGCAGTTCGGAAAGCTGCAAAACACTAGAACAAAATTTTATCTTCCAAATCGGCACTCTTAATCCCTACGGTATTAACGAGCGCTTTTCGTTTGGCTAATTTATTCTTTTTTTCTTGTCACCATACACCCACCAATAACGTAGCTCCACTTTCTGCCTCTAAACCCACACACAACCCACAATCCCTCCAGTCACTCTGACGAAGGGTTGACGCTCGAAACGTCAGCTTTTTTACTCTTAACGGTGGCCAATCTACGTTTTCAACTCAGTTGTTAACACTAAGTTACTTGCTATACTCTCCCACCGACGCAGTACTACAGTTTCTTTAGAAAATTACCCCCTTTATTATTTCAGGAAAGAGCTCATTAACCCGCGACGAGCGACTACGACAAAAATTGAAGTTTTGTTACTTCCTTTTGAGTTTCGTGCAAAACTTTTGTACTCGTTGCGAGGCCCTTTTGTATTTTGTCTTCTACAAAAAATAGAAGAACCTAAATGTTAATTAGCTGTTTGCGTTTACCATAACAAAATGTGCCTCTAATGAATGGTACTAATTAGAAAAATCGTACGTGCTAAAAACCCGTGCAGCTATACGAGCCACTCAGGGAAGACTGAGCTCAATGACCCATGACGAATGACTACGACAAAAAATGAAGTTTTGTTACTCCCTTTCAGTTTCGTGCAAAACTTTTGTACTCGTTGCGAGGCCCTTATGTCTTTTGTCTTAGAAGAAAAATAGGAGAACCCAGATGTTAATTTGCCGTTTGCGTTTACCACAACAAAATGTGCCTCTAATGAATAGTGCTAATTAGAAAAATCATACGCGCTAAAAACCCGTGCAGTTAGACGAGCCATTCAGGGAAGAACTCAATAACCCACGTGCACGCATAAGTTTTAAAGGGCGCACTTTTTGAAATTATCACAAGATTATATAAATTCTTCTTCAGTCATTAATTCTTGTCACAATTTTAGCCCTTACACAGTGTTTTTTTCCTCGGAAACCTTCTTTCGTTTCTCGTTTTGTCAAACTTAACATCACTTATCATTTCTGGCAACGGACGGAAGCAGGTAAGCGTTTAAAGACGCTTATATTAACAAGTAAGTCTGTGTAAACTATAATTCCAAAAGAAGCCAAGCCATTAACAAATTCAAGAGGTCGAAGCCTCGTTTTATCAAATCCTTTAATTCTTTCCAGTCGCTCGTATTTCTGCCCAGAAGCTGTCAATTACTTCGCAGTGGAAATTCGGTAAAATTTCCGCACAGCCTTGTACTCTTGTAAAACAAATCTGTTCTCCCACTGTCAATTTATTATTTTTGTCATTTTTCTCTCTATCCAAGAACTGAATGCATAATGTAGTATGGAGCTGTGCGGAATTTTTACCAGAATTTCTCTGCGTAATTTTTTTGCAAAGTCGGCGAACTTGACATTGTCGCGCGGAGGACCATTGCTAATCTTTCATCTTCTTGGCTGAAATTCCGCGTTAACAATGTGGCGAAAGCGTGGTTCTTGCTCTTAAATTTAAATTAGTTACAAGTTTGAAGCGAAACTCGGAGTCTAAAGTAATGCATATTAATTTTGTGACTATATTTATAGCTTGTTCATAGAGGCATTAGTTTTGAACATTGTACGTAATATAGAGATGACGAGTGAATTAAGGAAATATTTCAGTTGACTTCCAAAGCAGATTACGAGAATTTTCTTCGTCTCAACTCTTAAATTCCAAGACCAGATCGTCAATTCTCCCTTTTGGCTGCCAAACATTTCCTTCCAATTGGTTGCAAGAATTTGATATCAGATCAAGATAACAACATCTGGGAGATAAATTGAAATATTCTCATAACCTGTTTGCTGGATAATGTATGAATAATATAGGGAGAAGTTACATGTTAATCACTTCTTAGAGTTCAAGAGTTAACCGCTCGTTATGAAAAGTGAAAAATTAAGTTCACACTTCTGGTTTTTTTCTTTTTAATCCAAACATCTGAATACGGTTTTTACTCAAAGGTTTGTAAATATTCTGATATTTTAGACAAAAAGCCCCTTTTTCAAAGCAGGTGTTGATTTTTGGGCATTTAAGACAAAAAGCCCTTTTCTTTACTTAGTTGCATTTATAAATTCAAATCTTGTTTACACGATTGGCTGCTATCTCCACTATTTGCATAAGATTTTGCCTGTCTGTTTGCTTCTTTTCTGGGCTTGAAATGACGCGATAATCTGCAAATGTATAAATTCAATTCTACAATAAGATTCTCCAAATTTCGCAAGGAAAAATTAAGGTACGCCTCGACGTTTACATACCATGACTCTAGATGAAACTGATGTTTGGCAATATGAAGGGAGCTTCGTTCTTAGACAAGTCATTTTTTGGGTAATTTTTAAAAACCTATTGTTACTAACATTTAATTTCTCGTTACATTACTACCCCTTAATCACAAATTAAGGTCACACACATAAGAAGAAAGGAATTAATCACCAACAAACGAAGCTCATGATAGTTGAACAGGCTCTCCTTAAGAAATGTGTAGAGAACAGTGTTGAGAATAAAAACACTGATGTAAAGGTGTGAAGGGTCTAGGATTAACTCGATCTAAACAGTTTTTCCAATCTTATTACTCCCGAAGGTTACTCTGGAAAGATGACTTGGATTTATCGCATGTTGACCAACCAAGTTTTGCAATGTTTCAGTAAAGTGTCTGACAGAAAATCCTTATGCAGTTCTTCTGACATGTGCGATGGTTGCGAACTCAGAATGTGATTCTTTTGCAATGTTTTCCACTTCACAATGGGCCACGATGTTTTCACGTATTATTTATTTCAGCAATATCTTTCTCATTTAGACTTCTACGACACACTCCAGTCCAAACACCGCTCACTCCATTCCAGTCTAGCTAGTCCAGTTCACTCAACCTCAATCCCGCTCACTTCATTTCAGTAGAGTCCAGTTCATTGTGAATTTAGTCCAAAACGTAGCGTCCAGTTCCATGCAGTCCAGTACGACCCGCTCCAGTCCTCGCCATCCCTTTCCATACGGTCCAGTCCATCATCACAAGACATGTGTTGACTCTCGTTACCTCATGGACGGGAAAGCGTGGTGAAGAAAAGGGCCAACGCTGGGTTTTTTCTTCTCTTCCTTTCTGTTGCATACGCGAAGGCTGGGAACAGATCTGTTAGAAGACGCTGATGTCCTGCCGGTTAGTGAGATTCTGTGTAGGTTGGGATGAAGAGAGGGTTAAGAAATAGTGCCCTGGTCAAACCATAAAATCCAAATTCTACCGGAAGTTTTCTGCTTATGATTCGGCTCAAAGTAGTTAAAGTAAAGAATTTAGCCAGCTTAGTTTGCTGGTCCCCTTTAGGTTGGGCGAGGTCCTCCCTCCAAATTTTTTTTCTCAAGGTTTTTTTTTCTTTCAATCGAATACTGTTCAGCATATTTCCGGTTTGGATCGTCACTTCTTCGTCGCTTCGGTTTGTCACAATATCAGCTTCATTTATATTTTAGCTCTTCATCAACAGGTCTTTTGGTGTTCATATGCATCAGTTGCTCATCGAATTTAGCGCACGTCATCCCTCATGGTTACTCCGACTGCGGCCAATTACATTTTCAGTTTTAGTTGATTGAGGGGATCTTAAACACCGTGATCGAGTAAGACTGTTTAACATGAAAAAAAGTTTGGCTCGAAGGTTCAACTAGATTTTAACGTTATTATTGGAAATCGGATAATTAAGTAATTCAGCTGAGACAGCAGATTGGAACTGAAAATTAGTCTTAGAGAAAAGGTTATGCATGCATTGATGAAAATTGACATCGTGTTGCCTTCAGAGTTCGGCTTCACCTTCGGTTCGAATTTCACTTCGGCCTCTCGTTCGGCCTTTCGGAACTTGTTCGGATTTTCAGTTCGGAATACAAAGGCAATGGGAAGAGAGTGAAAGTTGTTAGCAAGTTGATATAAAACAGAAAGCACCGTCTGGCACACTGTATCTTCAAATCATCGGGATGCCGGCATTACTGACACGGAACATTCGGAGTTTAGTGGACTCCAAATTTTTCGTCTAGAGTGCGCGTCCCTCCTGCTGGGATCTGTGGAGCAATCTCGTAAAATCTAAGTTAATTTATTGATGTAATATGGTATTATAAATGAAATGCCAAACCCGATTGTCTCTGTGTTCTATATTTTTGGGATACGCAAATTTATATGATTTATCTTTCGCGGCGCCCTGTGTAGATTTCTGTCTCAAGAATTTAATTAAGATGCGAGCGTCTCCGTGTCTTTTCTTTATCAAGAAACTAGTTTCTAATCTCACTAACGCAATTTCAAATGCAGGAGCTTAATACTGGCCTATTTCGGAGGCTTGAATTGCCAATTTCGAAAAAGCCCCGGAAGCAAAGTCACCTTGGTGTTAACTATGCATTCGCCCATTTTCGGAGGGTTTGGAAGTGTCTTACATTTGGCCAAAGTCATCCATTGACGAGTCAAGAGTGTCCTTGCGGCTTTCAGGTTTAGGATTTCAAAGCTTCACGCTGTCCATTTTCGGAAACTCACAAAAACTTTTCAACATTTTTTCTTTGAGTTTCCCATATCTGCGGCTCAACCTAGGCCTGTTTTCAGGGCTGTACATCACTGAGACAGTAAGTCAAGAATTATCATAATTTTGACATATCGATCTGTTTAAGATGGGTTTCTTCGCTTGATAATTCAATAAGCGTAAACCTAATAAGTTGAAATAAACAAAAACAATGGGTCAATAAAATAATAATATTTGCAGAATATTAAAATATGGTACCACGTTGTCTTAAAAGTTTTCAAGTATTTTTTCTCATAAGACTCAGTTTTCCCAAGACACGAGCAACCACAGCGTTGTTAGTGAATCATGGCAGAATTTGTAACACTGGGATATCAGTAGAGCAGGACAGGAATGAATAATCGTAACAACAAGCTGAGCAACAGCTGCGAGGAGAACCCAGAGCTAGGACATAACCACAGGTACGTTAAATTTCTGAGTGATGAGCTAAAAGCTAATCAAAGCAGATTGTCTTCCTCTTACAAAAGTACTGCTTGGTATAGTGTAGTATAGTATTGAAGTTAAAGCTGGGAAATCAGTAGAGCAGGACTAGCGTGATTCATAAAATGATAGCCATAACAACAAGCTGAGCTACAACAGCGAGGAGAATCCAAAGTTAGGACATAACCACAGGCACGTTAAATTTTTTCCATTTAAGAGCTTGAGACATTTTAAATTTCTGCAGCTCCAGATAAGCTCATTTTCAGAGGCTTTGCATTACTGAGAGGGTAAGTAAAGAATTGTAACGTTGTGATACTAACCTGTGTAAGATGGGTTCGTTCGCTGATAGGAAAACCCTAATGCGTTGGATAGAGCAGTTGGAGGAAAATGTTATGGTCGATCAGCACCACAGGTCATCTGAAAGAGATAAGGCCGGCATCTTTTGATTGCAACAAGTTTTGCTAGAATTTTTCTTTTCAGATGACCTCGTGGCTCACTTTGGATCACGTCATAAAGAAGTAGCACATCGAGCGCTTTAAAGGTAATATGTAATCATTTATAACAATTCCTTTCTTCAGGATTATCTGAAATTTTCTGTTTACAGAATCTCTTAGGTGGCTTTCTGATTAATTGGTTTGATGACAACGTTTCACAACTAACAATGTGGCGTGTTGAATATTTTAACACGTTTTAGTCTCTCAACAGTTTTCTGTTTTCAGTGAAAAAAAACTAGTGTTTTTAAACGAGGTCCAATCAGCAGCCTATCAGAAAGGTCACAGATGACGATTAAGTATTCAGTTAAGGTGCAGTTCAAGAACAACTAACACGATTTCCGTTGTTATTTGTTTCGTATGCTCAAAACACGAATTGTCTTAAAAAAAGGACACTGAAACTAGCTTCATAATATAATTGCATTTAGTAAATCTTTTCTCTAATCATCAGTTTATTATCAGTCTTTATCAGCAGTCTTTTGCATACAAGTAAAGTGTAAATTAATGTTGTGCCGTCAACTAAATTGCAATTTAGGCAATCCAGACCAATCCTTTTAGGTTATTTCCAGTGCTGTGCAAAGCTCTCATATGTGTTCTTGTCCAGTGGGGTAAATTCACGTGCAGCGCAGCACAGTCTTTATCAGTTTCATTTGGAAACATACAATGCAGTTTAGTGCAGATCAGTCTAGTGAGGTGCAATGAACTGTCTGTCCTGTAGCGCACTTTCCGATGCATTCCAGGGCATTGCAGTGTAGTGTCGTCTGCTAAAGTCAATCTCGGGCTAAGACAATCCAGTCCAGTGAAATGTAGTGCCGCCCAGTTCATTCCTCTCAAGTGCCGTCCGGCTCAGTCTGCTCCAGTCCAGTCTACTCCAGTCCATTCAGTGGAGTCTGTGCCCGTCCAGTCCAGTCCCGTCCCATCCACTCCTGTTCGCTCCCGTCCAATTCCATTCAGTCCCTTCCAGTTAAGTACATTTGAATCCAGCGTAGCCCAGGTCCATATAAGTCAGAAGCAGTCGAGTCTAGTCCAGTCAAGTGCAGTGCAGAGTAGTGCAATCCGTAACAGCTCAGTCCAGTCCAGAACAACTAACTGCTGTCGAGTCTAGCACATTGCAGTCCTGCTCAGTCGAGTTAGGAACAACCTATTGCGTTGCGGCCCCATTGGTCGAATGAGGTGCTATTCGGAGAAGCCCACATTTAAGCCCAATTAAGTGTATTTCAGTCCAGTCTTCTCTTCAGTTGTCACACCGACACAATGAAGAGCGTCTACTTGATTGTCGTATACAGATCTTTTTAATGATACCTTAATAAAACCTACACCTAATAACTTAACAATAAAAAAGTAATTGATCAATAAAAGATAAAAAAAACGCATGAATTGTATCTTAATAACTGATAACATTGATTTATTCCTAAAGAACTGAGGAAATGATGAATTAATAGGGAGAGGAATAAATATGTAAATAAATTGATATAAAAATACGTTGATAGATAGATAGATTGTTAAATAAATACAATTTTATCGTACGGTCAATTTACTAACCATCTTTTTGCAGAATATTGATATACAGTAACACGTCGTCTTGAAAGTTTGCAAGTATTTTTTTACTAACAAGACTCAGTTTTCCCATGACACCAGCTGACCTTTGGAAAGACACCAGCAATCAGTGTCGTTAATCATTTATGTTTGAATTTGCAACACTGGGATATTAGAAGAGCAGGACTGGAATGGATAATTATAACAACAAGCTAAGCAACAGCTGCGAGGAGAATCCAAAGCTAGGACATAACCACAGGTCCGTTCAAAATTTGAGTTATAGATTAAAAGCTAGTCGAAGCGGATTGTCTTCCTCTTACAAAAAGTACTACATAGTAAGGTAGGACAGTATTGACGTTAAAGGACGAATATAAGTAGAGAAGGAGTGGAGTGCTTCATAAAAAGATAGTCATAACAACAAGCCGAGCTACAACAGCGAGTAGAATCCAAACCTAAGACAACCACAGGTAACTTAAATTTCTGAGTAATGGATTAAAGGCTAGACGAAGTGGATTGTCTTCCTCTTACAAAAGTACTACATAGTATAGTATAGTACAGTATTGAATTTAACGCTGGAATATTAGTAAAAAAGGACTGAAGTGCTTCAAGAAAAGATAGCCATAACGACAAGCTGAGCTAAAACAGCGAGGAGAATCCAAGGCTAGGACATAACCACAGATAATTAAATGTATCAGTAAAGGAAGTCTAATCTATTCTAGTCTAGTGTAGGAGTTAAGGTTGCCTCGAGTGTGCCAGAATTAACATAAAAGAAGAGCGGGCCTTTTTTTCCATTTAAGAGCTTGAGACATTTAAACTTTCTACAGCTCAAGATAAGCTCATTTTCAACAGCTTTGCATCACTGAGAAGGTAAGTAAAGAATTGAAACAATGTAATACTAACCTGGTTAAGATGGGTTCGTTGGCCGATAGGAAAACCCTGATGCGTTGCATAGAGCAGTTGGAGGGAAAAGTTATGGTCTATCAGCACTACAGGTCATCTGGAAGAGGCAAGGCTGACATGTTTTGATTGCAACAAGTTTTGTTAGATTTTTTCTATTCAGCATGACCTTGTGGCTCAGTTCGGAGCAGAGCTGGACTGGAGTGCTTCCTGAAAAGATAGCCATGACCACAAGCTGAACTACAACAGCGAGGAGAATCCATACCTAGGAGAGGTATGTTAAATTTCTCAGTAAAGGAAGTAATTGTAACAATGTGATACTAACCTTTGAAAGATGGGTTCGTTGCCTGATAGGAAAATTCTGATGCTTTGCATAGAGCAGTTGGAGGTAAAAAGTGATGGTCGATCAGCACTACAGGTCATCTGGAAGAGGCAAGGCTGACATGTTTTGATTGCAACAAGTTTTGTTAGATTTTTTCTATTCAGCATGACCTTGTGGCTCAGTTCGGAGCAGAGCTGGACTGGAGTGCTTCCTGAAAAGATAGCCATGACCACAAGCTGAACTACAACAGCGAGGAGAATCCAAACCTAGGAGAGGTATGTTAAATGTCTCAGTAAAAGAAGTAATTGTAACAATGTGATACTAACCTTTGAAAGATGGGTTCGTTGCCTGATAGGAAAATTCTGATGCTTTGCATAGAGCAGTTGGAGGTAAAAAGTGATGGTCGATCAGCACTACAGGTCATCTGGAAGAGGTAACACCGACATGTTTTGATTGCAACAAGTCTTGTTAGATTTTTTCTTTTCAGCATGACCTCGTGGCTTGGTTCGAATCAGAGCAGGACTGGAGTGCTTCATAAAAGATAACCACAAGCTGAACTACGACAGCGAGGAGAAGCCAGACCTAGAACATAACCACTGGTACCTTAAAGTTCTGAGCAATGGATTAAAGGCTCGTCGAAGCAGAAAAGTATTTATCAGTGTAGTATAGTAAAGAATTAAATTTGAAGCTGGGATATCAGTGAAACAGGACTTTAGTGCTTCACGAAAAGATTGCCATAACAACAAGCTGAGCCACAACAGCGAGGAGAATTCAAGGCTAGGACATAACCACTGGTGTGTTAGATGTCTCGGTAAAGGAAGTGCAGTAGTATAGTCTAGTCTAGTGTAGGGGTTAAGGTTGTCTCGCGTTTGCCAGAATAAATAGAAAAAAGAGCGGGCCTTTTATTCGATTTGAGAATTTGAGGTATTCTCATCTTGTGCACCTCAAAATAAGTTCATTTTCAGCAGCTTTCCATCACTGAGAAGGTAAGTAAAGAATTGTAACAATGTAATACTAACCTGTGTAAGATGGTTTTATTGGCTGATAGGAAAGCCCTGATCGCATGATCCGTTGCGTAGAGCAGTTGGAAGAAAAAGTTATGGTCGATCAGTACTGCAGGTCATCTGAAAGAGCTTGGGCTGGCATGTTTTGATTGTAGCAGGTTTTGTTTGATATTTTCTTCTCAGCATGACCTCGTGACTCAGTTCGGATCAGAGCAGGACAAGAGAGCTTCATAAAAAGATACCCATAACCACAAGGTAAGCCAGAAGAGCGAGGAGAATCCAAACCTCTGACATAACCACAGGTACGTTAAATTTCTGAATGAATTGAAAGTTAGTCGAAGTGGACTGTCTTCCTCTTAGTAAAGTACTTCATAGTACAGTATAGTATAGCATTTAATTTAAAGTTGGAATATCGGTATAGCAGGAATGGAGAGCTTCATGACAAGATGGCCATAACAACAAGCTGAGTTACAACAGCAAGGGGGAATCCGAAGCTAGGACATATCTACAGGTATGTTAGATTTCTGAGTAATGGAAGTATAGTATAGTATAGTCTAGTCTAGTAAAGGAGGTAATGTAGTCTCGAGTTTTCTAGAAGTAATATAAAAGAAGAGCGGGCCTTTTTTTCGATTTAAGAGCTTGAGACTGTAACTTGCTTGCAGCTCAAAATAAGCCCATTTTCAGCGGCTTTGCATTACTGATAAGGTAAGTAAAGAATTATAACAATGTGATACTAACCTGTGGAAGATTGGTTCGCTGGCTGATAGGAAAACCATGATCCATTTCATAGGGCAGCTGGAGGAAAAGGTTATTGTCGATCAGCACTACAGGTCATCTGAAAGGGGTAAGGCCGGCATTTTTTGATTGCAACAAGTTCATAGATTTTTTCTTTTCAGCCTGACCTCGTGGCCCACTTCGGATTACGTCATAAACAAATAGCACATCGAGCGCTTCATAGGTAATATATTATCATTTGTAAGAATTATTCTTTCTTTTAGACTATCTGAAATTTTCTGTTTACAGAAATTTTTAGGTGGCTTCCTGATTAACTGGTTTAATGACGATGTTTCACCACTCACAATGTGACGTGTTTCATATTTCAACACCTTTTTGTCTCTTAACAGTTTTCTATTCTCAGTGGAGAAAAACTAGTGTTTTTAAACAACGCCCAGGCAGCAGCCCATCAGAAAGGTCTCAGATGACGATTAAGTGTAAGTATTCAGTTATGGGACAATTACAGGACAACTAAAACGACATCCATTGTTACATATTTCGGGTGCTCAAAAGACGAATTGTATTGAATCATTGAAACTAAATCTAGCTTCATAAGAGAATTTTTATCTACTTCATCTTTTCTCAGAACATCAGTATATTAGCAGTCTTTAGTCAAGTGTAGATTAATGTATTGCCATCAACTCCATTGTAGTTTAAGCAATCCAGAACAGTCTTTTAAATTTACTTCCAGTGCTGTACAAGTCCAGTGAAGTACATTCATGACAGTGAAGTACAGTCTATATCAGTTTCATTTAGAAACGTGCAATGCAGTTCGGTGCAGATCAGTCTAGCGATCAGACTGTCCTGTATGGTACTTTCCAGTTCAATCCAGGGTACTGTAGTGCAGTCTAATGGAGTCTGGTGAATTCAAGCTCAGGCTTAGACATTCTTGTCCAGTGAAGTGCAGTGCCATCCAGTTCAGTCCTCCGAAGTGCTGTCCGACTCAGTCTAGTCCAGTCCACTCCGCTGACGTGTACTCCGGTCCAGTCCACCGAGTGAAGTCTGTGTCCGTCCAATCCACTCCCGTCCCGTTCAATTCTGTTCGTTCTCATCCAATTCCATTCATTCCCTTCCAGCTAAGTACATTTATATCCAGCATAGCCCAGGTCCATATAGGTCAACAAAAGTCGAGTCTAGTCCAGTAAAGTGCAGTGCAGAGTAGTGCAATCCGTAACAGCTCAGCCCAGTCCTGTCCCGTCCAGTCCAGAACAACTAACTGCCGTTAAGTTTAGCACAACGCAGTCCTACTCAGTGAGGTTAGGAACAACCTAGTGCATTGCAGCCCGTCCAGTCGAGAAAAAGGCTATTCCGAAAAGTCCACATTTAAGCCCAGTTAAGTGTATTACAGTCCACATTTGTCTTCAGTTGTCACACCAACACAATGAAGAGCGAATAATTACGGCATTGTCGTAGACAGGTCTTTTTTAATGATACCTTAATAAAAGTATACCTAATAACTTAAAAAAAAAAACCAATTGATAAATAATAAAAGATGAAATAAAGAGATATATCTCAATAACTGATAACTAATTAATTCTTGAAGAACAAAAGAAATGGTGAATTCATAGGGAGATGAATAAAGATGTGAATAAATTGATATATTAATAAGTTAAAAATAGTTACGTTGTTAAATAAATACAATTTTATCGTATGGTCAATATACTAACCATCTTTTTGCAGAACATTAAAATATAGTACCACATTGTCTTAAAGGGTTGCAAGCATTTTTTTCTCACAAGACTCGGTTTTACCAAGACCCCAGCAATCACAGGGTCGCTGGTGATTCATGGCTGAATTTGCAACACTGAAATGTCAGTACAGCAGGACTCGAACGGATAATCGTAACAAGAAGCTGAGAAAGAACTGCAGGGAGAATCCAAAGCTAGGACAACCACGGGTACGTTAAATTTCTGAGTAAAAGATTAAAAGCTAGTCTAGTCCAACCCTATCCCTAATCAAAATAACTACATAGTATAGTGTAGTATTGAAGTTAACTCTAGGATATCAGTAGAGCAGGACTGGAGTGCTTCATAAAAAGATAGTCATAACGACAAGCTGAGCTACAGCAGCGAGGAGAATTCAAAGCTAGGACATAACCACAGGTACGTTAAATTTTTAGTGATTCATGACTGAAGTGTAGTCTAGTCTAGTCTTGTGTAGGAGTTAAGGTTGTCTTGAGTTTGCCAGAACTACTATAAAAGAAGAGCGGCCTTTTTTTATTTCAGAGCTTGAGATATTTTCACTTTCTGCAGCTCAAGATAGGCTCATTTTCAGCGGCTTTGCATCACTGAGAAGGTAAGCAAATAATTGAAACAATGCGATACTAACCAATGTTATAGGATGGGTTTGTTCACTGATAGGAAAACCCTGATGCGTTGCATAGAGCACTTGGAGGAAAAAGTTATGGTCGATAAGTACTACAGGTCATCTGAAAGAGGTAAGGCCAGTATGTTTTGATCGCAACAAGTTTTATTGGCTTTTTTCTTTTCAGATGACCTCGTGGCCCACTTTGGATCAGAGCAGGACTTGACTCATTCATAAAAATATAGCCATAGCAAGAAGCTGAGCTACAACAGCGAGGAGAATCCAGACCTAGGACTTAACCACAGGTTTGTAAAATTTCTGAGTAATGGATTAAAGGCTAGTCGAAGCAGATAAAACTTCTTCTTAGAAAAGTACTACGTAGTACAACATAGTATAGTATTGAATTTAAAGCTGGAATATCGGTAGAGCAGGACTGAAATGCTTCACAAAAACATTGCCATAACAACAAGCTGAGCTAAAACATCGAGGAGAATCCAAAGCTAGGACAGAACCAAAGGTATGTTAATTTTCAGCGGATTGGAAGTATAGGATTGTTTAGTCTGGTCTAGGGAAGGAGCTAACGTCGTCTCGAGTTTGCCAGAATTAATATAAAAATAAGCTGGCCTTTTTTACAATTTTAGAGCCTCAGACATTTTAACTTTCTGCAGCTCAAGATAAGCCCATTTCCAGGGACTTTGGATCTCTAAGAAGGTAAGTAAAGAATAATAACGTTGTGATACTAACCTGTGTGAGATTAGTTTGTTCGCTGATAGGAAAATGCTGATGCGTTGCATAGAGCAGTTGAAGGAAAAGGTTATGATCGATCAGCACTACAGGTCATCTGAAAGAGGTAAGGCCGGCATGTTTTGATTGCAACAAGTTTTGTTCGATTCTTTCTTCTCAACATGACCTCACAGCTCACTTGGGGTCACGTCATAAACAAGTAGCGCATCGAGCGCTTCATAGGAAATATTTAATCATTTGTAAGAATTATTCTTTCTTCTGGACTATCTGAAATTTCCTGTTTAAAAAACTTTTTACGTACCTTCCTGATTAATTTCAACACTTTTTTGTCTCTTAAACTTTTTCTCTTTTCAGTGGAGAAAAACTAGTGTTTTTAAACAAGGCCCAATCAGCAGCCCATCAGAAAGGTTACGGATGACGATTAAGTGTAATTATTCAGTTATGGGACAATTCAAGGACAACTAACACGATATCCATTGTTACATATTTCGTATGCTCTAAACACGAATCGTCTTAGATAATTAGAATAGTTTTTATGGCAAAATAAGTGAAATTATTACTCGTGTCTAAGTATTATATAGTAGGATAGAGCAGAGTATAGTATAGCATAGTTTAGTAATGTTCACTATCGTATAGTATAGGAGTTAGTGCGGTCTGAAATTTAATAGAAAGAATAGAAAAAAGATTTGGAAGGTTAAAATATTTTTAAATTATTGCAGCTCAAGATAAGCCCATTTTCGGGAGCTGTGCATCTCTGAGTTGGTAAGTGAAGAAATATTATAATATTATGATACTAACCTGAGTAAGATGGGTTGCTTTGCTGATAGAAAACCCTGATGCGTTGAACTACGACGTTGGATAAAAACTTAGTATCTATTAACTCTGCAGATCAATCTAATAGGAGGTAAGACCGGCATGTTTGATTGCAACAAGTTTTGTTAGGCTCTTTTTTTTTTTAGCATGGACTCGTAACTCACTCCGGATTACATCATAACTAAGTAGGGCATTGCACACTTTAAAGGTAACATAGAAACATTTGTAAGAGTTAATCTTTGTTCTGGACTATCTGAAATTTTCTGTCTATAGAATTAGTGAGGTGGCTTCCCGTCTCATCGCTTTGCTGTCAGTGTTCAATAATTTACAAGGTGACAGGTTTAATATTTCAATCCTTTTTTATATTCTGAAAGTTTTCTTTTCAGAAAAGAAAAGCTATCAATGGGTAGTGCTTTTAAACAAAACCCAGTTATCCAATCAGCAGCCCATGGGAATGGTCACAGATGACGAGTTAGTGTAAGTATTAACTCAGGGGACAATTCAAGGACAACTTGCATGATTTCCATTGTTGCGTTTCATGTGCTCGAAACGCAAATTATCTTAAATATGTGCGACTAGCACTAGCTTTAGAAAATATGATTTAGTGGATCTTTTCTAAATCCTTAGTATATTATCATTCTTTCTTAGCAGTCTTTTAAATTCAAGTTAAGTGCAGTACCATTAACTCTATCGCAATTTGGGCAATCCAGAACAATCCTTTCAAGTTAAGTCCAGTGCTATGCAAACTATCCTGTATGGTGATTTCCAGTTCAGTCCAAGACAGTGCAGTGTAATGCAGTCTGGTGAAGTCAAGCACAGTCTAGTGCAGTCAAGTGCAGTGCTGTCTGGTCCATTCCAGTCAAGTGGCGCTCACTACAATCCAGTCCCGTCCACTTAAGTGAAGTCCTATACACGCAAGTAGATTGCAGTGTATTTCCATCCGGAACAGCCTAAGTCCCTAAATGCCAACTGAAACAGTCCAGTCCAGTCTAGTTCCGCCCACTGAAGTACACTACGGGGTATATCAATCTGGAGTGCAATGTCAAGAGCAATGCATTTCCGCTGAGTCAAGTGAAGTACAACCTACGATAGTGTAGTGCCGTCCATTAGAGTAAACTGCCATTCAGAAAAGGCCACATGCATGTCGAATTCAGTACAGTTTAGTGCAGTCCAGTTCAGTGTAGTCCAGTTCAGTGCAGTCCAGTCCAGTCACATCAGCCCAATGAAGTGTCTACAAATCCTGTGGGAGGGGGGGAGTTTCTCTAAATGATAGCTAATAAAAGTGTACCTAATAACTTGAAATACACAAATAAAATCGATGAATAAAAAAATGAATTAAAGAAATAAAATAAATCGTAATAACCACTAACAGTGATCAGTTCTCAGCTAAATTCCTAAGAAGATAAAGAAATAATGACTGAGTAGGAAGATGAAAAAATGTGTAAATAAATTAATAAATAACTAAAAAATAAATAACTATGATATTATTGTATGATTTGGTATTTAGTGTGCGTTTGGAATGCTTTAAAAGTTTTCCAGGTACTTTTTTCTCCCAAGAACTAGTTTTATCGAGCAATCAGCTGATCTTTGGATGGAGACAAGCAGCCACAGGGTCGCCAGTGATTTCGTGGCTGAAATTTGTAGCACTAGGATATCAGTAAAGCAGTAGTAGAGTGCTTCACGAGAAGATGATCAAAATAACAAGCTAAGTTACAGCTGCGAGAAAAATCCAAAGCTAGGACAACCACAGGTGCAATAAAATTTTTGAGTAATGAAAGTAAAGGCTTGTCAAAGCAGATTGTCTTCCTTAAAAAAAAGCACTCCTGAAGGGTGATAGGGCATAGCCCTTAGATTAGTCTTAAATTGAAAAGAGAACACGGGTTTTCTTATTGCTTTCAAACTTGAGAATATGACATCTCACAATAGTTTTTATGGCAGTATAAATGAAGTTATTACACATACATCTAAGTACTATACAGCAGAGTATGGTATAGTATAATATAGTATAGCATGGTTTGGTACTGTTCACTAAAGTATAGTATAGGAGTGAATGTGGTGTTAAGCTTAATAGAAAGAATAGAAAAGGGATTTGGGATGTTAACACTTTTTAAAATTATTCCAGCTCAAAATGGGCCCACTTGTGGGAGCTGTGCATCGCTGAGTAGGTATGTAAAATAATATTATCCTTTTTTGATACTAACCTGAGTAAGATGCGTTGGTTCGGTGATATGAAAGCTCTGATGCGTTGCACCGAGCAGTTGAAAAAGGACTGAATATCAATTAGCTCTACAGATCATCTAGAAAGAGGTAAGGCCGGCATGTTTTGATTGCTGCAACTTTTGATAGATATTTTTTTTTTTTTTTTCAGCATGACTTCGTAACTCACTCCGAATTACATCATAACTAAGTAGGGCATCAGACACCTGAAAGGTAACATAGAAACATTTGTAAGAATTAATCTTGGTTATGTACTATCTGAAATTTCCTGTTTAAAAATTTAAGGCGGCTTCCCGACTCATTGCTTTGATGTCAATGCTTAATAACTTACAAGGCAACATGTCAAATATTTCAATCCTTAACCCTAAGCTAGAATATCAGTAGAGCAGGACTGGAGTGCTTCATGAAAAGATAGCCATAACAACAAGCTGAGCTACAATAGCGAGGAGAATCCAAAGCTAGGACTTAACCACAGGTATGTTAAATGTCTCAGTAAAGGAAGAATAGTATAGTCTACCTTAGTTTAGTCTAGTATAGTACTTATGGTTGTTTCGAGTTTGCCAGAATTAATAAAAAAGAAGAGCGGGCTTTTTTTCGATTTTAGAGCTCGAGACATTTTAACTTTCTGCAACTCAAGATAAGCTCATTTCAGCGACTTTGCATCACTTAGAAGGTAAGTAAATTATCATAAGAATTTGATACTAACCTGTGTAAGGTGGGTTTGTTCACTGATAGGAAAATCCATAGAGCAGTCAGGGTAGGAAAATCATAGAGCAGTTGGAAGAAAAAGTTATGGTCGATCAGCACTACAGGTCATCTGAAAGAGGTAAAGTCGGCATGTTTTGATTGCAACAAGGTTTGTTTGATCTTTCTTTTCCATCATGATCTTGTGGCTCAATTCGGATCAGAGCAGGACTGGAGTGCTTCATAAAAAGATAGCCATAACAACAAGCCGATCTACAACAGCGCGGAGAATCCAAAGCTAGGACATAACTACAGGTATGTTAGGTTTCTGAGCAATGGAAGTATAGTGTACTTTAGTCTGGTGGAGGAACTAACGTCGTCTCGAGTTTGCCAGAATTAATATAAAAGAAGAGGGGGCCTTTTTTTTCGATTTAAGAGCTTGAGACATCTTAACTTTCTGCAGCTCAAGATAAGCCCATTTTAAGCGTCTCTGCATCACTGTGAGGGTATGTAGAGAATTGTAACAGTGTGATACTAACCTGTGTTAAATGGGTTCGTTGGCTGATAGGAGAACGCTGCTCCGTTGCATAGAGCAGTTAGAGGACAATGTTATGGTCGATCAGCACTACAGATCATCTGAAAGAGGTAAGGCCGGCATGTTTTGATTGCAACAAGTTTTCCTAGATTTTTTCTTTTCAGCATGACCTCGTGGCTCACTTCAGATCACTTCATAAACAAGTAGCACATCGAGCGCCTCATAGGTTATACGTAATCTTTTGTAAGAATTATTCTTTATTCTAGACTATCTGAAATGTTTTGTTTAAAGAACTTTTTAGGTGGCTTCCTGATTAGCTGGTTTGATGACAACGTTTCACTACTCGCTATGTTACGTGTTTAATATTTCAACACCTTTTTTTCTCTTAACAGTTTTCTGTTTTTGGTGTAGAAAAAGTAGTATTTTTAAACAAGACCTAGTCAGCAGCCCGTCAGAAAGTTCACAAATGACGATTAAGTGTCAGTATTCAGTTATGGGACAATTCAAGGACAGCTAAAACGATACCCATTGTTACATATTTCGTATGCTCAAAACACGAATTGTCTTGGGTATTTGAAACTGAAACTGAAACTAGCTTCATAATATAATTTTAATTTAGTTGATCTTTTCTCAAAACATCAGCATATTATCAGTCTTTAGTAGCAGTCTATTTGCATGTAAGTCAAGCGTAGATTAATGTATTGCCATCAACTCCATTGCAGTTTAAGCAATCCAGAACAATCCTTTTAAGTTACTTCCAGTGCTGTGCAAAGCTATTCTGTGTCGTCTAGTCCAGTGGAGTACATTCACCTGAAATCCAGTACAGTCTTTATCAGTTTCATTTGGGAACGTGCAATGCAGTTCTGTGCAGATCAGTCTAGCGAGGTACAGTAAACTGACTGTCCTGTATGGTACTTTCCAGTTCAATCCAGGGTAGTGCAGTCTGGTGAGGTCAAGCTCAGGCTAAGACAGTCCAGGGAAGTGAAGCGCCGTCCAGTTCAGCCTTCTGAAGTACTCTCTGGCTAGGTCCAGTCCATTCCACTCCGCTGACGTGCACTCCAGTCCAGTTTATTCCGGTCCAGTCTATCGAGTGGAGTTTGTGCCTGTTCAGTCGAGCCCCATGCCATCCAATTCTGTTCCTTCCCGTCTAATTCCTTTCATTCCCTTCCAGCTAAGTACATTTCAACCCAGCATAACCCAGGTCCATACAAGTCAACAGCAGTCGAGTCTAGTCCAGTCAAGTGCATTGCAGAGCAGTGCAATCCGTAACAGCTCAGCCCAGTCCTGTCCCGTCCAGTCTAGAACAACTAACTGCCGTGGAGTCTAGCACAACGCAGTCCTGCTCAGTCAAGTTAGGAACAATAAGTATTGCGGCCCGTAAAGTCAAGTGAAGTGCTATTCCGAAAAGCCCAAATTTAGGCCCATACAAATGTATTTCAGTACAGTTTTGTCTTCAGTTGTCACACCAACACAATCAGGAGCGTCTACTTACGGCATTGTCGTAGACAGGTCTTTTATAATGATACCTCAATAAGAGTATACCTGATGACTAAAAAATAAACAAGAATAATTGATAGTCAATAGAAGATAAAATAAAGTAATAAAATATATATCTCAATAACTGATAACATTAATTAATTCTTGAAGAACTAAAGAAATGATGAATTAATCGAGAACTGAATATATATGTAAATAAATTGATATATAAATAAGTTGAGAAAAAGTTACGTTGTTAAAAAAATACAATTCCATCGTATGGTCAATATATTGACAATCTTTCTGCAGAATATTAAAATATAGCACCACGTTGTCTAAAAGGTTTGTAAGCATTTTCTGTCTCATGACTCAACTTTTCCAAGACACCAGGTGACCTTCGGAAAGACACAAGCAATCACAGGGTCGCTTGTGATTCATGGCTGAATTTGCAACACTGAAATATCAGTAGAGCAGGACTGTAATGGATAATCATAACAACAAGCTGAGCTACAACAGCGACGACAAACTAAAGCTACGACATAACCACAGGTACGTTTAATTTCTGAGTAATGGATAAAAGGCTTAAGACATTTTAACTTTATGCAGCTCAAGATAAACTCATTTTCAGCAGCTTTCCATCAAGGAGAAGGTAAGTAAACAATTATAACAATATCATAGTATCCTGTGTATGATGGGTTCGTTGGCTGATAGAAAGACCCTGATGCGTTGCATAGAGCAGTTGGAGGAAAACGTTATGGTCGATCAGCAGCACAGGTCATCTGAAAGAGGTAAGGCCGGCATGTTTTGATTTCAACAACTTTTGTAAGATTTTTTTCTTTTCAGCATAACCTCGTGGCTCAGTTAGGATTAAAGCAGAACTGGAGTGCTTCATAAGGAGATAGCTACAACAGCGAGAAGAATCCAAAGCTAGGACCTAGCCACGAGTACATTTAATTTCTGAGTAATGGATTAAAGGGGCTTTGCATCACTGAGAAGGTAAATAAATAATTGAAACAATTTGATACCAATCAATATTATCGGATAGGTTCATTAACTGATAAGAAAACCCTGATGCGTTGCATAGAACAGTTGAAGGAAAAGGTTATGGTCGATCAGCACTACAGTCATCTGAAAGAGGTAAGACAGGAATGTTTTGATTGCAACAAGTTTTGTTGGATTCTTCCTTTTCAGCATGACCTCACGGCTCACTTTGGATCACGTCATTAACAAGTAGTACATCGAGCACTTCATAGGTAATATGTAATCATTTGTAAGAATTATTCTTTCTTCTGGACTATCTGAAATTTCCTGTTTAAAAAACTTTTCACGTAGCTTCCTGATTACCTTAAACACTTTTTTGTATCTTAAATCTTTTCTGTTTTCAGTGGAGAAAAACTAGTGTATTTAAACAAGGCCCAATCAGCAGCCCATCAGAAAGGTTACGGATGACGATTAAGTGTAATTATTCAGTTATGGGACAATTCAAGGACACCTAACACGATATCCATTGTTACATATTTCGTATGCTCTAAACACGAATCGTCTTAGATAATTAGAATAGTTTTTATGGCAAAAGAAGTGAAATTATTACTCGTGTCTAAGTACTATATAGTAGGATAGAGCAGAGTATAGTATAGCATAGTTTAGTAATGTTCACTATCGTATAGTATAGGAGTTAGTGTGGTCTGAAATTTAATAGAAAGAATAGAAAAAAGATTTGGAAGGTTAAAATATTTTTAAATTATTGCAGCTCAAGATAAGCCCATTTTCGGGAGCTGTGCATCTCTGAGTTGGTAAGTGAAGAAATATTATATTATGATACTAACCTGAGTAAGATGGGTTGCTTTGCTGATAGAAAACCCTGATGCGTTGAACTACGACGTTGGATAAAAACTTAGTATTTATTAACTCTGCAGATCAATCTAATAGGAGGTAAGACCGGCATGTTTGATTGCAACAAGTTTTGTTAGGCTCTTTTTTTTTTTAGCATGGACTCGTAACTCACTCCGGATTACATCATAACTAAGTAGGGCATTGCACACTTTAAAGGTAACATAGAAACATTTGTAAGAGTTAATCTTTGTTCTGGACTATCTGAAATTTTCTGTCTATAGAATTTGTGAGGTGGCTTCCCGTCTCATTGCTTTGCTGTCAGTGTTCAATAATTTACAAGGTGACAGGTTTAATATTTCAATCCTTTTTTATATTCTGAAAGTTTTCTTTTCAGAAAAGAAAAGCTATCAATGGGTAGTGCTTTTAAACAAAACCCAGTTATCCAATCAGCAGCCCATGGGAATGGTCACAGATGACGAGTAAGTGTAAGTATTAACTCAGGGGACAATTCAAGGACAACTTGCATGATTTCCATTGTTGCGTTTCATATGCTCGAAACGCAAATTATCTTAAATATGTGCGACTAGCACTAGCTTTAGAAAATATGATTTAGTGGATCTTTTCTAAATCCTTAGTATATTATCAGTCTTTCTTAGCAGTCTTTTAAATTCAAGTTAAGTGCAGTACCATTAACTCTATTGCAATTTGGGCAATCCAGAACAATCCTTTCAAGTTAAGTCCAGTGCTATGCAAACTATCCTGTATGATGATTTCCAGTTCAGTCCAAGACAGTGCAGTGTAATGCAGTCTGGTGAAGTCAAGCACAGTCTATAGAAGTGAAGTGCAGTGCTGTCTGGTCCATTCCAGTCATGTGGCACTCACTAAAATCCAGTCCCGTCCACTTAAGTGAAGTCCTATACACGCAAGTAGATTGCAGTGTATTTCCATCCGGAACAGCCTAAGTCCCTAAATGCCAACTGAAACAGTCCAGTCCATTCTAGTCCCACCCACTGAAGTACACTGCGGGGTATATCAATCTGGAGTGCAATGTCAAGAGCAATGCATTTCCGCTGAGTCAAGTGAAGTACAACCTACGATAGTGCAGTGCCGTCCATTAGAGTAAACTGCCATTCAGAAAAGGCCACATGCATGTCGAATTCAGTACAGTTCAGTGCAGTCCAGTTTAGTGCAGTCCAGTTCAGTGTAGTCCAGTTCAGTGCAGTCCAGTCCAGTCACATCAGCCCAATGAAGTGTCTACAAATTCTGTGGGAGGGGGGGAGGTTTTCTAAATGATAGCTTAATAAAAGTATACCGAATAACTTGAAATACGCGAATAAACTTGATGAATAAAAAAAAGAATTAAAGAAATCAAATAAATCGTAATTACTACTAAAAGTGACCAGTTCTCAGCTTAATTCCTTAGAAGATAAGGAAATGATGAGTAAGTAGGAAGATGAAAAAAATTTGTAAATAAATTAATAAATAAATAAAAAATAATATGCCTATGACATTATTGTATGATTTATGTATTTATGATTTTTAATGCACAATATTAAAAGCGGTTGGAATGCTTTAAAAGTTTTCTAAGTATTTTTTTCTCCCAAGACCTAGTTTTATCGAGCAATCAGCTTATCTTTGGATGGACACAAGCAACCACAGGGTCGCCCGTGATTTCGTGGCTGAAATTTGTAGCACAAGGATATCAGGGGAGTAGTATTGGAGTGCGATGAGCACTACAGGTCATCTGAAAGAGGTAAAGCCGGCAGGTTTTCACTACAACGAGGTTTGTTTGATCTTTCATTCCATTATGATCTTGTGGCTCAGTTCGGATCAGAGCAAGAATGGAGTGCTTCATAAAAAGATAGCCATAACAACAAGCCGATCCACAACAGCGTGAAGAATCCAAAGCTAGGACATAACTACGGGTATGTTAGGTTTCTGAGTAATGGAAGTATAGTATGCTTTAGTTTAGTCTAGTGGAGGAGCTAACGTCGTCTCGAGTTTGCCAGAGTTAGTACAAAAGAAAAGCAGGCCTTTTTTTTCGATTTAAGCGCTTAAGACATTTTAACTTTCTGCAGCTCAAGATAAGCCCATTTTTTTAGCGGCTTTGCATCACTGAGAAGGCAAATAGAGAATTGTAACAATGTGATACTAACCTGTGTAAGATGGGGTCGTTGGCTGGTGGGAGAGCCCTGATCCGTTGCACAAAGCAGTTAAAGGACAATGTCATGGTCGATCAGCACTACAGGTCATCTGAAAGAGGCAAGGCCGGCATGTTTTGATTGCAACAAGTTTTCCTAGATTTTTCTTTTCAGCATGACCTCGTGGCTCACTTCGGATCACGTCACAAACAAGAAGCACATTGAGCGCTTCATAGGTAATATGTTATCATTTGTAAGAATTATTCTTTCTTCTAGACTATCTCAATTTTTCTGTTTAAAGAACTTTTTGGGTGGCTTCCTGATTAATTGGTTTGATGACAACGTTTCACTACTCACTATGTGACTTTTTTAATATTTCAACACCTTTTTTTTCCCTCGACAGTTTCCTGTTTTTATTGGAGAAAAATTAGTATTTTTAAATAAGGCCCAGTCAGCAGCCCGTCAGAAAGGTCACATATGACTATTAAGGGTAAGTATTCAGTTATGGGACAATTCAAGGACAACTAACACGATACCCATTGTTAAATATTTCGTATGCTCGAAACACGAATTGTCTTGAATAACTGAAACTAACTTCATAATATAATTTTTATTCAGTTGATCTTTTAGTAGCCTATTTGCATATAAGTCAAGTGTAGATTAATGTATTGCCATCAACTACATTCAGTTTCGGCAATCCAGAACCATCCTTTTAAGGTACTCCCATTGCTGTGCAAAGCTATCCTGTGTGGTCTAGTCCAGTGGAGTACATTCACGTGAAGTGCAGTACAGTACAGTCTTTATCAGTTTCATTTGGAAACGTGCAATGCAGTTCAGTGCAGATCAGTCTAGCGAGGTGCAGTGAACTGACTCTCCTGTATGGTACTTTCAATTTCAATCCAGGGTAGTGCAGTCTGGTGAGGTCAAGTTCAGGCTAAAACAGTCCAGGGAAGTGCAGTGCCGTCCATTTCAGTCTTCTGAAGTACTCTCCGGCTAGGTCCAGTCTAATCCACTCCGCTGACGTGCACTCTAGTCCAGTTTATTCCGGTCCAGTCCATCGAGTGGAGTCTGTGCCTGTCCAGTCAAGTCCCATCCCATCCAATTCTGTTCCTTCCCGTCCAACCCCATTCATTCCCTTCCAGCTAAGTACATTTCAAACCAGCATAGCCCAGTTCCATATAAGTCAACAGCAGTCGAGTCTTGTCCAGTCAAGTGCATTGCAGAGCAGTGCAATCCGTAACAGCTCAGCCCAGTCCCGTCCCGTCCAGTCCAGAACAACTAACTGCCGTGGAGTCTAGCACAACGCAGTCCTGCTCAGTCAAGTTAGGAACAACCGAGTGCATTGCGGCCCGTCCAGTCAAGTGAAGTGCTATTCGGAGGAGCCCACATTTAGGCCCATACAAATGTATTTCAGTACAGTTTTGTCTTCAGTTGTCACACCAACACGATGAAGAGCGTCTAGTTACGGCATTTTCGTAGACAGGTCTCTTAATGATATCTTAATAAGAATATACCTGATAACTTAAAAATAAACAAGAATAATTGATAATCAATAAAAGATAAAATAAAAAATGAAATATATATCTCAATAACTGTTGACACTAATTAATTCTTGAAGAACTGAGGAAATGATGAATTAATAGGGAGAGGAATAAATATGTAAATAAATTGATATAAAAATACGTTGATAGATAGATAGATTGTTAAATAAACACAATTTTATGGTATGGTCAATGTATTAACAATCATTTTGCAGAATATTAAAATATAGCATCACGTTATCTTAAAGGTTTTCAAGTATTTTTCTCACAAGACTCAGTTTTACCAAGACACCAGGTGACCTTTGGAAAGACACGAGCAAGCACAGGGTCGCTAGTGATTCATGGCTAAATTTGCAACACTGGGATATCAGAAGAGTAGGACTGAAATGGATAATCATAACACCAAGCTAAGCAACAGCTGCGAGAAGAATCCAAAGCCAAGACATCACCACAGGTACGTTAAATCTCTGAGTAATGGATAAAAGGCTAGTCGAAGCAGATTGTCTTCCTCTTAAAAAAAGTAATCCATAGTATAGTAAGGTATTGAGTTTAAAGCTGGGAGATCAGTAAAACAGGACTGGAATGCTTCATGAGACGACAGCCATAACAACAAGCTCAGCTTACAACCGCAAGGAGAATCCAAAGCTTGGACATAACCACAGGTATGTTAAATGTCTCAGTAGAGGAAGTAAAGTATAGTTTAATCTAGTCTACTGTAGGAGTTAAGGTTGTCGCGAGTTTGCCAGAATTAATATAAAAGAAGAGCGAGCCTTTTTTCAGATTTAAGAGCTTGAGACATTTTAACTTTCTGCAGCTCAAGATAAGCTTATTTTAAACAGCTTTCCATCACTAAGAGGGTAAGTAAAGAACTAAAACAATATGATGCCAACCTGTGTAAGATGGGTTCTTTGGCTGATAGACCCTGACGCGTTGCACAAAGCAGTTGGAGGAAAACGTTATGGTTGATCAGCACTACAAGTGATCTGAAAGAAGTAAGTCCGGCATGTTTTGATTGCAACAAGTTTTGTTATATTTTTTTTTCAGCATGACCTCGTGGGTCAATTCGGGTCAGAGCAGGACTGGAGTGCTTCATAAAAAGATAGCCGCAGCAACAAGCTGAGCTACAACAGCGAGGAGAATCCAAAGCTAGGACATAATCACAGGTTCGTTAAATTTCTGAGTAATGGATGAAAGGCTAGTCGAAGCGGATTGTCTTCTTCTTAAAAAAGTACTAAATAGTACAGTATAGTGTAATATTGAATTTAAAGCTGGAATATTAGTAGAGCAGGACTGGAGTGCTTCACGAAAAGATGGCCATAACAGCAAGCTGAACTACAACAGCGAGAAGAATCCAAGGCATGCAAGCATTTGTAAGAATTTTTCTTTCCTCTGGACTATAGGTGGCTTCCTGATTAATTGGTTTGATGACGTTTCACTACTCACAATGTGACGTTTTAATATTTCAACACTTTTTTGTCTCTTAACAGTTTCTGTTTTCAGTGGAGAAAAAGTAGTGTTTTTAAACAAGGCCCAGTCAGCAGCCTATCAGAAAGGTAAAAGATGACGGTTAAGTGTAAGTACTCAGTTATGAGCCAGTTCAAGGACAACTAACACGATATCCATTGTTGCATATCTCGTATGCTCAAAACACGAATTGTCTTAAATAATTGAAACTGAAACTAGCTTCTTAATATAATTTTTATTCAGTTTATCTTATCTTAAACCATCAGTATATTATCAGTCTTTATTAGCAGTCTTTCCGCATATAAGTTAAGTGTAGATTAATGTATGGCCAGTTTGCCAAAATTAATATAAAAGAAGAGCGGGCCCTTTTTTGGTTTAAGGCATTTTAACTTTCTGCAGCTCAAGATAAGCTCATTTTCAGCGGCTTAGCAACACTGAGAAGGTCAGTAAAGAATTATAACACTGTGATACTAACTTGTGTAAGTTGGGTTCGTTGGCTGAATGCACAACCCTGATGAGTTGCATAAAGCAGTTGAAGGAGAAAGTTAAGGTCGTTCAGCACAACAGGTCATCTGGAGGAGGTAGGGCCGGCATGTTTTGATTGCAACAAGTTGTTAGATTTTTTCTTTTCAGCATGACCTCGTGCCTCACTTCAAATCACGTCAAATCCAAGTGGCACATCGAGCGCTTCATAGGTAATTTGCGATCATTTGTAAGAATTATCCTTTCTTCTAGACTATCTGAAATTTTCTGTTCACAGAACTTTTTAGGTGGTTTCCTGATTAAATAGTATTATGATAACGTTTCACAATGTCGCGTGTTTAATATTTCAACATCTTTTTTTCTCTGAATAGTTTTCTGTTTTCAGTGGAGAAAAACTAGTGCTTTCAAACAAGGCCCAATCAGCAGCCCATCAGAAAGGTCACAGATGACAGTTTATTGTAAGTATTCATTTATGGGACAAATTAAGCACAACTAACACGATACCCATTGTTACATATTACGTATGCTCAAAACACGAATTGTCTAAAATAATTGAAACTGAGCTAGCTTCATAATATAATTTTTATTTAGTTGATGTTTTCTCAAAACATCAGTATATTATCAGTCTTTATTAGCAGTCTTTTTGCATAAAAGTCAAATGTAGATTAATGTATTGCCATCAACTCCACTTCAGTTTAGGCAATCCAGAACAATCCTTTTAACTTACTTCCAGCGCTGTGCAAAGCTATCCTGTGTGGTCTAGTCCAGTGGAGTACATTCATGTGCAGTGCAGTGCAGTAAAGTCTCTATCAGTTTCATTTGGAAAAGTGCAATGCAGTTCCTTGCAGATCAGTCTAGCGAGATGTAGTGAACGGACTCTCCTGTATGGTACTTTCCAGTTCAATCCAGGATAGTGCAGTGTAGTGCAGTCTGGTGAAGTCGAGCTCAGGCAAAGGCAGTCCAGTTAGGTGCAGTGCCGTCCAGTTCAGTCTTCCGAAATGCTGCCCGGCTCAGTCCAGTCCACTCCACTTCGCTGATGTTTACTCCAGTCCAGTTTAATCCGGTCCAGTCCCATTAAGTGGAGTCTGTCCCCATACCTTCCAGTCTAGTTCCGTCCCGTTCAAATCTATTCGTTCCCGTCCAATTCCATTCATTCCCTTCCACCTAAGTACATTTTAATCTAGGATAGCCCAGGTCCATAAGAGTCAACAGCTGTCGAGTCTAGTCCAGTCAAGTGCAGTGCAGAGCAGTGCAGTCCGTAACACCTCAGCCCATTTCCGTTTCGTTCAGCCCAGAACAACTAACTACCATTGAGTCTAGCACAACGCAGTCCTGCTCAATCAAGTTAGGAACAACCAAGTGCATTGCGGCCCGTCCAGTCAATTGAAGTGCTATTCGGAAAAAGCCCACATTTAAGCCCAGGCAAGTGTATTTCAGTCCAGTATTGTCTTCAGTTGTCACACCAACACAATAAAGAGCGTTTACTTACTGCGTTGTCGTAAACAGGTCTTTTAATGATACCTTTATAAAAATATACCAGATAACTTAAAAATAAACAAGAATAACTGATAGTTAATAAAAGATAAAATAAAGAAATAAAATACATATCTCAGTAACTGATAACATTAATTCTAGAAGAACTAAAGAAGTCATGAATTAATAGGGAGATAAATAAATATGTAAACAAATTGATATATAAATAAGTTAAGAAATACTTACGTTATTAACTGAATACAATTTTATGGTATGGTCAATGTATTACAAATGTTTTTGCAGAATGTTAAAATATAGCACCACGTTGTCTTAACGGTTTGCAAGCATTTTTCTCACAAGACTTAGTTTTACCAAGACACCAGCTGACCTTTGGAAAGACACAAGCAATCACAAGGTCGCTAGTAATTCATGACTGAATTTGCAACACTAGGATATCAGTAGAGCAGGAATGGAATGGAAAATCATAACAACAAGGTAAGCAACAGCTGCAAGAAGAATCCAAGGCTAGGACATAAACACAGGTACGTTAAATTTCTTAGTAATGGATTAAGGGCTAGTCGAAGCGGATTGTCTTCCTCTTAAAGAGGTACTACATAGTGTAATATAGTAAGGTATTGAATCTAAGGCTGGGAGATTACTAAAACAGGACTGGAGTGCTTCGTGAAAAGATAGACATAACAACAAGCTGAGCTACAACAACGAGGAGAATCAAAGACTAGGACAACCACAGGTACGTTAAATGTCTCAGTAAAGAAAGTATAGTCCAGTGTAATGTAGGAGTTAAGGTTGTCTCGAGTTTACCAGATTTAATATAAAAGAAGAGTATGTAGATCGCAACGCCTTACATTCTTTTTCCTTTGTTTATTGTTCTTGTGCAAGAG